AATTTCTAAGAAATTAATTAAATTTCTAAGAAATCTATATGTTAACTGTAACGCCGGCGTGTCCGAGGTCGTGGAGGGATTAAGGGATATGTTATGCTATGTCCTTCCCAGGGCCTCAAACTATCATCTTACATCTAAATTGGTCCAGTAGTTTTGAGTTGTGTATGTTTGTACTTTTTTTCCTGTTTATAATAGTAGTGTAGATCTTTATAACAGTAGTATTAAGCAAGAAATCGTTTATATTTTCAGATTCAACTTTTGGCCTCCCGTTGTCCATAAAAGTATATTGGGTTATATACTCTATAGCAATCAATTTAGCATTCTTCATATCAATTTTCTACTGGACATTTTTATCTGCAGCAAGTAAGTGATACGGATATTTAAAAAAAATGTTTTATTTTCTATTATTACTTAAGGATAAATAAGACCAGGTAACAAAATTCTAACCCTTCAATGATTGTTATCGTGCTAACCACGCTGCCATGCAAAATGCAAAATACTTTATAACAGTATAAGTACACTTTAAAGCAAGAAAACACAAGTAGAAAATAACCAAAAAAATTACGTAGTTGTAATCTAAAAAACTAGAATAATATCAGCAACTAGCAAGTATTTAAAATATTGGGTATATATTTCGCTAATATATAAGTAATCCGAAATACGAAAAACTTTAGGCACTCTCCACAAGTTCTTTTAGCTTTTTTCTATAGTTTCGTTCCCTACGTCTATCTTATTCTTCTACTATTAAGTTAGTAGATAAAAATAAATATTTTTTACATTAGGACATATACAAGTAGGTATTATTATTCATATTATAAGTACATATTTTATGTATTACTGTTTATTTCCAAGTAGAGATAATGACTTACCTAATAGTATATTCGATAATCATTTCCGTATGTCTGCAAACAAAAATGATTAAAATTATAGATAATATTTTTAATCTAAGCAACATTACATTGACAATATTCAAGGTGGTGTGCTAAATGTTATTAAAAAAATATTGAGATAAAAAATTCCAAAGTCCATCTTATTAGGTACACTTTATGCTAAAAATTTAAATGTATTAAAAATTGATGACTCCAATATTAAAAATTAATAGGATGTGATAAACCTGGATAGCATTTTAAAAATATATTCTTATCTTGAAAACTGAATGAACTGGTTCAAATATGATTAAAGTAATATTACTTTCCAAATATTTTCGAAACTTTTGGTATATCTAAAAATAGTAGAGCTTGCTTTTGCACAAATGGTCCGATTTGACCAGGAAAATACAAGTACTCGTATTTTCCCAATATATATTGACGTCAAGAAGCTTAATGTTTACAAACAAAAGACACTAATAACAGAAAATTCAAACAATAAAATTTAGTAATAGCGATTTTTATTCTGGATAGTATTCTGTATTTTCTTAAACATGAAATTTTCCATTAACTATATATATCCTTCTAATGGAATGATAATGATCTTGAAAATTAATACTTTCTTAGATTTACGCGAATACTTAACATTTTAAACAAAACTATCTTTTCGAATTATTTCGCGGATTTATTTTGATTTTTGGTTCCAATCGTATGGTCGGGAACCAAAAATCAAAATAAATCCGCAAAATTATCCGATCTTGAAAATTATCCTTAATTATGATAGAAAAGTTCTATTCTCTACACGCAGCTGTGCAACAGTAGTAAAGTTGTTTTTTTTTAATTTACAGATGAAGAGTTCGCAGTGAACATAGTTTTGGATGTATTTATCCACGCGATAAACAGCGTCCTAATGCTGATACTCCTAATATCAACCCGCCAACCCACACATTTGCTGCACTTCTATTTACCCATAACACTTTCCGTAATCTATGTCATATTTACTGTGGTATACTATTACACTGGAGGCACCGATCCGTACGTATCATATCCTTATAAATTAAATTACATTTTAAGTGTAGAGCAATTGAATTACTGCGTTAAAACCTTATAAAAAAGTATGTGTGTACCAGACAAGTTTTAAAGTATTAAAAATAGTTCTAAAGAATCAACTTGTTGGCTAAAGAGTTATGAAAAACTACATCCACCTTATTAATTAATAGTTTTATTTCCTCGTCATCATTTATTCAATTATACTTATAATCGCTTCTCTCAATATTGTGTCTATAGACAGGTTATAGCATTTATTTTCCTTTTATTAATATCGATGTTATAATACAAACTCTCATCTCTTATGCTGTGGAAACCTTTCTTTCCCTAAAAGGAAATGTATTCTCAGTATTGTCAGAATATTGTTACAGAGTAAATATTGTAAGAATTTAGAAAACAAAAATCTACTACTTGGTTCCTAGTGTAGTAATTTTAATTTGACCCATTCTGAACTTGTACCTTTTTAGCACTTTTCCCCTACTTGCAACACTGCTATATCCATCAACTTTTACATACATCAGATATTAAAAAGAAATACAATTCATAATACTTAGAATTTTTTATTTTCTAATAATTCTTGCATCGTTTTTCACATAGTAACGAAATTATAAGAACTAATTTTTGGTCATACATCTTTACTACATAGAGGCATATTACTCACAATATATAATTTACATATATGAACCAAAAGTTATTAAAACTTCTATACTCACAATTCAAAGAAACCCATCTACATAATGTATATTAAAATCGGCTTAGCTCTATATACTAGACATAATAAAATTTATTTATCTATAATTGCTTATATAATAGGCCGACAAATATTTCGTAATATTTTTTTAGAGTTAGGTGTGGTGCAAAAGAATAAAAATTTGAACAATACAGGAATAAATGAAATCATACTACCTTACAACATGTTTTTAGTTATAATTAATGTATAAATTAATTTTAAATTCACAGATTAGGCAACAACTTCGTGTATCCTGTACTGGATTGGTCCAAACCCGGTGAAGCTATGATCATGGTAGTCATTGCAGCTTTAATTATAATCGTCATACATTTTATCATTTCTCTACTTACCATTTGTAGAGACGCTCTCGGTAGATCATGTGAAGGCAAAAATAGTAGTTTTAATCTAGCATAATAATCAAAACATAGATGAAAGTTAAGATGGTTTTATTTTATTTTTACGATAAAAGATATAACCATTTTCCAGATGATAAATATTGTTAGTCAAACTCAACATGAGCTATATTCTAATACATTTTCGAATCAATTTTTAATATTGCACATCATGTTGAAGTTTGCGTTCATATTTTATATTTAAGTAGCTCAATTACCTCATAAGTGGAAACTATGTACTCGTATTATGACAATTTGGTATGGTAACGTGTTCGATTGGGAGTTGAACATGTTTATTTGTATAAAAAATCAGCGGAAATGATAAGTGAAGTGATGTATTTCGACATTCTCTCTGCTTGCATCTAATATTTTACTATATATATATGTTGTAAAGAGTGAACGGTTAAGAACGATACATTACATTTTGTAAATAGTAAAACTAATTCGTCAATAAATTTTATTTTTTTTAAATTGTTTGTTTTTTGTAAGCAACATTTTCTGTGAAATGTCCTAATTATTTTGAATATGCAATTCTATAGATACTGTTTACGCTACAAATAGACATGGCTGCTGACAATCGTTTATTTATAATATATTTAATTGATTTAATATAATGAAAAACATCTGTAGGCCATTATTACTAATTCTTAACTAGGAGGAGACCTAGTTAGTGATCTAATTAATCCTACTTTTACCATAATTTAAGCATTATTAAAATATCTTGTTGACCCGGTTTTAATTTGATTTGATGATTTGATTTTAGAGAGTATATGTTATTATATTCATTTATTTTATAGCTTTCACAGAAATCTCGTGTGTATACACGATTCAAACAAAAATCTTCACCAGTTCACATCGTGAACTCTAAATATTTAAATAAACGTATTTTTTAATATATCTTAATATACATATATAATTCTTCTGTACGTATGTTTGTCATCTTAGGTACTCCTCCTAAACCCCCCCAACTTGCGTTCACCTTGTCGTGGTGGGGGGGCTCAGTAGTGCCCGGCAACCCAACCGGGCGCGAAGCCAAGAAACGCACAGGGAGGTGGCCCACTTCGGTGGGCGGTGGGAGGTGGCCCTCTTTGGAGGGCAGTGTACCATGCGGGTTGCTCCTGGTACTTCTCTGATAGCAGAGTGGACTGTGGAGCAACCCCGTGGTTGTTGTGGTCTGCTTCGGCAGACCTGCCGTCGGGGCGTCGTAGTTGAATGCGTAAGCGATCCTGCGACGCCCCATTAAGACGGGGGAAGGTTTTGTTGGGTTTTAGTGGGTAGTACTGGCTTTGCCGGTGAGTCCCACACCTCGTGCGTAAATGCATTTCCCAACGTTAAAAAAAAAAAAAAAAAAGGTACTCCTCCTAAAGGGTTGTACCGATTTGGATGAAATTTTGTGTGTATACATATTAAATGTTAATGGGCTCGTGAGTGTTTTGAAAACACAATTGGATGCGGTAGGTGGCGCTGCTGTCGGTGTGTTAAAGAGTTTGTTTTTTTAGTACTTTAAACGCGGGCAAAGCCGCGGGTGCTGCTAGTAATAATATAGTTTTTTAAATATCAACTTACAAAATCAAAAAACTGCAACAGATAAAATTTGGCATTGATAATAAAATTGAGTCATACGATAACTCATATTCGGTGATACGAAATACTATAGATAACGCTATACTCAGTTGTGGTGTTTCTCACACAGTGTAGTAAACAGGTGTGACCATGAGTGCTATAGTAAAATATTTTAAAGAAGAATGCAAGTTGCCTATGATAGGTTTAGAACACAATAAGCCTTCGGATTTCTATCTCAGTGTGTGGCAAACGACTCGGTCTCCTCTCACGTTGTTGATATGGCGGACATTGTTATTTCTCATCTCTTTAGCTATAGTAATTACTTCCATTTCTTTTTATATATCTAGCCCTATATCTGTCGGTTATTGGTTCATATATTTAACTCATTGGGGGCTCTTTCTAATGACTCTAACTACTGGTTTTGCAACTGCAATTTCCGCCAAACGATACTACTATGGACCTATCAGTAAGTGTTTTATATATATTTTTAATATTATATAAGTACCCACTTAATATAAAAACATCAACATAAATATATTTTTTTACACCTTAAAAATTAAATACCTCATGTCACTTTGTGTTCACAATGCTCTTATTATGTTCCAGGCGCCGATTTCAGTTTACCTTGGTATATTAAAACTTTTTGGGTACTGCATAATGTCTCCGTACCCTTAGCCTTCTTGATTACTATATTCTATTGGGCAATACTTTACAGCGGTAAGTTATATAAATATTATTTTAATAAATAGCTTTGTAGATATATATACATATGTACTATATGTACCTACATGTAAATATTTTCACTAAACAACCAACGAAGCTCAAAAATATGCATTAATTTTAAAATATTATGAATAGACAGCTTTTGCTAAATGGTACAGACGTTAGTAATTTAATAACAAATGAGGTAACGATCACCATAGTATGTCATGTATAATCTATAGGTACATATAATAAAATTCTAAGGCGAATCTGTATACTAAATATTTTTTGGAAAATCTTATTGAAATAGACATTATTATCGATACAAATGCCGAATCTATAGTTTATAGATTTTTTGTCAGTCTGTATGTCTGTCTGTCTGTCTATCTGTCTGTTACCACATCACGGAAAAACCACTGGAGGGATTTCGATGAAATTTGGCATGATGATAGCTGGTTATCCGGGTCAATATTTTACTGCGGGAAAAATATCTCACTTCTGAGAAATCGATACTAAACGTTAAATAAATAATATTGTAATTTGTGTCATGTATGTATGCCATATTTGATTTGCTTTATTTAAAGAACTTATTTTACACTTTAGCTTATTAAAATGTATTTATCCATATCCAGTAAAACTAGATTCTAAATATGATTCATAATTTATTTTTATGTCATTTCAGAGGACTTCCTGGAAGAAATCAACGCGGCCTTAGATATAGCGATCCACGGAGTCAATTCCATTATTATGCTCACACACCTCTTAAGTTCCTCCCACCCTACGCGGTTCCTGCATTTAGTTCATCCGTTTGGCTTTGCACTGACCTACGTGTTGTTCAACATCATCTATTATCTCGCCGGCGGCACGGACCCGTAAGATTATAAATATTACATTGCTTTTGTTTTACTAAACAATACATCTTCTAGATCTCATAACAATGCCTTTGTGTACTTATCACGCACATTCAATCAACCTAATAACGTGTTAGAACACATTAAAATATTTGCACGTGTTTAAATTTTTGCTGATTAACACGAACACTGATACACCGGAACTACTACTTATTTTATGAGAGTGATTTGTTCACTTTAATATATGTATGTACATTTTACACATCAATAATTGTTTACTATTTTTCTAATAACTTTTTTATGAATGTGAATGTGAATTTCTTTCTTATGGTTTTTAACAAATACTGAAAGGTACCTTGTCGGTGGTAACATACCATCAGAGAACTAAAAGAGACTTATCATTTCAAATGTTACTTAGATGAAAAGTATATTAAAAAAATAATAATATAATATGTATTTTTTAACTTAAATAATATACCTACTAGTGACCCAGGTGATCTACGCATTTATTATATACTTATTAAGGAAACTCTCAGAAAGGACGACTTTTTCCGACTTAATTCAAAAATATCACCATATCGGTAGCTCATTTTTGGAAACTATTTGTAAATTATAGCATATAGCTTTCCTTCATACATGTATCTTTTAAAGTTATATATGAAAACTATAAGAAAATCTGTACAGTAGTTCCTGTTAGTTAGTTAGTCCGAACAAACACAAACTCTGCGGGGTCTTTAGTTTTATTATGCAAGAAAGTATAAATTAAGATTCTTTTTTATGTATTATATTTCAGATTTGGCGACCCATGGGTGTATCCTGTAGTGAACTGGGACAAACCGGGCCCTGCTACAGCTGTTGTAATCATCACAGTTCTTCTTCTCATCTTCCTGCACTTTGTAACCATTAGCTTAACAGCTATCCGGGACAGCATCGCTAATTGCCTCATCAGACCAAATGTTACTGTGAATGTCAATGAAGGCTCACCCTTAAGAAGCAATGTACCACAGCAAACTAATATCGCATAATATTATAAAAAATAATTAATTTAGAAGTTATTGCCTTACATTTTTGTATTAAAAGTTTTTAAAATTCTTATTTTTTTGTTTGTTATTCTTTGGCTATTTGATATTGTTACATAAAAATCTTCCTATTTCTCTATTAACGCATTATTTGAACCGACACCTTAAAATGTCACTTAAAAAGGACTGAAGGAGTGACATTTGGGATAGTTTGAATCCCATAAAAAAAAAGAATTCTCCCATAAAAAAAATACTCGTAATCATATTAGGGAAGCTATCTATACTTAGTATTTCTGAAATATTAAATATTACATAGTTTGATTAAGTCCTAAAATATTTTGCTTTATTATTATCCCGAAAACCCTGGAAAAAGCATAAACTTTTTCTTATTTATCAAATTTATTCTTTATTTTTGATCTAGAAGGTTTTGTATATTTGAAAGAATTTATTCTATTAAAATACTTTTACAAATTAAAATCCAAATACTATTTTTCTACAGAAAATACATTCAGCGAAATAACATTCAGAGAGACGGGAAAACGGTGGAAATTAATGTACATCACTGAATATTGATTAGGAAAAATATCTACATTTCTACATTTTCCATTTACTTAATAATCTAAGTAATATATATTCTATTAACATGTATGCACAAAGATAATAATTTTATTATGTTAGGACATTAACACACAGCGCCATCTAGTTCCATGATAAGCTACGATGCTTGTGTTATTGATACCAGATATGTTGTATAATGTGGTATACATATTATAAATATAAACACCCATGACTGGAGTACAAACATTCATCATTACACAAATGATTGCCCCCAGCGGGACTCGAACCCGCGACCGCTGGCACAGCAAGTAGGGTCACTACAAACTGAGCCAAACGTGTCGTCATATTTTATATACATTATATAGGTAGGCGTGTATGTATAACTACTAATATAGTGTTATATTATGATCTGTGGTATAACTATTCATGACTCAAAGTATGTAAAACGTAATTAAAACATTTTTTATAACGTAGAGTTTAAGATTGTGAAGTGCAGATACGTGGCGCGAGTAGGTTTAAAAAAATAATGCTATCTGTTTCATACCGCTCGCTTCGCCAACCCGTATGGTGCGATAGAGAGAGTTCCAAGTCTTAGAGGCCCCACATTTCCTTACACAAGACAAGGCCTATATTTCCTTGTTTATAATATTGTTTAGGGAGATAACGTTTTTACCCCCCTAAACTACGAGATGAGACAATTTTGGTCTCATTAGATTCAATACACCTCATCTAGGTATGTATGTTTTCTTTTTTAGTAATTCAGTTTAGTTTAATTAAAAAAAAACACTCGAGGAAATTTTTAAGTCAAAAATATAGATATTTAGATGCTAATAACTTCTAATCGTACGTAATATTTCGTTAAAATAAAAACTTAGGGACATAGTTTTTCATTATACATATATACATTTCCAAATAATATGAAAATTAGACTATGTATGTTTATGAGGGGAAAACTTTATCGCTTTTTGTATGAAAATTTACAGCTTCACATAGACGTTTCAATTCGAATTGTCAAGCACAAAGTGTATTACTGTTTATTATGAATTATACATATAGTAAACATACTAAATCCTCCTTATTTCATTCATTTTTTTCATTGTAACTTTAATAACATTAATTTAATAGATTTGCAAAGTGTTTAATAATCATAACATAAGCAAGACACAGACAGCTATCTTAATAGGATTAAAAGAAAAACTATTTACATAATTGCTTTTAGCATCAGCGAAACGAAGTCGTCGAGTCAAGTTAAAACGAGTCTTATATACTAACTATTAATCACCATTTCAATTCATTATTATTACCTTATTCGCTAACTATTATCATTTTAATTTAATATCATTACCTTATTCGCCACTACTTATTATAAAAATGTCATATACTTTGTCTTAGTAAATACGTATAGGTAATATATAGGTATGTACCTATTCAGCCCTTTTTAGCGTCCCACTGCTGGGCATGGGCCTCCCGTCAGTACGAGGAGAATCAGGCCTTAGTCCACCACACTGGCCAAGTGCGGGGTGGGGGACTTCACATGTCTTTCAAAAACTTGCTAGGTTCTCTAAGACATGCAGGTTTCCTCACGACGTTTTCCTTCACCGTAAGGCGAGTGGTAATCATGTTAGAAATAATTCGCACAAGAAAATATCAGAGTTGCGAGACCCGGGATTTGAACCCGCTTCACTCGGTAATATATAGGTATTTTGTCTAAATTTTACAAACTACTGTATATTATTTCGTAATTCATTAGGATAAATGTTATATTCGTCTGAATGAAATAATGTTCATTGCTTAGATTATTTAGACATATTAATAATCTAAGGTTCATTGTTCACATATTTACTTTTATTTTTGATATCTATTATTAAATTGATATTATTTCTAAATAATTAAAATTGAACTATATGAAAAAAAAACAAGTTGTACCCACATTACAAGCATAGTAATAGGCACACACTAGTCAATACAAACTATCCCTTCCTTAATGATTGCTATGAGGTATCATATATTGGCCAACATTATATAGTGTTACGGCATATTTCTTGACATTGAGACATAACAACCAGTTTGAATCTGCAAAATGATTGCTGCTGCCAATTACATAAAGCAGCCAGCAGGACAGTTTACGCAAGTGCACCGCCGAGTGCGGCTGCAGCGCGCTGTCGGAGGCACTCGCCTACCAACCGTTTTCACTTTTTAAATTCGAATTTTCGCACTATCCAATTAAAACATTTTTAATAAATTATTTATCAATGAATATTTAATTTCACTGGGTTTCAAACTTCATTTCTTACAACTATCGTTCTAAAACGGCTGGCCGTAAATAATACATCGTGTTTTACTACCATAAAATGTTTCATTTATGTATTAGATTATTCTATAGATAATAATGATACTTTATCGATAAGAATTTAACTCTCATCGTCATCTTATTCCTCGGTGTGTTGCGAAACTGTTATCATCGAAAGTGTTTTAGTGGATCTCAGTTTATTTTATTAGATTTTTTCAAATGTACAAGTGAATATAAGTGTAAAATGGTGAAATTTAGGAAGAGCATATCGCTGTCTGATTTATGGGTTTCATATAACGATAGATTGAGTGATTTCTACTTAACGTCATGGCAACGAGGAGATTCGCCTTTGCCGATGTTATTGGTGCGACTATTCTTGAGCTTAATAGCTCTCAGCATCTTCACATGGTCTTTGTGGAGTGGAGCCAGCCCATACTGGCTGATATTTCTCACAAACTGGGGCCTTTTACTTGTCACTTTATTAACCCTAAGTGGCTTAATGGTATCATGTTGTGCTCTTTTCAAAAAACTTCCAGGTAAAATATTTAATTTATTCAACTTAAACTTTTAATATTGAAGGCTTTAGCGACACAGATTATTTAATACATAGTTAGATTTGAGATTACTTAATCATTAGCGGCTTTCTCCGTTATTATTCATACACCCAAAATATAAAGGTCATACGGATGTGAATGGTGCCTGCGCATTTTTCCTTAAACAGTTGGTAATTCCAGTATCTCATATAAAAAACCCATTGTATATAGTACTATAACATGTTACTTCTTGGTACCACCGAAATAAACTGAGTTATTTTAGAAAATTTAACAATAGTTTAAGTGAATAAGAAAATAATCAATGTTAAATTATTTTATTTTTGTAAGTATTTTATTAACATTTAAATAATATTACCTTAATAAAGTTAAAGTAAGATAATTATGGAATATGGAATTATAATCACGCTTACGTAGTAAATTACATAATGAACGTTTGTACCTATATAATAAATTATTCTTCATGGTTTGGAGGTCACCATAAAAATATTATTTTGTGTAGGTATTATATTTTGTGAATTTTATGTTTTAACGTATAAGTAATAAACGTGTCAGAACCAAATTATTGTTACGATGTCTACTCTACGAATACCATGAAAGAGCTTGTAACATTTGAATCATATTAGTTAGCCAGTTAAAAAAATCATAGAATACATGCAAGTCATGCGAACCTTTCAAATAAAAAGCTAAAGGAAAATTCAAAGGGTCCATATACAAGAAACGTGTTTCTACTTCGTATCCTCTGTTTTCGTTCTATCGTAAAAACGCTAATATACTTACATAGTTAAAACATTACGGTCGGTATGACTATAAAGCAAACAAGTAAAAGAACTTTAAAAAAAGACAGCCAAGGTTAGTCAGAATCACAGTAGACATACAAAAATATATTTTAAGCTAATATAAAATATGCCACGAAGTTACCACGACGAAATCTTATAATAATACCACGTTTGGAAACCTCCAAACCTCCTCGTCGAGCCTTCGTCGAGTATTGAGTCGACCAATCTTATTTAATTGACATCATCCTTAGCGTAAATTGAGTCTAATAAGTATGCGGAAAATAATCATTCTTAATAAATACTGTAAACATATATCTACAAATCAGGAATCGATCTTTAATTTTTATACGAACTATATAATATACATGCTGCCTGCTGGTGTTTTGGTGTATCGTAACCAGCTTCGAGAAATGATGATGTTCTCCTAGCCGATTCCGGCTACGGCGGCCAATCTCATTGAGACTAGCCAACTGCGCAGGAGATATTATAGTGCACAAGTGTACGCGCAGACACAAGGGCAATCTCTCTTCCTGTCACTCTAATACTCCGGTGGGACGACTACTTGACACGACCAGTGAGAGTTAAGGCGCAGGACCGACGGCTTTACGTGCTCTCCGAGGCACGGGGGTGAAACACCGCCAACTTCCCAACTCCGGGCTGTTACTAAGACTTACTATACAGAAAGACTCAATAACTAAACTTGGCCCGTCCTGGGACTCGAACCCAGGACCTCTAAGTGTGCAGTCGTACATGCTAGCCACTACACCACCGAGGCAGTTAAAATCGGGAAATACATACACACATAATATGCATGACGATAGATGACGTAATACTATACCAGTATGTCGTTACCCTATTCCGCAGATACAAAGAAATTGAACGAACGAGAAATGAGGAAAACTGAATTGCGAAACTGCACTTACCCAAAAGATGCCGAATTATTTTATAAAAAATGTATTCAGCCCTTTTTAACATCCCACTGCTGGGCACGGGTCTCCCTTCAGTACGAGGGGAATCAGGCCATAGTCCACCACGCCGGCCAGGTGCGGGTTGGCGGACATGTCATTTGAAAACTTGCTAGGTTCTCTCAGACGTGCAGGTTTTCTCACGATATTTTCCTTCACTGTTAAGACAAGTGGTAATCATGTTGGAAATGATTCGCACATAAAAATATCAGAGGTGCGAGACCCGGAATTTGAACTCACTTCACTCGGTTTCGCAAGTCCCAAGGCAAATTTCGGTGCCTATTTGTAACCATAATAAAAAAAACGCCGACATCTATAGCTATGCCGTATAAACAAACTTGTTACCTAATTCTGAATCTTTAATCATCAAGGAATGAGTGGAAATTCAGTTTAGGAACATATTATTTATGTTATTTTTCTTGGAGGGTTTTTTATAGAAGAAGGATATACGTACATTTTAGGACATTTTCTTTTATTTATTTAACAGTTGCTAGACACGAAGTCATTTTACCACAGTAGAAACAAAACATCTTCAAACATAAAGAAAACTTGATGGCAAACATTTAAGTTTAGCACTTTATTGAAACCACTCAACGGCCAATGATAACGGAAGACGAAATATTAATGGACGAAACGTTTACATTTCGCTGAACGCAAGCGAAAACTTTTCACAGCTAGTGTTCGCCGTTTTATGTACTGCAAACAACGCTTTGTTCCCGTTCTCTTCACGTATTCATCGTCATATTACTATGCAATGACATAGCCGATTGCCGTCACTCGTTGGCCCACATGCCCCAGCTAAACATTATGACATAATCCACGACACCGTACACCTTTTTACGCATAAACTTCGACCATTCACGAGTATAAAATATAAAACCGGCAAATGATACTTCTAACTTTATCACTAACATAATATTATGTATTATTAAATTAACCTACTATAAACTTGTGACGCAAACTTGTGATACACTTTGTTGGTTTCAACTATTTAAATGAGCTATAATATAATATTAAATGTAATCTCCTAACATAATATTACGATTTTTTTAAATAAATATTGATATTAATGATTATACATTATTTAACCATAAGACTTAAATATTTAGCTAAGTTAGTTTATCGAGTATTAGCGACTCACCCTCGCTTTGCTCGGGTTCGTCCCTAGGTTGATTCTCCATACAAACTGTCATCCCCATTTTCACCCCTTTAAGGGATGCTTTCCGGGATAAAAATTATCCTATGTACTTCCCAAGGTCTCAAAATCTTCTTACCAAATTTTATCTAAATCAGTCCAGTAATTTTTGAGTATACCTATTCGTTACAAATATACAAAAATACAAATCTTTCCTCTTTATAATATTAGTGTAGAATTGCTAAAAACCAAAGTTTCTAAAACGAAAAATAAACGATTACGCTAGCTAGTAATGTACTTCCCAAGGTCTCAAAATCTTCTTACCAAATTTTATCTAAATCAGTCCAGTAATTTTTGAGTATACCTATTCGTTACAAATGTACAAAAATACAAATCTTTCCTCTTTATAATATTAGTGTAGAATTGCTAAAAACCAAAGTTTCTAAAACGAAAAATAAACGATTACGCTAGCTAGTAATATAATTAAAGGCATACTTTAGTTTGATTTTTCTGCTGTTTCAGATGGCAGTAATTTACCATGGTATGTAAGTATGTACTGGGTGTTTTACAACATGACCATCACGGTGGCCATCACTATCACTTGTCTTTACTGGATTTTACTTTATACCCCAGGTAAAATTTTTATTACTTCTCTTAAAAAAAAAGAAAATTTGTTAATGACACGTTATCTGGATAGAGGGAAAAAAAATATAATTATAATTTAACAATTTTTAACTGGAAGAAAATCAAAAAAAATCTTATTAAATAGCACACTTCTATCTAAGGCCCGCATTCATTATAATTTTTTGTTTCTGTCTTCTCCCATACCCTCGCTTGCGTCCACTGCAACTTTTACTTACAACGGCGACGTAACGTGTTGTAATGTCTTCAATTTTTTTACCTATGTACGTATGTATGTCCGACCCTATGTTCCCCGGTAATTACTAAGTGGCTCAACCGATTTTAGTGATTCGTACATTGGTCTTGATAACAAAATGACGGATCCTAGGCATCAATTTATGTATCTTTAAAAAAAAATTTCGTCCGAATCAATCGAGTGGGGTATAATAATACAGTGTTTAAGAGGCGATAACAAAAATATAAATCACTTACAAGTTTAAAAATAATTTACGATAAGAAATATCGAAATAAAAACAAAAATGTGTAACTGACCAAAACTAAAATGCCGTAAATGAAAAATTTATTTACAAAAATTAAAAACCCGAAAGCTTAAAAAGGGAACTAAAATGATGAAAACAAGTTGACGAAGAAACATAGTATTATGCAGTCGGGAACATACCACTTGCATATATATTGTTATTGTCAGAATACGTCTGACGAGGCCCACGAAGGTGGGCCGACCACCTTCGAAGTGCGAGCCTTCGCTTTACGTCGCGTCGGCTGAATTTCCGGATGCCAATGAGCCCCCACCATGACGATTATTATAATTTTCATTAAAAGCATGTTTTAAGTTCTATTATCTGTATTTTTATTTTTTACTAGCTTGATTCCCCATACAAACTTTCATCCCCATTTTCATCCCCTTAAGGGACGATCTCCGGGATAAAAAGTACCCTATGTCCTTTGCAGGGTCTCAAACTATCTTCTTACCAAATTTCATCTAAATCGGTTAAGTAGATCCAGAGATTACCCCCTACAGGACCCTCCTAGAGGACAACAAATACTCGTACATACATACATAGGTCAAGCAACAGTCTATCTAGTCGCTTCGACGGCCGTTACATTCTACAACTATGAGTGGTGTCGCGCGTAATGAAGCTACTCTCATACCTACATCTTCATTGCATTCGAATAACATAAATTTAGATGCGACAGAAATTATAATGAGCGCGGAACCTTATTAATGATCTTAACATTAAGTTCCTACTCGCATATTAAAAACAGTACATACCTATAACAAGCTACGAGTGTTAGGTAAGTATAATCTAAATGGAAAATTTTCGTCTTTATTTACAGAAGTCAAAGAACAACAGAGTCCAGAACAATTCTGGCTGGATTTAAGTACACATGGATTTAACTCTTGCGTGGCATTTATCGAAGTAATTCTTTCAAGAAGTCCACATCATTTCTTGCACATTTATCAGCCACTTGGCGTTGGACTGTGGTACGTTGCCTTCACTGGAATCTACTATGCAGCCGGTGGCACTGACAGGTTCGTTACGATTTAAATTTTACTCTTATAAGTAAAATTGAGATGTCTATTTGCCAATATATACGTAAATGAAAACCAAAATTCAAGATTAGTAAAGTCCAAAAAATCATTTCTGTCTGTCAATATTGATTGATAGACATAAATTTTAAAAGAATAAGTTGGTACAATAATTAATCTTATTAGACCAATCCCCCTCGTGCCTTCTTCATTCTACATTCAGTGAGGCGAAGTATGAATCTGTGCCCAAGTTAGTTACGTTTTGAAGCGAAGAAAATTGATTTAAATTTATAATGTAGTTTGCGAAAGAAAGCTTTAAAATATGCAAAATCGGAAAGAAAATAGGCAAAGTATGGCGGTAACAAAAACCCGATTGCATAAAATGCCAACTAAACATAAATAAAAACAAGTTGACATAGTACGAGTACTTATTGTGCATTCAGTGATACAAGCTTGCTGTGAATCTTGTAAAACGTGTGTGTCTCCTTCACCAAAAATCCGGCATTGTGTTATGTTTTTATAATTTTAATACACCCTATGGCACTCGCGTTATCAAGACGAATCTAACTAACGTATAATTCATCAAAATCTATTCGCCCGTTTAGGAATTACGATAGAACATATGATCGAACACACATAGTACATTCATGATTCATATACATAGACCAAACACGTATCATGTAAGTCTTCTTTGTGCTTCGCCGCTGTCGCTTAAAAGACCAGTACTGAACTCTGAGAACTGTTTTAAAATCCATTGTCTTTAATTGCCCCGCAAGAAATATAGTGTGAAGATTTGTATGTACATGTATACCTACATAAATATTACACTCTACAGTAGTTTTAACATTCATTTCAATTCACTAACTCTGTGTGGTCCTTAAACCTTTCCAACGATGGGGGTACGGATATTTCAAGTAATAAACAAAAACGCTTTGAAACCTTATAGTACCAGGATAATATAAATTCTACGAACAAAAACCCCGAGAGCGAGCAAGTAAAATCTTATAATAATCCTAAAAGAGTTTTGAACACTATTGTCAAAAAAAATTAAAACTTTTTGTAACATGTGTATTTAATATTTTACTATTAGTATGTTAGGTAATAAAAAGACGTTTAACTTAAACGTTTACTTAAAGAAGATATATTTTATGATTATTTAATTCTAGATAAAGATACCTACAATGCTTATCAACCGACTTCAAAAAGGAGGAGGTTCTCAATTCGACTGTATGTTTTTTTTTTTTTTTTTTTTATGTTTGTTACCTCAGAACTCCGTCATTTATTAACCGATTTGGACAATTTTTGTTTTGTTTGAAAGGGTGTACTTCCAGATTGGTCCCATTTAAATTTCAAAAAAAAATACCACCCCTAAGGGTGGAAAAACAACTAATAATGAATTTAACCTACTTCTAATTGTCATATTGACTTGAAACTTTGCAAGTATTTCTATTTCCGTTGATAGTACAGTGGTTTGGTGTTGTTGACCTGATCTGATGGCAAGGCCAGAAGGTGGATAGGTGGAACTCTTCAACGGCTAATAGTAGATACTTTGAGTTTGGGCTTATTTTGTTTGATTTGACAAGCCTAACACGTTAGAATCCTTACTTTGCTACTACTGTCTACACTAAAAAGGGAAAAATAAAAACTTTTTAACAAAAAAATAAAAACCGACTTCAAACAAAAGCACTAAAAAGTAACAAATAACTGATTGGTAGTTTTCATTTACTATACATACCTAATCAAATATTTTCGAAGTCGGTGTGCTTTGGCTAAGTAATTAAAGCCTACCTATTAAATACATACCTAATCAAATATTTTCGAAATCGGTGCCAGCCCATACAAAGCTAAGCACACCGACTTCGAAAATATTTGATTAGGTATGTATAGTAAATGAAAACTACCAATCAGTTATTTGTTACTTTTTAGTGCTTTTGTTTGAAGTCGGTTTTTATTTTTTTGTTAAAAAGTTTTTATATTAGTAGTAATTGTTTTATAGAATATTATATTATTACTGTTTTGTAATATTATATCTTTCAGAGGTTTATGTTTAACATTATTTGGCTATTTCTCCTTAGTGGTAGACCAGTGGCAACGCGCTTGCTTGGGAAATCGACTGAAGTGGGTTCATATCTCGGATCTGGCACCTCTGATATTTTCATATGCGAATCATTTTCTTAATGATTACCACTTGTCTTACGGCGAGGAAACTTGCATGTCTGAGAGAACTTAGCAACTTTTCGGAAGTCCGTCAACTCGCACTTGGCCAGAGTGGTGGACTATAATGGCCTGCTTTCTCTCGTATTGAAGGGAGGTCCGGGCCGTGCAGTGGGACGTTTAGACGATTAGATATACGAGTATATACAAGAAGAAGCTTGGAGCCCAGTATTTACCAAAAAATACAATTGCATAACACACATTAATAACGCATATATTTAACATATAAACACGTTAACTATTTATAACAAAATATTTTGTTTTCCAAATCCATGGTATTTTACTTTTATTTGACAAATATATTTTTTTCAGCTTGGGCAACCCTTACATCTACGCGGTACTAGACTGGCGGCAACCTGACCAGGCGGGCGTCATAGTCACTGCGGCTGCAGTAGGCCTTCTTGTGCTTTACACAGTGCTATGGGGACTTAGTTTATGCAGAGACAAATTATCAATTGCTCTCATACGTACTACGAGCCTCAGTCTACCACTAACGCCGCCTGACCGGCACTCTACCGGGATTGTATGATATTATACATATGTACTTATTAGATAAGTAAGGTTAGAATTTAAAACGGGTTTTAATTAGAAACAAACTCAATGAGAGGACTTATAAATGTATCGAATTTTGTAGTGTATTTTTAGTGAAATTGCCTTTATATAATAGGAAAATATCTCTCTATAATCTATTTAGTTAAAAAATTGTGGTTTTAGTTATAGTTATTGTAATGCATGTACAAATATAAATCAGAGAAGAGATCTTTCTGCCTTTATAATTTTCTAAGATTATAGAGCATGTATGGAAAAATATAAAGCAATACATAAGTGCCAAGTAGTCCACATATTATGTACCTAAATATATCATGAAACCTAAACGTACGTTCAACTTTCACAGTTAAAGAGACTTATAAATATAACTATTGGTATTACTGTGTCTCTTTATCTTTCAATAGAATGAATTAAATTGTTCGATTAAAAATAATATATTTCCTTCATACAGTTTCTATATCTAAGAAATTGTATAAACGAAAGGTAAAAAAAAAGTATTGCTTATACTATTATTTTTGCAATTTTATGTAAATAAAAGTATTGTTGTTTTATTAAACAAGCTTTTTTATTCATCTTATATTAATTAGCCTTGCTACTTGATTCTTTTAAATGTTATGTTACGTCACTTCGCCCTTATTTATCACAAAGAAACAACTTTGTCTTTTGTGTTATAGAATAGAGCACAGCCTTGAGGGAAACGGATATTTAATTGACGACACGTTTGGCTCAGTTTGTAGTGACTCTACTTGCTGTGCCAGCGATCGCGGGTTCGAATCCCGCTGGGGGCATTCATTTGTGTAATGAGCACGAATGTTTGTACTCCAGTCATGGGTGTTTATATTTATAATGTGTATGTATTTAAAGTTATATATACATATGTAGTGTATCAACCATCTGGTATCCATAACACAAGGTTTGTGCTTACCATGGAATTAGATGGTGATGTGTCTTAATGTCCCAACATATTTATTTATTATTATTTATTTATTATTAATGATTTACAAATTACAATCAAATAAACATTCAATTGAACAAAAAATAGTAAATTAGGTTAAGGTCATATTAATAAAACGTTGTTTCTAAATTATTTTTCATGAGACAAAACTATTAATATTAAAAAAAACAGTTTTTTATTATACTTTTACGTAATTAATAATAAATCTATTGTTATTAAATCGAACAAATCTAGACAGACATACCCACATTTAAGGATTTTTGGTAGCCACATTAGCTTCCAGTTCCAGCAGTGTTTAGAATTTTGTAGATGTTTCGAATAAAACCCAAAAAAATATATAAAAGAATGAAATGAAAAAAAAATAAAATGTATTTCTATTTACAAGAAAAAAAGGCCAAAATATTAACTAAAAAAACGAAATAGTAATTTTATGGCATAAATGATTTTGCCTCAGACTAACAAATAATGTAGACAGAGTGTCATACTCGTACAACTAAACATGTAGCCATACAATAATTTTATGACACATTTTGTTTTAAAACAGATATTAATAGACTTTACGCATTGCTGTGAATATATCTAAGGGAATAAATAAATATATCTAAGGGATTTTATTATAATAAAGCACAAAAATAACCTAATATGCTATCTCTTTTTCGAGGGAAAGAGACAAAGAACTAACGTTTAAAATATACAAAATAATATCGTATTATTTTTATTATTCATTATTATTCCTACTTTCTTCTCAGAAATCGTACATTAACGACTAATGCCTGCATAAAATTTCCTTTATTTAAAGTAAGAGTATAACAAAATCGAGAATAGTAGCAAAATATAAACAATAAAATCTCGTTATTTTTAACTTTAATATTTTTTGGTGGGCTCCCGGTCTAAGAATTTTTGCCACTGTAGTTAGAAACTTAATTTTATTATAATGACCCATATCGCATATAAAGGAGTGGAATATTAAAATAAAAAGTAATATTAATCCAAAACATTTATTCCTATAATATAGCAAAATCTGCATAAACACGAAGCAACCAATTATAATATAATTAATAACAAAACTAAATATGATATGTGATTAATTTAATATTGACTTAGCGCAACTGTACTGAAAAAAATGTCATTACATACAAATTATACAAACAAAAATATAGCAACAACCTAATATAACTTATTTATAAATATAATTTAGAATTTCATTTATAACTCCTTATTAGCCTTTTTCCAACAACATGACCTTTTTTTTTTTGAAAAAAAAAAATCACTGAAACTGGTTTGGAATATTTTAATCTACACTAATATTATAAAAAGAAAAAAATAGTTTTTTTTATGTTTATAATGAATAAATTTAAAAATGACGGCCGATTTTAAAAAAAACTTTCACCCATCAAAAGCTACATTATCAGCGAGTAATGTTACTCGTGTATGGCCTTATTTTATTTTCAAAAAAATTAGAGATCCCCACGAAAATTGCAATAATGTAACCTAAAGAATCAAAAACTTGCCTATAATAGCTAGCGACAAACGCGAGCGAAGCGAGGGTGTTTAATAAAAGTGTTTAATAAAAGTATGAGATCGATCCCTATTAAGTGTTCATTAGAATGTGTGCCTCAACATAAGAAAGCCAATGAACAAAATCTTTTTACAAAAATATTTTATATGAAACTTCAATTAAGAAATCTTTATTAGTATTTATTTTTAATTATTTACAAAACCCTCCTTTAAAATAATATATTTATTTAAAGCAATATTTAAAATAATCAAGATTAGCTTTGTAGAATTTATTTGTTTTACATTTCTTTAAAATGACATAAAATTACTAAATCAATATTAACACAGATTTTAATCCATAGACGAGACGATATACCATGAGATTTAAAAAAAGAATCCACTAATAAGGAGTTTTACATAACTTTAGATAATAATTTCTAACAAAAAGTTGTTTTTGGACAACAGTCTCAAAAAATAAGCATCTCACCATATGTGTGTATATCCAAAAATATAATTTCTTATTTACAATATAACTATGAACTAACGTATCGACTATGTAAAACTTATTCTAGCAGGCGTTAGTTGGCTCGATCCTTGGATGTGTTTTTGACTAAAACCGAACATGACAGACCTACATTCATACATATATATTTAAAAAAATGTAATCAAGATTTCTAATATGAATTGTTATAAGATAATTCAACGTTACGTATTTAAAAATAAGTAACTCACCTGATATAAAAATTACAATTTTTTGTGTCCATAGAATAATAGGTCATCATGTCAAGTAAAACTCTCCATACCGATAACACTAAACCTACAATAAAAGTACTAATTTATAATTGTCTTATTGTACATTACACATCAAAAAATCGGGTATCACAAACATCACGATTATGCTACTATAGAAAATATACATAAATATTAATTTAGAAGGCATATAGAGATCATAAATTCATGGCGTGTTCGATCAAGTGTAGTAAGCATTTATTATATCATTAACTACGTTATATAAAGTTTACACATTAAGTTTGAACCAAGTATAACTAAGTTTTAATAATATTTTATTATAATACCTAATAATTAATGGGAAAATATCGTTGACATTTAAATATTCCTATAAAAACATTGATTTACGTAAAATTTTGACCAATGCTACACCAAAACCTTAGGCAATAATTTCTAATTTGACAAAATAACAATAAAAAAATGTTATTGCACCCTAAAATTCATAACTCATTAATTTTGTATATGCACAGACATTTGTACCTTAGGTTTGAATAATTTAGCACATAAATATTGCCTTTCAAAAGAAAATTTAGTCCTAAAACGTTCCTCCACACACATTCAATATAAAAGTTACACATATATATATATATATAAATAAATATTCATGCATTACATAAAACTATCGACTGTTTCGAATGAAAATAACTTTTCAAAGATTTGCAACTTATTTAAGCCATGTCTAATGCCACGAATATCTACAATTAATTAAGAAGTTAAAAAAAGTAAGTAAAAAAGAACATGTGATGATATTTAAGGGTAATTGAAATTAAAAATATTAACTTTTTTTCAAAGGACGAATAAGAGTAAGGATGATACAAAAATTTAATCACTATATGAGACTTATTTTTTATATTATTAAAGTAATTTTATTAATTATAAATTGATTGCTACGTAATGCAAATTTTTATTTGCAATACGTAACAATTTTTTGTCCCCAACTGCATATATATATTTTTTATAATAAAACATACTCCCGCCATTTATTCGACGCTACGCTTTTTAAGCTACAATCTAGCAATAAACTAACATTTTATTATAATTGTGATTTTTCTACATTCTTTTTTAAATTATAGATAATAATAATCTTCTCTTTTTGTTGTGAAAATAACTGTGATTTAAAAAAAATATATCATATCATTTTTACTTTTAAACAGGTTATTTTATTGAACACTCCTTTTTTTTTAAAGTTTACTTTGATAAAAGTGAACTTTGTCATTGTCTGCTATTAAAAATTATGGAGAACAAAGGCAAGGAAAATGAAATATGTGATTTATCATTAAAATGTTTTCTTTTAAATGTTTTAAATAACTATTCAATACACATTTATTAAGTTTATGTACCAAAAGGGTACATTCAGAACTAGAACTAAATAAATTAACAGAGCTGTTGTAAAGGATAGAAATGTGTAGACGATATGGCCAATAATTATTTTCGTTTAGAAATAAAATTGGCTTAAAGATTGGTTCAAGTACGACGTTTGTGTGCCAACAAAAAAATTTTTTAGACCGCACATTTACTGTGTATCGCTGTACAGTCGTCATATTAAGTGCATTATTTTATGCTTAATTATTTTTGGCAGTAACAAGTGAAGAATAACTACTAATTGTGAACCCTTTTTATCGAAGTAGTAAGTAAAACTTCTTTAGGCGTCAATACATTGGAAAAATCAGTGTCACAGAAGTGAGAGTCAAATTTATCTATGCATAATTAAAATTCTGACTCGAATGTATGAATGTACAGAACATTAAATATTTTTTTGGAAATTCTTATAGAAATCATTACAATCGATACAGAGGCCGAATCTATAGTTTTTAAAAATTTTGTCTGTCTGTCTGGAAGCGCATCACTAGAAAAGCACTAGACAGATATTGTTGAAATTTAATATGATGTTAGCTGGTTATCCGGTTCACCATATAGAATAGTTTTTACTGCGAGAAAATATGTCATCTCTGAGAAATCAATACTAAACGTTAAAATGTTAATAAAAATTATATAAAAATTATTATATTTACACTTTGGTATCTGCCGCAAAGCCAAAGAAGTTTTACTTTAACCGCGCGTAAAGGTTACACGCACTCATTTTTCAATAATCGTTCTTAATAAGATACACAAATAGTTTGAATTGCAGATTGTTTTTGTAACCAAAGGTACAATTTATATTAATTTATACAAACACTTTTTTTTTAAAGAATCGTCATTTTTTAATATTGTTAATTTAAATAGGCATACTTCCTTACCTTTACTCTCCATAATAAAAACATACAAGCTGATCTAAAATTATTCATAATTATTTTATGGAATTTGAAATTATTATCAAAAACAATGCAATTAGTATACCTAGTTTGCTAAAACTTATTTATCTATAATGTTTATAAGATTTAGTACTCCATTATATGTACAAACTCCTTTATGCTTATGCGACGGAAACATTGGATGTCGGCTAATACAAGGTTGTATGTTACATTATGACATTATCACTCGTAGTGATATAAAAAAATAACAAAATCGCTTACAGCAGTCTTAGGGAATACATACTTTAGATGCGATTTCATTTAAATATTGTACGAGCGTCAGATTCTAATACACAAACTTGATTCTATAATATCTCTATTATAATCTATTATATAGATTAATGGATAAAATATATCAGAAACAATTAATGCTTAAAAGTCAAGATAATAAAATAAAAAAAATATATACGATTAATTTATTTGTCGTTTTATATATATTAAATAAAAATAATATATATATATTATAAAAAAATCTGTCAATACCAGAATTATAGATACTGTATTTGTATATGAGTAGAGCAGTTCGTGTATTGATATCTTTCGTACAAAACCGCGTCTAAGGTATAATAAATATATGTAAACAGTCTATGTGAGCTCCTCACCGCTAAGAAGGAACACTCTGAAAGCGGACTCGTCCACGGGATCAGTGTACAGTTCCTCCTGCAAATTACATGAAATTAAATTAAAAAAAATTAGTAACCCCCAAAACAAAAACCTACTCATCGAGCCTTAACACGATATGCAGTATTTTACTAAAGAGTTGAGTATCTTGCAGACACCAAGTAACCCTGTAGCATCAAACCTGGGTTGCTTGTGCGTGTGTGCGTGCGTGTGCGTGTGAGCGTATGTATAATTCGACGTAGTTATGCAAAATGGATCCAGCCCACGAAAGCAGTTTTTTGAGTTACTGTCATAAATGACACCTACATATCAACGTATATTACAAAAAGTAGATAAAATACCAATATTTAAGAGGAATTAAAAAAAACAACGGTCTTGTTATTTTGATATTACCAATATTACTAAAACTTCTCTTCTCTCAAAAGTAAGTTTTCGTGGTTGGATCTATTTTGCATAACTACGTCCATCGTCGTCGTATTGTTAATTATTGAGCTATACAGAGCAGAACGTAGCTGAAGGAAAACGCTAGTAAACAAATGTAGTACCTGGTCTAGATGCACAGAGGGCGCGTCCAGCAGCAGGTCGGCGTCCAGCGCCAGCGCGCCCTCCGCCTCCGCCGCGCGCACGCACCGACCCATCTGCCTGCGCAGACAAATAAATATTCATTACTAGCGACTCACCCTCGCTTCTTCGCTCGGGCTCGTCCCTAGCTTGTTTCCCAATACAAACTTTCATCCCCATTTTCACCCCCTTAAGGGATGATTTCCGGGATAAAAAGATGATATCCTATGTCCTTTCCAGAGTCTCAAACTATCTTCTTACCAAATTTCATCTAAATCGGTTCAGTACACCCAGACATTACCCCCTACAACGTCACAAACTCACAAATTTACAAACTCACAAACTTTACCTCTTTATATTAGTATACTATATTAGTATATAAGATAAGTTAAATCATCCCTTCACTTAATATTAGATTAATAAACACAATTTTATTTAGTTTAGTTTAAATAATCACTTAATATTACAAAATAATTAGCATCCCTAGATATGCTGCGTATGGGTAATATTACAAAAGCTGGCAGAAGGAACGATTTTTTCCAACTTAATTCACAAATACCATCATTCCGGTAGTTTATTTTCGCAATGTTTTTAAATTATAACCCGTTACTTACCCTAGACTTACCCTACCTTCCCTTAAGGTACTTATATGTTCACAGAAGCCTGTGTTACTCCAGGCCATAGTCTATCTGTCATATATCTAAACTGCTAAATCTCTCCAGACGTTTTAGTATGAAGAAGTAAGTACCAAACATACACAATCACATTCATATTAACCCAGTCGTGTTAGCATTGAACCACGAAAAAATTCTAACCCAAAAATTTTCACCAGCCTTTAGTTGGGTTGGGGTTGGAGATGGGGTATCACTGAAGGAGGAATCGTTTTTCCGCAGTATTTCGGCCATTTTTAACTTTTCGAGAAAAATTATAAGCACTAAAATTATTCATTATTCAATTCTCTACATTTTATTTTTTTCTTACTTATTCGTGTGATCGATATTTTCCGGGGGAAAACGGGTGGAAATGTAATTATTGAATTATCTCATTTATTATCGACTTTAGAACCTACATGTACAGGAATAAAGTTGTGTGGAATTAAATTTTCAACAATTTTGATTGAAAAGGAAAGACTGGTGAAATAAAATTTTGGCCTAGAATTTTTTAGGGGCTAGCCTTCTTATTTTCGACAACCTTATTGGGCTATATAAACTCTCCCCCATTTAAAGTGCGCCGCGCTGATTTTATGTTTGTTCGAGCTAATCTCAGAAATTAGTATATGGATTTTCATATAGTTTTCACCAATAAAAAGAGGGATTATCTAGATAGGTAGGCTATAAATCATAATTTATCAACATTTAGAGAAAATAAGTTTAAAAATGCATGTGCTACTTTTTGTTTTTTCTTGTCTACATTTTTGATTATTTTTATAAGTCCTTAAAAACAATTATGTATTATCGTATAAAAATAATAAAACAAAACTAACTCGCTATCTTCGTTGTGCAGAACATTGCCGTGAAGAAAGAGATCGCTCCTCACTGTATAAATGTTACTTTCAGAACTCTCCGACTGTTCGATCTGTTAACAAAATAAAAAATATACATAGTATTATGTATTAAATGTCTTTATGTATTAAAGATTAGGTATATACTATCACAGGTACCTAATAGTTTAGTACAGGACATTTTATAAACTTAAATAAATAGCTAATCTTACTACTACGGCAATAAAGTGCAATTGGGTGCATAATACTAACTACTAATAGTATTGATCTACAATGTTGGTTATTTCCATATACTGAATACCGAGCGAACGAGAGATTAATGTTAAATTATTTTTTTACCTTCGTAACTTGGTACCGGAGCCAGACTTGTATTCACCAAAAGTCTAATAATATAATTAATGAAACATACATATGTAAGTGTTTTCATATGAAACTACTTTTTCGGTCTTTTTGGAGTTTTATTATAATTTTATATTCTTGAAGTTTCGAAGCATGTTTGTACATGTGTTGTTGCGTTGTATTATATACATTTGGGTGGCCCAAAAAAAATACAATTTTTTTTCGAATCTCTTACGAAAATATGTTAGTTTATCATGTTTTAAGAGGTCGCTCAAATTTTTTTAAAAATTCCAAAATAATATAAAAATATACATACTTGCCCATCCTCCTCCAGTACATAAGAATCGGCGTGGTGGTAGCGGTCGGCGCGCGACGCTAGCGGCCACGTGCAGTGCGTGCGCGCCGAGTGCCCCTCTGCGGTAGGGCTGCTCCCCTCGCTAACCTCCTCTATTGGACTTGGCTCTAACAAACTCACCTGTTAAATGTCAATGTCATTATTTTTAGGGTTCCGTACCCAAAGGGTTAAATAGGACTCTATTACTAAGACTCCGCTGTCCGTCCGTCTGTCACCAGGTTGTATCTCATAAACTGTGATAGTTAGACAGTTGAAATTTTCACAGATAAATACTAGAAAACAGAATAATATAAATGTTTTGTGCGTTACGGTTCAATATTGTACGATGCAGCGGGTGAATATTGATAATACGTGTTGTCTTGACAATATCTTTAATGAGACTAAACAAATAGCATATACCATATTCATTCATTCACAACCTTTATAAAGTATCGAACATTCCGCCCACCAAAGCGTATACAACGATTTACATTTTCATCAACATTTTATTCAATGAATCAACATTTTAACTAGTGGACTGTATATAGATGTTTCCAATGAATTACAAACAACATTGCATAACTGAATCTCTAAATTTCGAAATCTTATACATGTAAAAAGAACATTACAAACTACATTAGCTAAATAAATTACATTATTGAACTGTAGTAGCGAAAATACATTTTTTTTTTTTTTTTTTTTAAATAGAACATTAATAAAATATAAATTTATTGTAGTGATTGACATTCGCGTAAACTAAATTCATCATAATAATGCCTTTAGATATTTTAGATTTCAAATTATTAAATCAAGTTAGAATTCATCTTTAGTTAAGTTTGGTCTTTTATTTCTTTAGGAAGTATTATAAGTTTGGATAGAGGTCTCTTCAAAATATTATTGCCTTTACACTGGACGGATACAACGCGAACTAAACTGTCTGATCCTGGGTGCACATCTTTTACACGTCCTAATAACCATTTAGCTGGTGGCAAATCGTCTTCTTTGATAATAACAATGTCTCCGATATTCGGTGACGGTATCTCAGTTTGCCATTTATAGCGTTGCTGCATAGTGTTCAAGTATTCTAACCTCCATCGACGCCAAAAATCTTGTGTCATCCTTTGTATCATCTGCCATCTGCTGAGTAGATTAATGTTCCTCAATTCATAATTTACATCAGGCACAGTGATTAAGGGTTCTCCTATCAGAAAGTGCCCTGGTGTAAGTGGATTTAGCGTTTCGACAGTATCATCAAGTTGACACAATGGACGCGAATTTAAGCATGCTTCTATCTGCGCCAATAGTGTAGCCATCTCTTCGTAAGTCAATTTTGTAGATTTGTTCACTCTTACTAAATGTCTCTTAACTGATTGTATGCCTGCCTCCCATAAACCGCCATAATTCGGCATTCTCGGAGGGATAAAGTGCCACGTCGTCCCATCATTGGCCAATAATTCTGCAATTTCCTCTGTGATGTTGGCTTTGCCCTTTTCGAAAAGTATTTTAAGCTCTTTAGCGGCACCGATAAAATTAGTCCCATTGTCACTCCATAAATGTAGACAAGGTCCTCTCCTAGCAACAAATCTGCGAAATGATGCAATGAAAGCTTGTGCTGTGAGATCCGTTACAGCTTCTAAATGAATAGCGCGAGTCGCCATGCAAACAAACAAACAGATATATGCCTTTGTTGCATGGTGACCACGCCCCTTGGATGTCCTAATGTATATAGGACCAGCATAGTCAACGCCCGTGTTTAAAAAGGCTCGATGCTCATTAACTCTTACGAAAGGAAGTTGTCCCATTTTCTGCGTTGAGATTTTTGCTTTGTCGACTATACAAACCTTACACGTTCTTATACATTTTTTAACTTCATTTTTTAAGTTGATAATCCAGTATTTACTTCGAATATATGCCATCATCAACTGAATACCACCATGGAGAGTCTTAATGTGCGCCTCCTTGACTAATAGTTTGGCAACATGAACCTTTGGCGGTATTATAATTGGATGTCTTGATGACTCAGTAATGTTTGCATTTTGCAATCGTCCCCCAACTCTTATCATCTCGTTCTTATCCAAGAAAGGAGAAAGTGTTACAAGGGAACTTCTTTTCTTTACCTTGCCTTCTTTATTAATGTCCTCTATATCCTTTTCGTATGCTTTCCTTTGATAATATTTTATATAATTATTTAAAATAATTTCCATTTCATCTATCGTCAACCTTATCTCAATGTTTCTTTTATCCTTTGCATTTAAAAATCTTCTGCAATATGCCAATACTCTTTTCATTTTAGATAAACTAGAAAATCTTTCCCATATCGGTGTTTCTTCTTCAAGTAAATATATGTTAAAATTTTTCTTTTCTAAATCAGTTCCAGGAATTTCAACCTTTGACCGTTCTACATATCTGTGATTTAACCACTCTGGCCCATTCCACCACAACCTTTTATCCTTTAAATCACTAGCCTTAACACCTCTTGTAGCAATGTCTGCAGGATTTTCCTCTGACTTGATGTGACTCCATCTACTATTATCTAAAACTCTTAATATATCAGCCACTCTATTGCCAACAAATGTACGCCAACGATGTGGTTGCGACTGAAGCCATGACAAAACCACCATCGAATCTGTGTAAGCAAAAATCTGTTCAATGGGAATCTTAAGCAAACCAGATATTTCCTCTATAAGCTCAGAAAGTAATGCCGCTGCACACAGCTCAAGTTTTGGTATAGTGAGTTGTTTTAAAGGAGCTACTCTTGTACGAGATGCAAGCAATGTGATGTGGACATTATCTTCTTCGTCAACAACTCTCAGGTAAGTGACTGCAGCGTAAGATGTCACTGAAGCATCTGCGAAGCCATGGATTTGCATTTCTTTAGTGCCACCGCTTGTGTGGAACCATCGTGGTATTTCTATAGTCTTCAATTCAGGTAAGTCATCTCTATAATTCTTCCATTCTTCCACTAATTCAACAGGTAGCTCGTCATCCCACCCAAGGTTGCTAAGCCAGAGTTTTTGAATTAGAATTTTTGCTACGATTACTAAAGGAGATAGCCAGCCAAAGGGGTCGAAGAGACGAGCAACGTCAGAAAGAATGGACCTTTTTGTTATAGGATATGTTAATTCAGGTAAGTTTACTGATACTTTAAATGTATCATCCTTTCTATCCCATGTAAGACCTAGAATCTTAATAACTTTATCTAGTTTAATTTCAAATGTATCTTTTATATTTTTATCCCCTTGTATAAACTGTAACAACTCTTCAGAATTGCTAGACCATTTTTGCATTTTAAATCCTCCCTGTTTTAGTACAGTTTTAATATCATTACATAGCTTCTTAGTTTTTTCTACATTATCACTTCCTGACATGTAATCATCAACATAAAATGACCCTTTTATTTCAGGTACAATATCAGGATATTCATTTGCTTCGTCATCAGCTACTTGGTTTAAGGTTCTTATCGCGAGGTAAGGAGCTGCTGCTGTGCCAAAGGTAACAGTTGTTAAGTCATAACTTTCCAGCTTTTCATCAGGATTATCCCGCCATAGTATTCGTTGTAATTTAATGTGTTCATCTGTTAGTTTGATCATTCGATACATTTTCTCGATATCACTTATCACGCAAACCTTGTGTATTCGCCACGTTGTAATTAAACTTCGCAGGTCCGGTTGCAGTACGGGTCCCACCATCATGGTATCATTTAAAGAAAATCCTCCAGACCCTTTTGCCGAAGCATCAAATACCACACGAACCTTTGTTGTGTCTTTTTCTTCCCGTATTACAGCGTGATGAGCGAGATATACGGCGGTCATATCATCTATTGTTTCTGATTTTTTCATGTGTCCTAATTCCTTGTACTCGTGTATAACTTTCTTATATTCTTCTTTAAACTTAGGGTGTTTCTGAAACTTCTTCTCTAATTGTTTAAATCTATGTACTGCTGGATCCTTTGTGTTTCCACACAGCTTTACCGTGTCTTCGATGCTTTGCTTTAAAGGTAAGTGTACAATGTAGTTTCCAGTTTCGTCTCTCTTCGTTGTATTCTTGTAATTCTCTTCACACCGTTCCTCTTCCTTAGTTAGAATCTTTCTTTTTTTGTATAAATTTGTTTCTACTTCCCAAAATCTCTTTAAAAGATTATTGTCTTCCTCGACTTGTCTTAATACATGCAAACTCTTTACATGTTGTGTATTTGAATCACCTAATCGGCCTGATAAAATCCAACCTAATCGTGTATATTGTGCAACTACTTCACCTGGCCCCTTTATCAACCCTACGTCTATTATTTTACCAAATACGTCAGCACCCAGTAAAATGTCTATCCTACCAGATGAGGCAAAAGTTGGATCGGCTAGCTTAATATTACCAAGTTGAGACCAATTGTGATAATTAAGATTTATATTTTTAGAAGGTAGCATACTAGTTAATGATTTAAGAATAAAAGCATTTACCTTTAATGAAAATTGTTCACATCTAGAAATTATTTGTAACTGTGTTGTATGACTTACATTTATTGAGTTGTCACCTACTCCAGAAACAACGCCGCTGATTCTGAACTTTTTCAAACCCAGTAACTCCACTACTCTCGCAGTGACGAACGATGCCTCTGAGCCCTGATCAATGAGCGCCCGGAAGACGTGTGTTTGTCCTTCACTTGTGCTTACGTCTACCAGTGCTGTTGCCAATAATACCATTTGATCAGGTTGTTTATCTCCTAAAATGTGAGTTACAGTTACCCTCGTATCTACCGGTTGTTTTAATTCATCTTTTTGTTTGGTTCTCTCTGAGTCTCTGTGCAATAAGGAGTGATGCCTTTTGCCACATAACTTGCACGAAGTCTTGCGTCCACACTTGAACACAAGATGGTTTGGGGCCAAGCAATTAAAACATAAGCTTTTATTTTTGATAAAATCATATCTTTCTCCTATTGATTGATTTATAAAATCTTTACAGTTGAATATATAATGTTCTTGTTTGCAATAACTACAGGAAGGCTGTGCATTCACTGCCTTCGAGTTGATGTAAAAAGTTTTGTGCTCTTGAGGCTTTTCTCTGGTATTATAAGTGGTTGTTGGGTTAACTAATTCAAGTGTCCTAAATTTGGATTCAAGAAAGCGCTTTAACTCATTCCAAGTAGGTAGATCCTCCTTATTCTCCTTATAAACACTCTCCTCCCAATCCTTAAGTGACTCGGCGTCTAATCTTTGTCCAACGAGATATATTAGTATGGGATCCCAATAATCAGTGCAAACCTTCATATTATTAAGGCTATTTATACATTCTGTTGTAGTGTCGAGCAATGACTTTATTTGATTAGCTGATTGAGTAGTTAATTTCTTTTGGCTGAATAATCTTTTCATTAATGAATTTACAATAGCTCGTGTATTACCAAACCGATTAGATAGTAATTCCCAGGCTGGTGTATAATTGTCATCCGTAATAGGTATATGCCTTAATAATCTCTCTGCTTCTCCCGATACGCTCGTTTTTAAATAATGTAGCTTTTGAACATTGCTTATATTAGTATTGTGAACAAGTGCCATGAATAAATCTTTATACGTAGGCCAATCTTCATATCTCCCGGAAAATGTAGGTAATTGTATTCTCGGTAGCTTAGCGAACGACCCTTGCCCGCTTAGTAACGACGCTGACATATTATTTACCTCGGTCGTCCTTTTCGATTCTAAACTTAAAAGCTGATCCATCATATCTCCTTGTAAACAGAGAAACATTTCCTCACATGTAAAGTATTGTTCATTAAGAAAATATGGCAAAACTCCGCGATGTTCTTGTGGTGTACACTTCAAAAGTTCATTGTGTGTTTGTTTAAACATAGTCCAATAATCTTCAACTGTTTTCAATCTTCCTTTAATATAACCTTCTGTTAACCGTTGTTTAGGGCATTTCTTCATATTAATTTGCGCCTTTTGTATCATGTTGGCTATATCTTCTAATGTAGTCAAATATTGAGATTGTTGTGGAGTAGGTGGAGCCATTTTGTAAATTGAATAACTTGTAGTTTATTTAACAAACCGCAAACGTAACAAATGTTCACTATTGATTTACATATAATATAACAAATGTTAATTGTTTACTTTTCTTGCAACAACGTATAAAAAGTATTATTTTTAAACAAAAATATTGTTCGACTGGTCTTTTAAATCACACTTAATAAGTTCTATTTTAACCACTAAACAATAACTGTAGTTCAATTATAATATTTAAATCGTCTATAATCAACTTAAACGGTTATGTTTTAACCGTGAATTGCACTAATAACCTTAATTAATGTCCACCACAATGTTTTTTAGCACTTATTCACCAATAATTATAATGTTTTTGAGTTAAACGTATGCAACATAACTTCACTGATTTATCGCAAACAAGTTTTTTATACGTAGTCTATTGTATTCAAACGCTCGAGTCACTTCACCGCTTCACCGATCCATCCGGCTCGATTATCGACCATATGTTTTGTGCATTACGGTTCAATATTGTACGATGCAGCGGGTGAATATTGATAATACGTGTTGTCTTGACAATATCTTTAATGAGACTAAACAAATAGCATATACCATATTCATTCATTCACAACCTTTATAAAGTATCGAACAATAAATATTTATATAAATAATATAATGTATGTAAATAATATTATACTACAAAAAGTTCCATTGAGTCGAATTTCTATCTTCAATATTTGGTTTGTTATATGGCTTTGAAGTTTAAATTTACGTTTTTTTGCATTTTTTAGTTAAACAATAAGAGTTAGAGAAAAATGTTAAATGGCAAATTTGTAGTACGTTTAAAATCCTATAAAAAAGTATTTGACAACTTTTTCATATCATCAATAAAAAAAAGTTACAGGCTCACGAATATTTTTTTTTTCAAATTTTAGCTTTTACGAACTGCAATATCGATAATAATTAAACACAAAAATTGGTGCAAATGCAATTACATAAAATTTGCAACAAAATTGGATAATGCTTACCATAAACAAATTTTCGGACGCAACTTTCGGTGTTTCCTGGTCTTCGGCTGTAGCTATAATTGTAGGCGGGTTGTTTTCTTCCTTCTTGTGCACTTTCTTCATGTGCATGTAAAGCGAGCTCATATTTGTGAAAGTTTGCTGACAGTCTGAGGATTGAATTTTTTTGATTTAACGATTTTAATGCATTTTATTTTTAAAATGATGTGCGTACATAAAATTTTGACTTATTTTGAATATGAAATATAAATGTAATAATTACACAAATCAAATTTCTTAGCCCAATTTGATTTTATTAAAGTGAAGCGCCTCTGATATTTTAACGTGCAAATATTTTTTAATATGATTACTACTCCCCGGTGAAAGGAAACATCGTGAAGAAACGTGCATGAGAAAACCTAACTAGTTTTCGATTGACATGTGAAGTCCGCCAACCCGCACCCGGCCAACAAGAAAGGCCCGCGCCCAGTAGTTGGACGTTGAAAAGAATGAGATGATGCCCTATCAAGCAGTGCCACTAGCTATCAGCCACTATGATCCCCTCGCATTATCTACTCTGCAAGGGGGCCCGTGCCAAACAGTAGGACAATGAAATGGGCTGAATTTGATAATATGCCCTATTATCCACCACTAGCCACTAGTGATCACTCAGGTATGGCATGTTAGGGCTGTGTGATATGATATGTGCTATAATACTCATCACCAGTCACCGGTGACCAATCACCAGCGACCCAGCCACTGGGCCTCTCGACTCACCAGCGTGCGGACAGTCGTGCAGGCGGCGCGCGTGCGCGTGGTGGCGCGCGGCGTGGTCGCGCAGGTGCTCGCGGCGCAGGAAGGCGCGCCCGCACGCCGCGCACGCGTGCCGCCGGTCGCCCGTGTGCCGGCGCGCGTGCCGCAGCAGCTTGCTCGCCGTGCGGAATGACCACCCGCAGTTCTGTTATACATATACATCTCCATTTTTACAGATGCCCCATCTCATACCAAGAAATTGACCAACGTTAATTCTGGCTTTTCTTCGGGCTATAATTTTTTATCCACACACTAGGTAAAATTTTCACGACGTGTTGTCTAACGAGTAGAACATTTTCATAGCAAGTTACCCGTTTACATATCAACCCCAAAACTGTTTCCCGACTGCCCTATAAAAGTATGTATACATACCCGATTGTTATAACAATCGGGTGCGTGTCAAACGCGTCTCCTCTACACGCCCTGCACGATTGCCCTAACCTAAATGTTTTCGTTAGACAATTAAACTATTATATAAAGACCTAATATCATGAAAATAACTATGTAGATAACATACGCATGTCTACAAATTGATTTAGAATAAATACAACAGATATAATCCGACTGATAATAAAAACCTCTAGGTAAATTTCTAAGAAATCTATTGTTAACTGTAACGCCGGCCTGTCCGCGGTCGTTGAGGGATTAACATTTCAACAAGAAACATTAGAATTCTTTATACAATTGTATTTGCGAGTATTAAGTATAATACATTCTATACAGATAAAAAAATTGAAGTGTCTGTTTGTAATGTCACAATAACAGCTTTGCACTAAATGCATATGTACAATACGGTATTTAAATATGTATAAACGGTACTTATAAGAAAAACACCATTTTTTTTAAAAATGTCTGTAGGTTGGTTGCGGCTAACCTCCGAAACGGCTCGACTGGTTTTCACGGGATTCTCCTTATAACAACAGTTATTTATCTGCCAGTAAAAGTACTGGCAGATAAATAACTGTTGTTATAAGGAGAAACTTAGGCTACTTTTATGTTACAAAAAGTATTAGGGTACCGCTCAAAAAAAATGTACCTAGGGACGAACCCGAACGAAGCGGGTGTGAGTTCCAAATTTTTTTTTAATGACTAAATACTTTCAGGTGTTGTTATCAGTTAACATTTCATTGCATAATAATTAACTAATTAAATTGTATAAATGGTTAAAAAAAAATATCTACAACATATGTATCGGATGGAAAAAATAAATAACAATTCCTACTTATATTCAGTTGTACTTTTGGTAATCGCAATTTTTTCTTCCTTCATACATAAAATAACCTGTTTCAATTGGTTTACATTTTGTCTTACGTCTAATTAAATAATACTTTATAATTGTTATACATACATAAATTATATATTTAATACTTTTCTTCCATGTCCTATGCATTTGTTCCACGATGTTAAAATTGATATGTATATATGTAAGGTTTCATTGTTTTCTTCAATTCTATCCTTCCCATTTTACCCTATCGATAAAATAGTGTCCTTTTTACCCGACTGCAAGGTTAGGGTTATGTTTTTTGCTTTTTATTTAGTTCGATTTCCTGTTCAGGTAAGCTTTTTTAAAAAAAAGTAGTTATTATTATTATTTTTTTGAAAATAAAGAAATGTTTCCTTTGAGTAAATCTTGATAACTTCAATATTTAAAGTACTTTTCTTCCATGTCCCATCGATTTGTTCCACCCTGTATATAGTCCATCTATTCCATACCAACCGTTAAAACGTACCTACAGACGAACAGAACCGAAGCGAGTATGAGTCCCTAGTAATTTATAAAATATAAAGGACTGCATTCACATTTATAGAGTAGTCAATATAATATACTCACAGGATGTCTACAAGAGTATGGTTTGTCCCCGGTGTGGGCGCGCGCGTGCTCGCGCAGGCGGCAGGGCTGGCGGAAGGCGCGCGAGCAGCCCGGCCACGGGCACGCCAGCAGCCGGCCCTCGCGCTCGCGGCCGGCGTGCGCGCGCGCGTGCGCCCGCAGCCCCGACGCCCAGAAGAAGCGCCGGTTGCATTCTGTGCATCTGTGCCAAACATTATCATACCACTGTATACAAAAACTATAAAGCTATCTTATTTCCGACTTTCACGGTTGCAAAAAATACCAGTTTTAATAACATAGTGACGTACATAAACTTTATATTCGATTTTTGCCTCTTCGGCTTGTAGAAATCGGCAGATTATTATTGATTCACACATACACTTTTCAGGATGTATTTAGCCCACTATACCTTAATCTGACGATTTCTGAGTATTTCTACCTTATCAAAATATTTTTTTAATTATCTCGATCGACTGCCCAAGCCCGCGTCCTTATATATAGAGGACTTGACTTATATATAGAGGACTTACATTATTATGGTGGAGGTACTCAACAGAGTGCAAGGTATCCCCCCCTTATGTTAATCTGCCACGTTTGAGTAAATCAAAAAATCCCCTCTTGGGCTCCCCTACTATGACAGGTATTTTTTTATTTTATTTATATATTGCTTGCTATTTTTTAGTAAATATATTTTGTGTTAAAGTCACATAACAAAAAAACACTTCATAGGAATATAGTCAAGTTTAGTATTGTGACTATTGTTTATTTAACAATATGTTTTATATTCTCACCTATAAATAGCTTCCTCTATTGTATGTTCTTCATTCAAATGTTTAATAAGGTCTACTCTAACATGGAATATCCTGCCACATGGTTCTTCTATACCAGATTCTAGAATTTTCTTAACTGGACACTCCACAGTAGTCTGCCTCGGGGCTTTTTGACTAGCGCTTTTATTATGTGTGCTTTTATGTTTCTTTAACTTTTGTTCACTCATAAATTCTTTATTACAATCAGGTGAATCACACTAAAAAATATGTCTAAATCAAATGTTGCATAAAATATATTGAACTGATTTCTAGTAGTTAAAATGTAAAAAAAAATTAGTATGAAATAGAAATATCTAATGACGATTCAAAAATTTAAAGCCATTTATAAAGACACAAACAATAAAATTTACAAAATATAATGTATTAAGTTATATTAATTTATTTTGCATATATACATACTTCACAGACAACACAGACACAACAGGAGTGAGAAAACATTAAAGGTAGAAATTACTTATTGCACATTTTTATTAAATCAGTCTCTAATAAAATGCCTTTATTTGGTGATTTATAACACCATTTTAGATCAACGAATAGTAACAACAATATTGTGAAAATAATATTAACATAAAAGATTTACATATACAGATATTTAATTTTTAACACATATCAATTTTAACAGATATTTACCTTAAATTTAACTGGTCTCTGAGTTAACTGTTCTATTGATATTTTATTTATAGTGTCCATAGATGAAAAATCTTCACCCTGTGCTATGCTAGAGTCCTCAGAAACAGCAGCTACACCTAAAGTCTCAATTGTAGCTACTGAAGGATAATCTCCTTGAATAGTATCTGTATCCTCTGATATTGACGGTAAAGCTGTTATTGTCATTGTTTGATATTTGTTCTCGTCTATGACTGATTCATTTGATGTTAAATTGACAGTAACCATAGTAGTCAAATCGTCTGAAGGAACAGAGCTGTTTTGATGTATAGATGACACAGCAGCTAAAGGTACCATTGTGCTAGAAACATCTGACTTTTGTTCTAGATATAAACTACCCACTTGAGAACTATCATCTGAAAAAGGAAAGATTAAGCTATAATAACAGTAAAAACTAATAATTTTTTTAATTAATATTCTAAAGAGTATTTTAGGTAGTTGTGATTTGGATTTATTTATATATATAAAAGGCAAAAGATAAAAGGCAAAAGTGATTAACTGCTGTATCAACACACAGGCCAAACCTTTAAGGCTAGAAAATTGAAATTTTGCACACATGTTCCTCATATGACAAAGGCATCTACTAAGGAAGTATTTTTCAAAATTCAACCCTCAAGGAGGTGTAATAGGGAATGAAAGTTTTTATGAAACCCACTTTTTAGAGTTTTTTTGTAGTTTTAGAGCGAGTGAAGCCATGGTGCTGCTAGTAAATAATAAAATACTTACACTGTTCAATTATAATTTTTTGAGTGTCTTGAGAAAAATCTAAGCACCACTTTTGTTTACCTTCTTCATCTTCCATTTCTTTTTTAAGAAGATCATTATCATCAATAGATATATTCTAAACAAAAAGTAAAAATACATATTAAAATTACAAATTAAAATAGTTGTAGTCAGTATTGCACATTTATGTTAAAACTATAATATACCTGTCTAGCTTCATCACTTAACAAAAATGATTCCACATTTAAAGAAAGGCTTTGATTCTCCTCAATACCTATGAAACAAATGTAATTGAATAGTATGCATTATCTGTTATCACATTATAAATAGAAGCCATTACTCATATTATAAATATAATATGGTAATTTTATACTTATACTTACTTTGGCAGTTATCAATATATATCATATTATTCTTAGCAGTCACATTAGGTGTGGTATTCTGTATACTACCTAATGGATCTGCTACATTGTCTACCTTTAATTTTGGTACAGATTTTTTTACAAGGAATACATTTTTATTACTTTTGCATTTAAGAGCCTTATCTACTTCTAAGTCATTATTTTTTTGGTCAAGTATATAAGATGAAGTGAGTAAAGAATTCACACCAGAAGTTTCAAAAATTTCAGCCTTATTTGTTTTATTCACAATTGAAGCCTTATTTATATTTGTCTTTTTACGTAAAATGTTAGGCTTCTGGAACTTTTTTTTATTCGAGTTTATGTCATGTGAAACAAACATGTTTTCTTTTGAAGTAAAAATATTATATTTAAAAACGTTACATGCTCATAATGCTCCTGAAAATAAGCAACAAAGCAACAATTTAGAATTATAAATGTATATTTTGATTATTACTTAGATTTAAGTTCATTTAATTCATAAATACTTTGCTCGCTAAATAGAATAATATTCATTTCTTTTTACTAAAGCAAATGAATAGTAATTAATTAAAAATAATTTACCACATTACAATATACCTTTTGCAAATAACAACAATTAGGTTAGGTAGCATTCATTAGACTAGCACACTTACAGTAGATTTTTATATTCATTAAGATTTTCTAAGCTACTAATTTATAAATATCATAAAACTATAAACAAATCAAGTACAAAGGGATGTAATAAAGGATAAATAGAACTATACAAATAACTGACATTGACAGATAATGATGAACGATGATGTCACTGTCAAGATAAAGGATATAAGGAAAATAAAAAATAATATCTCATACAGACGGTATTACCGGTAGATTTCCAATGGGGAAGAGTTCTCGAAAGGAGGGCGTCACACGTATCGCCTATTTAAATTCAGTCTGAGGACATGCAATTTATTGTGATATCTCTTTTATACCTGGTTTTTTGCTTGTTTATAACATGTATTGTACCTAGAAATTAGACCAGATGAAGGAAGAATTGAGAAGGAGAGGTGCATCCTGCGGTGGTCCTGAGTGACTGATGGATCAACACATAGCTTAAACTGGCTTAAACTGCTGATCGTAAAAACGTGAAAGGAGGACGTATTCTTATCGTAGGCATCCGGTAAGAAAGAAGTTTTCACAATTTACGTAAAAAGTAAACATTTATGTAAAAAGCAGTTATATACTCTATGGGTCTGTTAAATGACTTGATACTTTGTGACCGTGTAGCCTAAATATTTAAAAATACACCTGTTTTTGTTTCAAAAATCAAGCAAGTTGTGCTGAAGTTATGACAATTTTAGTTTCCGTCCTATTCAAATATTTCGTGCGAGCGCGCCATGTCCATATGTCACCATGCTGCCAGTGGCAGCCCAGTACACGGTGGTAGTCCAGTGGTAACGCGCTCGCTCGCTTCCGCCCGCATTCAGATAACCAAAAACCAAATTCTTAGGTTTTACATATTACTATACTCTTACAATGCAGTTTTTGTATTTTTTCTCAGGAATGAGATATTTTCGCGCGATAAAAAGTATCCTATATGTTGACCTGGATAACCAGCTATCATCATACCAAATTTCATCAAAATCAAACGAGAAAACCACTGGACAGAGTGGTTTTCTCGTGATGCGGTAACAGACTGACAGACACAAAATTCTAAAAACTATAGATTTGAATTCTGTATCGATAATAATGTCTATTCTAATTAGATTTTCCAAAAATATTTAATGTACATATTCGACTTAGTTATAATTTTATTATATGTATAGATTACTAGTGTATATCTATACATATTATTATAAAATTCCAAGTCGAACCTGTACATTAAATATATTTTTTAGCTTTAAAAGAATATGGTATACATACATACATATCTATACAATACAAATATTATATTCTTCATCTATGCTATTACCTACCCTACCCCAGCCTGCAAATTTATGATATTTGCAATGAAAAAAATACTAATCGATAGATTTTCAATAGCTCAATTTAACTACGTAGCCCTTTCAAATTGCTCACCTTTAATTATTTAATTAAAAATCAATAAAGTCTTTGAAAAAAAATTAATTTATCTGTATATTCAAACTCCTATATCTTTTGATGTATACAATATTTCAAATTGCTCAAAGTTCTAAAACACTGCTCAAGTTGCATTTGTAATTGCTCAAGTAGAGTTTTTAGCAGCTCCACTTTCGCTGATTATTAAATAATTAAAAGTATAGTTGTAATAAATGTAACGTAGGTTAAGTGAGCGTGCGCATGCGCACCGCGCATTGTCGGTCGGCCTCGGCGGGCTTGGACAATCGTTCCAATTCAACGTCTTAATTCTGTTTCTCAGTGGATTTCTTTAAATTTATTGAATTTATGAATTGTTCACATTACGTGATTCCACTTCAGATATTATAACATAAAGAACAGATCTGGAATCTACCAATAAATGAAAATTAATACCAACAGATAAATTAAGACAAAATCTTATGTTCAAATGCTTATTCTATTAAGGTAATAGCCATGACAGGGATCATTAGTAAAATGTTATTAACATCAATACAAGACGGAACTTTTTTTATTTTTAAATATACATATACTTTAATGACATTTTTATTTCAAAGAAACAAACTGCATGAATATAAACTGCCTTTAATATAAAGGCCAGCACTCACCTATCTATACGTTAAATTTATTCAAACTATTTATATTTATTTAATAATTAAGGAAAGTGGAGCTGGTGAGAACTCTACTTGAGCAATTACAAATGCAACTTGAGCAGTATTTTAGAACTTTGAGCAATTTAAAATATTGTATATATCAAAAGATATAGAAATTTGAATATATACGGATAAATGAATTTTTTTTCAAGGACTTTATTGATTTTTAATTTTATAATTAATGGTGAGCAATTTGGAAGGGCTACGTAGTTGAATTGAGCTATTAAAAATCTATCGATTAGTATTTTTTTCATTGCGAATATCATAAATTTGCAGGCTGGGGTAGGGTACCTTATGCTATTGCTGAATATTTTGACCAGTGATTTTGACATTTAATAGACGGTCCGTGTTGATAAATCGCTTTGTTAGTGCACATATGTATTGTATTCATTTCATAATTAATAACTGAATAAGTAATATTGTTTACTTCAGATAAGAATACCCTTTATTTACTTTGCCGATAATTTATTATGATTTTTGCTAACATAAAATAAAATATGTCTAATATAATATCAATTTAGGATGTTTTAAGTAAAACAAAACTTTTCTTTCATGATGTTCTAGTTCTTAAACCAAAATATCTATTTAAATAAAAACCATCCATATTTATTCTTTCATATGTACAACTTATAACAATTACGACACTATTTTTGATAAATTAGTCAACGATAGTATCTCTCAAATATGTTACCCTTGAAGAACAGCTTTCTGACTCATATTTACCATAAAGGGCTACTTGTACGTTTATTGCACATATTTGTCTTATTAGATTTTTTATTCATCATTTTAGCTTGTCTTATGAACAGGTGCTTCCAGTGAAAAAACCATAATGTGTGATGTCTTACAATCTCTTAGTGAACAGTTGGTTGATATACAAAATGAATCTAACCCTGAATGTTCCAAAATTGAAGATATCCTTAAACCTGCTGAGCCTTGTTTACATAACATGCCACTTGAGGTGATGACTTACCAAGTTAAATTATAAAATGAAATATAATTTATATGTAGTTTACTTTATAATTCTTACTTACAGATAATATTAAAAATATGTTCATATTTGGATGCAGATTTCATAAAAAACACTCTTAGCAAAGTGTGTACAAGGTTTGAAATTATTTTAACAGATGTTAGCCTTTGGAAACATAGAGTAAGTTGTAAAATAAGGGGCCTTTTTCCACCATTATCAGATTTAGATAACTGGAATGAAGATTCAGTAGAATGGACAGATATGTGTATTGAAATGGAGGCTGAAAGGAACAAATGGCACAATGTGGAGAAGGCAACAAAACATTTAGTAATAAAAGATCTTCATTATGCATCTGTTGATGCTGTTATTCTGGTCAATGTAAGAATAATTTTATTATAATTTTAATTTTCACATAGTTATTCGGTCAAGGGCAATTGCAATGTTGTAAAATGATTATTTTTACTTTTAACATATAGGATAGCTTAAAAAATAATATATCTTTATTTTTAGAAAGGTCTTACATGTATATCAGGTGGAAGAGACAGGTGTTTAGCATTATGGAATGTAATGGACTTAAAAAATGAGAGTAGTGAAAATGACACAATTCTGACAGACCTAAAGCCTACTAAAATAAGACATGATGCACATGCTGGCTGGGTGTGGGATCTGGCTACTGATAATTTGGACTCTGCTTACATTGTTTACTCTGCATCTTGGGATAATACAGTAAAAGCATGGGACATTAATTGTGGATTTGAATGTGTTGAAACTTTTAAGTAAGTATTTCTACATACTACAAAAAAGTGCTTAACACCTCGCGGTTAATTTCTAAGAAATCAATTGTAATCTGAGCCACCTGTGGCTCAGCAGTCGCTGACAGGTTAATGCAAATGATGGGGCAGTCCTTAAGTAAAAAGTTCTCTTATTGACAAGATCATAACTGAATAGTAAATTAAACCTGAGATGGCAGTAACATATGCGTATGAAAATGCAATTTTATTTTTTTTATAATTTTTAGTCTATTATTATTATAAGTCATTTTATGAATTCAAGCAATACATGAGAAACAATAATAATAGTTTATCTGTAATGTATTAAATAAGTCCAGAAACTTTATTATTATTATTTACTATTATTATGGACTGCCCTGGGTAGCAGTCGCCATCAGACAATTAGGTGAATAAAACTAGCTCATTTAAAGAGCTACATACATATTACAAATTAAAAAAAAACCTAAACAACTGAAATATGGTGTTCTTGATACAAATTTTTCTGATTTTACAATGATGGTGATGATTCATCTCTAATAAATAAGTTTATATTAAGTATGACTTAACCTTGTTTTGTTCGGGCCTGTCCCTTGGTACATTTTAATTTTTTTGAGTGGAACCCTAATTCTTTTTCTAAAATTAAAATAGCTAAGTTACTCCTTATAACATTAGCTATCTGTCAGTGAAAGGCCCGTCAAAATCATTCCAGCCATTTTGAAGATTAGAGGGAATAAACAGACAGACAGACAGACAGACAAAAATTTGAATATTTGTGTTTTTCTTATAATTACGTATATATGGTACTACGTAATTTTATATGATGCATTTAGTTAAAAGCTGTTAATAGGACATTACAAACAGACACTTCATATATATTTATTTGTAATACCTCGAAAGTTGCATTCAAATACATAATTTTGCCACCCCTAATATACACTAAATTCAAAACAACATAAAAGTAATTATTCCACTCTCAGGGGTGGCAAAATTATTAGAAAAAATGTAGTTAAAAAGTAATTTATTTGTGACTAGCATTGCCCGCGGCTCCGCCCGCGTGCAGACGACCAAAAACCAAATTCTTAAGTTTTATATATTAGTATACTCTTACATTGCAGTTTTTGTATTTTTTCTCAAAAATGAGACATTTTCCCGCGATAAAAAATATCCTATATGTTGACCCGGGATAACCAGTTATCACCATACCAAATTTCATCAAAATCCCTCCAGTGGTTTTTCTGTGATGTAGTAACAGACAGACAAAAATTCTAAAAACTATAGATTCAGCCTCTGTATCGATAATATTATTATCTCATTAAGATTTTCTAAAAAATATTTAATTTACAGATTCGGCTTAGTTACAATTTTATTATATATATAGACTATTATAGTTTTTTTGCTTTCCTTGTAGTTGTGGTATGTCAGCACTTTCAGTAGTAGCATATGACAATACAGTAATGGCTGGATTATATTCCAAGAAAATTTTATCTTTCGATGTACGTTGTGGTCCCAATCCCATAAATGTGTACAAGCCCCACAGAGGACCAGTTTTAGCTTTAACTACTTATAAAGAACAAATTGCATCAGTGAGTGAAGACAAAACGCTAGCGATATTTGATAAAGTCGCTGGAAAAATTATGAAGACTGAAATAAAAATACCAACTGATAAAGCATATCCAGTCAGTATGAGTTGGAACATGCACTCTTTGTACATTGGCGACTCAAAAGGAACTCTTCATCTATTCAATCCAGATGATCACACATTTGTTAGAACACATGAGCTATGGCCAGAATCAAGTATAACTGAGCCCTCAAATAAGATAGCTGGATGCTACTTGGGTCAAGGAACACTTATAGCGTGCTCAGATAGGGGTGAAATTAAATTTCTATATAATAGTAGTCCACCTGAAGAATATAAAAGTATTCGAACCAGCACTGTGGATGTTACACAGGTAATTATTTTTACTAAACTCATTTAATATGTCTATGATTTGCGACTTTTACGCAAACTGCAAATTTAGATTACAGGGTAGTCCATATAGACTTGAAATTCTTAATTTAAAATAATGTTCATCTATGGTCTGTTCCATATGATGTAGGTAATTAAAAAAAATATATAGTACCGTAAACCACATACATCGATCAGTTAATTGTGGCAAAAATCCAGGCAAAGATGCTTTATTGACGGTCTGTAGATTGATATGTGAAATGTTTGTGTTAAACGTACCGTAACGCAATGCAAGATCAGATCAAAGACAAATCGTCATCGTATCGCGGGATTAGTTTAGATTATTAATTTTTCCGAAACTGTGTACCTTTGCCCTCTATGTTCTAATGCACGTCCTCAAAACGTTTATTTTGAACGGACGTGGCATTAAGGTGCAACTGCCCAATAACCCACTACACTGTCTCATACCATGACCGTGCTAGGACCGTGTCAGGCAAAAAAATATTCTTTGTATTGAAAAGTATGAGACTGCCCACTAGACCATTCCGTCACCGACCGGAACCGTCGCGTGCTGCGCGGAGCGGTAACGATTGTCGGCGAGAATACTTTGCTAATGCCGGTACCGGGTAGTGGGACCGGTGCGCGCGGGCGTTGCAATGATGAGCATACGCAGCACTAAAACCGTTATGTACCGGTATGATACGCTGTTGATAGGTACGTTCTAGTGGACATAATAATCTGTGCCTGATACGTTCATAGCACGGTCATGGTATGAGACAGCGGGCAGGCAGCTTTAACATAACAGAACTATATACACCTGCGATTTGCTCACATTGTAATCATGACTGAAATGACTAAAAGTCATTAATAGTTCACGGAAATATTATTTGTTTTTTTTTTGTATTTTAGATAGTAACTTATGTGTTTCCCATTTTCCAGTTGCGGTATCTAAATGGGATTTTAGCTGTCGGCACTTGTGATTCAGCCCTGGAATTCTGGATTCCTAACGATAAATTTGACCACACAAATTTATAAAACACGACTTTTATTTATTTTTTAGCTAATCATATCTTAACAAAACATAATATGTAAAGAAATTAAATATTAAATTTAGTTTTAAAACTTCAGCAGCTTCTTTGCATACGATTTTTTGTAAAAGTAGCAATTACGAATACATAATATTTTTATACTAAGAACTGATTTCAGCAATTTGATACGTATTATTGTTACGGCTAGCTTTATTGCCATAAGTGTTGTCATTTTTTATAAATGAATATTAATCATTAAAATTATTGCACAAAAAATATTGCAACACAACAACAATTTCAGGCATAATAAAATATTATTTTTTATAAATTATTATCAAGGAATGGGGAAGAATTTTGCCTTTTTCTCCCGCCAGATGTCGCGATCACTATGCGCGATGGTCCTTAGTACATTATAAAATTATATAGTGATTTTCTTTTTTTCATTTTATTTAAAATAAATTTACAATAAAAAAATGTGCAGTGCCAGGATGCAAAGAAAATGGATATCATTTGTTCCCAAAAGAGAAAAACTGAAGAAATTGTGGGTTAAAGCAATAAGACGACCAAATCTGGCAAAATCACTATCTAGGCTATGGGGACATCATTTTAAAGAAAGTGATTTTAAAGCTCTTAAATCATTTACAGGTGATTTTTTTTTTGTTCTTTTTTACATATTAATTAATTACAAACTTTTCTGCCTCATTTTATCCCCTTATGTGATTGAATTTCAAAAATGCTAAAACAAGTATTTATTTAATTGTATTGAAGATCATTAATACCAAATTTCAAGTTATTCTGAGCATAAATAATTCTTTACCCATATAAACTTTATTACCCCTCTTTACCCGTTTAAGTGATGAATTTCGAAAAAAATTAGATAAATGTATTTCTTATTTCAAGATAAACACCACTTTCTGTGTATTTCACAGAATGACAGTTTGATACAATCTTTAATCCCCTATTTTACCCACTTAGGGGTTGAATTTCGGAAAAATTCTTTCTTAGCCGATGCCTACATTATATAAGCAATACGTCCTCCAAATTTCACGTTTCTACTACCAGCGGTTTATGCTGTGTGTTTATCCATCAGTCGGTCAGGACCACCGCAGGACGCGCTTCCTCTCAATTCTTCCTTCAGCTGGTCTAACTTCCAGGTACAATACATTGCACAGGTAAGATGCGAATAGAATACAATAGAAACAAAAAACTATGTATAAAAGAAATATCACAATAAATTGCTTAACCTAGACTGAATTTAAATAGGCCATACGTGTGGCGCCCTCCCATCAAGATATGTTCCCCTTTGAAACCTCTTCAATTTATGCTGAAATTGAGGAACATGAAGCTGAAATATCCCACTTTCAAGGTTTATCCTTAATATAAAAAGGATGGTATAATCAAATACACACCAAAAAAAAATTTATACAAAATCTATACAATAAATCAAATTAAAAGGAACGATATAGGTATATATAAAAAAAACGTATATAAGATGACCAAAGATGAACTTTGAGAAACACTCTCCTTCATTTAATAAGTATGATCTGTAATTCGTAATATCTCATTTATATTAAAATTCTGTGATATATTTCTTATACACAATTTAAAATTTTATTATACAATTTATCAAAATGCGTTACGTAAAAATGTCACTTTCATTATACATATGTATTGTCATTTACAGTAGAAATTTTTTTCGCAACCTGCACAAATAGTAACAAATATTAATATTTTGAATTACCTTCTATATATAATTTATTCTAAATAAGTATCTGTTACTAAATTATGTTAACGCTTATGGATTAAAGCTGGGAACCTTTTAAAAAACGTTAACCCTTAATGTTACAGCTTGATAAAAAATAAATTCAATTTTGTACATTTTTGTGTTTTTTATTACACGTATATACCTAAAAGTCCTCCTGTAATGCTTTCTTAACTCTTCATGAGTACATATGAAAAAAATGTTTTAAAGTATTTTCGTCCTCTCGTCACGACGCGACCTACTTACCTACGTCATTTTTATTAACCGACTTCCAAAAAGGAGGAGGTTATCAATTCGTCGGAATCTTTTTTTTTCTTTTTTTTATGTATGTTCACCGATAACTCGAAGACGCCTGAACCGATTCGGTTTTTTTTTGTTTCAAAGAGTATACTTCCCAGGTGATCCCATATAAATTTTATCGAAATCGGTCGAGCGGTTTTAAAAAAAAAATCAAAATAAATATATTTTTTAATAAATTGTTTAGTAGAATATGTTATTAAAAAACTTTCTTCTTACAAATTACATGCTTATTACGTCTCCACTAAAAATGGAAAAATAAAAACTTTATAACAAAAAATAAAAACCGACTTGCAGGCACTAAAATGTAAAAAAAAACTTAAAATGTAAAAATAACTTTAGAATAGATACCTAATCAGATATTTTCGAAGTCGCTTACAATATTTAAAGATATGAACATCTAATAGGTAAAAATATATTTTACGTAACGAAATATATTAGATTTGCTTTGCATCGGCTGGCAACTACACAAAGCGCGAAATTAGCGGAAAATGAGAGTTAACATTTGATTTTAAGTTTTTGTACAATTTTTAAGTCACTCGTGCATGCTAGGTCTTAGATGCGCATGCGAATGCGCCGTTGCCCGATAATGCGCACTTATCCAGCGTTTTTACCCGACTGTGGCCCAAAGGAGAGTTAATGTGTTTGTTATCCGAACAAGCAAACAAAAAATGCAGACTGAATTTTTTATATTTATAATATGCGCAGACGACGTACGTTGATGACATCATAGCATGATATGCGCAATGCGCATATCTGCCCACCTGAGCCTAAAGTGCAGTAATAGACATTTTGGTCGGTTTTGAGGTCACATTCTAACCATCCCCATTGTAGTAGCTATCTGTCAATTAATTGTTTTTATTTAGCGCTAATTAAAAGTATTTAAGTCACAAAAATAATGCTTTCTTAGATGTACAGCGAAAAATATCACAAATTTTAAAATATTCCATGTTTACCAGCTAAACCGCAGTACATTAATACTGCACAAGATTTTTCTCTATTTCCTAACTAAACTGCAGTGTTTTCGATCATATTTTGGTGGAAGTTAAAATGCTTTCTAGGAGATCAAGAAAAAACTTATTAAGAACGCAGTATTAGGAATAGTATTTGACTTTAAGTATTTTAGGTACTATGAATGGCGAAGCAAACGGCTAATATGCCAGTAAACGCATGCAACCTGGGTTTTATTGTCCAGGTATTTTTAGCAACTTACAAAACATCAACAAGTTAACCCTCATAAAGTTTCGCTATGTTCGTTAGTTATTATAGCTCAATTATTAGTAAAATCTTATTAAAATATAAAGCTGTAATCGCGGTTTGATGGAGTCTCCTATACATCTGTGGCTTATTCTTGACGTGCCACGCTGTACCAAAGAGATATGGACATTTTTAGGCGAGACTATTTCCTAGCTACACCTCGTCTACCAAGCATGGTTGTTAGGCGCCACAGAAAACAAGTTATGAATCTATACATCTATCAGATAAATAAAATTGTAGTGTCTGTTTGTAATGTCAAAATAAACCTTTTTACTAAATGCATATGAAATTATAAACGGGACTCCGCATAAGAAAAGCACATATTAAGATTTTTTAAAGTCTGTTTTGTTCCGAATAATCTCTGAAACTGCTGGACTGTTAGGAGTTCAGTGGAAGGTACCCCCCTATGTTATGGGAGTAGCTAAATGATTTTATTAAAAAGAAGAATTAGAGTGACTCAAAAAATCACGAATCCGAGTGAGGCGAGGGTGAGTCGCTAGTTTAAAACATAGCGTCATAAAAGTAAGAAGGTGAATTAAACAAGGAAAGAAAGTTTTCCGCTTTGCTGTGGCGCACTTTTAAAAATAGTGCTTGGAAACAGTAAAATATGTCGTACAAATTCTACAAGTAATAAATGTGCAGCACTCTACTCCGTTAAAAGGATACTAACTTCACATCACATAATCTTTGCTACGCTAGTGCTGTAAGCCTCCACTACTCCATTAAGCTAGTAATTGAAAAAATTATTAATAACCTAAAATTCTCGCTACTCACCAAAAATCGTTCGCAGGCTTTGACGAGTACAGTTTACAAGTGAGTGGTGTTTTTGCAAGATGAAAATTCTTAAACGCAATTCTAAGTAAATCTAACTAAATGCTGATCGTAACGTGCTATTTTAGAAAGGTTGATGAATGATGTGAAATTTGGTGATTAATAAAAAGAAGTTACCCCATATGGGTCAAGAAAATGGCTCGAAAGACTGAGATAAACTAGGAAACTACTAATTGTCTTCTGAAGAATTAGCATTGGAAGATCCCAAAGTATTACTAAGTATTTGAAAATGTCCGAAAGTTGTGTAAATCGTTAATGAATCTTGGCCACAAAAAAATTTTAACTCGAAAATTCGACAGGTTCGTACTATGTTTTCGACCAGTGGAGCTCGGACGCGTCAGCTACAATTGCTACTCGCCCAAAAAAATAGAATAAAATGGATTGACTCGGCTAAATTTCTTACTAAATTGCGACTAAATTTTTCAGTGTTCAGACACGTTTAACTAAAAAGCCTTTAGACTACAGTCTAGCTCATGCGAACTAGCTTAACGTGAGTTTCTGAGCTATAATTTGCTGCTCACTACTGGACACTTTTCAACCTGTTTCCCATATAAAATTCTCCTTAAATCATATCTTGAAAATCTTATCAGACTATTATTTTTGTAAAGGATAATCAGAGTAGAACTGCATTTAGTAATTAGTTTATGTTTCCCACAGGGATCGATTTTTATGGGACCTCTTTTGTTTATTTATATAAAATACATGTCAAGATATAGTTTATATGGAGATTAACTAGTTACGCTGATGATCAACATCTGTTATTGTTACTATTGGTTAATTCATATTGATACAATTTACACTATAGATTATAAGCACAGAATAGTTTTAATAGCATAGTCATGAAATGCATGTCCAGTAATTTGTTTAAGAAATTACATATTTTATCAAAATTAAAGGTAATTTTATATTACTATAAGTGTGGAATATCAGTGTTTTGTTCAAAAAACGAGATAAATAGCAGTATTTTTTAATATTACTGCAACCTTTAGTTAGTAACGATCATGGAAGAAATGTCTAAAATGCAGTAATAACAGGATTTACTGCATTTAAAACAGTGAAAAATATTATACAATAACCCTGTGATAGTCATCTAAAAAAATGGAAATTGCCATAATCTAGTTTTTTATAAAAAAACTAACGTGGAAATGTTTAGTATTTTAGTCTCATGGTACATTGCTTTCAGAAATTTTGTTCAAGGTTTTATCCGAAACAAGTCTCTTTTTGATATATTTTTATGGATTCTAAACTTTAGGCGCGTTTTTCTCGAATTCGTGTTTTTGCTGTTACTGCACTTTAGGTTCGGGAGGGCAGATATGCCCACCTCATTTACTTAACAGATTATTGTCAGTCAGGTCACAGCAACCATAGGATTGTTCTCTACTGTTTAAAATTGTTTATTTACCAATTAATTATTTAAGTCACAAAAATAATGCTTTCTTAGATTTACGCGAAAATTTGACATTTTAAATATGACTACTTTTTACATGTATGCGGGCTAATAGAAAAGTGCTGAGCGGAAGTTTCAAATGCTTCTAACAGCAATCATTTCACTAAAAACGGTCTGTTGTGTATGTCTGACGGGAATGTTGTGTACATCTCTTGGCGCAAGTCCGGCTGGGTTGCCGGACGCATGCAACCTGGGTTTTATTTCCAGGTATTTTTAGCGTTCCGTAGTCAAAAGGAGTCATAGTTTGAAGTTCGTCCGCACAGTTAGCTCATAAGACTCTTATTACTAGAAGATATAATCTGGAATCAATACAATTACAACTTTTCAGAAAAATAAATTTTTAGGGTAGATACCTCCGCTACACCTCGTCTACCTCATGGTGTTAGGCGAGGTTAGATAGATCTATCAAAAATATTGCGGGTTTGTGAAAATAAATTTCCGATTAAGGGATCCGCTTGGAAATATTAAGATTTAAAGTGCTAATTTTTGTTAGAGTCAAGTCCCCCTAAGCTAGCTAAATGATTGTTTTTGAATATGTGAAAAAAATCACGGTAGTAGTATATATAACGAAGTTAAAAGGAAAACTATCATAGCTAAGTTAACTTTACAAGTTTACGAGTCAACCAACTTTGTTATTCTTAATGAGAAATAAAAAGATTCTAAACAGAAATTCTATTGTAAATTACTTATATAACGTTGTTAGTTGTGTAAAACAGATGATGAACCATGTAAAAATATACAAAAATAAAATCATAACATCCTTAATAATAAATAATAGCCTATTTTTTTTATTTTTGGTTCCCGACCTTTCGAATTCTTTACAGCAAATATGGGCACGGAACACAGACAAATGACAATACAGGTTGTATTGTTAGTGGCACGGAAGAAACATTCAGTGAAAAAAAAAATCTTTGCCTCAACAAGCAACAAGACATACCGTCTTCATTCCAAATTATCATGTAATATTAAGTGAGACGATTGCTATTTTATACTACGATAATGATATGAATTTGTTATAAATTTCGGAGAATAATATTATTAACTTAAAATTGGAGCACTATACTCTATGCTTAAAATGTAGGAAGGCGTTATGAAAGAAAAAAAGATACAATTTTGAATTTACTAATATTTTTACGGCAATAGATTCCAGTGAATGAGACCACCTGGGCCGAGCGGCCAAGTGTCTTTTAATTTTCACCTTTTCTTTAAAAAACTATAGGTACCATACTTTTAGTTTAGCATAACTTTTAATTTTTATTTACAAAAAAACATGTTTTTTTTTCTAACAAAATAAAAATCATACAATATATAGAAAAAACAATTTTATCTTCCGTGCTGTAGCATCTAAAGTCTAAACGTTGTTTACTTATGTTGTCTTCTAAAATGTTTAATTATTGATGGTAATAATTTTATTTATGTAAAAAATCTTTATTGAATAGAGGTTGTTTTTGTTTATAAGTAATACAAGAGTTTTTGGTAATGTAACCTGTTTTTAAACGAAACTAGGCTTGAAGGACTCTCTTCAAGGCCTCAAATAAAAAAGTTTATATACCTATAAAAAATGGCTGAAGTGTTGTCTAACTGTCAAAATCAGTGAAATTACTTTTATTTTCGATATGACCTGTATTTCGTGAGTTGTGATTTGTAAAGAATAATGTTTGAATGTTTATTTCAATGAATTACAATAAAATTTCACTATGAACGGGTTAAGTTTCAGTGAACTCTGTTGCCTGTTTTGTTGTCCGCCATGCCCAGGGAAAATCGCGGCTAAGCTAGCATTCCTTCCTCCTGAACCCACGTATGCGTTCACGCCCGATGAGACTGGATCAAAATTTTCATTAACCCTTACTGAACGAGCAGAATGGCAGTACTCTGAGCGAGAAAAGGAAAACATAGAAGGCTTCTATTCGAGAACTTCAAGAGGCAATAGGATAGCTTGCCTCTTTGTTCGATGTAGCCCCAACGCTCGGTTTACAATACTGTTCTCGCACGGAAATGCTGTAGATCTTGGACAAATGAGTAGTTTTTATCTAGGTTTAGGTACTAGAATAAATTGCAATATATTCAGTTATGACTATTCTGGTTATGGTGTGAGTGGTGGCAAGCCATCAGAAAAAAATCTTTATGCTGATATTGATGCTGCGTGGCAAGCGTTAAGGACTCGATATGGGATTAGCCCAGAAAATATAATATTGTATGGGCAAAGTATTGGTACTGTACCCACAGTTGACCTAGCAGCCCGCTACGAGGTTGGAGCGGTGGTTCTACATTCACCACTAATGTCTGGAATGCGTGTCGCTTTTCCCAATACTAAAAGAACATGGTTTTTTGATGCCTTCCCAAGGTAAGCTTCATTAAATTTTACATATGCTTTACCATAAATGTGATATGAGTCATCTTGTCATTGCTTTGTTGTAACTAACTTTTTTATAAGTTGTTGGGGAATAAATATTACTACCTATTGATTCTAAATTAGGCATTAACTTTTACAGTAAATTATTATCATTATAAAATAAAATTATTGTAATTAACTTTTATTAACTTGAGATTTTAACTTGAAACAAATAAGGTAAAGAAATAGATGGTGAATATCTTATTAAATTTTAAGTTTTATAAACAGCTTTCATTAATGAGATTCCAAAATGCTAATACATATATAACAGTAGCCTTCTATACAAAATAGTGACTGAGTTCGACTTTCATTAACCTTTTTATCATTTCAAGGTTAATAATAATTCTTATCTTAATTTTCTCAATAATTGTTGATATGATATATTGTTACTTGTAATTATTATATTATTGTGTTACCCTTTCTTTGGTAATAGGTACATAGTTTTGTTATATATTTAACAAAAAATTATGATCCTCAGGAACTGATGTGTATTGAAAATAAAAAAACTTCCCAAAATGAATTTGGCTCCAACAATATCTATTCAGTAATATGTATTTTGAAACACAATGAAAGTGTAATGATTTTATATAGAACAAATAGTTTTTATTCCTATAATTATATCAGCAATTAAAAGAATAGTAAATAAAAACTTTTTGAACACAAATTTAAATTGTTATGTTTATATTGCAGTATTGATAAAATTCCAAAAGTAACTTCTCCAGTTCTCGTGATTCATGGAACTGAAGATGAGGTTATAGATTTCTCCCACGGACTCGCCATATATGAACGATGCCCACGTGCTGTGGAACCATTATGGGTAGAGGTATGTTATTTTATGATTACTAGTAACACACTAGTGGTTGAATAGTTTATACAACCCATCAACAACCTGGCCACCCTTTTGCTTTTTTAGCCCTGTTGCTAACTCTTTATAATGCTTTGTTAGTTTGATTGATAAGTTACCAAGTTAGTATAAACCAGCGACTCACCCTAGCTCTGCTCGGGTTTGTCCCTACTTACGTTTTAACGTTTAGTATACATTTCTCGGAGATGAGATATTTTCCCGCAGTAAAAGTATGTTATATATTGACCCGGATAATCAGCTATCATCATACCAAATTTCATCAAAATCACTCCTACTTACATTTTATTATATGTATAGTTAAAAATTCTATTGAATTATCATCAATGACTTTCTAGTGGTGGTTAGCTATATAAAATAGTTGTAGTAAAAATTATCATCAAACTGATTTATCATTTCCTACAAAAATATAAGCTAACTTTTTTACCATTATTTTTTATTTTATTTTGCTTGTAAAAAATTAATGGCATCAATATCTTTCAAACCTGGTTCATACTTTTTATAACTTGATCTAATTTCACATATGTATGTATCGACCACAGCAATCTTCAGCTCATTAATGGAGGAAGGGGCTGGAACCCGACTTCATACCCGCCTTTTAAGATTGTCCCAAACATATTCGATAGGGTTTAGGTCCGGGCTTCGCGCTGGACAGGGTAGTCGTGCTATACCCACGGCATCAAGGTACACCACTCTAGCAAACAAAGCGTTATCATGCATTAAAAGAAAATCTTGTCCAATATTGTGCCTCTGAGTATATGTTGTATGTATAAAAAGATCAATAAGAAAATATAAGTAACTGAACGATATGAGCAACATTAAAAAGGTTTTGAAAATTATAATAAATCTTAAAATAAAAAACATACTTGACCTAATTGTATTTAACATATATTTTCATAACAATGTAGGTTATCAGTAAAAAGTTGTGAAGTCATTCATGCATTATTAACCTTGATTTCAATTGCATTTATTAAAAATGTTGTCATGAAAAAAAATATAAGGAGTATATTGTATATATTTTTCTTAACATATAGCCATTTTTTCCCAGGGTGCAGGTCATAACGACGTAGAGTTGTTTAATCAATACTTAGAAAGACTGAAGCGTTTTGTTTCAGTGGAATTGCTCAACTGACAAAGACTGCCGGCCACAGGCCAGACTATACAAGGTAAACAATTGTATATCGCATAATTAATTTAGTTGTTTTGTTTGTTGATTTATTCGTACCAAAACTCTTCAATTGAATATAATATTTTGTTTTTTAGCAAAAAAATGTTGGAATTTGTTATAGCTATGTTTGGCTGATATTATGAATACTATACTACCACCTTTTATTTAAACCTTGTAAGATTTAGTACTGAACAGAATATTACATTTTAGGTGAAGATCAGAATCCCGCATCCACCCTTAGCTCGGGCACGTCGAGTTCGGCGACCGAGAGACTCCTCTAGCTAGCGGGGGCCGGGCCCAGTCGGGCCGGCCCCGAAAAACAGTTAGCCAAGAGCGACACGCCCGCAAGCCCGCGCCGCGCCGAGCGCCCGACCGACGAGCCCGCGCCGCCCCCCGCGCCCTCACTCACCCCTGCGCACACCCCGGCGCACGTCTCCGCGCCTGCGCCCGCGCCCCTGTCCGCTCCCGCCATAAGCGTCACCGACGCCGACTCGCCCGCAGGCGCGCGCCGACGCGTACACCTGCGCTCCCTAAGCGACGTAACGCCCGCCGCGCGCTCGCCGGCCACCCGTGCGCGCTCGCATTCGGAACGCCCGCGGGTCTCGCCCACGCCCTCCCCGTCGCCCTCGCCGCGCCGCCCGCCTGCGCCGCACGCGCTGCGGCCGCGCGCCGTGCGCAGCGAGCGCTCGTCGCCGGACGCGTCGCTGCACGCGCTGGCCGACGCCGACCCGTGGCGCAAGATGAGCGAAGCGGAGCTGCGCCCGAGCCCGGGGCGCGCGCGCAGCTCGCTGGAGGCGCCCGACCCGTGGGTGCGCAAGGGACGGCGGCGCGGGCGGCTGGAGCGCGCGGCGGGCGTGGCATGCGGAGAGTGCGCGCGCGGCTGCACGTGCTCGCCGGCGCGCGCGCCCGCGCGGCCACCGCTGCGCGCGCACTCGCACGACGAGGGCCGCCCACGCCGCCTGCACAAGTCGGCCTCCCAGCGCCTGCTGTCTGTAGACGCCCCCGACCCGCTGCTCGAGACCACGTGCTAAGGTGATGTACGAGTATTATTAGTGCGAATTTTTATATCCTTCTAAGTGTAAGGTTTCAAAATTATAATTGTATCATATTCGTTTATCGTAGTGTCTCGGTATGTTACGGTATATGTATGTTTTTTATGGTATTGTAATTATCTCTGAATGTGCGAGGTTGTGCGAAATATATGAGTGCCGAATGTGTATTGACGGTTGCATTTTTATTATTATATAGATTACACTTAGTAGCAGTGAATACTTAAAGTGATGGTACGAATGATTTTGTCGAAGCGATATCTTGCTAGTTCCTATGTTATATGGTACACCTTCGATATCTCTCCTGGTTCATCATGCCGTAATCACAAGTAGGGGTGGGCGATTATGAACTATCATCATATGATTTAACATTTTCATTTTCTTTTATGTAAAATAAATAATTACTAGAAATAATATTTTACCACATACATTTTTAAAATAAATTATAAAGCTTTACGTGGTAAAATATCATAAGTCAAAAATCAAACAAAATTATGTTATTAAACTAAAACAATATTCTTGAACCTTTATGATTTACATATACATTTTTTTTGTTACAAATTACTTGCATTGATTAAAAAATATGTTTATTACAAATACTGAATTTCATAATCATCTACCGTTATAACTTATAATACTCTTCTTGCAAATATATTCATATAAAATTGCAAAATGATAGGTATATATAAAGGGGTTAATCAATAGTCAATGGTATTATCCTCCTCATCCTGCATAAATAACATTTATACCATATCTTAATAAAATATAAAAATATATAAAAAATATTTAATTTTCGTGATTTTAGAAAACAATATCCAATCAAATTAACTGTCATAATGTAATCTTTGCTGGATAAAATATTTAATTAAAAATTACTAGATATCAGATTATCTGCCTTTAGCCTTATCAAGACAAACAAGATTCAAAATCCCATCTTGCATAAACAATTGAGTAATATGATGTTGCTTTAAGATAGAAGGGTATTATTATCTAACTTTTGTACTGTGGTATGTTTGTTTATACAAGGAATAAAGGTGTTGGAAGAAAAGCAGTGGTTAATAAATTAACTTTTTTAATTTATGAAATAGCTAATATAGACATAAATAGATTTGGTCCAATAGATGATATGTACCATATTGTGTTGTACTAGAAATCTCATTTTTGATCATTAGTTTTGTTTGATTTAATTAAATATGAAGAACTAGCAAAGATAAAAATTGATTTCAGATTTTTATAAAAACATGTTTATTCTGTATAATCTGATAGCTAGTAATAAATGTACATATTATAAATATGAAAGACCACAAGTATTTTGTTGTATGATTGGAAGCATGTGGTCTCCTAGGTATATAAAATACTTATTTTAATATATAAAAAAATAATGCACTTGTTACTAAAATCCACTGATAATAACAAAATATTTATCTTGAGCATATTTTTGTTTCAAATTTTGAACACATTGCGTTTTATTAATAAATTTATTATTTAAAATGGCTGCACATTACAGACAACATTATTAATTTCGATAGATTATAATTTGTATTTTGTAGTAATATATATTTTTCTTACAAATTTCCAAGTTTTAGGTTCTTGGTTACACCTACATATGGGGGTCATCATTTATTCCAATTCTTAATTGTGAATATGATAATTTTTCCCCTACTAATTTATTTGATAGAAATATCAATGATCATGAAAAACTAGTAGTTTGATAATGTCTAAAGAAAACTAATAACGTTAAATTATCTCAATTATATGTATATATATTTTTCAATAGTTGAAACAAAATTTAAGTAGTAAGCAATTGGGGCACACCTGAAAATTCATACATAAAATAATTAAATTATTTGCTGTAAATTTAGTAAAACTCTCGAGTCTTGAAGATGAATAAATGTCTCTGGTGGCTATTATCGGAACTAAAAACACTCACAGTTACAGTCTCAGTGAAAGTTCTAGTTACTTTGTCACTTATAGATACTTTTTTCCTATACTTTATAAGCATTGTACACAAGATTAACCATTTCTGTATATGTATCACCGTCAATAATGTGCTGAGATAATAAAAATAATCCACTTAGTAGTACACACAATAGTACCACCACATATAAAATAGATGTGACAATATCATTTTATTAAATTAATTCTTAAAAATTCTTTTTTTAATGTTTTAGAAGTACATATTTCCTATTGTGTTGATATCCATATCCTGGGCTTCCATATTTATTTATTTTTATTTAAACATATTTTTTTTAAATAAATAAATGATTTTAAATATTGCAAACACAGCTGCTGCTATTTTGATAATTTTTATATGTTAAATTTTACATATGTAATATTATATCTGAAAGTTTTATTTAATTCTTTTTTATTACAGATATTTTAAAATGATTTTCATGAAAAGTGAAATTTTAGAAATGTGCTTTTTAAGTTTAAATTGTTTATTATAAATAATGTAATAACTTAATATTGAATTAAAAACTTTTTTAGCCAAAATGTAAATTGATATCTGAATGATTCTTAATGAATGAAAGGTTTTGTCAATGTCTTAACAAAATTTTATTTGTAGATAGATACATATAACGCAACCTTATCAATATTTTAAGCCAATGTAAAGAGTTGAACATTGTTTTGCCACTTGAAGTATATGTAAAGAATATTATTAAAAAAAATCTTTCGTTTATAAACAAGTTAAATATAATATTTAATAAATACAAGCATAACACAAGGAAAAACATTTATACATCGATTTATATAGATTGATTTTTTGTGTAAATTGCATCATTCTATAAAGTCATATTGAGGCTAATAAATAGACACATTGCACCTATATGTAATGTGATTATGATTTTTTTAATAAGATTTGCAGTGTTAGCTAAGCACACAGAAAATGTATTTTTATTCTGTTTACATTTAATTTTTTCCAATTATTAGAAAATTGTAAAATCTATCATATATATTATAGTATTTAGTTAAAAATGTAAAAATCTCATGGTTCTTGTAAATTATTGAATATTGCAACAACTGGAATAATTTCTAACATATCAATCAATGTCATCATAACAAAGTCATACCACTAGTTATGGAGGGAAAGGTAAAATGTATGAAATAAAAATTCAAAACTGGAAATAATCTTACTTTAATAAAATAAATATTTATGATTTATACTAAAGGAATGTATTTACAATTTATTAGCATTTGTACATACTATAAGCAGTTTTAAATTTATTTACAATTTAAAAGTTTGACATATTCCCTTTCAAAAGTTTATATGAAATTAGATGATGTTATTGTGCTAAAACGCAACCAATTATACAAAAAGATTTGAAATAACATATTTTAATGTTTATTACCATTGTTGGATTTAATGATGCTCAAGATACCTAAAGTTTAATCAGTGCTAATTTGTCATTTTTCAGTGCCATTATTTGTATCAGATACTCAATGTTTTCCAGGTACTTATTTGTAAATTACTTTAAACTTTGTTAATAATTTTGTTTATATCTGTATCATCTGTCATTATTTTACTTATAATTTTTTATCATACCATCTGTGTTAATTGCAACTACTGTACCTACATGAAGTGTTATGTTTAGTCAAGGTGCTGTTTTCACAAATGGTATTCTATTATTGTTGATAATGTAATACTACAATCTCAACAATGTATAAAATAATGTTTATATATGGTTTCAATAAATTTAAGTGCACATATCTTAAATATTATATTTTATTAAATATTCTTAACTTTCATATCTCATTTTTGAGTTTAGATTTTAATTCAATAAAATCTGCCACCATAGCAGCTACCTGTACTGAAGACTTTAAGACAAAAGCATGATCAACATTGTGTGCTAATATCATTTTGATACATGGTTCAAATTTTCTCAAGTCTTCAATAAACTCTAACGGAGCCCACCCATCATTTTCCCCATATATAACATTAGTCAAATGTTTTATTTTTGCTATACCATCACTGTTTAATACCTGTACTGTATCCAATTCATCAAATGCCATAAATATTATGTTTTTAATCACTAAAGGATTAGTTAATTTTAGGATACATTCACTATATTTATAAGGTAAACATTTCACCTTTAAATATAAATATATTATGATTCGAAGTATAAATTCTGGCAATAAATACAACAATGTAACTAAAAATAAAATAAAGACATACACTTTCCTGAATATATTATTAAAAAATCTACCATTTTCGGATTCTGCCATTCTTTGTAATGTAGGAAATAGAAGATTGACTGATGAAAGTCTCTCCATTAAATCGTCATTATTTTGTAATATTTCAACAATAATCCAAGCACCAATAGAATGACCAAGTAGATGGATTTTAGCATTCTTACTAATATGATTTTGTAATAAATCCAATTTGTGATCAACTTGTGTTTTTAAATCATATAAACCACCATCTTTAGTCAATATACAAAAGCTTTCTTTAGTGATTTCCATATGACCAGCATGACCTAAAAAAAAAATATATAATTACCGAAGTATTTATTTCAAGCAAAGTTGATAATATACTGTGCAATTAAAGTGTTAATATGTATTGTCCTTTCAAGCAAGTATAAACAACTAAAATGAAAAACGTTTTTTAAATACGAGAGTTACTTGCCTATAATACAAATTGGCAACTGTAAGGTTTTATACAACTCCGTGGCAAAATCTATGTAGAAATCAGGAACACCAGGATTGCCCGTAATGCAGACAATTACATTTTCTATGCCAATACCAAACGGGTCACCCCAAGTTAAAACTTCAGTAATAATGCCATTTACATTTTTAAAAACTCGCTTCATATTTATTTACACCAGCAATCTAGTGAAAATTATAACTTATCTCTTTAACTTTATTTAATAATAGGTACTCATATTTCTCTTTTTGAGGTTAAAAATTTTTAATTTAGAAAATTTAGATTCTATGCAATTCTATCAATTTTGACATTTACAGTGTTGCCAACACATGAAATTTTATTCCCCTTAGTGATATAACTGTTAAATTGTAAATGTATTATCCCATCTCTAATCCCCCTTAAAGCAATTTCAAAAACCCTTAAAACCTTCGAGCAACAATACTACTAGATATCGGGTCAGCGTAAGAAATCCGTCTCGGTAAATATAAGCTCACTTGCAAAGTGAGCGTATAATTCAATTAGTTCTATTCAAACACTGCCAGCGTAAACACGTTCATAATGCCGCAATATGTATTTTAAAGTTACAAAAAAATTGCACGAAGAAGAAATTTTTTATACGGAGTATCTTATTTTCGGTAAATAGTTACATGTAGATTAAGTCAATATTTTAAAGTTTAACCTACGAAATAATATAAAAATAAAATTTTGAACAATTTTAAATCAGCTAAGAACGTTGGCTCAGGTCGGCCAATACAGGCGCATATTCTAAGAAGCAAACAGAGACAAAACATAACTATTTAGCTCACAAAACAACAACGGGAAAAGTCCTTTGAGTTTTTGATATAAATTTGATTTTATAATAAAGATCATAAAACTTACGTAATGATCGTAAGTGTATCATAATCATTTGAAGATTTGTGACTTTATTACAAGGTGCTACGGCGTTGATTAGGTTGAAAATAAATCTATTATAAGACTTTGTCTTGGTTCGTTAGTATACAAATGTAGCTGTAAAACACAGACAATATAACCTAAAGACGACGCATTACTGGGGATATGTTTTAGCCAAGGTTTGGCAGTGACACTGTATAACAGCCGGCCCCGCCCCTTTACGCTCCTTAGTAGGCATGGAACATTTCACGAGTAGCAAGTGAAAAATCACATGAAATGCGTTATCATACGTCACCACCAACAAACACCTGAACAAACTGAAACAACACCTGCTACTTAAATTCACAGTGACTGCTACAAATCACCATAAACTTTATAGTCGATTTTTGCCTCTTCGGCTTGTGCAAATCGGCAGATTATTGAATTGGACACTTTTCAGGATGTGACTAGCCTACCACATCTTAATCTGACGGTTTCAAGTATTTCTGCCTTATCAAAACATTTTTTAAATATTTTAATCGGCTTCCCTAGACGCGCCCCTTTATATAGAAGACTTATATTATGGTGAAAGTACTCAATAGAGTGCAAGGTAACCTCTTTTATGTTAATCTGCCGCGCTCGAGTAACTACAGAAAATCCCCTCTTGGGCTCCCCTACTAATACTTTATTTTAATAACAAATAATATAAAGTGTGACACCAGACCATCGAAATAAAAAATCATTGCCTGTGAAAAGTAGCAGATGAAATCACGACTTTGCTTTGTATGGGCTGGCACCGATTTCGAAAATATTTGATTATGTATGTATTTAATAGGTAGGGTTTAATTACTTAGTAGCCAAAGCACACCGACTTCGAAAATATTTGATTAGGTATGTATAGTAAATGAAAACTACCAATCAGTTATTTTTTACTTTTTAGTGCTTTTGTTTGAAGTCGGTTTTTATTTTTTTGTTAAAAAGTTTTTATTTTTCCCTTTTTAGTGTAGACAGTAGTAGCATAGTAAGGATTCTAACGTGTTAGGCTTGTTAAATCAAACAAAATAAGCCCAAACTCAAAGTATCTACTATTAGCCGTTGAAGAGTTCCACCTATCCACCTTCTGGCCTTGCCATCAGATCATGTCAACAACACCGAACCACTGTACTATCAACGGAAATAGAAATACTTGCAAAGTTTCAAGTCAATATGACAATTAGAAGTAGGTTAAATTCATCATTAGTTGTTTTTCCACCCTTAGTTTTACCCTTAGTTAGTATTTTTTTTTTGAAATTTAAATGGGACTAATCTGGAAGTATACCCTTTCAAACAAAACAAAAATTGTCCAAATCGGTTAATAAATGACGGAGTACTGAGGTAACAAAAAACATACAGTCGAATTGAGAACCTCCTCCTTTTTGAAGTCGGTTGAAAATGCGTGATTGATAAATATATTGATATACGTCTGGCTTACTTAATAAAAAAATCCGAGTCAAAATCAATAAAAAGAGTTTATACTAAATTAATACATTTTAAGGGTCAATAGTCGATATTGAAGTGAAGTGTCATGTCAAATGCTATTGAAAATGGATGCACAAAATATTTTGATAATGATTCGTCGTGGCCACACTGAAACTCGATTAGTTTTTTTTTTACTTTTGGGAGGTTATGTGTAAATGGCTGTAGTTAAAATTGAGAATATTTGAAGCAATAAATGCATAAATTCAAGAAACAATAAATTAAAATATATTTTTATAGTGCAATAAATTATTAAATAAAACGAATTTGGAAAGTACCTGCTACAGACATTTTTCGTTAGTATGGACCATAGACTTAGTATTATAAATAGTAATAATACTGACTACTGATTAATGACATATAGTTATATACAGCGCTGCCAATTGGCAGGTAAATTACCCGAAAAGCGGGTAATTTTACGCGATTTTTAGACGGCGTGGGTGGGTAATTTTGTCAGGTATTTGCATTGAGCGGGGTAAAAGCGAGTATTTAGTTTAGTTGGTAGCATTATCATAAAAGTACATAAAAAAACATCAGCTCGTCCGACTCATCGACACTACTTCTACTCTCCATAATTGAAACTCGTTGATCACAGATAATGTGTATATACCTATAATAAATGATAATGTTGTTGCAATATTGGCAAAAGTAAAGCAGGTATCGTAAAATTCCAGCCTAGTGTTCAAAAGATGCGAACCAAATTATGGTCTTTTCACTCTACTAAGCCAAGTACTAGCGGAAATTGATTAATTTTATATGTTAAGTTTTTTTTGTTCGATTCAAAATTTAAAGCTGTTTAATTGAGAATTTATATTACAATTACTTTTTTCTACTTTCTTATAATCTATATGAAATATGAATTAATTACTTTTAAAAAAAAACTATTTTCGGGTATTTACTAATTTGGTCATGATTGGCGCCGGCGAGAAAACCCGGGTATTTTGAGGTTTATTAGAAGGGTAAATCAACGACTGTTATCTGGCAGCCCTGGTTATATATAATTATATGATCTCTCTGTCAAAAGCGTAGTTTTTTAAATTTTAGTTAGAACTTAGAAATCATTCTTCAAAGTTTGTGTTTCAAATGATTCTTATTTCGATTATCTAAATATTATATACCCACCCGTTTGAATTAAACACTAAACAGGTATTTAGTAAGCCAAGTCTTGTTGTTCCTGGTCTGTGATTTTTGCTTTTAATGATTTTGAAAGTTTAAGAAAATCGTTCTTTTATATTACTAGCTTGATTCCCATTACAAACTTTCATTCCCATTTTCACCTCCCGTATGGGATGATTTTCGGGTTATAAAGTACTCTGTGTCCTTCTCAAGGTACTTATCAAACTATCTTACCAAATTTTATCTAAATCGGTTCAGTAGATCCAGAGATTACCCTCTACAATGTTACAAACTTTACCTCTTTATAATATTGGTATAGATAAGTATTTAAAGTAATTAATTATTCACGTATTTATCTGCCTCACACAGATTGGAAACAAAATTCTCATCTAAAATGGTAAATAAATCTACAATCGATAATAAAATTAAAGATAACTCTAGGAAATATCAAGAATTATTAGACAGTGATGACGAATTTCCTAGTAAGTATTTTAGCAAAATATTTTTTTACATTGAAAACTAACATGTTACTTCTTTAAAGAAAGAATACTTTCTAAAATATATAAAATAAATAAATCAACTAACTATATCAACTTAATTTTATTTATATCAACATTAATATCTCCTTTATTTTTTTAGTTGATTATTATGAAATTCCTTCTACTCCTGCATACAAGATTGACAGTCGTTTTGACAAGATTACGTTTAAGTGGATTAATGACCCAGAAAAATACAATTATTCAAATAAAAATTTGCCGTCTAAAACAAATCCCTTGACTGAAAAACAGGATAATGTACAGCAGGATCCTACTACAGGCAATATAATTAATGATAGGCTAGTGATACAAAAAGGCATTCTAAGTAAAAAAGATTTATATTGTTTGAAATTAATTCAAGGGTGTATTGGTGACTCTACATTTACGTGGCTTATACAATTTTTGATTTATAAAGATATTCAATCAATTTATAGTATCCCTAAAAGTTGTCTTGTGAGTACTGGTTTATGCTATGAAAAAAATGCTTATAAAAACATGTCTTTATGTGAAACTAAAAGTTTGTATAAGCTTGTCATTAAAGTTTAAATCTATGTTATTAAAATGGTTTATATTAGAGTTGAGTGAACAGTATTGATTTGTAATAATCTATAAGGCATACAATTAAATAAATCACAATAACTATTTTATTATATTATTTAATTTTTGTAAATATTTTATTAAGATTTAAAATAAAGTGGCCTTTAATGTTTAATTGAAAGGTAATATAAAAATATCTTATTTCATAGTCTCTTACCATTTGGTATTCATAGTGATAAGTCCAGTTTGTGGCCTTGAGTGACAACAGCTTGCACCGCTATATATTATGTACTTGATATAGCTGGCGACTACAAGTTACGACACACGAACTTACTGCGTAACGTAGCGGCGGCAATTCACCGAATTTCGGCCGATGTGTAATAATAGCCCAACCCAAAACTATCGAAACTGGTTTTTTGGCCGAAACTGAATCATCGGTCAATCATAAGTAGAAGACTCCGCCATAGTCAGTACTCAGTACGATAATGACTTAAAGGGTAGATTTTACTCTATAAAAACCTATCAATAAATTTTACAGAACTATTCATTAGAAATTTATTCTACAATTGAAAAGGGTTTGGATGTTTATGTCCATTTTGCAAAAAAAAGTATGAAGTATTATTGAAAACATTTTATTAAAGAAAAACTTAGATTAATTTAATATTAATCAAATACATAATTTGTCTTCATATTTGATAACTTCTAATTCTTTATCTTTATTTAGTACTAATGTTTTTAATCGTTTATTGCGAATTGATTTTGTTTTCCTTAGCCCATATTCAATCACATCCTGTATAGGATCTTTTCGATAGCCAGGATATTTATTAAAAACTTTTCCACATATTCTATATAAAAATAGATGAGTAAAGCCTTCAGGAAATTCCTTCAGGATTTCTTTCCACCTTATGTCTCCCCATACTTTATAAGGACGATGTCTTAATCTGAAACACAAAAAAAAGTTAAAAGAGTACCTTAAAGAACTTAAGACTTAAAAACTCTTAACAAAATATATTGGCTCACTTTTTTAATGTAATTTTTCGAAGTTTCCTTATTGTTACATCATATTTAACAAACAGCTGGACATGTAGGTATCTATACCAAAACAATTGCAAGCAGATATAATTTTGATCAAAATCCTCTTCTAGTTTCAGCCATATTGATTTTTCAAATCTCTTGTTTATCAAATTATCTAGGGTTTCATTAGAATATTTCATTAGTAAATTTAGAAATTTTGTAGCCAATGGTAAAGTCCATCTAAGTTTTTTTCTTTCTCGTGTTCCTTAAACAAAAGTAACAAAATAATAATGCAAAATATAATATATAATGTAATAAAATCAATTTAATTATTATTGTACCATTCATTTTCTGTAGAAACTTTTTATAAAGCCCTCTTGGTTCACGACCAAGTATAGCAGATAAATCTGGAACTGTATTTTTTCTATAATAACGAAGGCATATGTTCATTATATTATCTTCATATTCTAAGTAAGCTCCTTTAACTGGACTACCATATCGAACAATGACATGTTTATAGACCTGATGAAGAGTCCTTTCTAGGCCTCGTGCTAAAAATGCAATTACAAATCTCCTGACAAATTCTTCTGGTGCATTAGGATTTTTACTTTTATCCTTATTTCTCCATCTTGCTAAACATTCTGGTTTGTTTGGTATACCAAAAATCTGAAAAGTTATAGATTTCAGTTAACCAATAATAAATTCTTATATATACCCATTAATTTTCTAAACTTTAAATATAGTTGGTATTCAGGGACTGTAAAACTCAGGTTTAGAGGTAACTCTAATTAAGCCTATTAAAATGGTTAGCCACTTGGCAAAAAATTACAGGTTCTTTTTGGTAGTGAAATTATTAATTTTTATTATTTTTAGTTATATTGCATTGAATTGGGGCTGACATTTCTCATTATTTTGTGAGTTATGGGGTTTAAAGTTCTAAACATTAAAAGAACATACATGTATGTATGTATAATAATGAAAAATGTGAGCCAACAGAATATCAACATAGAGACCATTTGAAGCACTGCCTGGCAAATAGAAATATTACTTTATTGAGAAAAGGTCAAATTGTATGAGTATTAAATAATACCTTGCGAAATTTCTTCCAGTTTTTATGAATTTTGTTACTTTCTTCTAAACATATTGTATCAGTTCTAAATTTTTCTAAATCATCATTGTCTGGTTCTTTTAATGGTCTACTTATGCGGTTAGATTGTTGATACCATGGCTGTTCCCAAGTTACAATCATTTCATGTCGTTTTTCTACAAGAGTCTAAAAATTGAATTTAAATATTAATAAGTGTATTAAACTTGTATCTGCTGTTATTTATTAAATACACTGAAACAAAGATCTTGGGTTTGTGTAAATAATATTATGCTTAAACCTGCTTTAAAGGCTCTCAAAGAAATTAAAAGTAGAGTTGTATATATATATATATATATATATATATATTATAAATATAATTTTATTATATAGTAAATAACCTCAAAAAAATTTTCATCTTCGGCTTGAATTTGTTCCAGGTATGTAATAATAGTATCTATCAAGGTGGGATCATTTATATCCTCGATAACAGAAAATTGTTTTTGGAGTTCCAATATATGAGGTGGGAGCTCTATATTTGAAGACATTTTTTGTTTATTTAAGTTTTCCTTTATACATTAAATACTTTGCTTTAGCTTTATGGTATAAGATAAAATTTTTGTCATATTTGTCTTTTTTATACGGGACCCGCAGTAGACTCTTGATTTTTTTATGTACAAAAAATCACACAGTTTCAAGTTTGAGAAATAAATACTTTCGGTACCTAATAAAAGTATCAAACTTTTATAAATATAACCTTTTGTATTAATTTATTGATTAATGATTTTGACGTAATTTTGACAGAAGTGTTGCTACTTGCTATTTTAGGGAGTTTTAACTTTTAATTATGCCGTATGCGCACAAACTACATAGAGATGTTATTAAATGCGTTTTGATTTTACAAGACGAGTGTTGCTATTTTAAGGAGTTTTATTTATGCGTCTCGATTTTGTAAATATGTAATAAATTGCAATGCACTAATTTTTTTTGGACAATTCACATTATTTTATTTGGTTTAACACCAGTGATTTCAGCTTTTTTTTGGGTGAATAACTACGAAAATTTTGATTTTTTGACATTCTAAAGTTATTTTTATCTGTTATAGGCTTCGAGCAATTACAAGCTTATGGGATCTATATTAAGTTGAACATTTACAATATATCCAACCGTGTCCTTTTTATAGACTTCCCAACGAGACGGACAGAGACATAGGTACACAATTTGCCCTTTCTTAAAATCGCAACGAATTAATATATTAATCTAATGATTATCTTCATTCTTCAATTTTCTTCACAAACTATATAGAGATGCTACCTTTTCTTTGAACTATAGCTGTTACAGCCGTAAGCCACAATAGCCATCGAGACAAAATTTTTCAAGTTTCCTTTTATTAAAGCTACTTATAATACTGTTAAATAATTCTATTTCTTTTTGATAATTAATATTAATTATCAAATCAAATTCCTTAGTATCCTTTAATTAATTAAACTGATTGTTTTCTTTTGTTTCTACGCATGTTGTTATTACCTCTAAAAAGAAATACAATTACATATAGTGTGTTTAATGTATTATCTATACATATAATAAAATTGTAAATAAAATCTATAGTTTTTTTGAATTTTTGTCTGTCTATCTGTTACCGCATCACAGAAAAACCACTGGAGGGATTTTGATGAAATTTGGTATGGTAATAGCTGGTTATCCGGGTCGACATATAGGATATTTTTACCGCTGGAAAATATCTCATTCCTGAGAAAAAAAAAACTGAATTGTAAGAGTATACTAATAATATGTAAAACCTAAGAATTTGGATTTTGGTCATCTGAACGCGGGCGGAGCCGCGGGCAATGCTAGTGTAAAATTTATTTGTATTATTATTGTATTTCTTGTATTATTGTTAATTTCTTGTGATGTTCTCTTGGTCTACCAGACAGCAGACTCAGTGTTGCATGAGTGAAAAATATAAAATCGGTAGATCTACCAGCTAAAAATCGGGAGACTTTTATTAGTAATCTATCGGTTTAGGTCGTTTTAAAACTGAAGGTAATCAAATCAAAAAAAAACAAACTTTTAATTGCTGTTGTTCCTCGTTTCATTTTTTTTGCGACCAAAATACATCTATACATGACTAAGTCGAATCTAAACATTAAAGATTTTTTAGAAAATTTTATTGAAATAGTCATTACTCAGAATACAGTTCTGTATTCTGAGAGTCATTATTATCGATACAGAGGCCGAAGCTATAGTTTTTAGAAATTTTGTTTGTCTGTCTGTCTATGACCGCGTCACGTGAAAACCACTGGACAGATTTTGATGAAATTTCGGGTCAACACTCAACATATAGGATTTTTACTACGGGAAAATATCCCATATCTGAGAAATCTATACTAAACGTAAAAACGTAACTATGGACGAACCCAAGCGGAACGAAGGTGAGTCGCTAGTATATACATAATTTTAAGTCTTATCTATACATATAATAAAATTGTAACTAAGTCGAATCTGTACATTAAATATTTTTTGGAAAACTAATTAAAATAGACATAATTATCGATACAGAGTCCTAATCTATAATTTTTAGAATTTTTGTCTGGCTGTCTGTCTACCTTTCTGTTACCGCAGCACGAGAAAACCGCTGAACAGATTTTGATGAAATTTTGTACGATGATAGATATCCGGGTCAACATATAGGATACTTTTTACCGCAGGAAAATATCTCATTTCTGAGAAAAAATACAAAAACTGCATTGTAAGAGTGTAAAACTTAAATTCTTACCAAATTTCATCAAAATCGTTTCAGTAGATCCAGGGATTACCTCCTACAATGTTACAAATTCACAAACTTTACCTCTAATATAGTATAGATATCTCGTGTCACGGTGTTTGTGGTCGCACTCCTCCAAATCAGCTCCACCGATTTGAATATATTTTTTTTGTATATTTGGTTAGTATGAGAATAGGTCGTAAAGTATTTTTAGCCTCCTACCCCCATCCCCATATTTAATCGCCATTTTAGTATTTTTGTATGAACAGAATTATATAAATACATAGCAATAAACCCAAGCGAAGCGAGGGTGAGTCGCTGTATAATATAAAGCCAAAGAGATTTTTTTATAGATTGACCCCCGGGCGTAGCCACGGGTTCTGATTGTTCTTTTATAATTTAAACTTAATTTTAATAGGTAATTATATATTTGAGAAATAAGCTGCTGTTTATTATGAAATTATAAATATTCATTTAAATGCACTTTAGCACAATTTATGGTTCAAATTATAATTGTAAATTTAAGGTATTGCAATCTGGCTAATGTAAAAAAAAAACAAAACAACAGACTTAAAAACAGTTTTAGAAATGTTGTGTAGTTAATAACCTTACAAAATTTAAGAGCCAACTATGACATAGCACGGCAACAATTACGACTGACTTAATGTTTATTCGGCCAGATACTGGTGGTGGCTTTTAAGTTTGTTACTGAAAAGTGACAGTTTGACGTTCTGAAAATTTGTTATTGTTATCTATGTCCCAACATATTTATTTAATTAAAAAACAAGTGCATATGTATTTGGTCCCAGCCGTTTAAGTTTCTGTTTTTTACGATTCCATAACCTTATTTTACATTAGTTGTAAATGCAAAAAATCGGGAGATACGATCACTAAATCGGTAGATCGGGAGACAATAATCAAAATCAGTAGATCTCCCGATAAATCGGGAACTTTTACATCACATCACTGGTCAGACTCAAATGTCAACATAATGTAATTGTAACTGTCAAAAACAAAAACTAAAAATATAAGTTTTACATGTGCTTGATTTAAAATCGTACGTAATTCGAGAACAAAATTTTACATTAGACATCTAAGGTGTGTGGTAAAATAAATAATTGCTATGTTTGTTTATATTATTACTTAATCTACGCAACTTTATTAGCACCTCTTGGGGATGAGTTTTTGATATTGTATTATTTATTGTATGTACATATTAATAAATAAACAAAATGGAATACGAAAAACCGGGTCCTTCTCGCGTTATTAAAGAAGAAATGGTAGTTGAAAATGAGTTGACTAACAAATTTTTAAGTGGTCAAATGTCTTTTGCTGAATATTCAAGTGAATGGTACGAAGATATTGAAGATGAAGAAGATTCTAAAGAAGTGAGAAGAAATGATGAGGAAACTTTACAGTCAACACAGATTATCGAAAAAAATAATCAAAAGAAGCGAAGAGGAATTCGTATGTCGCCTGCCTTAGTGGGATTAATGGGCGAAGCTAATATAAGATTTGCTAGAGGTGATATTGAAATGGCAGAGCGTATGTGTCACGAAATTATCAAACAGCTACCTACAGCAGCAGAACCTTACCAAACTTTAGCACAAATTTATGAACACGATGTTGAAAAGTCTTTGCAATTTTCACTGTTAGCAGCTCATTTAGGTCGGTATGATGCTGAAGAATGGTGGAGGCTGGCTGCAATATGTAAACAGTTAAATGATATAAAACAGGAAATGATATGCTACACACAAGCTGTCAAGGCAGAACCACAGAATCTGCAAGCACATATGAAAAGACTTGAGATTGTAACAACTTTAGAAGAGATTAATTATCCAATAAATTCATTAAATGTCTCTAAGGTAAAGTGTTATCATAAAATAGTTACTTCACTCCCTTCCAGTGAAGCTGAAACAATAATGAAGTATGCAAAACTAGCATCTTCATTGTACCACAGTAGCTCTGAAATAGAAAAAGCCGTAGAAGTTATGGCTGCGGCATATAAAAAATGTCCATCATTATTTACGGTTGAAGACATTAACATTTATCTAGAGTTACTAATTTCTAACAAACAATATTTAAGTTGTATAGAAGTATTTGTCTCAAGTGTAGGTGTGGAAATTGAAGCTGAAATACAAACTGTAAAAAATGATAATGGTGAAATAGAAGAGCAAACAAATTATTTAAATTGTACAATACCTGATAATATGGCAATAGACTTAAAAAGTAAATTATTAGTATGCTTCATTCACTTGGGTGCTTTGACACTTGTGCAGACTTTATTGAAAGATTTCTTAAGTAATGATGTTGACAAAGCTGGAGATTTGTTTATGGATATAGAAGAAGCATTTTCTTCTGTAGGTCACTATGAAATGGCTATAAAGTTACTAGAGCCATTAGTACAAAATACTAACTTTGATTTAGGAGCAGTCTGGCTAAAATATGCAGATTGCTTGTATAAATTAGGTAGAGAAGATGATGCCATAGAATCTTATTATAAAGTACTGAAACATGTGCCACAGCAACCAGATGCTCGCAGAAAACTTTTTTCTATACTTGAAAAAAGAGGTTGCATTGATGAAGCATTAAATATTTTACAACAAGATTATAAATATGTTGTAAGTGCTAGCCTTTTGTATGAACAGTGTCAAATTCTTAAAAAATATAATAAGACATTAAAATATCTAGAAGTTGGAGAGGTCTTATTTTCTAGAGACCTCACCAAATTTAGGAATGAAGAGGAGTTAAAAATAGCATGCAGAGTAAAGGGTGTTGTAGAACTTATTTACAATTTTCGCTCAATGAGAGGGGAAAGTACATATAATGAAGATGACATTCAATTTGAAGAAGAGACATTCAGATTTACACCCAGTGAAGAGTTTGAATTCTTTAAAGAATTATTACATATAGCATGTGAACATAAACTTTATTGCACTATGCAAAGATTGACATTTTATGCTATGATATCAAGAGGATTATCTAGTTATCGGCCAACAGTTGAATTTTATTGTTTTCAAGCTTGCATTTTGAATCGAGATTTTTCGAACGCTCTTAGATTTATAAAAGAATTTGTTATCAAGTATCCTGGTCCCAGAACCTATATATTGTTAAGTTACATTGTTAATTCTTTAGATGAAAATACTCATGGAAAATTTTTATCTAGGCTTTTCCAAAAAGATTATAACATTGTTAAACATTTGTTTTTAGGAAATAATTTTTTGATATCTGGTAGATATCTTGTTGCTTTAAAATATTTTTTGGAGTATCATGAACAATGTAGGGAACCCTTGTCAGCTTTGTTAATAGCTGTTACTATACTAGCCATGGCTGCACAGAGAACAGTGGACAAACATCATAATTTGATACTACAGGGCATAGCTTATTTATTTAGCTACAAAAAACTTAGAAAATGTGACCAGGAAGCTTATTATAATTTGGGTAGGGCATTTCAGATGTTAAGTATAAATAATTTAGCTATTGAGTACTATGAAAAAGCACTTGCTTGTGACCCTTTAGCAACATGTGAAAAACATGGAGTTATAGATTTGACAAAGGAAACTGCATATAATTTATATGTGTTATATAAGGACCAGTCACCAGATATAGCTAGAAGATATATGCTCAAATATTTAGTTATATGAAAGGCTGCCAAATTTAAACCTCATTTAATATCTTATTTTGTAGAACAAGAGGGTCAGTCATGATGATGTTTCTCGTGTAAAAGTTGTATCCATTCCTTATGATAGTATAAAATAAAATAAATTTTGGTTAATAAATGTTACATACAAAAACTATTTCATTTAATAACTTCCCCAGATTTCACTACAGTCCTTTTGTGTTATGTGCATTTTAGCCTCTACAATACGCATATTTTTTAGGTGATACATCAAAATGGATGCAGAAGTATCTAATATAGCAATACCAGCCAATCTTATATTATTTGGAGATTTATGTGATCTATTTAAGCAGTTATATAAAAAGAAAAAACAAAGGACTGAACAATACAAAATCTTTACAAAATTTATCGACGACTTTAGGCTGAAGGTGGCAAATACTGATGGCAAAAAGGTATTGATATTTTATAATACTTTAAAAGTTAACTAATAGGTATTCCTTAACGATAACTATTAAAGAATGTGTATAGAATACGATGCTACTGCAAGCACTCATATTTCCACTCTTCGGTCATACTGATAGTTCTAGTTGAATTACTTGAACTTGCTAGTTGCTAACAGCAGCGAAGTCTCGCTGCTACTGCAATAGATTGTACGAAAATAATGTACAATGGTTTTTTTATGTAGGTACTTAACTCTACCAGCTATACAATTGTAAAACTATTTTTCAAGCTATGTTTAATATTTTTATACATAGGTATATTGAGACAAAAAAATAAAAATAAAAAACACGACTGCGTAAAAAGCGAACTAAAAAGATGGAGAAGAAGTCAACGAAGAAATATAGTACAAAGCAGTCGGAGACATACAAGTTTTACACTATCTAACTGCGATTTATGCTACTTGTAGACATAACCCTCCTTTGGGTATCGCCGCAGTCGGGCAAAACGAGAAAAAAGCTCGCAGCTAGGTAGGTAGGTATGAAACTAATACGTCTTCCAATGCATAATACCTACACTATGCTCCTTCTATACAACTTGTTTCCATCTTTTTGTTTGCCGCTTACTCTTTCGGAGTTTCTTATTTAAATTTTTATATTTTATAGCTTTTTACTTTTGGAAATTTCGTAATTTAAAATTTTATTTATCAATTTGTTATCCCAAATTATTTTTAAACATGTAAGTTGGGTATATCTTTGTGATCGTTTATTAAAAATCTCAATTTTGATACCACACTCGACAGGTTTGGAATTTGCACCTGAAATCGCTCATTTTGAATTTTAATATTTTCATTTTTATTACCTACATGTTAGATTTTTAGTACCTTTCTTTTTTTTAACGTTGGGAAATGCATTTACGCACGAGGTGTGGGACTCACCGGCAAAGCCAGTACTACCCACTAAAACCCAGATAGATTTTTAGTACCTGTCTGATGAGGTATAATTCATCAAAATCGTTTAAGCCACTTAATAATTATGAAGGAACATAGGATTGACATACATAGATATAGAGATACATATCAAATACATAACACTCCTTGAACTTCGCCTCAGTTGGGTAAAAAAGGAAAAGTTTAGTCTGTGGTTGGGTACTTGTCTATTTTTCGCTTGCGTGTTGTGGTTACGGTGAAGAAAAACATCGTGAGAAACCTGCACGCTTAAGAGAATTTAGCGAGTTTTCAAAAGACCTGTGAAGTCCGCCAACCCGCACTTATTAACAAGCGTAGTGGATTATGGCTTGATCCCGACGGCGACGAGGCAGGGGCACAGGCCCCTGCCTAGGAATGTGTGAACATGTTGAATATAAATACATATTTTGTTGTTGACGAATTAATATGAAGAAGTATATGCACCCCCCTAGAAATAATTCTGCCGCCGTCCATGCTGCTCTCTGAGTTAAAATGCCGAGTACAGCTAACGAAAAATTTTGATCTCGATCTCTATGTACGAGTAGGTACATGTCCCTGATCTTTTTGACCGAACGAAATTGTAATATAACGATGCTTAAACTAAGCAAGCAAATAGGTAGGTTGTATCTGTAAAAAATCTGAAGTACATTAAAAAGTACAAATGTATCTATACCTAGTAATATATAAAACTACCTAAAACTAAACTAAACGCTGGAACTAGCAGTTTGAAGTTTGGAAAATGCTTTATGCATTTGATAATTGATCGTTCTATTTATTGAGGAAGTGATGGGTATAGGGTCATCTAATACAACGCTACGACCTTTAGTCGGAGCAATTACACATAAATAATCTACAGAGGCGTTTGTAAGCAAACTCTAGTCTATTGTAATCTAAAATTTATGACTTAATTCCTTCCTACAATTTCAGAATTCCACATTTTTTCCAATTCTTAGATTAATGTTACCGGCTTGTGAGCGTGAAAGAGCTGCGTATAATTTGAAAGAAACAAAGCTTGGAAATCTACTGGTTAAAGTGCTGTCTCTGAATAAACAATCTCCAGATGCTCAAAAGTTATTAAACTTTCGCTCGGTTAATAATTCATTCCAAGACAGTGATTTCGCTGGTGTTGCATTTATGGTGTTAAAAAGCAGAGTTTCGCAAAATTCATCTACCTTGACTGTTGGTGCCATTAATGAGCTCTTGGATAAAATTGCAAAACCTGAAGAGGGAAGTCATGGGGGTGAGTCATAAGAATTGTGATAACTGTAGTATTTGGAAAAAAAACGCGTTAAAAAACGATGTTCGCACGTAAGAAGTCATACTTCTTTGGCGTAACAGAACAAAAATAGCTAAAGATTTCATCCTGTATGCTACAACTCTCTGTTTGTAAAAGGAATGATATATATATATATATATATATATATATATATATATATATATATATATTTTATATATATTTTTTAATAAGCTAAAACATTCTGGACCATTTTGATGAAAATTATTATTCAAATTGTGAATCTAAACCATTCCCAGATCCCCTTGAACACACAAAAAATTTCATCAAAATCGGTCCAGTCGTTTGAGAGAAGTTCAGTGACATACACACTCACAGAAGAATTATATATATAAAGATATAATATATATATAAAGATATAATATATATATATATATATATATATATATATATATATATATATATATTATATCTTTTATTAATAAAACAATTAAATAAGGCGTATTAGGCATATTACAATCATATATTTTTGCTGTCGGTGTTCGCGCGCATCGTAAAAATTTTATTCTCATATTTTTTTACAAATGCCCCAAAATAAGTATAGGTAACTTTAAACAACAAAGTAATTGTTTGTATTGTGTTTAACTATCATATATTACACTAAATATATATTTTCAAATTACCTAATTCTCTAAAGACTACGAGTATAGAGGTTGAGTTAATATGACTTTAACTCTTTGGTTTATCGTTTGGGCTCTCCCAAACGATAAAAGCAAAGAGCTTAAGTCATATTTGCTTAAAATTGCAAATATTTAATTAATCATAACTTATTATACTTATACCAATATATAAGTGATTCAATTTTAGTTGCCTATAAATATAAAAAAATGATTTAAGCTATGTATATATATTAATACAATATAATTTAACAGCTATTCTAGATGAGGTATTTAGTTATGCATTAAAGAAATTAACAGCAGAACAATTCAAATGGTTTCTGAGAATAATTTTAAAGGATATGAAGCTTAGTATGAGCGTTGATCGCACATTGGCTATGTTCCATCCTGATGCCCCAGAATTATATAGAAATTGTAGCAATCTTGTTAAGGTTTGTATTTTGTTTTTTGCTTTATTTATATTTTTATAACTTTATTTTTTTATTGATAATAACATCACCGACACTAGTGTCAATAAAATGAAACATTATAAAACATTAAATTACTATACTTAATATAATTAAATAAAACTATCTTTTCGGATTTACGGGAGAGACTGTGTGTGTGTCTCTCCCGTGACCACGATTGCTGTAAAGCATTTGAAACGTCGGGAATCAAAAATCCAAATAAATCCGCGAAGAAATCTGAAAAGATATTTTTATTTAAAATGTCAAATATTCGCGTAAATCTAAGAAAGTATTAATATAATTAAACTGAAGAGTTCGTTTGTTTTATGTTGTAACGCGGCGCTAATCTATGGAGCCAGTCGGATTTGAAATTTTTTTTTTTGTATTTGCTAGCCCACTTCTTGAGGAAGGTTGTATGTTATCTAATATCATGCTACGAGTTTTAGGATCAAAAAAGTTAATGTACTTATATTGATTAGCGGAGCCGCAGGAAAAGCCAGTCTGCAATAAATCTGCAGTTGCACCAACATATACGACAGTTTTTAGGATTTCATACATTTCAAAATTAATATGTTAAATTAGCGGTGATTAGACTGCCCTGATGACTGTTTTCTAAACTAGTGACGGCGGTCTACAGCACTACTCCTACTAGTTCTAATTACTTCATTGTCGGAGTAAACTTTGATGATCTATACTTATATTAATAAACATACTTGTACACATACTTAATAGTACCTACCTTGCTTATATGGCATGACAGGAAATCTGCTTACCGTATGTTTGTGTACCTTCACAGATTATGGGTTTGTGGAATATTGGTATTACAAGTTTGTAACATTATTTATTAGGTATGTGAAGAGTTGGAAGACGGCGACACTCGTCCCTCTGAGCTCGGTGTACAACTGTTCTACGCAGTGAGGCCGATGCTTTCCGAACGGCTAGATATCACCCAAATACAAAAACTCCCTACCAGTAACACGTATATAGTAGAAGATAAGTTTGATGGCGAGAGGTTTCAGGTGTGTGATGTTAAATAACTAAACTATAAATACCTTTGTAATTATTTTCATTTTTTTAATATTTTTATCGCTGTCAAGAAGTAAGTATAATAGATAAAGGTCTAATTTACAAAATTTAACTACCAAAACTACAAAATCATTTAATATTGTTTTTTGATTTGGATGATGGATAATACGTTAATCTTGAGAAACGGAAACGATCACTTGACAATACACGTTGTGTTTTTTTTAAATATCTTATAAAAAATGCCAATGAAGGTTGCGGAAAACTCACTAAAACTATCGCATGTATATATAAATATGCTTTTATGATAAAAACAAGAATGAAAAAAAAAAACACAAGATGTATTCGAAATGTTAGCTAATTAATAGGTCCATTAACTTACCTATTTTTTTAATCGTATAGATGCATATGGAAAACGATACATTTGAATATTTCTCTAGAAAAGGTCACCCTTATTCAAAGAAATATGGCAAAAATTATGAGTCTGGCCTATTGACGCCGTATTTGAAGGATTGTTTCTCGGAGAATGCACGCAATTTCATCCTTGACGGCGAAATGATGGGATGGCATAAAGAAGGCCAGTACTTCGGATCAAAAGGTAGTGGACAATTACGATTGATATGATTCCTTGTAAGATACTCGTACTAGAGATTTATCCTCTTTTCGCTCAGGTGCGTTTAATTATTGTGAGGGTACCTAAGGAGATAATAAATAACTATTTAAAACATAAATTGAATTTCTTAAAGACTACCATTAACCTACAGTAGTTTTACTTCTTGCGCGTGTAAACATTCATACATGCACTCTTTAGATTTTTTACTCTAATAAATATCATTATAAAATGTAACACTGATGCTGAAAGAAATAGGAACTCATCTAAATGTTTTATAATGCCTTTAGATTAAAATAAATAACTTTATTTTTTTGGTTCAGGAATGGCATATGATATTAAGAAAGTGACTGAGAATTCCTCATACAGACCCTGCTATTGTGTGTTTGATATTCTATATTACAATGGAAAGTCACTCGTCGGCGCTGAAGACAAAGGCTTACCTTTAAAGGAGCGACTCAAAATATTGGATAGTTTGTTCAAAGATAAACGAGGCGTTATTCTGCACAGTACCCGCAGTGTTGTTAAAGACAGGTATGTTTTTTGCAGTTATTAACATTACTGTAGGTTGCTGGTGAAAAATAAGAATGTTAATGGGAAAGATTTCGCGAAAGGAGGGCGCCACACGTAAACTAATTTTGGTCGTCTTGGTGTTATAACCCATAATTTTTTCAGCTTTTGTCTTTCAGGAACAAATGATATCCATTTTCTTTGCAACCTGGCATGGCACATTATATCATTTTAATTAAATTTTAAATAAAATGATAAAAAAAAATCCATACACGCTATAGTGATTTACTATATAGGTACTATAGTGATCGAGACAACTGGCGGGAAAAAAGGCAAAATTCTTCCCCATTCCCAACGCTCATTGAACCAGTTTGAATGTTGCTTTTTCAAAGGCAGTTCTTCATACTAGGTTGGGTTAAGGCTCAGTGGAATAAAGTCAATCACTCATTATCCAAATGTGCAATGTAGGCAAACTATAAAAGGTCTTAGCTTACTTAAAGTGTTCAATGTGAAGGTCATAATAATTGCTAAATATAAAGTAGAGCTATTGTATTGGCCAATATATAATGTCTCCGATTTCGGCGACAACGGCAAATATCACCGAAACTAGCCGCCAACTGTACAGTGTACGTGCACTCTATTCCTGTCACTCTCATACTCCGGTTGGACGACACGAGACACCACATGTGATAGATAAGGCACAGGAGTGACGGCTTCACCTGCTCTCTGAGGCGGGAGTGAAACACCGCCAATTTCTTACTACTAAGAATTTCTTGACAAAAAACTTAATAACTGAACTTGGTCTGTCCCGGGACGTGAACTTCTGTACCTGCGGCCGTATATACCGTATATACCACTAATCTTCCGAAGTCAATATAATATGTATTTAGTGTTTAATACAAAAAAAATATTGAAATTTATACTCTTAATTAACTTTCGAAATTGCAATACTATAGGTGTATATACATTATACATATTTATGTTGAAAGTGAACTTTATTTTAATAAAGAATTCATTTTAGTGTAGATATTTTAAATGCACTGAACAAAGCTATTGACAACCAAGAAGAGGGTGTCGTTGTGAAGGACGTCGATTCATTCTATCTCGCTAACAGTCGAAACGCCGGCTGGTACAAAATAAAACCCGAGGTAGGTGGTATCCTAAAAATATTTATAAATATTAATATTTGACGAAATTTTATTTATTGTATTCAGCCCTTTTTAACTTCCCACTGCTGGGCGCGGGCCTCCCTTCAATACGAGGGGGATCAGGCCATAGTCTACCACGCTGGCCAAGTTTTATTTACAAAAACTACTAATTATGTAATAATTCTTTAATTATAAAATAAAATGGTGTATTTTATATTGTATTTTCTTGCAGTAAGGTCTGGAGGGAAGATAACTAAGCAGAGCTAAGAAAAGTAGCATACATTTTTTTTTAAATGAATCTCGAAATGTAATTGAAAATTTCCTGAAAAAAGCGTTAACTTACATATATAACCTGTAGCCTCCCTCCCTCAAAAAACAAACTAAAAAATGCAAATTTTTTTTTAAACTGATCCGAATTGGAGATGAGTATGTGCACACATAAAATTTAGCTTTAGTACATATAAATTATAAAATTGACGAAGTATGCTATCTAACATCACACTGCAGCTTTAAGAAACGGAGTAATATACAAAAATAAATTACGCGACAGAAACCGTGGGCAGAAGCAAGTCAATAAATTTCAGCTTTCTATAGTCATTCTCTATAAAAACGTACAAAGTTTTTAATACATATGTATATATAGATTAGACTTTTTTATACAACATATTTTAAGGGATATATATATATATATATATATATATATATATATATATGTGTGTGTGTGTGTGTGTGTGTTTTTATTTAGCGCCTCTGGTAATAAAAAAACTTTATCTCTATAGTACACAGACGACACTATGACTGATTTGGACATGGTGATTATCGGCGCGGACGAGGCGGAGAACAAGAGGCAGGGACGCGCTAAGAGCTTCCACGTCGCGTGCGTTGACGCTACACCAGGTACATACACGATACAGTATACAGACATGTATATTCACTGTTTAGCACTTCAATTAAGTTATTATATGTCACACAAACAAACAACCAATTTACCGAAAGAGTTGTGTATTAACACAATTTTTGACTTTTAAACATAAATTCTATTATTTTTACATTTTAAACACGCTTTATTTTAAAGAAACTTAAAAGATGTAATTTATCTACATTATGTATATAAATGTAAGCTTATTTTTTGAAAAAGTGGAAAAGGCTCTTTACTGTAAAGAACATAAGTAGTGGTACTTTGAACAAATAAGTACTAAGGCCTAAGGCAACGTATCCACAACACTATTATAAATGCGAAATATATGTTGGATTGTGTGTATGTTTCTGCTTTAAACTCAAATGATCGATTGGATAAAATACATACGTGCTTTCGTCTCCCATATAAAACCGATCATTTATAAATATTGGAAGATAACGCATGTATGAAGCAGCCGAGACATCCTTTAATATATTTTTTTAATTATTTAAATAAAACTAACTTTTCGGATTATTTCGCGGATTTATTTTGATTTTTGGTTCCCGAAAATTTTTGGTTTTTGGTTTCAAAATAAATCCGTGAAATAATCCGAAAAGATAGTTTTATTTAAAAATGTCAAACATTCGCGTAAATCTAAGAAAGTATTATTTTAATTATTTAATAATTTATTTTAGGTAATATTTACAAAAAGATCTTATATATGTAAATAGAGGCCCATAACTTAAATACCTTAAAAACTAACATCTTCTCCTTTAGATCTAGTATTTTTTTATTTTTATATAGTTACAAGCTTATTGTTTACTGTAGGTATATAATTGGTCGGTATTTATATAACTTTATATGCTTAGGCGAACCAACGCGCTGGGTGTGTGTGGGCAGAGTGTCTACGGGCTTCACCTATGAAGAGCGGGAACGGGTATGTGCCATATTGGAAAACAATTGGAAATTAGCCAAAAAGTCACCCATACCACCCTGTTTGCACTTCAATAAGGAGAAACCAGATATTTGGATACTTCCAGAACATTCTATGGTATTACAGGTAAGTGGAAATATAGTTTGATTTATATGTACCTTTTTTAATGTTCGGAAATGCACTTACGCATACCACCTGCAGACATACCTTTGGTTACGTAGGACTCACCGGCTAGAAAAGCCAGTACTACCCACTAAAACTCATAATCCCCCTCTTAATGGGGCGTTGTAGGATCGCTTACACACTCAACCACGACAACCAAGGGTTGTTCTCACGGTTCACTCTGCTGTCAGAGAAGTACCAGGAGCAACCTGTACGGTACACCGCCCACCAAAGTGGGCCACATCCCTGTTCGTCTCTTGGCTTCGCGCCCGGCTGGGTTGCCGGACGCTACTCATTAAGATAGTCCTGGCTAGTCGAGAGATTGGCCTTGTCCGAATTTAGACGGATATGTTTGGCTCAGTTTATAGTGATCAAACTTGCTGCGCCAGCGGTCGCGGGTTCGAGTTCCGCTGGGGGCATTCATATGTGTGATGAGCACGAATGTTTGTACTCCAGTTATGGGTGTTTATATTTATAATATGTATGTATTTAAAGTTAGTGTGTGTAGTGTATCAACTATTCCATGGTAAGCTACGAGGCTTGCGTTATGGTATCCATAACACAAGCCTTGTAGCTTACCATGGAACTAGATGGTGCTGTGTGTTAATGTCCCTACATATATATGTTTATTTATTATTGGGATATTACTACATAGTATGAAACAAAGTCGCTTCCCGCTGTCTGTCTGTCCCTATGTATGCTTAAATCTTTAAAACTATGCAACCGATTTTGATGCGGCTTTTTAATAGATAGAGTGATTTAAGAGGAAGGTTTATATACATAATATATGCATATTATAGTACAGAAAAGCTGAGAAAATCAAAGATTTGTATTCCATACTAACTGTTAGGGACGAACCGGAGGCGCTAGTTGTTGGATAAGCTAACCATATAGTGTGTACGGGGCAAGGTGCGCGCGTCGGAGCTGGTCCGCAGCAGCGGCTACGGCGCGCCCTACACGCTGCGCTTCCCGCGCGTCGTGCGCCTGCGCCGCGACAAGCCCGTCGCCGACGTCATGTCCCTCGCACAGTTCAACCAGCTCGTGGCGGTAACTTGTTGTCTTGCTAGTAGTGATTTTGTTTAACTGTCAATGGTAAACTGTAAAAGGAGGACATACTTTTTTTTTGTCTTTAAATCGAAAGCGATTGAAATGAAATATATTGACTCACCTGATCTTTTACAACGACTGAACTTTTGTATACCACGTCCTAGTAGTCGTCTACAAAATCGTAAGACATTTTGTCTTCCCAACGCGAGAACTAATGTAATAAGCCACTCGCCCTTATTCCGCATGTGTTCAGCGTATGATACTATTCGTTTTAAATTAGATATTTTTAATAATACCTCTATAGCCTATTTACGTAAAAAATTAAAGCAAATTGTTTAGTTTAATAGCTGTAATTAATATATTTTTTTTAAGATTTTTCTTTATTGTTAGTAGATAAAAGCCGTTCCTCATTTTTACCGTAGTTTAAATCTTGTTTTTTGTAATATTAAGTTTTGTTATATATGCATGCTGTGTCTGCATCTAGAAAAATGCAATCTTGTGCATTAATTTTGCAAGCTATTCTTATTTTATATGTATTTGATTGTCATTTGTTTTGTGGACCACTAAACATAAATAAATAAATAAATAAATATCAAAGTTTTTATACAACAATTGGCCTGAGAGGCGAGAGCACTCACTATGAATACACACAACAAATACTTACATCACACTATAAATTTCTATGTAGAAAATATCTTTTTTGATGTCGATCAAAAGCGAAGCGTGTCATTTCAAAATAGTTTACTAATTATTGAATTACTCATAAAGTGTTATGTATTGAAATTCAAAATTTAAATAATTTTTTGCCCGTTTGCTTTTATTTAAAAATTTGGAACTTTCAATAAATAGATATTTTGAGTGACTCTTATCAGGACATAATTTTTACCGACGTATTAGCAAGAGGAGCCACAAAGCAAAGCAACGTTAGCTAATACTAAAAAAAGCTTTAAATTTTAAATATCTCCTATATAGACAAGAAGTCCAGTCATCAAGTTAGGCACAAAGCGAGTGAGCGAGTCTCAAATAGACCAAATAGATCAGTTAGATATGAAGATACGTCGTGCTCGCACTTCGAAGCCAAAGCCCCAAGTGCCCGAGCAGTTCCGCGGCAACGCCCGCGGCGACGTGCCCGTCACGTCCAAGGCGTTGCTGGGCAGGAAGCTGTGCGTGCTCTCCGACACTGAGAGCTGTAAAAAGGCGGATTTGATCAGCATCATTGAATCCCACGGCGGGAAACATGTTGCAAATCCTGGTGAGTTTTGTTTTTGAATAAATATCTATTGATGTCATATACATATATATATACACATATATATATATATATATATATATATATATATATATATATATTACGTTTTGACGCTTAGTATTGAATGGATTTATTTACCAATTTTTTTTGGGAATTTTTCTGATGTTTTAATAGTTACTCTGCTATTCGGGGTGGAAAGAAATCCAACAAATCATAGATCATGATAATCGGCCCGTTCATCAGCCGTTCTCGAATTATAAGTGTTGTAACAACCCCGACTTTATTTTACATATAGATATACTATATTATACATATATATTTTAATTCTTCTAATGGCTACCATTTACAGTTCCAATCCCAAACAGGTGCTTAAACAAAGGGTACGAGTCCCGGCTCGTGCTAAAAATAGTTAATGAAACTTTCCGTTCAAAATTTTATCAGAAAGGAATTGGTCGCTCCCCTGTGTTACAACAGCTTAGTCGTATTTTTAAAGAGACTTATTATACCTTATTCATATTAAGTTTTTAAATATTATAAGTTATCTTCGTAAATCATTATTCCACCATTAGCACAAATTATGCCTATGTAGGTATAGTCTATACAGATAAATAAAGTTGAAGTGTCTGTTAATAATGTCAAAATAACAGCTTTTTACTAAATGCATATGAAAGTAGGTATATAGGGTACTAATACGTTTTTTTTTTTATTTTTGTCTGTCTGTCTGTTTGTTTGTTCCGGCTAATCTCCTAATTGAGTGGTCCGATTTTGACGAGACTTTCACTGGTAAATAGCTGATGTTATAAAGAGTAACTTAGGCAACTTTTATTTTAGAAAAAGAATCAGGGTACCGCGCAAAAAATGAAAACCCATGAAATTGTGAACAAAATCGTACTTAGGGAGCGAAGCGAGGGTAGGTCGCTAGTATGTGAGTCGAATCTGTACATTAAATATTTTTTTGGAAAATCTTATTGAAATAGTCATTATTATAGATACAGAGGCCGAATCTTATAGTTTTTAGAATTTTTGCTTGTCTGTCTGTCTGGGAAGGCATCACGAGAAAACCATTGGACAGATTTTGATATGGTATGATGGTAGCTGGTTATCCGGGTCAACATATAGGATACTTTTTACTGCGGGAAAATATCTCATCTCTGAGAAATCTATACTAAACGTTAAAACGTATAAAATAACACTAAAAAACAGTATTTATTATTATGATGAATGATACCACAGGCGCCGACACGTGGTGCTGCATTGTTGGAAACTTAACATATCGAGCTCGAACCCTGATCAAAACCCAGGAGTATGACGTCATATCCGCGTCCTGGCTCTGCTCGCTGCCGGCCTCGGACGCGCCCTGCAAATTGTCCCCCTTAGACATGCTTTCCATTAAAAAGCAGACAAAATTAAACTTGAGCTTGGACTACGATCCGTTTGGAGACAGCTATAAGGACGAAATAGACGAAGAGAGTTTGAGGAAGTGCTTTCAGAAAATGGAAAATGTAAGCATTATTTATTGTGGTCTGCTAGTATGTAAGAAACTTAGATTATATCATAGATTATATCTGTGTTTGGATTAATACAAGTGGTCTTTTTGTGTTTGAAAAATAATTACAAAAATCTATAAACATTAATAACCATTTTGTGAACTATGACTTTTGTATTATTTATATTTGTAACTGACTATAAAATCGAATCTTGAAAGTCGATTTCAATTATGAAACATTGTAATTTATAAATATATGAAATTCGAATGAATGTAGGTATGAATTTGATGCTTTGGAGCTTGATTGGAGCTGATCTGATCAGGGTCGTGCCTGACGGGCGTTCATTGCGTGCACCGCACGCAGGCGGCCGAAATTAAGAGGCGGCCAAATCGTTACAAGTTGTTTACTGGGCAAAAATACAATCGGTTTGTTTTCATTAAGATACGAAGTAAAAACAGTTTCTCTAATCTAATCTATCTAAAAAGAGTTTCTCAGAAATAAGAAATGTATAAAAACTGATTAGGTCGTTGTAGTATTTATATACCTAGTCCATGAACGAATTAACCACTGGACCAGACATATAAGCGGACGTACCTTTAACGGTCATGTCTGTAACCAGGGAATTTTAGCCTAGGTCGTTTGTTTTTTGTGTCAGTCTCAAGCACTTACTTGTCAACAAAACATCTCCCAAAAATGACTAAATGTTCTGTTAAATGGTGTAAAAACTATAACGGCGGAAGCAGCACTATTTCTTTTTACTTGTAAATACATTATTTTATTACATTTATTGTTATTTATCACAAAATTTTTGGTTTTGGGAACAAAACCAATATTTTTTTTTCGTTCTCGATTTCGGTTAACCAAAAACTGATTTTTTTCCCGGTTTGATGCCCTGTGTATAATAATAAACATTAAAAATTAAAGTAGTTTTTTTTAATGTTATCCTGGGGGCGGCCATACAGACTGGCACGCAGGCGGCCATATACCCAGGCACGGCCCTGGATCTGATGAACATAAATTAAATATGCTACTATTAAAATATTTAGCGTTGGGCTCTCTTGCGTGTTTTGATAGGTCTCATACATTAAAGTTGGTAACAACCCTGCTCACTGCTGTTTTAGTTTTTTTAACCATATTTTTTTTTCTTTTTAGGAACCACCAATATACTTAACAACAAAGGAGAAATTAAAACTCGACAAGCAATTGTTCGGTGAAAACAATCCGTTTTCCTTTTTACGCGGCTGTTGCATACACATAATGGGAAATCCCCTAAACGTTATATTAGCAAAAATGTATGGGGCTGATGTTGTGGAGGACTTTACTCACGTTACGTATTGCACACATGTGGTTTTACCAAACGATATGAAAAATCAAAATATTGATGAAATCAAAGAGAAATCTAAAGGGCATATCGTATCTGAGGACTGGTTGAACGAATGTTTTAAGAATAAATGCAAAGTTCCAGAAGCGAAGTTTATGTTGTTGTAAGTTTGTCTACTACCTTAAGAATTTTACTTTGACTTTCGTATTTTTTGATGATTGATGATTTGTGAATGTACCTAACTATGAATTATTTTAAATATATTATAATATATTTTTATATTGTATGTTCGTTTTTGTTCCACTTGGAAAATTGTACCTATCTTCCCTTATTTATCAACTCCTGAATTATAAAATGTCACATAATTTTTAAAATTATTTCTATGTTAATAAGTATTTATAGATATTTTTTAAATTAAAACTGACTTTAATTTTTAGAGTTCCGTAGTCAACAAGGAACCCTTATAGTTTCGCCATGTCCGTCCTTCCGTCTGCCCGCAGCTATAGCTCAAAGACTCTTAGTACTAGAAAGCTCTAATTCGGCATAGATATACATTATACATATAAGTGACGCCGACAAAGTGGTAAAATAAAATCTTGAAAAAAAAATTGGGATAGGTCTTTCAAAAATATTGCGGGTTTGTGAAAACTTTCCAATTGCCATATGTTGCTACTCCTACCCACTTATCATAAATGTTGTCTTAGTGCTAGGATTGAGCTCGCTACTTCCATTTGTGTATAAAGTAAGGTTAGCTAAGCACTGTGCCTCTTTGCCGTGCAGAATATTATCCCGAAAAGGTTATAACATGTAGAAATAAAAACAAAATTTTGTTATCAAGTCGTCAAGCGTGAGCGATGCGAGGGCGAGCCGATAGTTAAATATTTTTCTCAATATAACTATACAAAGTAATTAATCCTGAATTAACATACGCACAATATAACCTTTCTTAACATTGTTAGCAATGAACAAGCGATTGTATGATCAAAGGCAACGATCCTCGAAATGAATTAAAATCATCCATGCCGAAGCGTATCAGATACATACGGCTATAATGTTTCTATCAACTAATGTAAAGTTTATATTATTTTTTAACGATTATTAATATATTATTAATGAACTATAATACAATAATGCTAAACCAAATACTTATATAATATCGACTCTTTATTCTCTTTTATTATTACGATCACGAAATCTCAAAAATCTATATAAATCCTACGACCATGAATTAGGCAGGTAGATGAGATCATAAGGAGTAGGTATCCGCTAAGGCCTAAGATTAAAAAAAATCACTCTAAAAGCGTAAAAAGGCGTTAGAAGTTAAATTGAAAATCCATCAATTATTTTTTAAGTTAAAGTGACCAAAATTGAAAATAAATAATACACAACCTCTGGGGTAAATAATAGGTGAATGATGTGAAGTTGGAGATTTCGTGATTTTAAAGGAACAGATTTTTTTATATGGTGTAAGATTTGTCTAACAAAGCATTTTTGGAAATGTTAATATACATCATAAAAAATAAACAGATGGGGCCACGGGCCAACGCTAGTAGATATTATGTAGGCAGGTAGTTAGGTACGTATGTAGATAACTATCCTGCGTTATGATGCTTCATAAGTAAGCAATTATCACCAACAGTGATCGTTGTTTCTTACCTATTACATATACCGTTACACATTTAAATGTATAGCTCGTGTTTGTAATTTAATCTGCATCTGCAAAAGCTACCCTATTATATTTACCTTGGTACTAATGTTCACCCATCTGTCTGTTTGTTCCCCTTCAGTGGACGAACTATAAAACTTTATTTATATTTTATAATTACTTTATACTGAAAAAATACACTGACTTCAAATTCACCTAAAAGTATTTGTATCGCAGTCAAGGGTGATATTTTTTCAAATTTATTTGGGGATGGTTGTAATCACTCCTGAGGTATAAGTTATGCATACATCAAAAAACAATTATGAAAATCAATTCACAATTATTTGCGCTTTATACACTTAAAATATAGCCGATTTGAGTAGTTTCCGCCTCCAAAAAGGAAGAAACTTTTTGAAGGCGGCCAAAATGAACAGGTAATCAACTGGTCAAGAAATTGAACTAGGGCCTTGGCTCGATACTAGCATACACAGGCTTTGTATAAAATATCCACTAAAATTACGTACAATTCTATTTTCTTTCTTAAATTCCATACAATCCGACGGCTTACTAACAGATGAAATTGGTAATGAAATATCTTGATGGACATCGGCGAGTGTAATAGGAGACCTAATTGGCAATCATCACTCGAGATTGCGCAGGTATTACTTACAGATATTATGATACAATTGTAATATCTTTATACATACATATATCTGTTTTTTATATATTGAGACATTAACACACAGCACCATCTAGTTCCATGGTAAGCTACGAGGCTTGTGTTATGGATACCAGATAGTTGATACACTACACATATTTATATAATTTTAAATATATTAATAATATTATAAATATAAACATCCATGACTGGAGTACAAACATTCGTACTAATCACACAAATGAATGCCCCCAGCGGGACTTGAACCCGCGACCGCTGGCACAGCAAGTACAGTCACTACAAACTGAGCCAAACATGTCGTCAAATACATATACAAAATAATACAAATACATATACTTTATTCAAATAAACTTTTACAAGCACTTTTGAATCAATTTTACATTTTAAATTTATATTAAATGTCAGTGTAGTCAGTCCGTGAGGTATCTTTAGAGAATAGAGCATATAAGTCTGCTTGAATTGGACATTGATTAATTATACATTATTGCTTTAAAAAAAGTAAGTGTCCTCGCTATTATTTCCAAATCAATACGTAAAATGCAACAGTTTACTAATTTAGGTATTGCAGAAATCAAAATGTTGCATGAATACGACCTAGTCTTCTTGATATATGTATTTTAGAGATTAGATATTTATTCTTTTTATGATACCTAATATTGCGATAGTCGGCAAGTATAGAGTACCTAACCTAATTCCAAGTTTAAGTTAAGTTTTAAGTTTAATTAGTAAGTGTTTTGTACTTTCTAGTACTTTTATATTTTGTCCTCATGTAGGTACATTTATTCAACCTGTTGCGGATTTACTAAATAAATATTTAGAATCAGTCTTTAATAATAAAATCTTTTTGAATAAAACAGTATTTATTTACAATAATATTGAAGATTTCACAAAAATATCATTTTACGAAATAAAAACATTAAGTGTAAGAGCTACCATCGTTCCGCCTACAACTCTACCGACCAATGGCACTCAATGGGCGGAGCAAACACGCTGAAATTGTAAGTGTGAAACCGATTTCATAGTTTAATCTCTGAAAAGATATTTCAGTGAAAACATCTCATTCCGCTTGACAGTAACCTGAAAACTTTTAAATTATAAGACCGACAACTTTACAACATGTGACTCTTAAACGCAATTTAGAACCAGTCATAATGCGTTTTAAGAATTTTATAAGATGCGTTAAGAACTTTTACACATAGTTTTTCTATAAACAAATGTGGAATGTAAATTTAAATAAACAATGATGATGCAAAGTGAAAAGAAGATAAGTGAAGTTGATAGCGGTAATCGAAGAGCTCTGAGAACACCAAAGTGCGCTAGGTGTCGCAACCACGGCGTAATATCTTGTTTGAAAGGACATAAACGGCTCTGCCGGTGGCGGGATTGTAGGTGCCCTGGATGCCTGTTAGTGCTTGAGAGACAACGCGTCATGGCCGCTCAGGTATGTTTATTTTATTTATTTACTGCATTATAAGTATCCTATATTGGGCATAGTACGTTATTTTCCATATTGAACATAGACACTTGGGTAAGAATCAGGTATATACTTGTTACAATTACGGCATACTCAAGTGTCTAGCTCTATGTGATACACAGAATAACCATTTCTTTAACTCATAAGTTATATTAGTTGAAAGTTGCTGTACGGATTTATAGCGACGGAATAATTGTGTGTTAAACCTTTATACATTTAAAGTTAATAAAATTACTAGTACGAGAAACCTTTGATACTGACCAATGACCTTAAAATAATAAGTACCTACTCTTAAATATCAAGAAGTTCCTACCTGTGTATTTTGTAGGTTGCCGTAATTTTTAATATTAGATTCAGTGTACCCATGTTACTGATATAAGCGATGATTGTGGAGGTAGGTACCTTCTTAGATATTTCTTCGGGTCTGGTAAATAAAATATATAATAAAATAAAGCGCGGCGTTAGGCAGGCGCCTTCTTACGTCTACATGCCTCTACGAATATTTTTTTTATTTTGTATTGTTTTGTAAAATCTTTAACAAAACAATGTGTTTCATAATAGCGTTAACACACAAATAATCCTTTAGAACAGCAAAATACTAGTTAATATTTTATAAGTTTTTGTCTTTTCAAATATGATTGATATGATATTGTATTCTCTTGATCTATGTCCATGTGATTATGTGGTTAAAATTTGGATTGGGGTACTTTCGTAGATTTAATTATAAGACTGTTTATAAACTGACCAACTACTAGAATAAAATATTGCTTTCGATTTGAGACTTATACGGTATACCTATCTTTAAAAATCTTTGTGAAGATTCAATTGACTAAAATTTGCAAGATTATTATTGATTTGTTTGAAAACCCTTAATGCTAAAATCGAAAACTTTAAATAAAATGACAATGTTAGATACCTACAAAAATACATAATATTATACAAATCCCGGATGCATAGAAAACAAAATTTAAATTATTTATCTATAGGTCGCTCTTCGTCGGCAGCAGAGTGCAGGTGGCACAGCTCGCGACGGTGAGGCAGCGGCACTAGCAGCACGCAAGAGAGCCTATCGCGCGAGGCTACGCAGTGTACAAATTTCCAGGAATTTTCATGTACCGCCTACATCTTATGGTAAATTTTATTTTCTTTAAAAATTACAAGCCACTTATCCTCTTATTGCTCGGGTGCGTGCCTAAGTGCCTAACAGTAGGACACAGTAGCCTATGTGTTACTCCAGGACAGGATTAATTTTAACTTGAAGCATACCTATGCGAGCTGGACGTTTAATTCATTACTTGAGTATCCTATTTAAAATTGTAAAAGGTTCTATAGTCTAATCATGTTCTGGCCCAAATTTCAATCTCTATGTCTAGTAAAAATTTCCTCGACAAAAAATAACTAAATTTTATTCCTTTTAATATTCAAATAAAACTATCTTTTTGGATTTTTTCCAAAAAATCTAATATATACGAAAAATTGCTACTTTTACATCCTCCGTAATTCTGGAACCGTTCACTTTAGCAAGATTATGCACGGAACCATTTTTGTTCACAATTTATTGTAGATTATTTTTGTATATGACTCTCTTTGCGCTAAACCGAACAGTTTTCAAAATTTTTAAGAATTGCTAATTTACCAACTTTTAACCCCCTCCCATCCCAAACCCGACGCTTAAAATAGTGTAACTTTTTACCAAACAATATGTGGACTGTCTAGAACAATTTGGTGCTGGAGGGAAACTTTTACTTTGGATGTTGAGGTTTGGTTCTAATTGCAACGTTATAAAACTGTTTATACAAAAATTAACGTTATAGATGTTAGAATTCGATTTTATGTTCAATTAATGTTGATTTTTTCTAAAACTCATATAGTCAATGAGTTGTGCGTCAAGGCATGATTTGAATTTTTTTCCCTTGGGAAAACACAATAACTGGTTTTTTCGTATAGTTCTTTAGACATTTACATGGCTAACGTTGGCTAAACTTTAAGAGATACATTAAAACAATGTACCTATTAGAAAATTGTAGGTCTTGAAAAGGCGTACAGAAAAGTCTGCAACAGTATATAATTATGTATCTCCTAAGGTACACTCGCAATAACTATTTATATTTAACTACACTGTAAGTAAACCGAATTTCGTTTTATAATGTACGTATTTGTTAAGGATTCATAAAACAGCAGCATCCGGATTGCATACTTTCAGTAAAATGGATTCTGGACCTTTACACATATGTAGTAATTAACAATGTTTAGGTAACCTAAAAGAGTTCATTTTAACCTTTTCAGATTCGAAAGATAATGTCCGACAAGTCGCGTAGCACTCAGCGTTTTGTTATTGTTGTAAATGAGTAGACTCTGTCGTGTGTTTCGTTTCTCGCCACTGAAATGCTCCATGCGAATTAGCTGAGTAAATATTTATCTTGGAACATTCAAACTTGTCAAAATTGTATTTTGGTAAGAGCCAGCTTGTTATCTTTGAGATATAACTCTTTGAAAAGTAAAATAAAATTTATAACTATGGTTAGTTCACTTCTTTATTTATCACATCAGACAATGGTATACAAGTTTTATTATGGGACAGAATTCCGTCTACTGTGTAATGCATGTGTGATGTTTAAGTGGTAATATAGTTAAATGTAAAGAGATACTCTTCAAGCAATTAAAAATAGAGCACCACAGACGTAATAAAAAATGAACGTTTCTTCTAAACGTCCCCGCCTCGTTTATAGAACAAAAGCTGTCATTTAAGACTCGGCAACATTTCACTGTCTATTAAAAAAAAGCTAAATATCTTTTGACTATTTTTATGGGCTGTAAAAAATGTGAAGATTGTTTTACAAAAAACGTAGAGGCGGCTCTTTGTCGGGGTGTCCTGTTACAGCGGACTGTTGTCTGTAAACATGTCTTTCCGCTCGGTTGAATGATAGCTCAGCGGGTGCCAAAAAGATCTTTTTAACGGCTGTTACGAGATAATTATTTGTTTCAATACAATTGTTTCATAATAATAACCAATTATTCAAATCATTATGTTCAAAAGAATATATATTATATTTTATAAGAAACAGAGAATGGCGACAAAGACTGGAGAGTGTTGGCTTGAGAGTCAGCAGAAGTAAAACAGAATACCTTTTCTGCGACTTTGGTGGTCTCTCCAGTCTTGTGCCCATAACCCTTTCGGGAACACCCTTACCAATATGCACTGACTTTCGGTATCTTGGATCTTTTGTACAAGGTGATGGTAATATTGACCGAGACATTACGCGTCGGATCAACTCTGGGTGGATGAAATGGCGACAGGTCACAGCGATAACTTGCGATAAGCGGATGCCCCTTAAGTTGAAGGGTAAGATCTATAAATCCGTAATAAGACCTGTCGTTATGTATGGATCGCAATGCTGGGCTACAAAGAAGACTGATGAAAGAAGATTGCATGCTGCTGAGATGAGAATGTTAAGGTGGATGTGTGGAGTGACGAGGATGGATAAAATAAGGAATGAGTACATAAGAGGAAGCTTAAAAGTAGCACCAGTGACAGAGAAGTTGAAAGGGAATCGTCTTAGTTGGTATGGGCATGTGAAGCGGAGGGATGAAACGCATGTGACGAGAAGAGTGATGGAAATGAATGTAGATGGATGGAAAGGTAGAGGAAGACCGAAGAAAAGATGGATAGATTGTGTGAGACAAGACATGAAAGAGAAAGGGGTGAATGATGAGATGACGAGTAATAGGGGAGAATGGAAGAGGAAGACTTACTGCGCCGACCCCAAATGACTTGGGAAATGGGCAGGAAGAAGAAGATTTTATAAGAAAACTCATTTGTGAAAAGTGTTTTCTATCTACATTCTATGGCTAAGTTTAGAAGTAGTGTTATTACAATATCATTATAAGTTAAACTATTATCTTACGAGAACATATTGTCGGGATGAAATACATAATAATAGCAAGTAATAAGAATGTGCTAGTCTGAGGCATATATGTACATGATTAGTTATATATGTCTGGTCCGGTCAGATACAAAGTTTTTTCTATTGTTTTATTTGTATTTATTCAAACTTTTAGGGTTTTTTTATGTATCTTTAGCCATAAACTCCGAGCGAAGCTCGGTGGCCCAGGTACTATGTACATAATATGTATTTAAAACCAGTCGAAAACGTGTAAATCAGTCGCGACATAAATATGTTCACAGATATATTTTGTTTACATTTATAATATGAACAACTAGCATTGCCCGCGGCTCCGCCCGCATTCAGATGACCAAAAACCAAATTCTTAGGTTTTACATATTAGTATACTCTTACAATGCAGTTTTTGTATTTTTTCTCAGAAATGAGATATTTTCCCGCGGTAAAAAGTATCCTATATGTTGACCCGGATAACCAGCTATCATCATACTAAATTTCATCAAAATCTGTCCAGTGGTTTTCTCGTGATGCGGTAACAGACAGACAGACAGACAGACAGACAGACAGACAGACAGACAGACAAAAATTCTAAAAACTATAGATTCGGACTCTGTATCGATAATGTCTATTTCAATTAGATTTTCCAAAAAATATTTAATGTACAGATTCGACTTAGTTACAATGTTATTATATGTATAGATTATAATTTTAAGAGAATGACAAATAAGAACAGGCCTTTCTAACAATTGCTTCGAGTTATGGACAGGTGAAACCTTTAATCATCACGTTACAGAAAACATGTTGAGAGACAGTGATCCAGCGTGGAGTGAACGCGTGCGCAGACGCAAGACTTTCGCGGACGCGGTGTTGGAACAAAGCCTACAAACCCCGTTGCCAGAGCCCGTGCCCAGCGCGCTCTGCAGACACCTCCTTGCCGCGCTACTAAGCAACTACACGCCCCCTCCTCCACGACCCAAAATATCATTCTCCATCGAATCCATTATTGGTGTAAAATAAATGTAATATTTTTAACGTAAAAGCTTTTATTACTTTTATTGTTTTAAATCTTGTAACAACAAACCGAAACCGATGTATAAATAAAATATGATCGAGTTACATTCTGCGACGAATTTATGTATGATTTGCTTTTAAATTTGTGAGTTGTTAAATAAAAATAAAAGATTCATATATCGAACAATGAGTGCTTTATTAACGAAATGTATGGTAAAAGAATGTCTATGGTGAGGTCATTGCATTACAACCAGAACTTATACGAACACCAAACAGTCGCAGTCGCTGTGACAAAATATTATAATTATACAATTTAGAAAAAGCGAGTACAGATTCGATTTATAATATTTTTACAAAATTAGTACAACAATTTTATTTCTGGACACGTCTATGCCTATAATTAGGCCTTAGATTAGAGGTAGCGATGTGAAATTTTAATTAATTTTTTTACGTCACTGTACTCACGGGATAAAAGTAAAATAAAATCGATGAACAAACATCATACGGGGACTACTTAATACGAGGCGATTTCCACATTCATTGAGCAGTAACGAAAAAGGGTCAGTACTAGATTATTACATTTTAGTAACGTATGTAAGTATTTACCAAACATTTTCATATTCATTTATCAATTAAAATTACATATAACCATAGTAAGTCTCCCACAGTTTCTACGAACACACTCGAAAGTACGTACTATTGTTACATGTTAAAATTATATATTCGGAATAAATTCCGAATAACTAAGTTTTGTAATTTTAATTCCTTTTAATGAATTAAACAATAAGCTCTAATGAAACTTACACAAATGCATTTTGAGCGTGTAAAATATAAATAGGCACTTCCGATAGCGTACATAGAAACCGTCCGTTTTGTTTAAGTGACAATATTAATTTAATTCTTTAAATGTTGACAAACTGAACTTAACAGAAAGATATGATTTACTTTAGAGCGGTTAAAAGTCTGCTAGTAAATAAAGAACATTACAGAAAATACTTATTTAAAATATGATAAATACAATACAAATATCAAAATAGATACGTGTAAGTACGATTCGTATTTCTTTCGACGATAATAAATATATATAGTAAAATATCTAATGAAAGTGAAGGCGTGAGTATTTATACAACTATAAATTACATGAAATAATTTTTTAACTAAAAACTTTTTACCCTATATAATATTGTATGGTAATCTAATTTATATCGTAATTGTACGCCCCGATATACTATTTTTATGTACTTACATTTTTTTACAAAACGTATTCACTTAGAACTCTGAAACATTTGGCAACTTGATAACGATTAGATACTTTCGAAAACGCCTGTCACACAGACGACAGTTCTTGCTTACGATGAATTGAGTTTCTTTATTAATATTAAATATTAAAAGGTATTTCCCATTTATAATTCGAGCGTAAAAATCTTATTTAAAAAAATCGAATTGAACAAAACAGAAAGTATTTCAATAACGTATTGTAGCCATAGTAGGTATATATTTGAATAACAACTGAAGCGTTCAAAGTCACCAAATTTTAAAGAGTGCACAAATTATATTTCATTGAAAATGTCATTGATGTCTTAACCACGATAAAATTTAATGTATAGGAATCACAACACAAAATATGATAACTACGTGTCGATTGTTATACTGCGTACAGTGCAACGCGTACACAACACATGCACATACATACATACATACATACATACATACATACAACTATACATAACTATGCCGAGGATAGGAATCGTGCCGCACGAACGCCGCCCACAGCTCTCACTTACACACTTAATCACCTATTATCACGTTTTTAGGAAAACAATATTATATTAAAAATGTCGACAAAACCTACCTTAAAAATAAATTACGAGAATAATTCGTAAAGTTTGCTTTCCGCTTATAAAACAATAATGATTCCAAAATTATTATTTTTTTTTCAGTATGAATTGTCTCAGCTGCCGATATTTAGTATCTGGACTGAAATGAAGAGAAAAGACTCACGATTCTATAAGTGAGCGCTCTCCCGCACCACTCGGGCTTCGTTGGCACTTGACGAGGACCGGGACTAGACGGGACTCGGGGGATAGGGACCGACTAGGACTAGGGCGAGCGTACACGGCCTGTAAGTTCATTTTTATTAAAACGTCTCCGAAACTGAAGATTAATTAAATTATAGAATTTTATTTATTAAAAATGTGCTGCGACAACTGAATCATAGTTGTAAATTCATGTTATAAGAAATTAATTTGTACAGTCGTGTGCACTCACCTTAAGATTTCAGGGATCGAGGACGCACTTGTGGGTGATACATACACAAATACACACAATTTGGTTGTATATAACAATATATATCGGCCAAAAATTAAAATTTAAAAAGTGTAACGAGGCCAAAAATGATATCCCCAAGGAATGTAAAATTTACTGTATCCCCGAATAACCCTATATATTCCACTGCGCACTTAACCCTACATTGCAAAATATACTAATGTTCGTTTGAACTACTCATTTTCAGATCCCAACTTCACAGGCTCCATTCCAAAGCGCATTAATAGCTGAAAAATTATTTAATCCCTTAGCAATATTATTGTAAATAATATATTTTCTTTTTTTTTCTTTGATTTTAAACGATTAATATTAAAAAAATACGATATTCATTTTTTTTAAATAAATCTATAAGTATATTTTATTTTTTCAAATTGTTTAGAAAGGAGCCTGTCATATATCTGAAAAAAATGACATATAACAAGTGGTTAAAGTCAGACTTTTAGCTTTTATAAAACAAAAAAATAACAATTTTATTTGCATATAGTAATATAATAATATACAACTCAATATGTATTTACATATACATAATAATATTTCCATTTAATATACACATAAACAATATTTTATATCAATCGTGAAAGTTGCCAGAGTCAAATCGACCGTCGCGATGACGACTTTTAAAGTTTTAGTAATAAATTTTATATTAAGCTAGATTATTGTTGTTCTTATACTGTTGATATAATTTTTAATATTATATTATTATTACATAATAAATATAATAGGAAACGTTGAATTAATAAGATATAATATAGTAATTTAAAAAACGAAAGTCCGATACCAAGAAGGTGATTCAACGCGGGCAACTCCATTTAAGAAATATATTAAAACAAAATACAACGTAAAAATACTATTTGGTATATTATATAGCAGAATGTAGCCCATACAGCAGGCAGATGCTGCCGGAGCGCCGGAGCGCCGCCGCCCGGACGCGACGCAGGCATTACTCGTACGCATATATTAATCAAAATAAACCAGTCACAAATCACAGTCGACGTAAATTCACGATTTTACTAAGTCTTGTAATTTATATTAAAAATAGTAAGTAGTTAACACATCAATTTATACGCTTAAAATATATTCCGAGAGAAGCCTACTGGTGACGTGGATAAATGCCTTCGGACAAACATGTAAAACTTTATGATTTCACAATAATTTTTCAGTATATATTTTCCAAAAACTATAATAATTTTTTTACAACGAACGTCTAAAAGGTTACAGTCGGTACAAACGTTAGTCAATACTTAAGTAAACGCAAGCATACAGAGGCGCGCGCCGGTCACTGCGCTCGCTCGTCACACTCCAGTCCGATGCGATGAGAACTGCAAGGTCGCCCACTATGAGACACAGTAGAACACGACTCCCTAGAACGAAGGGTGGACGACTACCCGTTAAAATCAATTCGAAAAATAATAACGTACTTCGTTCCGATTACAAACTACGGCTACACTAAGGTTCATGCAATATACAGTAGACCGCCCGCCGCGCCTCGCGCCGCGCAATGTCTTCCCGACCCGTGCTGACATTGGTTCCCCTGCAATGAAACACACATTAAAGCTGCAATACTTTCTTAGATTTACGCGAATATTTGTCGTTTTAAGTAAAACTATCTTTTCGGATTTTTTCATTTTAATTTGACGTTTCGAATGCGTTACAGCAATCATGGTCACGGGAGAGATTGTCCCGAAAAGATAGTTTTATTTAAAATACATTAAAGCTATAAATTATAAAGATAATGTAATAAATAATGAATATGAAAAAAGAATGAAAATGATTTATTAAATAAAAGAGTTTTTCAAATACATTATATACGTTGTTGGGACATCCTTTTAAGTAAATATATACCTGTGCCAGGATGTCACGCTCTTCCATAGAAAATTTCTTAAAAAAATTACTTTCATTAATAATACATTGAACGCGGGCAGAGCGAAAGAAAATAGCTAGTTAAAAATAAAGACGCGGCCAACTATCAATTAAATCGGTTAAATTTCTATTTGAATTAGTCTCAGATAAGTTAATAGACTAGAGCTTAGTACGTGTGTATGACAAAGACATACTTTGATCATTCTTTTTAGTTAACCGTTATTTTTCATTGCCGAATGAATATAATGGAAATATAAATGTTTAACTATAGTCCATTTGCGTTAAGAAAATAGTGAATCATCAAGTGCAACGGCAGGTAAAGGTGTAAACAAAATGGGAGTAAAAATTCAATTCAAATTCAATATCAAAAATAAACTTAATTATCTTACTTATGACTTTATTTTGATTGAGATAATTAATGACTTATATATCTCAAATCAAAATAAAGGCGTGTTAATAATATAGTTAAGTCTACTTTCAACTGGTCATTGTGAAATACGACTTTATAATTTTATGTAACCTAATTGGTCGCGGGGCGTGGCTAGGGAGGGCGGTGGACACCGATGACTCACTATTTTCTTCACGCGGATGAACGAGTGTTATGTTAGAGGAGTGAGGGAGAGGGAGAGAGAGAGAGGGTGAGCCTCACCAGAGAGTAGTGCGGAGTGCCTATATGCCGCACATGGCGGAGAGGCGCGCGCTGAGCTGCACGGGGAACTGGTCGGTGAAGCGGCGCCAGTTGTCGTCGCCGACCTGCGCCTTGAACCCGTGCAGGATCTTGGTGAACATCTCCTTGAGGTCGTCCTTGGGGTGCGTCCAGGAGGCCACGGCGTCGCAGAAGAACATGAAGTCCGGCACCACGCCGCCGGGGTTCACCTGGATCATCTGGCAGATGCCGCGGAATGCGGAGTCCTTCTCGTCGTTGTCGCGGATGTTGCGCAGCGACGTGCACCTGCGCGCACACACACACTCACTCCTAACACTATTTTATGTTTACCCTTGTTTTTTGCCTTCTATTCGAGTGCTTTTGGGAGTTTACTTTGATATGTTCATTAATTAATTGAGTGAAATCGAAAGTTAAAACTGAAGATTGATACTCGATGAGATTACATACGTAGTGATATCTAGAAGGCGAATCGTTGTTAAACAATCGATATATCACACAAGTTTCAAATTAATCAACTAAATAGCGAAGCGAGGGTGAGCCGCTAGTTATTAAATAAAATAATGAAGCGGATCAACATAACTCTACTAAATATATGTATAGATATATATATAATATATTGTTAAAGTGAATAAATTATTTAAGTGTCAAACCAAAAATTATATTTATATAGACACTGAATATAAAAGTGAAGTCCAAACTGTAAGCAAAAATGAAGCAATTAATTATGAAGTATGAAAAAGATTTTCTTTCAACATTACGTTTGTTCCAAGCATTTTAAAGTTTAGATTTTGTTTACTTCAACATGTTATCTTTGATTGAATATTATAAAAGAGTAAACATAAATAAGTAGATATAATAAGTTTTGTCTCGCAGTTTGGACAAGAAAAACAATATAAAATTAGCTCATATATATTTAGAAAGCGGATGGTGTTCAACATAGGTACAGCACTGAACATAAGATGATCGACCCGATCCTCCCACTTCGGTGACACGAGAGTGTACGACCGAGTCGCGGCGACGCGGATAGCAACAAACAAACACCATCCACGATCGAAATAAAATTTACTCGAATACGAAAACGTAATAGTAAATATAAAGTAATAATAAAAAAAATTGACTACAGACCACTGGCGTACAAATTGATGTAAAACGGGTGCGACGTCGTGCGGGCACACATAACCTAGCCGACCGATAGTAATCGCTACGCCACACAACCACGACAACCGAGAACAAAACCAAGAAAACAAATCAACAAACCATTCAAAACATATCGATTCACATACAGCGGGTCGAGAAATAATTATGCCTACGAGGTTAACGCTATGGCGCGCCGCGCGGCCGCCGTGCTCTACGTGGGATTATTTACATTAAGGTGTCTGTCCACTACACCGTCTCATACCATGACCGTACTAGAATCGTATCAGGCAAAAAAAAATCTTTGTATTGAAAAGTATGAGACTCTGCCTACTAGACCGTTCCGTCACCGGACCGGCACCGTCACGTGCCGTGCACGGAGCGGCAACAATTGTCGGCTAGAATATTTTGCCGGTGCCGGTACGCTCTGTGCCTGGCATGCGACGTCGCGGGACCGGTGCGCGCGGGCGGCGCTATGGTGAGCATACGCAGCACTAAAACCGTTATGTACCGGTATGATACACTGTTGATACGTTCTAGTGGGCATAGCAGCCCGTGCCATGCTCGTTTCCGTGCTTGATACGTTCATAGCACGGTCATGGTATGAGACGGTGTAGTGGGCAGACTCCTTTACACTTGCACCCCGGAAACTAAAATAAATGATTCTGTAATGCGGTGACTTCCCTCGAGAGCCGCTAGGGAATTTTTTATGTCACAAAATTCACAAGTTTATCCGATTGTGCAACTCAGAATTACGATCATCGTGAAGAAAAATCGAGAGATGGCCTCGTATACTATGACATAAATAATCCTTAGCTCGCTCTAGGAATTTTTATTTGTCGACTCCGCTAGCTGCTTTTTTATCAGTTTCGGAGCGCACTCGCATTTCTACACAAAAATTATTATACATAAAACATTAAATAATATAATTTAAAGACACAACTTAATTAATAATCTAAAATAAATCAATTCATAAGTTTTAGTGGTTATGGATACATAGATGTATTAATATATTTATACTCATTAATATTAAAATGGTAAAATTATTACAAACTGAAAACCAATAGATGATGAACACATGGTAACATAAAGCTTAAGGAAATATATAATCGGAAAACATTACTGCCACCAAATATATCTTTTAAATTATTCTAGCAAACAATATAATATGTAATGTAAGTTTAACATAAATGTTTATAAACTGTTTAGTTGTCGTCGTGTCGTTGGGTGGTAGCACTTACCTGTGTTCTCGAGCAGGGTCTTGGGCGTGTTGGGCCTGTTGATGATCTCCACGAGGTGGTGCAGAACGAGAGGGATATATTTCGAAGTCTCCGGTCCTACAAAATGAAACATATCTACTTAAAAAAAACTTCTAATTCATTTACAAAAATAATATAATAAAAAAAATTAAGTTGATATTTACAAAATTTAGTCATAGTTTTGTTAAAAAATTCATAAAAAAAAATTACATCTCTTTACGTTGATTTTTTTCCTGAGATATTCCACTTTCAATGAAAAAGGACCCTTTTCTTTTTTATCATCAATATCTTAGCATTTAATGGATGCACAGTAGATTATTTTTTTTTTTTCATTTTTTTATTATTTTTAACAAAACTACAACTAAATTTTCTAAATATCAACTTAATTTTTTTAAATTATATGTTTAACTAATGAATAAACAAGATTAGACTATGAATGAATTTCATTTCTATCTTTAATTACCTTAACATCAATTTTTTCAGAAAAAATCAATAAATTTAACTCCAAAATCGAAAACAAATAAAATATGGATAAATGTGAAAAAATGATAGATTGTACGGCAAAAAAATACAAAAGCAATGTTACACTTTACGTGAATTCCAACTTTTGTTATTTTTTCACGACACGTCAAATTGCACAGTTAGAATGTTTACGGCGACATTGTATAAATAATAACCGTCACATTAAAAACTTAAGAAAACCATGTTTTTCGCTGTTTCCCGAAAAATACATTGGTGTAGTCAGTATATAAAAATTTAGTCAATAAAGTACACTTCTTGAATGATAAGTGAAAAAAATGTAATTTACAAAGTAAAAATTATCATTTACTCCAATTTTTAAAATTTTTAAGGGTGTTTTTGCAAGATGGTTAAATGTTTTATTTTTTCCAAAAAAAAAGTTCAAGACGAAAAGAATGAGCTCTATTTAAAAACTGAACGATTTTTTTTAAATGTAAACGTCTACTTGAAGTCGGGGGTGATTTTCAGCCTCTCGAGAAAATGAAACATACTTTTCTTGGAAATGACTAAACATTCAATTTCAATTTTTTTTATTTATTATATATTCTTCAAAGATTACATTCCCTTAGTTTCATGAAAATCAAAAGGTTATTCTAGAAAAAGTTAAAAAGAGAGTTTTCTACAAATATCTCGAAAACTTTGAGGCTATTGTAAAAAGTCTGATTTATAAAAGTTGTAGATTTTAACTAGACTTACAACTTTTGTAGAAAACATTTTTCAATAGAATGTCACAGTAAGCCGGAAATTTAAAAAATCTATTTTTCGACGCTTTGCGTCCCCCCATTTCTCGGCGGTAGCTTGGCATATACCTGCTAACATTTTAAAATCATAAAACGTCAGTTTTTCAATATTTTTTTTTCTCTTAAAAATAAACGGATTCCGATTGGTCTAATATAAGAAATAATAATTCAATCCCTACAGAGACGAAAATTTACGATGTTTATCATTATTGAATTTAGAAATATTATTGATTTTTAAGCTTCTGATATTATTATATTGCCGGCAGAATATCACATCACATCAGGTTGCCTATTATTTTATAGAAAATATTTTTATTTGCTTTTGTTATTACAAAAATATTTATCTTGTCCAAATACCTTGTCTAAATAATATGATTTCTACCCTAAAAAAAGTATTCAACTGTCATTATACATATTATATGCATGCAATTACCTAACTTAATGCTGATTTCTCCAATAGCCCAAGTGGCGTTATTGCACACAGAGATGAGCTCAGGGTTGAGATTCAAGCCCAGGATGGGCAGGAACTCTGGTATGTAGGGCAACACATGCTGGAAACACGCTTTCGTCAGGTCTCCTAACAACGCAAACGATGACTGACGAACCTGAAAAATAATATAAAATAAACTTAAAAAAAATAGATATAAATATACACAGAACTTTTACTAATTGTTAATTCATTCTTGAAATAAAAGATACAAAAAACTTTATTATAAATTTTATAAATTTGAACTATACCCTTTTTGCTTATTTTGTTCAAAGACTTCCTACTGAGTTCATCAAATTTTAAGCATCGGTTTTAACCAAATTTAGAAATGTAACAAATTAATAAGTAGACCAAAACAAGTCAAACTTCAAACTTTAAATTACTCTTAGAAATTATGCAAGAATAATATAATCTGTTAATAAAATAATAAAAATAAAAGCCAAACAGAGGGCGGCACAACCTCGGGCATCTGGTCCTGCATGCACTGGTAGAGCAGCTGCATGAGGTTGGAGTTGAGCACGAGGTGGTCGATGTGCCCGTCCAGCCCCTCGGCCAGCCCGCTCAGCAGGTCCAGCGCCACGATCATGAAGTCCTTGTCCGGCGCCTCGAACTGCTCCGGGCTCTGCGTGTTCGCCTGGAAGACATTTTTTTTTCATTATTTAGACGACACGTTTGGCTCAGTTTGTAGTGACCCTACTTGCTGTGCCAAAGGTCGCGGGTTCGAGTCCCGCTGGGGGCATTCATTTGTGTGATGAGTACAAATGTTTGTACTCCAGTCATGGGTATTTATATTTATACAATGTATGTATTTAAAGTTATATGTTATAGTGTATTAACTATCTGGTATCTATAACACAAGCCTGCATACTAAGCAAGCATGGTAAGTTTTCGATTGCGCGCATAATTTTTACTCCTTAAGTACATGTAGAGAATACATCCCATACGTTTTGTTTTTTAATTCTCGAAGAAGATGATAAATACAGTATCTGTGATTATTATGATGAGATAGTAAAGTGATATGTATTTCTATTGTACTACCTAAACCTTAACATCTTCTGAAGCATTTAAAATTATATTCATGGATGACAGTGTAAATTGTAGTAAAATAATTTTGATAAAAAACTTAACATTTCTTTAAGTTATATATAAAATTGTTTGTTATTCCAAATGAATATAATAAAATATCTTAAACACTCATAACGGAATAATTAAATTTTTTTTGTTACATTGCCAATATTGAACAATGGATGGGACAAATAAATATAAATGTCAAGAAAAGAAAACTGCAGGCAAGATACTGAAAAAGCAATCACAGTGCAAGATTCACATATCAATAAGGTTATCAAAATAATCAGCTCTAAGTGATAGATAATGATTATATGTAATACTATGTCTACTAATTCAATTTATATTAATAGTAATTTTAATAGTAATTCATATAGATGAATATATCTAAAAGTTATATATAATTTATTGTCTAATAATACCTTTTTAAACAAAGAAATACAATTAAAGGAATTTCGATACAAAAAAATTGAAATTATTTAGTTTGATTAATTAATTATATTGTTTTAAATTACTTTTGTACCATTTAAGATGTACTTATTAAAAATAAAAACCAACAATTTTACATTTACTTTGCACCACTTACTTTATAACAATTTTACACTATATCTATAGATCATTACGTTAATTGTTCTTTGTTTATAAATCATATCAAGTTCTAAATAGATAATAAATAATGACTCACGATATTTTGATTTAATGTTTGCTCTATAAGTGAAACACATCTCCTAAATACTGGTTCGCAGTATGGCAGGAATCCGGACTGCAGGGCGGTGGCCACTGATGACAAGCACTAAAACAAAAAAATATACAAGAATACATTGTAGGCTAGTTAGCTACTTTGAACGATTCTGATAATATTGTTTTATTAAGATTTAAAATGCAAATAAGTAAAAATTATTTTCTTTAATTTGTACTTTAAAAAAAATAAACAATATAGCCAATACCTCGAGCAAAGGGAACAGATCTTTATCTTCGTCCTTCAAAACATTCCACTTAGTGATGAGGGGTGGCATCAACAGGTTGATGTACTCCGGCTTGTTCAGATGGTGTCCGACCGAGTCCGCCAAGGTGCCTATCGCGTCGTACAGGATCAGCAGGTTCTTGTGCTGGTATCTACTGAAGGCGTACACCAACGTCTGCAGGATGTGGCCCAGGTACGGCACCAGCTCCGTGCACGCCTCCTCCTCCAGCGTCGCGAACGCAGAGCACGCAGCCTCTTGCACGCGCTTGTTGCTGTCCAGCACGCGTTTCAGTAACTGAAACAGTAAATTTTATCTTATGTTTTACAAAAAACTACAAAGATAATATTCAATTTAAAAATTCTGTAACTAATATAATTTAATTTATAACATTTTCTATACATATAATAAAATTGTAACTAAGCCGAATCTGTACATTAAATATTTTTTGGAAAATCTTATTGAAATAGATATTATTATCGATACAGAAGCCGAATCTATAGTTTTTAAAATTTTTGTCTGTCTGTCTGTTACCGCATCACAGAAAAACCACTGAAGTGATTTTGATGAAATTTGGTATGGTGATAGCTGATTATCCGGGTCAACATATAAGATACTTTTTACCGCGAGAAAAAATATCTCATTTCTGAAAAAAATACAAAAATAGTAATGTAAGAGTATACTAATATGTAAAATCTAAGAATTTGGTTTTTGGTCATCTGAATGCGGGCGAAGCCGCTGGCAATGCTAGTCTAATATAATTTTAAGCATATATATAATTCTTCTGTACTTGTGTTTGTCACCCTACTTCACCTAAGGGGCTGGACCGATTTGGATGAAAGTTCAAAGGGCTCCTGGATAGTTTGAAAACACAATTGGTCAGTGTGTCAAAGAGTTTGTTTTTTTTTGTACTTTGAACGCGGGCGAAGTTGCGGGTACTGCTAGTTTAATAAACAAGTTTTCATTTTTTCATTTTTGGCTTTGTTACTATAACAAGCCGCTCAAAATAACTGTAGCTGCATCAATAGTGGCTTTACCCAAAATATTCTAACACATTCAATAATTCTGAAGCTAAAAAAAATCAGACAATTATGAAAATGGCTGAAATGACAAATAAGCTAGACATATCTCGCGGCTCACCTCGGTCATAACGGGCCGGAGGTACAGGTCGTGGGACTGCGACACGATCCAGTGCGAGTAGCGCGAGAGCGTCCAGCAGGTGATGGCGCGCACCAGCGCCTTGCGCTCGCCGAGGCAGCACACGAGGTAGGGCACGAGGTCGGGCAGGTGCGGCACCATGCCGCCCATGCAGCCGTCCGCCACCGCGCCCACCGCCAGGATGCCGCTCTCCTGCCACGCAACACACACGCACACATTACATATTACACACTTGTGCTTGTTTTCAGTACGAATGTAATGCATCAATTAAATGTTTGATGATATTCCGTGGCCAATTTTCTTGAAATCTAACATAATAAGAAATATTAAGCATTGTAGAACATTAATTAGAGGAACAAAATTGTGTAATTTCAAACAAAAGCATCCCAACGCTTTTATACTCAAATTTCGTACTATGTAGTTACTAGTAACAAATCTGTACTGAATCTCTTACGGAATACACGAGGTGAATAAGTAGATATTTTTATTAGTGCAGCACTAGAAAAGTTTCACTTTTGTATATTCTGCATCAGTAGGACATGATGGAAATCAAATTTAACTGTCATAGTTGAACGTGTACGTGAAGAGCTGATCTTGGTTGCACCATCAGGATGATAATAAGATAGTATGTATTATATTGTCTTCAGAACTACACACAACTGCCAAATTTTATGATGATACAACTATTATAAGTTACTTAAATTTGATTTCCAAGATTTTCTTACAATCTTAGTGACTAAAATAACTAAATAAAAGTGTGTTAATATTTTTTATTCTATAAATTACAATTTGCGTAAAATTAAAATTTATACTAAAAACATAAAAATAATAAATCAATAACATACTTTGATAACCCAGTCGTCGTGAAAAAGTGTCTCTTTCAGTATGGGGAAGAGCACTGGCAGCAGGTCCGCGCCGAACACGTTAGCGAGCACGTCGAGCGCGGCCGCGCTGCACTTGCGCAGGTTCCAGTCGGAGAGCGAGCCGTCGTCGTCTCCGCCGCCCTCCTCCTCGTCGTCGGACTCGCCGCCCCCCGACATGTTACTGTCACCGCCGCCGGCTGCGTGGTAGAAACACAGTATAAATCTTAAGGTGGCAACTGACCGGAGCATGTTACGTTACGCCGTGTGCTAAAAACCGTGTAACATGCTCGTTTCGAACTCTTTGCTCGTCCGTGCTCCAGATTCGCAAGCCTTTTTTTTCCAAGGATTTTTGATTTACTCAATTATTATATAATAAGATTCCACAAAATGTCCTAGATTTACCTTTTCAAAAAATTAAAGATAAAATTTAAAATATTTTATTGAGCAAAGTGTATTATACTGTTCAAGAGTTTCTTGTTGATGAAAATGCGTGGAATTGAGTGATATTGACTCATATGCAGGCTACCTATAATTTTTTGTTAACAAAATAAATGTAACCTCTATATTTAAAAGAGCAACTGTTGAGTTTCTCCCCGGTTCTTCTCAGCAGAACTGCTTTCCGAGCCGGTGGTAGTTCCTTACGGACTGACTACACTGACGCTTAAATTGACGATTTAAAAGTACTTGTAATAAGTCTATTTGAATAAAGTTTATTTCATTCATTTCAATATTTAGTCTAAATTAAGAAAAAAAAAGAAACTTTATTGGACATCAAATTTGGTTATTTGATCACAATAATCAAATTATTTATTAGATATTTATACATTAATCAAATTATTTATTAGATATTTGATATTTTATTACATTTTGATGAAAATGCTGCCAAATGCAAATGTTGCCAAAAAAAATGTTGTCAAAAGGTTTCGATGTTAATGCGCTGTAGTGCCATCTCTTAGCAAGATACAGTTGTAGCATTTGAAACGAGACAAAGAGTTAGAGAGACTTCACAATATTTTTGTAAACTAATAATACTAATAACTAATGTAGATGATAAGATAGGCATCAAAGTTGCAAGCTTCCTACAAGTCAACAAGAAAATTTTAATAGAATATGACAAGAGGTATTCCTTCAACCTATTTATTATTTAGCATATGTAATATATGAATAGAAATTTACCTATCTATATAAAAAAAACTGTTGCAAATTTTTTCAATAACACTAAAGCTGGTCATTAGCTACAAGATAAACATAAGAAAAAAGGTATTCAACAGTTTGTCTTTGTCCAGTTATATTGATTTTTGAAGTAAAAACTTCAATAGGAAGGTTTGGGTGGGAAGCAAATTCATGTAAGTCGTCATCGACATGGTCACGTTACGTGTTAACGCTACTCAGATTGCCGATAGATGTCAAAACCAGTATTATTATAACCAGTAATGTAAACAGTTTTAATTTATAAATTTTAAATTAAGATCAAACAATTAATTTGAATATCCAAAAATAACAACAGTTTGTTTATAGTTTTAAATTTTCACTTTTGTCGGCAGTCCTCATGACTGCTTTTTTTTTTGTTTGTTTGTACCGAATAGGCTCTGAAACAACTTAATCGATTTAGATGAAATTTGGTATGAAGATTGTTTCAGACCCTGGGAAGGACTAGGATAGTTTTTATCCTGGAAATCATCCCTAATGGGGGTGAAAGTGGGGATGAAAGTTTGTATTGGGAAGCAAGCTAGGGACGAACCCGAGCGAAGCTAGGGTGAGTCGCTATTATACTATATAAATAAGATATAATAGGTACAAAATATAAGTATACCTTTAGTTTAAACACGTTAAGTGGCGCATTACGTACTTGACAATGGCTTGATAAATATTTTTATAAGAACTTGATGGTAGGTATAGCTCACAATAAGCTAAGCTAACACTGTGAATTATTCTTTATTTATTGATGACTTAAGTTAATTCATATAATATTAAAGCTCGACCTTCCTGTTCAACGCCCTCCCATATTAAGCGCAGAGGTTGTGAAGTAAATAGAAGTACAAAATTTCGTTGTTTCATTTTATAATTTGACTTTTAGAATATTTTTAGTTATACACACGTACAAAAATATCGTAAGTTTAGTAATTTATTTTTCTTTTAAAAAATGTGAGTATTGAGTACCTAGCTTTCTGTCAATCACAATATCCCTAATCTATGTTATCAATATAGGTACTCGTAAGTGTGGTGTTCCTCATATACTAAATAACAAGTGTATGATCATAACAATTTTATGAAGTATTTGTTTACACTAAAGGATAAAAGCCAATCAAAACTCAAACGTTACGCTGCGACGCAGAAGTTAAACGACATCATAATCATATACCTATTATTATCTTCTATCTACTTACAAAAAGTCCCCATTAAAGTATAATTAAGGTTAAATAAAATGGGTATGCTGTAAAAATGGCCCTTGTTGTTTTTTATTTGTTTAATATGTTTTGAAAATTCTTGGTAGAGGCGCGTTTGGGAATTGGGATGTACCTACTTATCATGTAGGTAATATTTTTTTATGTTTTTATAATAATAATTAAGCATACTGATTACTGACTAATATGTGGCACGATTTTAATAGTGTAAGCAGGCACACTTAGTAGTTAAATTCTATATATTTTTTGATTATATTATTATAATAACATGAAATAAGTATTCAAAGAAGATAAAAGATTAAGATGGAATAACATTTCTAAAATTCATCTTTATAGCTTGTGAAATAAACTTAAGTGAAACCATAGATAACTATAGGCATATCATATACATATCTTTGAAGGTATAACCGCCGAATAAAATGTAAAAGAATGTACCTAAGTGAAAATACAGGATCCCAAAGTCGGTCGGTCGTTGTGCTAGTAATAAGCTAAAGCTTTCAATTAAAAGTACAGCTACTACATTTCGAAAGTCCTTAATCATCGGAATTACTCTCTTTATGAATTTAAGGCATTCATTATGTTATGTTACACATAAAAAAATATGTATAATAAAACATTATTTTTCACATCACTTATATTTTTTTTATCATATGTTATTACTTAGTATAAACAAGAAAAAGATTTATGCACTTAAGGTTTTCAAAATAATCGATTATTACACGGTAAATTATTATTGATAAGCGACCGTAATGTCACGTTCTATGGCTAGTCACGTTTCGGATAAGGTCAAATTCATCATTATCATACACATTTGAGGAGGCAAAATGAATGCCTGAATTAACAACAATATCAATACCAATAGAAATGAACAAATATTAAATCGCGACGATCGTTTACGGACTCTTTAAATACAACCCGTGTGTCTCTCAGTAATTATTAATAATCGACTTCCAAAAAGGAGGAGGTTTTATGTTCGTCTGTATTTTTTTTTTTCATTTTTTATGTATTATCACTGTTTTATTGGAGAGGGTTTAACCGATTTTGCTCCTTTAAATTGTATTTTATTAAGGGTAGGTCCCGAAGTAGTCTCACAAAAATTTGTTTGACATAGACTATACAGTTTTCGAGAAAATCTGAAAACACCATAACCCGACTGCAGCGAAACCCAAACAAAGGTTATGCACGTATGTCCCATCCTATGTTAACCGGTTTTGAAGATTCTTACGTCGTTAAATTGTCTTGATAAGTATCATTATAATACTTTCTTAGATTTACGCGAATATTTGACATTTTAAATAAAACTATCTTTTCGGATTTTGTCGCGGATTTATTTGCATTTTTGTTTCCCGACGTTTCGAATGCTTTACAGCATCCATGGTCACGGGAGAGACTGAGGTGTTACATGTCTTGAAGATATAGTTGTTACAGACAGCCTACCCACAATTAACAAAATGAAAATTGCACCAATTACATTACAATATTTTTAACTTTAAAACATTTTTATAATTTTAATTATAATTGAATATGGAATATTATTTGTTTAATTTTGCTATTATTTTTGTAATTATTACAATTTTAAAAATATTAATTAGTAATCTATATTTAGTGTTGCCATTATTATATTTATAACCATAAAGAAAAATATAAAATATAGTATTAATTATTTAAGCCATATAATCGTTCTATGTGCAATTTAAAAAGTTAAAATTAATTAAGGATAATATAAGGTCCGAATCAATTGAGTCCCCTCACTCGTATAAAAATAAAGGTTTTTAAGAGGCCATTACAAAAATATATACAACTTATAAGTTATTTAGAATAAGCAATTGTTAAATAAAACTAAAAAAAACTGACCAACACTAAAAAGCTATACAAACAAGACATACAAACACTCACATAGCAAGACTCAAAGAATTAAAAATGTATATTTCTTTCTCTGCTTTTAGACACTAAAAAGTTTGCACACATTTGCTAAATGTCGAATTTATCGAAATAGATTTCTTTTGCATCGGCTGGCACCGACTTTCAAAATATCTAACTAGATATCTATAACAAATGAAAACCCTCCTTTGAGTTATTTTTTACTTGATTCTAAATTGCTGCATGATAAAACATAAAATCATTAAAAACAAATCGTATTTATAAAATTATAGACAGATTTTGTTGGAAAAAACCCTTTATTAAATAATCGTATTTTCCTTTTTTCCCAACCTAACCTAACCTAACCATTTTTTTGTCGAAACTTTATTAATTACCACGTATTATAAAGATAAAAAATACAAATTAAAACAAAGGAGCATTCGGTATACAACTTAATGTTTTCAAATTTGATAAACACTTCTTACGGGAGCCGTTATGAATTGTGGCAAAACATGAAATTGTGAAAGCAAACAATATTAAAAATGAGCAATATAGACTATAAAGGAAAAGCTATATCAATAATAATATTTACATATTAGATGTATATAATAATCAGATTAACACTACAACTTACCATTATGTTTGATAGTGTGCGAGCGTGGTTTGTGGAAGCGCGGTCGGATGTCGGACTCGCGGTCCGGCTCCGCGTCATCGGCGTCGTCGTCCCGGTCGCCTCGTAATAAGATCACATCCATTTCAGAGTAACGCATCCCACGGACTAACACTGGCAGCAAAGCAGGTAGGCGAGGACCTAACACCTGTATAGAAATTAGTAACAAAAATCTAAATAATACTTACAAATAATATGACTAACAAAAGTATTGACAACGTCTTAGATATTTTTTATCCCGTAAAATATAATGGTTTCCGTGGGATAACTATTATAACTTATACAACTTATGCACCTAATTTAGTAAAATTTAACATTCTGATACCTTATATTGCCGGTCAAACAACCGGTTACTTTTCATCCGGGAAAAATGAACGGTTCCCATGGAAACTAATAGATTTTTATTAGTGTTTTTCTAGAGGCGAACCCGAGCGAAGCGAGGGTGAGCCGCTAGTATTATATATATACGAGTATACACACGCACAGACATCTAAAATACTTTCAAAGTAGTTGTGCAATGGCAGGGTTGTGCAATGCACCTTCCTTCAGGTGCCCATGATACAATTTATTCATCAAAAACATATTTATGAGAAGAAACTAGTAATAAAATATCCATACTAATATTATACTTGTGAAAGTAACTTTGTCTGTACCAATTTAGATGAAATTTGGTATGTAGATAGTTGGAGACCCTGGAAAGGACATAGGATGGTTTTTATCCCGGAAATAATCTCTTAGGGGGGTAAAACTTGGGGAAGAATATTGAATGGGGAATCAATCACCTATTCCATAGTAAGTGTCAAAACATACCTAGATAAACCCGAGCAAAGCAAGTGTGAGTCGCTATTTAAAATATGAAACTTACATTAAATATACTTTTCTTGTATGAGAAAAGAAATTTAAACTCACCTCTCTGCATACATTTTGTTCCGCAAGTGATAACCAAAATTCACATGCTTCTAATGCTACTCCCTCTTCTTGATCTTGTGTGCGCATCAACATGTACTGTATCAGAAAAATAAAATATAAGTATACAACAAATATTCAATGATATATAATACAAGTTCACGTTGTATATTTTTATTTTTTAAGTTACCTCAATAATGTTTGGCAAATAAGGTATAAGCCTATCTAACCGAACTTCCAGAAGTAAAACTAATGCATGACAAACATTTTTCCTCACATCAGGATCTTCATCAGCAGCCAAGTGAAATAAATTCTGTAAATCATACAAACTTCATTTAATATCCATTAATATTTAGTAAGTTTAATTTCATTGTACAAAACTTATACAACATATTTACCTCTATAAAAGAATCTATGTGAAGCATAAGAGCTTGTGTTCTACCCATAATAAAGTAATTTACACAAGCTATAGCATGACATCTGATTTTGGGGGAAGAATGCTTGAAAAATTGTAAGAATTTCGGTATTAACACATTCAAAGGTCTGTTTAGAGCATCACTATCCAGCAACTCAGCTGTATCTTCACAAATCTTCTGTAACGCTCCGAATGCACCCTAGAAGTAGCAAAATATTATATTATCTAGAATTCCTTATAAAAACTTATTAATCAAAAATATCATTAACTTAAATTCACAATAAGTTTGTTATTTTTTTAACTCTACACTTTGTCTTACCTCGCATACATTGTAATCTTGGGAATCTAGCATTTGACATAATGCAGGTAATAACTCTGGCCATGATGTCAGTTCACCCTTGCTAGCAATAGTTGTGATTATAATACCCACTGTAGCTCGGATCAATGGTGATGGATCTCCAACCGCAGATAGACATTCGCGTTTTATAAATTCAGCTACTTCAGGTAAAAAGCTATTGTAACGAGCCTTCACATTGTTCTTCAAAATCAAACCGCTTAGGGATCTCGTTGGCTCCAGCTCAGAGACAAGTTTTGTCAATACATATATCAGATAATTGTTAAAGTCGGGATATTTGTTTAACTCTTCCAATTTCTGAGATTACATTGTTATGGAAATCGAAAGCTGTCAATGACTGTCATGTCGGAAATATCGATTTTATTACGAGCGTGGAGATCATACTCCACCCGCGCAACAACATCAATATGCAATAAATCAAATCTAGCCATTAAATTATATAGAAGAATAACAAACAAATTAAATGCTAAACGGTTAAATTACACAAAAAACATCCACGCCGATGTGTATATCGACTTAAAATCTTAAAAAGGATACTTGTTGAACTGCTCTTTGTGTAGCAGTATCTGGTGATTGAGACTCCTTAAGTAGTGTAAGTATTTGCCTTAATCCTTCTTGTTCAGGTTCCCACTCCATTTTCATAATAATTTTACGAAAACGGTTGTATTTTATTCGGTCTTGTAGAGATCAACCATGCCAAAATTTGACGAATCAGAATTACCATACTGAAAAAATCACAATTGTTGCCGCTGTGCTGTAAATGTTGCCATTAATTATTTTTTATAATTATCGTATTATATTGTATAATATGTAGGTATAGTAAACAGCCAATAATAAATAGGCCAATAAAAATTTCCTTAGCTGTTTTTTAAATTAAAAACGTACAGTACTAATTACAAAACAGTATCAATAATAAATTTAGTAATTGTCTGTAGATCTCATCTGTAAATCAGTTTCTCAAACTAAATGTTACATACTTTGTTTCAGCAATAAACACTTTTTAAATATAGATTTTATGGGTTGGTTCTGTGACTTATCAGTAAGCAACTGCTCAATACGTACCTAGAATTTCTAACAGTAATGATTTAAAAAAAACTTTTGGTTAATTAATAATACTTATACTCAGCACATACGAATCGAGCCATTCATCGGACATCTCGTTTGCCAATAAAATTGTCTTGTGGGTACGTTACACTAAAATTACAAAAAATATTCTTAAACAAATGTCTCTTTACACAAATTATTATAAAATTTATTAATTATTATAAAGATTTTGGCGCTATGTTTGAAATTCAACTACCTGTTTTGTGGCGACCAATTTTGTGCTTGTAAGCGGTCACTTTTTTATACACATAGAGTACTATAAAAGTTATATAGTTTTTAATTTAGTCTGTAGATGGCATAGAGTATGTAACCCTTTTGTAGATGCAACTCCTTTACCATGGATGACAAATAATCCTTTACATTCTCTTTGGTAGATGCTACGTATGTCAATGTCAAAATACAGTGCGCTCAAATTTTTAAAACTTATGAAAAATAATATTTAATTCAACAATTTAACTTAATGAATAAGTTTCAATATGCCGAAAGTTAAAGTAGAGAAAAAGTCTAGAGTACACAATGCAATCGCTAAACAAGGTAAAAAGTTTTAAATACTTGACTTAGTGAGGTTAGGAAAGTATAAAATCTTTTTATATGTAGCAATATACTCTAAGATAAAATCTTAAGAAAACAAATTTATTTTGATGACTACTTTTACACAAAATATTTACTTCGTCAAATAAATATTTCAGCATAATTTTATTTATTTATTTTTCAAATAAATGAGCATAATTTTATAAATCTTTTGTTTTGGTTTTTAGGAATTCAATTTAATAAGGACTTCGGCCAACATATTTTAAAGAACCCTCTTATTATAACATCTATGCTAGATAAAGCAGGTTTGAGGCCGACTGATGTAGCTCTTGAAATTGGTCCAGGAACTGGTAATATGACTATAAAAATGTTAGACAGAGTTAAAAAAGTCATAGCCTGTGAAATTGATACAAGGTAAAATTAAAAATGTGTCATTGTTTAGTACTTTTATACTTAAAAATTGTATGCTGTAAATATTTGTTACTATAATTACAGATTAGTTGCAGAACTCCAGAAACGTGTACAAGGTACACCCTACCAAGCAAAACTACAGATATTAGTTGGTGATGTTTTAAAAACAGAGTTACCTTTTTTTGATATTTGTGTAGCAAATATCCCTTACCAAATAAGCTCACCACTAGTATTTAAATTGCTTCTACACAGACCATTCTTTCGATGTGCCGTTTTGATGTTTCAACAGGAATTTGCTCAGAGATTAGTTGCAAAGCCAGGTGATAAATCCTATTGTAGGTTGTCAATTAATACCCAACTCTTAGCAAGAGTTGATATGTTAATGAAGGTATATATCTTATGATTATTCTTTATAGATTAATAAATAGATTTTTAATAATGTCAAAATATTAATTTTGTTTCTTTTTATATTCAGGTTGGAAAAAACAATTTTCGACCACCACCTAAAGTTGAATCAAGTGTTGTAAGGATTGAGCCAAGAAACCCTCCACCTCCTATAAATTTTGTAGAATGGGATGGCCTTACAAGAATAGCATTTGTTAGGAAAAATAAAACATTGTCCGCTGCTTTTAAACAAAACACAACAATGGCTGTGCTTGATAAAAACTATAGAGTGCATTGTTCTTTGCATAACAAGGTATTTGAAATATTTCATATATAATAATAGTATAGTCCTTAAATTTATAACTATGTATAACTCGCGTCATCTAAAAAGAACGCTGGAAAAAAGTGGAGAGGGTATGTTTGCACATGGGTATACTCGCGCACAAAAGTACTAAGCCTATTATTTTATTTTTCATAGCATTTCGCTCGGGGCTCCATATATTAGTTATTGGTAGGTAGTGGTAGGGTAGGGAGGTGGGCGGTGGGAGGTGGCCCTCTTCGGAGGGCGGTGTGCCATGCGGGTTGCTCCTGGTACTTCTCTGATAGCAGAGTGGACCTTGGAGCAACCCCATGGTTATTGTGGTCTGCTTCGGCAGACCTGCCGTCGGGACGTCGTAGTTGAATGCGTAAGCGATCCTTCTTAATCCATTAAGACGGGGGAAGGCTTTGTTGGGTTTTAGTGGGTAGTACTGGTTTTGCCGGTGAGTCCCACACCTCGTGCGTAAATGCATTTCCCAACGTTAAAAAAAAAAAGAAGGTAGGGACATTGAAAAATATATTAGATAGAATATCATTCAATAGAATTCTATTTATTATTAAAATATGTTTGATTCAGTGTAGAATGATTAATATACTTACAAAAAATTAAATTAATATGTTTAATACATTTTTTTTATTATTAACTGCATTATTATTAGACTCCTTTTTTGTAAAACAATATACGTCAAAAACAATTTTTCTCTTTTCTATATATAAAACAGTTTCGTAATTAAAAACTTTTGTGTGCGCGATGGTATTTCGAACTGACCAATAGCGCGCCGGCAAGCATGCGGCGAATGCCCCGCAGCCCCTAGCCGCCCCGCGCCCCGCTTCTTACCACCAATTTGACTGATAAATCACTTCAAGCTTGACAGCCAGCGTTCGTTTTAGATGACGCGAGTTATAATATAATAATGACTAAATTAGATAATAGGAAATTTTAGTCAAGTAGTAAGAAATTTATTTGTTACAGGAAATACCAGAAGATTTTGATATTAAACAAAAAATACAAGAGGTGTTAATAGCAGCTGAGGCAGATCAAATGCGTGCACGAACAATGGATATTGATGATTTTATGAAGTTATTACATGCTTTCAATTCTGAAGGAATACACTTTGCATGATAATAATGTGTTTATTTGCAATATTCATTTTACAGCTTTAAATTACTGGATTAAACTACTAGATATTACATTATAACTGTTGGAGGATGTTTTATTCATGTACCAAAACATTTTTGCTGAAACCTCTATCAGCATAATCAGAATCTTTAGTTTGTTCAGATTTATATGGGAATCCAGCTTGTCCAGGCAATACCATTGGCTTGGTCCTTGATACTCTCCAACCTCCCTTTTTAGTCCAATCCTAAAATAAATTATATATATTTACAAGTATGGTTAGAGTATGTTTAAGAAAAATGTAAATTAAATAAAATATCAAATTCTTATACTTATATATATTATGTGCAATACTAGTTTGATACCATACCATACTCCTCTATTTTCCATGATCATTTATTTTTCAAAGAACCATATTGTATGGCTTATGTCCCGCTAGTCTAAAATAAACTGTCCAAATATTTTTTTGTGATTTAGTCATATGGTGTATAACCATAAGTTTAATTTTATTTCTAAGTAAAGATGTCAAAGGACCTTTATGAGATAAAATAATAGATTCACTTACATTTCCTTGATATTTAAAATAGTAATGAGTTGCTAAAATTCCAACTGCAATAAGTCCAATTTTTCCAGTAATGTACCTATAATCAGCTGCACGTTGGATTCCCTATATACAAGAAAAATAATAATTTAAATTTCCGTAAATCTAAAATAAGGTTATTTTGGTTACATAATCTTACCAAAACTGGAGAAAGTTTGGTGAATAATACATCCAAAGGTTTTCGATAAAAACGACGAATAGGATTGGTGCGTTCTCTCCAATATTCTTCAACATGTACAGGTTCATTTGAAGCTAAGATTTGATCCTTCAACCATTGCTTACGCCAAGCTCTTTCAACATCGGTCATTCCAAGACATCTCTCTCTTTCAGAAGCCACACGACCAGCAATGGTCATGGGCTTTACGCCAGCTGTCTGTGCCATCTTTAGATGTGTTATTTCCTATTTTATTTTGTTTCGTTTAGACGTGAACTATATCTGTTATTTTATGATTTTTCAGTTCTTTACTTCTTTGACATTGGCACTTTATTGAAAATTGACTTTGAGTTTGACATATTTAGGAATTACAAAAAGATCATATAATAAATTATAATATCTTACAATAAAATGTGATTTTTAATTTAATGACTAATAATGCTTATATTTTTGCTCGATTTTATTTATTTATTTTCAAAATTTCGTAAGAAATATTATCTATACCTAATAGACTTAACAATTTTCAAGTTGGTCTAACTCTATGGTATTGGGTAATGGCAAGTCGCGTGTGACAGTAAAAAATATTTTCCGAAACTTTAATTTTTGTTTACGTTTATTTTGTGTAATTGGAAAGTGAAGAGTTAGTAATTATAATGCCTCAATACCATACAGTAGAAATCAATAAAACAGAATGGATTGTACCTGAAAGATATCAAATGCTTACACCTGTAGGATCTGGCGCTTACGGTCAAGTTTGGTATGTATTTATTTCGAATGTATAGGCACATTGCCAGTACTTATTTTAAAATACATTTTTATAATAGGCATGACCATATCCTATTCGGTGAAATCTATTTGTAAATATTATATTCAGCAAATCTAAATACCTAGTGTAAAAACTGTGTGGGTGGAACAGGTTTCATACCTATCATTTTAATCAAGTATTATCTTATAAGTTGATTGTAATACGATTAAACAATGCAAACAAATTGGGACTTACAGAGCTATAACAAATTGCAAAGTTCCTTATTCATGATACACATAAATACAACACAAAAATGTAATTTTTTGCAATATTTATTACTTTAGGAGATTTTTAGTATTTTGTCGCAAAATTAATATTACATATATTACAAAACAAAGTATTTTGGAATTATCTCATAGCTTTTTAATTTTTTTGCTAAAATTAGGTACTTAGTAAAAATTTTTACTTTCTTTTTCAAGCTCAGCTATTGATACTTTGCATAACATGAAAGTGGCCATAAAAAAATTAGCCAGGCCCTTTCAGTCCGCTGTTCATGCCAAGCGTACATACAGAGAATTGAGAATGTTAAAACATATGAATCATGAAAATATTATTGGTAAGTGATATTTTTCTTCCAAAACCATAATATGCAAGTTGAACTGAATTTATTTTCTAAATAATGAAATTGTTACAGGCCTCTTAGATGTGTTTACCCCTGAAAGGAGCTTAGAAGAATTTCAGCAAGTTTATTTAGTCACACATTTAATGGGTGCAGACTTGAATAATATAGTTCGCACACAAAAGCTTTCTGATGAGCATGTACAGTTTCTTGTTTACCAGATTCTTAGAGGCCTAAAATATATTCACTCGGCAGGAATTATTCATAGGGTAGGTATATGTTTTATTTTTCTGTGTAATTATATGTTATTATAATTTATTGAATATTTATTTACATATAACAATGTTCTACTTCTAGATTATAGCTATCAGCTTTGCTCACATGTTATAATAACAAAATATAATATACTCTTCATTTGTTTTTTAAAATAAGTATAAAATAATTCACCCTTATAAGCTTAAAACATAAATTAAATAAAATCCTTTCTTGGTAGTTTTCATTGTTCTTAAACAGCCAGTCAATGAATGCACAGTATAAATAAATATATTTATATAAGATCATCATGGTAATAAATGTATGTATTTTGGTTTATTATTGTAGGACCTTAAACCATCCAATATTGCTGTAAATGAAGACTGTGAATTGAAAATTTTAGACTTTGGTTTGGCCAGACCAACTGAGACTGAAATGACTGGTTATGTTGCTACAAGGTATATTTATCACTTTATAGCTTTTAGGTTATTCTTTGCCAGAAACAAATGACATATGAAGGATTTAAGTATACTTTTATCTTGCTATGCATTTAAGTTTGTCATAAAGAAATAAAATATTATTGATAACAGAAGCCATTAATAAGAACAACAGAATTATTTACATGGTCTTTTTTTAGCTTTTCTAGTCTGTATATCACAAAAATTGCTTTTAATATTTTTCTATTTAATATTATATAATATTTATGATTAAAACAATGCCATAATATATTTAAGACTGTTGTCACATGAATAGATATGTGTGAAAAACTTTTGTTTTGGAAATGAATCCACAAAAACTTCTTTATTTTTAAAATATTTTATTAGTCAATTAAACAATAAAAATAAACTTTATGTACATGTGTACTGGGTTGTAAAAAGAAAAGAGATATATTCATAAATGATAATTTTAGATGGTATAGAGCACCAGAAATTATGTTAAACTGGATGCATTACAATCAAACTGTGGACATCTGGTCAGTTGGATGCATCATGGCAGAGTTACTTACAGGCAGAACTCTCTTCCCAGGCACAGATCGTATCCTTTCTTATAAGTAATATTTTAACAATAGATATTTAGATAATTAGTTTTGACTTACATTTTTCAATATATAATATTTACCATTTTTAGTGTTATATTTTTTTTTATATATGTGTTATATACTAAATTTAAATTATTATTATAAAATTTCTTGTAAGTGAAGGAAATCAAGGATGCATCCCATGAAATTTATATTTTAAAGCTTAAACTAAATATCTATTTATTTTTAAGAGGTAAGATTATTTAGAGAACCCAAACAGCATTTTTCATGTTTAACTGGACATGCTAATTACATGATGAGGTAAGTAATTAAGTATCATTTAATTCATTTTCAGTCTTATTTCAAAATTTTATTCTGTGTATCTATAACTTATTTTGTTATAATATTATTTTGTAGCTTTCAGTGTATTATATTCTGTTCTTAGGAAGAGTTTTGACAGATATGGGTTAGCTAAATTAATATTTTATTTTAAAAGTTAAGTATTTCATAAACACTAAAAATAAATTGATTTGTGTTGTAACTAGTTTCCCGTTTAAAAAAAATATGTGCCTGAAAATACAAATAAAATAACAAGTGTGCATTATGAATTGACAATATTGAACGCATTTATTAATTACTAGCATTGCCCGCGGCTCCGCTCGCGTTCAGATGACCAAAAACCAAATTCTTAGGATTTACATATTAGTATACTCTTACAATGCAGTTTTTGTATTTTTTCTCAAAAATGAGATATTTTCCCGTGGTAAAAAGTATCGTATATATTGACCCGGATAACCAGCTATCACCATACTAAATTTCATCAAAATCCGTCCAGTGGTTTTTCTGTGATGCGGTAACAGATAGACAGACAGACAAAAATTCTAAAAACTATAGATTCGGACTCTGTATCGGTAATAATGTCTATTTCAATAAGATTTTCCAAAAAATATTTAATGTACAGATTCGGCTTAGTTACAATTTTATTATATGTATAGATTTTTTAATGAGCTGTCAGGCCTCTTACAGTAGTACAATAGGTAGTACACAGTAGCTTAATTCAGTATATTGTTTGGCTTTGTGAACCTTAATGAGCAACAGATATTCACCAACTGAACTTGATCATGGAGGTGCTCGGCACTCCCGCGCAGGAGTTCATGCAGAAAATATCCTCAGAGTCTGTGAGTATACTTGCGCATTACGGGGTACCGCGTTTGCGATATAACATGTACATATATATGTAACGCCGTTGTATTCCTTTGCATTTTATATTGCATTTATATGCACTTATAATTTGAGCTCATAAACAGATATTTGCAATAATTAAGTATATTAACATTTCTTTATAATGTAACAAAATTTAATATACTCGTATATAGGTACTAATCTATTGGAGACAGTTCTTTTTTTGGTTTCTGTTTGTTTTTTATCTGTATATGGGCTTTAAAGCTGTATATTTTATACCTAATGTTTACTTTGCTTTGCTTTTAAATGGTTTTGTTCGTTATGTCTACGCTTGTGTAAGTTTGGTGCTTGCCTTAACCTTAACGCGTTCAGATATTGACCATCTCACAAGAATATTATTTTTATGCGGAAAACCAGAACAAGAGACTATTGACAAAATTATAAGCGAAGAGGTAAGAAACTAATACGTAACTATAATATATAGCTATCTAAAATTTTGGAATATGTTGCATCAGTTTTGTTTGTTTATATATTTGTTGGAGTTAGTGTCTGTGTTGTCCATTTCATGTCACATGTGTTTAATGTGCCAAAGAAGTAGGAAAACATAACTGATGGAACAATATTACTAAACGTTAACATACGCAAACACATACTGCAAGTCTATACGCTTTAAAGTAAAATATAATAACACTCATATAAATAAGAATTTATTATTTGCACAATTGTAAACCGGTGTTCTTGTTTTAGTATGAATCATTAATTTATACGTACCTACTTTTTTGTTTACGGGTATTCTTTTCAATTGAAGATATAATTTTGACCACTATTCTACATAGCCATCGATATTGTAGGTATTAATTTACGGTATAGGTAATTACGGTAACTTATAAGTCCTTCGTCATTTCATTTGTGTTTCCAATGTTTGTATGTATGTATGTATGTATGTATGTATGTATGTATGTATGTGTATTTGTTCCGCAACCGATTTGTCTTGGTCTTTGTTTTAAAGTAAATAATAAATATAAAATGTAGATAGTGTTAAAGTATTATTATTTATAAATGCTCCCCATAAAAACTTTTATCCCCATTCTCACCCCCTTAAAGGGTGATTTCCGGGATAAAAACTATTTCACTCACTCACTTTTAATATCATGAGATTTAAAAAAAGTCTTATTGTAGTATACAAAACTTCCTGACAATAACAAATATATATTTTTTTATCCAATTTCATGCAGTCGATCCGAAGTTATGCGCCTACATATATTTCGGTGATTCATTTTTATTTATATAGTTCCATGGTAAGGTACGAGGCCAGTGTTGTAGATACCAGATACTTGATACACTATATTATATAACTTTAACTACATACATATTATATATATAAACACCCATGACTGGATTACAAACATGTTCATTACAAATGAATGCCACCAACGGGGCTAGAACTCGCGACCTCTGGTACAGCAAGTAGGGTCACTACAAACTGAGTCAAACGTGTCGTCAATAATTGAATATACTTGAATAACTCGTTAATGAATTTATCGATCGAATATTTAATGCGAATGTATGTGGGAGCTCTTGCTCAAATATGTAGACCATATTTGGATGTGTTTATAGAATAATATTGTATCAGGGTTTCGTAAACACATACCATGACAATGCCATAATAATGGCCAATAATTTTACATTTGTTCAGCGATAATCGAAATAGGTAATTATTTTGGTAGCAGATATTTATCATAATCTAAGACATTATAATGATAAATCGTAACGTATTAATATCTGTTTGTACAAGCTAGTTACACACCTAATATCTCCGTCAATATTATCACAGTCCATACAGTTACACGACGGCACCTAGGACCTAGGGCACTAGTGCGGGACGTGCGGGGGATACGCACCCGACTGTCATACCTACTCTAATATGACATTTGGTATACGGTTTTAGGGTCTTACATTTACAAGCATTTCCGTTAAAATCGAACCTACTACTGTGTGGGTTTTATACTGTGATATTATATATAGTTGCAATGTCGCAGGCTCGCAACTACATCCAGTCGCTGCCGACGCTGAAACGGCGCGACTTCCGTGAGGTGTTCCGAGGCGCCAACCCGCTCGCCGTCAACCTGCTCGAGCTCATGCTGGAGTTGGATTCTGACAAGTACGTAATATGTTGTGGTGATCTAGTGGCTAGCATGTAAGACTGTCCTAGGTTCGAGTCATAGATCAGGCAAAGTGTAGTTATTGAGTCTTTCTGTCAAGAAAGTCTCAGTAATAGCCCAGAGTTTGGATGTTGGCTGTGTTTGAGCCCCGTGCCTTAAAGAGCTCGTCAAGCCATCGGCCCTGCGCCTGATCTGTTAACGGTCGAGTTGAATTATTGTCTCATCGGAACTTGAGTGTGGCAGGAATAGAGAGTGCAGCTTGTGTTTGCGCGTGCACTTGTGCACTATAATATCTTTTGCGCAGTTGGCTAACCTTAGTGAGATTAGCCACAATCGTCGAAATCGGTCAGGAGTACATATTTTAATGTTGCCTTAGAACATTGTTGTTCATCTATTCGGAATAACCAAAACAGTTTAGGGTAGAGAATAAATATTGTACTATTATTTAACAGTAACAATGCTTATTATTATTAAATAAAACTATCTTTTCGGATTATTTCGCGGATTTATTTTGATTTTTGGTTCCCGACGTTTCGAATGCTTTACAGCATCCATGGTCACGAAATTTTATTGGTCGATGTTAGTTCTGCGACTTGTCGATACATAAATTGTAGCGAATGGTTAAATAAATGTTTTGTTTCCAGGCGTATAACAGCAGAGCAAGCGCTGGCGCACGAGTACCTGGCGCAGTACGCGGACCCCACGGACGAGCCCGTGTCGGCGCCCTACGACCAGAGCTTCGAGGACATGGACCTGCCCGTCGACAAGTGGAAAGGTAACGAACTATATCGTAATCAATTTTGTACAGATACTAGGGGCTTAGGCGCGTCCCTATGTAGCAATAGTACAATAGCCGATAAAGTAACTAAACAGCCATTATTTCCACCTTCAAGTAAAGTAATTCTGACAGTAAACACATTTTTATAGGAGCGGATCTATAGCAGTCGGGCTAATGAAGCTTACAATTATTAGTGAAAGAATTTGGCTATGTGAACTTCGCACCCGACTTTGGAAAAAATGTTCTTTTTTAGGTTTATTTGAACGATTTCGGTTAGTAGTAGATAGTAGTGAAGCTAACTTCGTTTGTAGTAGTGCCAAAAAAAATACAGACAACAAAAAAAAATGTCATCCCCGAAGTTGGTAAAAAAATTTTTTTCCGCTTGATTCATATAGAAAAACGTTAGTGCAATTTTTTTCGTTTGTAGTAAAACAAAAAAAAAATATTTTTTTTTTCGAGTATTTTTGCAGAACGATTTTTACTACATACATTTATTGTTTCGTTTGTAGTACCATTATTTCATTTGTAGTAACGTTAATTTTGGTTTGTAGTACCATTACTTCGTTTGTAATACCGTTATTTCGTTTGTAGTACCATTATTTTGTTTGTAGTACCATTATTTCGTTTGTAGTACCATCATTTCGATTGTAGCTGTTTGTAGTAACGTTAATTTCGTTTGTAGTACCATTATTTCGTTTGTAGTTGTTTGTAGTAACCTTGATTTCGTTTGTAGTACCATTATTTCGTTTGTAGTTGTTTGTAGTAACGTTAATTTTGTTTGTAGTACCTTTGTTTCGTTTGTAGTAACGTTAATTTCGTTTGTAGTACCATTATTTCGTTTGTAGTAACGTTAATTTCGTTTGTAGTACCATTATTTCGTTTGTAGTTGTTTGTAGTAACGTTAATTTTGTTTGAAGTACCTTTGTTTCGTTTGTAGTAACGTTAATTTCGTTTGTAGTACCATTATTTCGTTTGTAGTTGTTTGTAGTAACGTTAATTTCGTTTATAGTACCATTATTTCGTTTGTAGTTGTTTGTAGTAACGTTAATTTTGTTTGTAGTACCTTTGTTTCGTTTGTAGTACCATTGTTACGTTTGTAGTACCATTGTTTCGTTTGTAGTGCCATTATTTCGTTTGTAGTACCATTATTTCGTTTGTAGTACCATTATTTCGTTGTTGTCGTTTGTAATAATGGTACTACAAACGAAATTAACGTTACTACAAACCATTACAAGCGAAATAATGGTACTAAAAACGAAAGAATGGTACTACAAACGAAATTAATGTTACTAGAAACAACTACAAACAAAATAATGGTACTAAAAACGAAATTAAGGTTACTACAAAGAACTAAAAATGAAATAATGGTACTACAAACGAAATTAACGTTACTACAAACGAAACTATGGTACTACATACAAAATTAACGTTACGAGAAACAACTACAAACGAAATAATGGTACTACAAACGAAGTAATAGTACTACAAACGAAATTAAGGTTACTTCAAACAACTACAAACAAAATAATGGTACTACAAACGAAGTAATGGTACTACAAACGAAATAATGGTACCACAAACGAAATAATGGTACTACGAACGAAATTAACGTTACTACAAACCATTACAAATAAAATAATGGTACTACAAACGAAATAATGGTACTACAAACGAAATAATGGTACTACAAACGAAATTAACATTACTACAAACGAAACAAAGGTACTACAAACAAAATTAACGTTACTACAAACGAAATAATGGTACTACAAACGAAATAATGGTACTACAAACGAAGTAATGGTACTACAAACGAAGTAATGGTACTACAAACGAAATAATGGTACTACAAACGAAATTAACGTTACTACAAACGAAATAATGGTACTACAAACGAAATAATGGCACTACAAACGAAACAATGGTACTACAAACGTAACAATGGTACTACAAACGAAATTAACGTGACTACAAACGAAACAAAGGTACTACAAACAAAATTAACGTTACTATAAACAACTACAAACGAAATAATGGTACTACAAACGAAATTAAAGTTACTACAAACAACTACAAACGAAATAATGGTACTACAAACGAAATTAACGTTACTACAAACGAAACAATGGTACTACAAACAAAATTAACGTTACTACAAAAAACTACAAACGAAATAATGGTACTACAAACGAAGTAATGGTACTACGAACGAAATAATGGCACTACAAACGAAATAATGGTACCACGAACGAAATTAACGTTACTACAAACCATTACAAGTAAAATAATGGTACTACAAACTAAATTAACGTTACTAGAAACCATTACAAATAAAATAATGGTGCTACAAACGAAATAATGGTACTACAAACTAAATTAAGATTACTTTAAACGACTACAAACAAAATAATGGTACTACAAACGAAATTAACGTTACTACAAACAGCTACAATCGAAATGATGGTACTACAAACGAAATAATGGCACTACAAACGAAACAATGGTACTACAAACGTAACAATGGTACTACAAACGAAATTAACGTTACTACAAACGAAACAAAGGTACTACAAACAAAATTAACGTTACTACAAACAACTACAAACGAAATAATGGTACTACAAACGAAATTAACGTTACTACAAACGAAACAATGGTAATACAAACAAAATTAACGTTACTACAAAAAACTACAAACGAAATAATGGTACTACAAACGAAGTAATGGTACTACGAACGAAATAATGGTGCTACAAACGAAATAATGGTACTACGAACGAAATTAACGTTACTACAAACCATTACAAGTAAAATAATGGTACTACAAACGAAATTAACGTTACTAGAAACCATTACAAATAAAATAATTGTGCTACTAACGAAATAATGGTACTACAAACTAAATTAAGGTTACTTTAAACGACTACAAACAAAATAATGGTACTACAAACGAAATTAACGTTACTACAAACAACTACAAACGAAATAGTGGTACTGCAAACGAAATTAACGTTACTACAAACGAAATTAACGTTACTTCAAACGAAGTAATGGTACTACAAACCAAAATTAACGTTACTACAAATGAAATAATGGTACTACAAACAAAACAATGAATGTATTTAGTAAAAATCGTTCTGCAAAAATACTCGAAAAAAAATTTTTTTTTTGTTTTACTACAAACGAAAAAAATTGCACTACAAACCACTACTAACGTTTTACTATACGAATCAAGCGGAAAAATTTTTTTTTACCAACTTCGGGGGATGACATTTTTTTTGTTGTCTGTATTTTTTTTTGGCACTACTACAAACGAAGTTAGCTTCACTACTATCAACTACTAACCGAAATCATTCAAGTAAACCTAAAAAAGAACCATTTTTCCAAAGTCGGGTGCCAAGTTCACATAGCCAAAGAATTTTCATTATATAGAACTTACGTAGTGCTGTCTGTAACAACTATACCTATAATGATCGATATGACGCCTAAAACCTTATTCTCTCCCGTGACCACGATTGTTGTACAGCATTTGAAAAGTCGGAAACCAAAAATCAAAATAAATCCCGCGAAAAAGATAATTTAAATCCGAAAAGATAGTTTGATTTAAAATATTATATTTTTATTTATTTTCTCATCAATTTTACATAAACATCAATTACAAAACGGTACACTTGACGCCGTTTATCATAATTTATGAATTTTTCGTCCTTCTGAGACCTGATAATAGTATTGATATTTTGACTGCCTTTGTCATATTTAATTTTTAATATTAAATAATATATGTATTTATTTCTCATTTTTCAGAGCTAGTATGGAAAGAGGTGGTGGAGTTCAAGCCGCACCCGCAGCACATGAACACCGTGATTGAAGTCAATCCCTCGTAATTCTATCACGTCTTAGTGATGGCTATCGCCGCTATATTATATATACGTATACATATATCCATCTCTGTTAGAGTGGTACAATTGCTCTGTACTTTATACTTACAGATTTTTTATTTATTCATAAGTTTATGTATTTTTCCCAGACTAGCGACTCACCCTCGCTCTGCTCGACTTCGTCCCTACTTAACTTTTAAAGTTTAGTATAGATTTCTTAGAGATGAGATATTTTCCCGCAGTAAAAAGTATCCTATATGTTGACCTGGATAACCAGCTATCATTATACCTAATTTCATCAAAACCCAATGGATTTTCCGCGATGCGGTAATAGACAGACAGACAAAAATTCTAAAAACTATAGATTCTTATATAGAATATATAATGTACAGATTCGACTTATATTTTTTTTATTATATGTATAGATTAAAGAATTATATTGCTGGGCAAAAAAAATGTCCAAGGTCGATAGGTCGATTACTTTCTTCAAAGAATAAGGGAAATTTTATATACATATTAATCTTTAGTTAACATTTTTTGAGGAGAAAATATAAAATATATTCTTTTGTGTTTTTAAACATTAGTTCTCTTCCTCTTGCAAAAGAAATAGCATAATATTTAGCTTATTTAATTATACTTTTTTCTTTGTTATAATAAAATCCGTCAGCTATTTTCATTTATTTACTAATCAGAGTAAAGAATATTCTATTAATATTTGTATTATGTTTTAAAAGTTTTATATCATTTTATAACATTATTTTGCTTCATGTTTAGTTATATGACACTCTCTCTATAATATTCATTAGTCTGAGGTATTTATACAAAACAATTATTTAGTATCTTTATAATGTATTATTATCGTGCAAGATGCTAATAACAGTTATATTTTTCTAAATTAAATTTTCTGTTTTTTAGATAAAATTGAATACAAATAATTCCAAATTCATTAAATTTATAACAGAGAAGAAGTACCACTCTAGTGCGACAAATATTTTATTACGCCATGGGCTATATTCATAGATCAGACCATAAAATGATAGTTTATTCTTATACTTAATATAGATGATACATCAGATAGTGTTATTTTATAGCACGGCCTCGGTCAGTACGTTGCATTAGTCAAGTCATACTTTACTATGGACACATATCCATAATTTTTATTCCCCCAGTGTAGGTACATTTTATTTTATTGAATGTAGGTTGTCATCAATAAAAGTATTAAATAATAATTATTTTTAAGTAATGAACTATGTATTAAACTCATATAATTTATTCTTATTCGTCTTCTACCTAGCTATACATAAGTAAGTTATATCTTGTTTTATTCAAAATGAAGCAATCGATTTTTCAGTATTTAAATTTTTTTTCATGCTTTAATAGGCATGGTACGAATTATTTACTTATTTGGACATTGTGATGGAACTGGCCTAACTAAGAGCAATATGTTTTAGAATAATGCTTTATATTGCTTTATTCCAAAATTCTAGATATTAAGTGCAATAAAAACGGGCTTACTGTGAATTTAAATATTATTGTAGTTGGCAACAATGATATTATGTCCCGTCCACCAAACCGACTGGTGATACATGTCTCTACCTTTGCTCACTTTGTTATCTTTAAAAGATTTTTTAAAACAAGATTATTAAATTATGTATTTTATTAATTTTTAAGTTCAGGTTCAAAACCATTTGCCATAATCAGAATTGTTACCTTACAAACTTTATATATCCAATGGTGAGCTAGCAAACTTTCTGTTTTTATATATGTATATTATTTTTTCATATTATTATTTTTATCAAAAAGGATTGATATGAAATGGAACTTACGCGCTTAATATTTGTTTTAAAAAAGAAAATATAATGAGTTTAACTTATACTTACAAAACTGATTTTTTGCACTTATTTAGTTTTCATAAATATATGAAATTATTTATACAATTCAGGTCATTTAGACTTCATATAATTTCTCGTTACAGTAAACGTCTGTACAAAGTACTAGGCAATTAATTGAAATTTTGATGTTTCACCATTGGTTTGCACAAGATATTCTTGTTACTATTATAGTATATCATTGTTTTGACTTAGTTTTATATTTGAATGAATATAACTTTACTTCAAATTATTATTATTTTTATTTTAATTTAGATTTAATTTTTATTATCACAAATAATAGCAAAAATTGTATACTATTATTTTCTCATCTCACAAAAATATCAAAATAGAAGTCCCTAGTTACGATTTTCGGACAAACCGCGCCCCCTACGACGTCACTGCGTGAGGTAACAGGCAGTTATCAACATCATTAAACAATCATTCGCAACAATAGATAGTGTAATAAAAAGTGAGCCGATACTTAACTTTAAGCTAAATCATAATTATATTAAACAAATAAAATATATGTTTCATAATAAGATATAGTGCCTAAAACCGTTTTTTTTAAAAGACCGAGTTTTTGGTCTAAGCTAATTTGAAGTTTTCTGAAATTACTATAATCTTTAAGAGTAGTAATTTTCAAAACCCAAAAGCGAACACCCGAAAAATGATATCAAAACAATAACAGAGATTTTTTTTAAAGATTATAGATTTTTAAAAATCTTGAAGATCATAAAGTTCATTGTAAAAATGTTAGCTTTTTCTTATTAGTCTACTTGGAAGTTTTCTAAGAAACTTTAAATTAAGAATTATAAATTTTATAAAGTTTTTAAAGTATTAAAGAAATGTTTTAGAAATAGCTCAAAAACTATGGGAAACTAGAGATGCTATCCCTTAATGATTTATCTACATGCCGTACATTTTTTGAGTTACTTTAGGAAATTATTTCTTAAAAATTTATACCAATTTGATTTATTACTGAAGATTTTATAGTGCACAAATATTTGTGTAGACACGAGTAAATTCTCTATTCTTTTCACTCTCCAATTCCGATGGGACGACAATTCGACACGACCGTCGAGATCGGGCGCAGGACTGCGAGCTTATGTGCTCTCTGAGGCAGGGGGGTGTACCACCGCAAACTTCACAACACCGGCCTTTTACCGACATTTTTTTAACAAAAAAACACCCAAAGATTTACTTATTACTTAGCTCGACTTGAAACTCGAATCCAGGGCCTCCTGATCGGCAGGCGTACATACTAGCGACAATTGACATGACCAACTAGGCAGTCAAATTGAATAGGTTTCCAAAAAAAGTATATCTTTACCAATAGTTTACTTACCCCTAGTATTAAAAGAGAAAAAAAAAATCAATATGTCGTAGATATTATACTTCAGAAGCCAAGAAATAATATTATTTAGCTTTAAAAAACTTAAAAAAAAAACAAACTTCCAGGCACTATTATATATATACCTATTGAGATATTTTCGAAGTCTTATGACTTCAGGGGAAGATCATATTTGGCTAAATCCATTTTGTTAGACTAAAGTTTATTCATTTCTGAAGTCCCAAAAATCATTACTTTTGGCATATTGTCACTTAGAAAAAAATGTCTAGGATCTATCTATCTTCTACTCGTAATATTTTGCACCCCTGTTAGTTACATATACGAGTATGTACTACTATTTGACTAGCGTTCACATATGACTGTCTTAGCGGCTCATATGAGACACTTACCTAATCATCAAAACTCGATAAAAGTAAGTTTCATTTACACGTAATAAGGAATATGCGTGTGATTTAAATAAAGGTGAAATATTTTTTTGTTAATCTTTATTTCTTTTGATTTATTAATTTTAATATGATAATTTCTATTTGATTAAGAAAATAATTATTAAAACGTGCAAATGTAGGTGGGGAATTCAAAGTAGTTGGAACGCAACGCCATTCATTGGTCAGACTGAATATGAGTATCAAAACATAGTCTATCTATAATTTTTTTATATAAAATTGCTTATAAGTAGGGGAGCCCAAGAGAGGATTTTTGATTTACTCAAGCGCGGCAGATTAACATAAGGGGAGAACTTGATTTTTGACCTTGCACTCTGTTGAGTTCCCCCACCATAAGTCCTCTATATAAGGGCGCGCTTCTAGAGCAGCCATCTAAAGTGTGCAAATCAATAATCTGCCGATTTTCACAAGCCGAAGAGGCAAAAATCGTACATAAACTGTCTTTTCAGGATGTAATTAGCCCACTATACTCCAATCTGACGATTTCAAGTATCTCTAATTTATCAAAATATTTTATAACATAAAAATCTAATTATATACATTCACATGAATTGAACTCCTTATTGAGGAATAAAACAATGAAATTTACAGAGTACATTAAATTTTTATTAGGGCCCACTTAGTGTAACACCTCTGATAATCCTATATATACATGGATCCGTCATCTTCTTTCTATGAAAATCATACAACGCGATCAGACGTGCTAGACAGCGGCGAGACAATTTACATAATCAGTTGACATAATATTTAAGACAATAATATGAATTAAGATCAAGAGAACTTATTAAGGCTCAACACATCGCGACCGCAGCGCCACCACACAGACGATTAGTGGAATATTTTTAAATTCAAAATTATATACCCGTACTTTTACCAAGTCTAGTATTTATTATCTTAAACTAAAAGATAATTAAAACATTCTCGAAAATATTTGTACATGCATGCAGTGATTGCAAATATAAGGAATTACAGAGAACTGGTAGTGTCCAGCTGACTTAATAATATAGCGACCAACTGTGAAGCAGCAAACATCAGGTCAATACAATAGTAAGGGCCAAACAATGTTATCTTACAGTTTTTTTTAATCATAAAATGAATGTTACATTTTAGGTGACAAATATTTTTTTACATTTAAAGTGGATCAAAGTAAATCTAATATGTACAAAATGGCATGTTAAATGATCCATTCATAAATTTATATTACATATTTTTCCATACCAATGCTTGTTCAACACTTACTTTGGCGAGATAACTTACAAGAACATTGATTTAGACATTTACATGTATTTTTATTATATTCGTCGATGTCGCACTGACACTACCGACAGGTCGCACATGGATAAAATAAAGTTTACTAATGATGACACTCAAACGATCGTTTTGAGATCCAGCTTGCTTAACTCATAATTTTTCATAAATAATATAAAATTATCACATGTTTTTATTACATTACTGAGATATTTACAAGGAAGTAGAGGAGTTCGGCACGGTCAGGTTGAGCGGCAAGTCGTCCTCGGAGTCGGAGTCGTGCGCGTGTCGCCGCCCGCGCCGGCCCCGCGCCGCGCCCGCCTCGCTCTCCGCGCGCTGGTCATTGATGACCTTCACTACGCTTCTCAGTCTTTTGCTCTCGCGGCCGCTCAGCTTGCGCCGCTTGGCGCCACTCGGTCCCGCCTGCTCCGGCGCCGGAGCAGGCGCCGGCGCCGGCTCCGCACTGGTCTCCGGGCTCTTCGAACTCTTCACCCCCTTTCCGGAATTTGACTTTGACTTCCGTTTTCGATCTTTGCTAGATTTCTTCTTGCGCTGCGACCGCTTAGGTGGCATCCGCTGTTTCCGCTTCCGCGTGAGTCTACATCTCTCCGAGTAGGTGGGCACCCTCCGCAGTTTCTTATGTCGCGGCTCCCTGCCGGAGGCGTCGGAGTCGGTGCTGGTATCGTAGGAGGAATCGGAGGAGGAGGTGGATTGCGTGCAGTCGGTGAACAAGGAGCTCAGCTCGGAGAGGGTGGGAGAGGGCGTCGTGCGGCGCGAATTCGAGGTGGTGCTGGCATCGGCGGAGCGGCGGCGCTTGCGGCGGGCGGGGGCGGGCGCGGGCGCGGGGGCGGCGGGGGCGGGCGCGGCGGCAGGCGGCGACGGCGTGTAGGCGCTGGCGCTGTCGCTGTCCGAGTCGGGCGTGTCTCGCGCGTCGTGCCGCCGCAGCGTGAGCTTGACAAGCGGCGCGGCGGGCGGGGCGGGCGAGGTGCGCGGGGCGGGCGGGGAGGGGCCTTCATTGGGCTGCACGTCGCCGTCTTGCACGATGACGTCGCTGTCAGAGCCGAGCAGGTCGACCACTTCAGGCGTGCGGTCCTGCGGCGGCTTGATGTAGCCGACGACCATGACCTCGGAGGAGTCGTCGTCGGTGTCGGACTGCGAGATGGTCTCGATAGGGATGACGTTGTCGGACGAGGCGGGCTCCGGGATGTAGTGGCGCGGGTAGGCGGGCGCGGGCGCGGCGGGCGCGGCTACGCGCGAGGGGCCCGGCGGCGGGTCGGCCGGCTCCGAGCTCGAGATCATCACGATGTCCGAGTCGACACTGGCTTCCGACTCCGTGCTGGAGAGCACCTCGTTGACCATGGTGGACACCCGCGTGTCCGTTGTGTACTGCACGTTGCGGTCGTACCCGGTCATGTCGTACGGCGTCGACGCGAAGCAGTAAAGTTCATGGAGGAAATGCAACGTTCTTTCTCCGAAATAGCGTTGCATGATATTTCTAAACTCACTTGAGTTGATATGATACTGAGGGAGTAATTCTAAAATTCTCGATATTACATATGAAATGTGTCCTACATTTTCATTTAATAAATAATGAAGTTCCCTATTTAGCCACGGTACTAACCGGTGCATTTGAGAATCATTGTACCTAAAAATAAATTGGCATATTAGACATTTTTAGTTAACGTTAAAAATATTTACAATAGAAATATTCCAACATCATTGATAGTATGCCTACTAGTAGCCTGTGTTATTCCAGATTAAAATCTATCTCTCTACCAAATTTTATCCAGATCCATTAAGACGTTCTGGATGGATGATCGAGTAACAAATATTCAAACATCCAACTAAACTTTCACATTTATAAAATTAGTAAGAAGTAAGATACAGTTGCCACAATGAACACACATGAACAAAGAATAGTACAATCACCTGTAAAACTCTGGTGTGCAATCTCGGAATCTGCCGGTGAAGTCCGGCAAGGGGCGCGCCCATAGGTTGTAGCGGTAGACGGTGCGGCGGAACGAGGCGGGCGAGCGGCGGCGGTGCGCGGACGGGAACATGTCCGCCATCATCGGGTAGCGCAACAACAGCTGTTGAATGGCTATCGTCTCGCGCCGCGGCAGTGTTAACGTTGTCCTAAACCAATAACTCAAATTGTAATTTACATACAGAATGTCATATCTGTATAATCAAATTACTAATTACTATTATTTCAAAGTAGTGTGTGTTTGTTTGTCATTTACACTGAAACTAGCTAAGCGGTATCAGCTCAGGTTACTATATTATATAGATAGATTATAAAACTTAGTTGAATTTATATTACAGTTGTTTATTAATTATAATTCATTAATGAATCTGAGCAAGGTCGCTCGATGAGGATCAACATTATTTCGCATTGCTCACTATAGGCATATGCAACGCAGTTTACAGACCGAAAGCCTAATAAGTCATACAGGATATAAAATAACAGCAATACTAATAAACAAATAATAAACAGCAGCAGTAGTTTCATATAATTTTGTGATAAATACTAACAATTTGCACCGAGCAATCTTCTTTGTGTTTTCTCCATTCTTTGTAATAGTGGAGAAGTAATGGCATTTGTTAAAGTAGTTAACAAGAAAATTGAATAGAATGGAGTTAATAACTATCCACTGCTAACAATTCAGTTAGAATCAATCAATTTGGTTATTATCCTTTTAATTACATATTATATATGCATATACATATATAGTGTCCGTAGATGCCTTTTACGTTTATAATATTACAGATGCTCACATAAGAGATTTTTCAGACTTAATTCATGAATAATACCTTATTTTCACAAAACTTTCATTTTAAACCTATAACTTTCTTAGATAACACTTTCTCTATTAGTGAAAACCATATAAAAATCATACAGTAGTTTCCAAGTTTAACTAGAACAAACGCAAAATCAGTGCAAAGATGGATTTTAAATCATATTATGTAGTGTAATATTGAAATGGTAATTTCAAAAATCAATGATTTTTAAGAATACTTCCATACCACTTATATACTATAAACATGGTAAGACCATTTTTCACCTGTATCTAAATCTTCTATTGACTGCAACAATGCTATCCATATCAATTCTTTCAGCAATTTCTTCAGTTTGCCTTTGCTCCACCATATATTCCTCATATTGATGGTTAGACCGAACATTATGAATGATTGATCGGAAGGTTTGCTTACACAAAGGACATTCTGCTTTAACCTGAAGTAATAAAATTAGTTCTTAATATTTGATAATCAAAACTGATGTAGCTAATAAAATAAATAAGAGAGCTGACTTCTAAAGCTGCTGACTATTATTATTTTTTCAATTTACAATAAGTCTGATTAATTTTATATTTTTGGCTTGTCTATACTAATATCATTAAGAGGAAAGATTTGATTTTTTGTTTGTTTGTACCGAATAGGCTCCGAAACTACAGAACCGATATAGATGAAATTTGGTATGAAAATAGTTTGAGACCTTCGGAATGACATAGGATAGTTTGTATCCCGGAAATCATCCCTTAAGGGGTGAAAATTGGGGATGAAATTTTGTATGGGGAATTTATACAAATATTATAGAGGTAAAGATTGTGAGTTGTCATCAATCAATCATTTTAATAAAATTGTAGTTACGCACTGTCTGTAACAAGTATATAACACCTTTGATATATCTAAAACCTTAAGTCTCTCCTGTGACCATGATTGCTGTAAAGAATATGAAATATTTGGAACCAAAAATCAAAATAAATCCATGAAATAATCCAAAAAGATAGTTTTATTTAAAATATTTTGTAATATTTCCAAATTAAATTGTACTCAATGAATTAAATATACAATAAATTATAATTTTACTTACTTTGCTCCAAGTAAGTAAACATTTGAAACAAAATTGGTGAAGGCAGGAATCAGTAAAGGATTTATTTCGGCATGTACCAAGACATATTGCACAATTAGGCGGCGGTGAGCCTCTTCCTCCTTCATGACGAGGGCTGCTGTCTTCACTCTTGACACTGTTAGAATTAGCCCCTGAAGTGTCTTGAGTTGAATTTGGTACAGCTTCCATAGCTGATTTCTCCTAGCTGTTGTCAAAGACATTAAATATATATAATGAGATATATGTTCTTTTCAAATATATGTACTTTTATGGTCAACCAGAATAAAGCAGTTTAGATTATATGTCTATTATACTAAAGTACGAAAATTAACAATCATAAAGAAAATCATTCATTAAAGTACATTACAGTTACTACTATAAAATGACACAATATGCTTGCATGAAACATTGTACAAGATGAACTGATTTTGAATTCAGAAACAGTATCGAATTATACATTCAGTATGTATTCTGAATACTATTTACGTATCTGCTCTAGGGCATGTTATCAAGATTTTATAAACTTCTAGGGCAATTTTAAAAGCTATCCCAACTATAACAAACTGTAAACTCTAATATTGAACTAAATATATAAAATAAATATTATTTTAAACTATCAGGACGTCCTGATACCTATCAGCGTTATATCACTTAGTGCTCTTTTGGAGTAGGATTTGTCACCTACTGTGTCTCGAAATCCTGACAAACAAGTCTAGACAAGGTAAAAGAAATCTTTGATTAGTGATTACCTTTTCATGTGGATTAAGTAACACCGATAACAACAATTTAAGGAAGTTTACACGGAATCATTTGTACGACACCTGTAACAATATTTTTATGAAATAGTAAGATTTTTATTTTATTGTCGTAGTGCGTGATACTGCCGTGTTTCTTGACAAGAAACGATGTAGGGTGAACACTTTAAAATATGTATATTTTTTTTACATTAATAGCTTGATTATTGCCATGCTTATTTAAGTGCTTATAACATTAAATATAAGGCTACCATTGATGCGAAATTAGATTCGATAGAATGTACATAACTTGCTTATTAGTAGCCCTTTTCGGAACTTATAACTGCGGTAAGCGGTTTACAGTACAACTTACATCTCAATAAAAGAAAAATTGAATTCAATTTATTTTCTGTGCATGCTTTGATTTATACTTTTAAATTTTAATGTAGACATCATCGTTAGATGGATAACGAAAGTGTGTCTTGACTCTTGGAGTTTTCTTAAAAGTTTTGATATTGCAACATTATTAAATTGTCAAAGGCACAATTGCCATCCATGCTTCAAATTCACCTACCCTACCCCAGCCTGCAAATTTATGATATTCGCAATGAAAAAAATACTAATCGATAGATTTTTAATAGCTCAATTCAACTACGTAGCCCTTCCAAATTGCTCACCATTAATTATAAAATTAAAAATCAATAAAGTCCTTGAAAAAAAATTCATTTATCCGTATATTCAAATTTCTATATCTTTTGATATATACAATATTTTAAATTGCTCAAAGTTCTAAAATACTGCTCAAGTTGCATTTGTAATTGCTCAAGTAGAGTTCTCACCAGCTCCACTTTCCTTAATTATTAAATAAATATAAATAGTTTGAATAAATTTAACGTATAGATAGGTGAGTGCTGCGCATGCGCGCAAACAGTAACGCGAGTCGCAAGGCAAAAAAATCAAGTGTTTCATAACCTCATCATAGTGAAATGAAACTGTAATACTCCAAGCACAACATCATCTATTATCAGGTATTTTTATTATTTATTGACTTATTCATTATGTTCAATTTATACAAAAATCAAATCATGACTAAAAGGTAACTTTATTTTGTAACTTTATGTCTGTTTTGTATATTTTAGCTATATTTATTCTAGCATTTTTTAGTTTTAGTCAAAAAGTGAAAAATATCCAGCAAACATAATGAGCATGTATGTATTCAGCCCTTTTTAACGTCCCACTGCTGGGCACAGGCCTCCCTTCAATACGAGGGGGATCAGGCCATAGTCTACCACGCTGGCCAAGTGCGGGTTGGCGGACTTCACATGTCTTTCGAAACTTGCTAAGTTCTCTAAGACATGCAGGTTTCCTCACGATGTTTTCCTTCACCGTTAAGACAAGTGGTAATCATGTTAGAAATGATTCGCACATGAAAATATCAGAGGTGCGAGACCCGGGATTTGAACTCGCTTCACTCGGTTTCCCAAGCGAGCGCGTTACCACTGGGCTACCACTGTCTTATATGATCACCAATGAGCATGTATACTACTACTTATTTTGTTTTGGAGCAAAGAAGAATATATAGAAAATACTTTGTAAACAGACATAAAGTTACAAAATAAAGTTACCTTTTAGTCATGATTTGATTTTTGTATAAATTGAACATAATGAATAAGTCAATAAATAATAAAAATACCTGATAATAGATGATGTTGTGCTTGGAGTATTACAGTTTCATTTCACTATGATGAGGTTATGAAACACTTGATTTTTTTGCCTTGCGACTCGCGTTACTGTTTGCGCGCATGCGCAGCACTCACCTATCTATACGTTAAATTTATTCAAACTTTTTATATTTATTTAATAATTAAGGAAAGTGGAGCTGGTGAGAACTCTACTTGAGCAATTACAAATGCAACTTGAGCAGTATTTTAGAACTTTGAGCAATTTAAAATATTGTATATATCAAAAGATATAGAAATTTGAATATACGGATAAATGAATTTTTTTCAAGGACTTTATTGATTTTTAATTTTATAATTAATGGTGAGCAATTTGGAAGGGCTACGTAGTTGAATTGAGCTATTAAAAATCTATCGATTAGTATTTTTTTCATTGCGAATATCATAAATTTGCAGGCTGGGGTAGGGTAGGTTTCAAAGTCTCTGGTTGCTCTGGTTTTATGCGTTGTTATCTTAGAGTATACATAAGCATATTATACTGTAAGGGGGACTCCGTTTACCCACCACTAATGAGGGAAGTTTCTTAAAAGGAGGTCACTACATGTATGATCTATTTACATTCAGTCTGAGGCTAAGCAATTTATCATGACATCTCTTTTGGTGTTTGCTACTATTGTGTTCGCATCTTACCTGTGCATCATTACCTCTCATGGTACCAAGAAGTTAGACCAGCTGAAGGAACAATTAAAAGGAGAGTGGCATCCTGTGGTGGTCCTGATTGACAGATGGATCAACACACAGCTTAAGCCGCTAGTCATAGAACCGTGAAATTTGGAAAACATATTCCTTATATGACGTAAGCATTCGATAAGAAAGGATTTTTCAAAATTCATCAGACGATTTAAGAGTTTTAAAATCACTTTCTGTAAAATGATGTCTACATAGCCTTAAATATAAAGATTGTAATTTCGCCAATTTTGATCGTCTTATTGCTGTAGCCCACAATTTATTCAGTTTTTGTCTTTTGGCAACAAATAATATCCATTTTCTTTGCATCCTGTGACTGCACAATTTGTCATTTTAATTAATCAAATTTTAAATACGAGTGAAATGAAAAAAAAATCCATCCACGCTATAGAGCTTTACAATATACTCAGGGCTATATTGATCGCGACATCTGGCGGGAGAAAAGGACAAAATTCTTTCCCATTATATTACATATTTCATGCAAGGGACATGTTCAAAAGTGGTTTTCATTCATTAAAAGTTTTCTAGTCTCTTCTGATGAAGAGACTAGAAAACTCATTAGGTACCTAACTTAATGTTGAAACCATTAATTGTCATCCATGGTTGAAAGTTGTAATGATGTTTAATGTCGCTGTCACTGTCTCTTGTCAAAAAGTCTATCATCTTGAAATTCCTAATATATTCTCTATAGAAAAAATTATAAATTCTAAGATCGTACTTAAAATAATAATAAGATGGGGTTGATTAAAAAGGTTATTATATAACAACTTATAAATGTTGTGGTCATTCGGATTTTACTGATTATATAACAGCTACATTTTGGTTTTTGTGAACATTTAGACGGGAATCGTAAAATTATATTAATTCGTCTTCTTATTGATTTCGTGTTATTGTTCAGTTTGTTTCTTCCTTTTCCTTCTAAAAATAAATATTTGTATTATTGCCTTGCAGACCACTGGCCTTGTTGGGTTAGCTGTGGCTCCTAATCCTCACCATACACTAGGGGCTCTTTATGGAAAGATTCTTAGAACTCTGCAAAAAATGCCTGAAACATCAGTTTATAGAAAATATACTGAACAAATAGTAAAAGAGAGAGCAGCTGTTTTGAAACAGGTATACAATTGTTTATTAATTTTAATTGTGTTTTCTTAAATATCATTATTTATTTATTTATTACTATATATGATCCATAATTTCATTGTGAATTTTTGTTATTTATTAAAACTTAATAAATTTTGTTAAATGCATGTTATTTTTAATCAAATTTCTAAGATGGTTACACAAAAAGGTGTATCATCTTCAAAATCACCCAAAATAAATATTCCACCCTTTGGAAATTTTTTTATTGAATTATATGTGGAAACACCTTGACATAGAATCTATTTATCAAAAAATGAATTATGAAAAATTACCTATTTTTCACTTACCAAAAGAATTTGTATAAAAAGCATGCCAAAAGAAAAATATACCCGAATTGCACTCTATTTTTGCAGGGTTTAAGAAATATTTTTATAATGAACTAGTGATTCACCCTCGCTCTGCTCGGGTTCCTCCCTGCTTACGTTTTGACGTTTAGTATAGATTTCTCAGATATGAGATATTTTCTCTCAGTAAAAAGTATCCTATATGTTGACCTTGACAACCAGCTATCATTATACCAAATTTCATCCCTCCAGTAGTTTTTCCGTGATGCGGTGACAGACAGACAGGCACAAAAATTCTTAAAAACTATAGATTCGGCCTCTGTATCGATAATAATGTCTATTTCAATAAAATTTTCCAAAAATATTTAATTTAGTACAGATTTGGCTTAGTTACTATTTTATTATATGTATAGATAAGCACACAATAATTTATCTTAATAAATATATAAAACATTCCCTATTTTGTACTTTGTAAAATTAAGAGATACTCTAATCTTTTCTATTGAATTGCCCTTGCTAGTGTACTCAAACATGTGAATTTAATTTATTTTTTACATGAATTTGTCTAGCTCCAGATTCGGAAAATATTTATGCTAGATTGTCATTCTGCCGTTTAACTTTTTTACACACAATAATGAATTTCAAATCTGACTGTCCAATAGATTTTGAGGGAATAGTTAAAATGAGAAAAACAAGAATGACATGCTCTGAAATAAAAGGGTTTGGTCTCGAGCTGTACCACATACATAATAAAAAATAAAGAAATATTAACGATGTATTTTATACTTGTTCACTCTGAAATTAATTGAATAAAACATGTATCAGGCAAGTTTGATGAATGTTTCAAATAGTAGACCAACTCTATTTTGAAGTGAAAACTTCAGCTTGAGTAAATTGGGCACTTTTGGGATGGGGAAAATGTGCATGTGTATATATGTATACATACGAGTATATGTATGTAAGAGAGCTATATAGCTATTTTTATATAATACTGCATAATAAATGAATATTTTATTACTATATTAATACTTTGATAAAAATTATTTCTATAAAAAAAAAATTTATCAACCCAAAAGTATGTTATGTTTATGAAGCTAGAGCTTTAGAAGTTTTTACTTCTGATGTGCAGTCCTACGACTGACAGTTTTTTTATTTTTATTGATTTCAGACTAAAGATACATATGAAATTGAAACAAAAATTAACTGTGGTCAAGCTGAAGAATTAATTGTCCAGGCAGAAAATGAGTTAAATTTAGCTCGGAAGATGCTAAACTGGAGAGCATGGGAACCCCTGGTTGCCAAGCCACCAAAAGGCCAATGGGACTGGCCTCCAACTAAAGCTTAAAATGACTAGATTTATATTTAATGAATAATAGAAAATATTGTTTAATTTATGTATTTGTTTGAAATAAATAGACACCAAATAGAAATTAAATAACATTTTTATTTTCTAAACAAAACTCTGTAGAAACAATGGCTCCCCCTACCATCAATTAATATACATACCGTAGCTTACATATTAATATCATTTTACAACATACATAAATTGCAATAACCTATCATTGCCTTTTACTAAAAAAAATTTAGCCTACTAATATATGCTGGTTTTAATTTGAAGTCTCACAATGTCATTCATCATGAACATTTCTTTCGATATTTTGTTATAATATATGTGCACTAACATATGATAGTAAATGCACAGATATTTTGTTTCTACAAGAAAATAAATACTTTAATACTGTTTAAGTACAAAATAAAACAATGCCTCCATTGCATTATTTTCTTTAGGTTTTATATCAGTAAATTATTATTACATCATCACTCTTGTTATTTAATAACTTAAACAATCCTCCGTGCAAAGTGGAGGAGGCTAAGCAGGAAGGCAGACCCTGGCAATAGCCGGAATTAATAATGCCAGGCAGAAGAAGAAGAAGACTCTTGTTATTTATTGTTATACTTATATAACACAAAGTTTTCCAAGTTAATGGTCACAATAAAAGCTAAACGCTTTATTAGGGATTTTTTGAGTATAATGATATCTTACATCTGATTAAAAATTTATTAGTAATAACTATCTTGGCCTTGTTTTTTACTTAATACTTAACAAATTCACAAGATAAATATACACATAGAATAGCACATTAAAGTCACAAGTACAGGAAAATATGTAAAAAAAAAACAAAAAATGTAGAAAATTATGTAAAGCTTGCAGTTTGAATAGTTATAATTACACACAACTAATGATTTTATGCAATTAATTCGAAATATACAATCAATTATAGTTTACAAAAAGTTTTAAAGTGTGTATATTTTATTACTAGAACATAGTCTATATAAAGAAAGGATTAGCTTTATCAAAAATCAAAATACATTAGTGTATTCAGTTTTGTTTGTACAATATAAAAAGCTTACAAACTAATTATGTAATCTTAAATTCATTGAAAATTTACCTTAATAATAATAAATATATTACTGTTGGGGGTTGTATTTTAAATGCAAACTTAAACCTGATTGAAGTTATATTAGGTTGATTGTTAATGAGTATTTTATCTTCTATATCTTTGGCATGTCACTGCAGTACATAGAGAGAATCTGAATTGTCTTAGTATTAATGATTACCTTTTTTTATTATAAAGTGATTTGGCACAGTGCATATGATTAAAGGAATGTATGGTCTAAAATAAAAATAAAAAATATTGATCATACATAATAATACTTGACATAAAGATCATAAAATATTTCATGTTAAAAATTATCACAAAGCAATAACATGAAACTTATACATACAAGGGTATGCTCTGCAGTTATTACACATGCAAATAATTGATTTTTGACATTATCATATCAAATATTTTCTATTGATTAACTGTAGTTAATTTTGTTACTGCAGGACACTCACTGTACCTTATAACATAACAGAAATATTCATTTAAATATTAATAAAATGTTGATATTCTGATGGTAACTCACTAATTTCAAAATGATGTTATCTATTGCTCAATTTGGTTACCAAATCATAGAAAAATATATTTTATTGTATGTTAATTTAACTGAGTACTTATTTTTTATATATAAACTTAGAATTCTCAATATTTCTAAAAAATAAATAACTGTATAAAATTATGGTTTTTCATAATACTCATTAAATCTGATTTAAGTTGAAATTGAACATTTAAAAACCAATCATAGCAGTTATGTTGATGTGACACCTTTTCTTGCTACAAGCAAGTTTAAAACTGGATGTTTTTTGATATAACTAACAGCTTTTTTATGTGTTACCATTGTGAAGTCATAACCATTGCATTGTAAAATTTTATCATGCATTCTTAGCCCTGATTTTGCTGCAGGACTTCCCTCGTGTACTTCAGTTACATATATTCCCTGAAATATTATTGTTTAAGTTTAAAATGATTGTTTTATCTCTGAATCTAAAAACCTAAACATTAAAGCAAAGGACATAGTAAACGACATTTATTTTATGACTATAAACATTTCAGATGGAAATGAATATAAAAAATGAAATAATTAAGGGTTATCTTTTTTCTGTAACATACATTGTCAGTGTATCCCTGAGGGCTTTTACGATAGTCTTGGTCAATTCCACCTCCTATTTTAAAACCGCATTTCATTACTTCTCGCCCTTCGGCATCAACACCAGCCTCTTTTTGAAGAGTTATTGGAATCTGTGTAGAAACAATGAAATATTTCCTTAAGAAAGATAACGAAGGAAACAAAACAAGAACTGGGAGTGGTCTTTACTTACGCTTAGACATTCCATAGCCGTCCCGGCTTGGTGTTGAAAAGCCATTTTCGCCATGATTGCTGATTTAATAAAATTTATTGATAAACACGAAACTTTACTTTTAATTTAATAGTTTACCTGAAATGAAACAATAATTACAAATGTATCACTGAATACTTATTTGACATATCGCGACTCCGACTACAGATTATAATTTATATTATCATCGAATATTATGACCATGGATGACTAATAAAAATTATAACAAACCAAAGATCCTATAATAAAAATAAAAAATATGTTGGAAAATTAACACACAGCACCAACTAGTTCCATGGTAAGCTACAAGGCCTGTGTTATGGATACCAGATAGTTCGTACAATACACATATATAACTTTAAATACATACATATTAAAAATATAAACACCCAAACCCATGACGATGATTGGAATAAAAACATTCGTGCTCATCACTAGTTACTAGTTTTTTAATCTGTGCTCATCACACACATGAATGCTGCCAGCGGGCCTCGAATCCGCAACCGCTGAGAGGGTCATTACTAAACCATACGTGTCGTCCAGATGCACCTGATTTAGGGCTATGCACATAATATAGAACGTTAAAGGCACTAGATAATTCGCATAAAAAAAGAGACTTCATCGGTAATCGCACATAATGGGGAAGATTCCTTGAAAGGAGGGCGCTACACGTATAATCTATTTACATTCAGTCTGAGGATATGCAATTTATTATGATATATCTTTTCTACCTGTTTTTTTGCTTCTATTATGTTCGCATCTTACCTGTGCAATGTATTGTACGTATTATACGAAGTAAAGTCAGTATTAGAAAGTAAGTATTGTACATAGAAGAAACCTGCGAAAGAAGAATTGATAATGAGAGATGCATCTTGAAAGGATCAGGACCACCAACGGATGATTCTGTTGTGGTCCTGACTATAGATGTAAAACAACCGATTTAAAACGTTTTAAATAAAATGTTGCAGTTTTAAACCCCAAATTAATCATTTTAAAGAATTGAAATTTTGTCTACGAAAATAAAAAAAACTGTGTTTTACACTTCATTGTGGGTAATTTTTGGTCATCTAACGTCATGTTTCGTTTTAATTAGTTTACAGAAAATTAGTCAATAGAAAGTACCTACCTACATTACCTACTACACGAAAACTTAAGTATATAGGTATACCTACTTATGCTTATTTATTGTATTATATATTATATTTTTAAGTATATGCATCTGTGTGTAGGGTAGGTGAGCTTTTTTTTTAACGTTGGGAAATGCATTTACGCACGAGGTGTGGGACTTACCGGCAAAGCCAGTACTACCCACTAAAACCCAACAAAACCGTCTGAATGGGGTGTCGCAGGATCGCTTACGCATTCAACTACGACGCCCCAACGGCAGGTCTGCCGAAGCAGACCACAACAACCATGGGGTTGCTCCAAGGTCCACTCTGCTATCAGAGAAGTACCAGGAGTAACCCGCATGGTACACCGCCCTCCGAAGAGGGCCACCTCCCACCGCCCACCGAAGTGAGCAACCTCCCTGTGCGTTTCTTAGCTTCACGCCCGGTTGGGTTGCCGGGCACTACTGAGCCCCCCTACCACGACAATGTGAACGCACGTTGGGTGGGGGGGGGGGGGGAGGTGAGCTGGCAACGTTGCGTCGAGTCACTCGTGTCGTCAACGAGAGTGCGAGAGTGTGTGTTTGGTTTTAAACCGAATCAAATTGATTATTTATATCGTTTGAACTTTGAAAACAATGAAAAAAATATTTATTTAAAAACACAGAGTTTTTAATTTATCAATAGATAGGTTTTTATAACTTAGGTAGGTAATACCTACGGGCTACGCGTGGTTGGACGGACGGATATATATGTAGCAATATAATCTATGTACGGACCAACACCAACTAGAACTAAGCCCGCTAAGTATATTAATATCAGTATATCACACATACAAAAAATCTTTACACAGTTTATAGGTACTCCGGCATATCCCTACCTCGGTAAAATAAAAAAAAAGTAGTTATGATTAAGAAAAACGTAGTTATCAACACCAACTGTTTTAAATAAAAAAAGGTTTCTTTCGGCTTTAAATGGTTTTTTCGTTTTAAACGGATTGGTTTAATTGGTTTTAAACCGGACTTACACCTATAATCCTGTCTGACTCTTTCAGTATATACATCCACCAATAAATATGTATTGGTTCCTATGTGGCTTTTGTCGCTTTTGATGGGATTCTATTGGAATTTTTCAACAGGGATGTCATGACATGTATATAATCAAAGGTCTGACTGATGGATCAGCACACAGCCGAAGCCGCTGATCGTAGAAATGTAAAATTTGGAGCACGTATTCCATAAATGATGTAGACATCCGATAAGCAAGGATTTTTCGAAATTCATCCTAAAAATGAGTGAAATAGGGGATTATAGATTGATAGGGGATTAAAGATTGTATGAAACTCTTGTATGAAATTCTTAATGTGAAAATATACGCAGAAAATGGTGTTTAGCTATAATATAAAAAATCTTAATAGATTTCTTCGAAATTCATCCCTTAAAGAGGTCAAACAGGGTAGGTAATAAAGTATATATGGGCAAATAATTATTTATAATAAGAATTACTTGAAACTTGATGTTAATGCTCTTCAATACAATTAAATTAATAAATATTTTAGCATTTTTCGAAATTCAATCCCATAAAAAATGGGGGATGAAAATTTGTATGAAACTCTGTAATTAATATGTAAAAAAATACAAAAAAAACTATAACTGTAGACGATTTAAGAGATTTATAATCACTTTCTGTAAAATGATGTCTACATAGCCTTAAATACAACTTAGCCTATATTATTATTGCTTTAGTTCAATTTCTTCAGTTTTTGTTTTTTGGAAACAAATGATATCTATTTTCCTTGCATCCTGGCACTGCACATTTTGTCATTTTAATTAAATGTTTTAAATAATATGAAAAAAATTCCATCCACCCTATCGGGGGGCGCAGCAGTGCCCCCGCCAAGTTGAGCTAGAGCTTTACAATGTACTGACGATCATAGTGACCGCGACATCTGGCGTAAGAAAAAGGCAAAATTCTTCCCAATTTAGAAGATTTTATGAAAATGGTTTTAGAGAAAATATGGAAAGAGAGATTTATTAATATTATTTTTTTCCTTATAATTCTTCATCAGAATTCAGAAATTATGCTTATATCCCCATTTTAAATGATTTAAAATATTAAATAATTGTAAAGGTATAACATGCGTAGAATCTCTATATATATTGTAATTTGTGGTAACGACTTTTTTCTCTTAATCAAATATCGTTTTACAATTACAGAGCATAATGCCGCACTTTGGGCACCAAAGTTTGGCGCACAAACGCGAACAATGCTAGAAAACATTTCTGTTGCTGAGTTGGTTGGTCACGCCAAAGTCCAAAGCAGTACTTTATACTTTTGAAAAATTAAAATTCAAAGTGCTTGATTGTGCGGAGCGTTGCTGTAGTTGAAAATTTTTAATGGCCGAAGTTGGGCCGCATAATGTGCTTTAGTACTCTAATTGGAAAACAGGGTATTATACTACGTAGTGACTAATGTCAATTGTCATTTGTCAATTATTAATAAAAATCATTTTGAACATCTAAATAATAAATATAAGTTTTTGGTGTCCGTGTCAAATTTTGTTCAAAACAAGGGCAAGTTGCGTTTTGTAAATTTGAATTTTCCGGTCATATTTTGCACAATGCACTTTTAATTTGTGAATTATATAATGTTATATTGTTTGGTACCGTTACCAGTGCTTTTTAGTCTTAAATCTAAATCGATGCTTATAAATATGTAATGACTAGTCTGTAATCCCTATTTAAGGAAAAGCTACAAAAATAATTAGGTATCTAAACAACTTACGTCTGGAGTCTGGACATAAAAATAATATAATGGCTAATGGTGAATATAGAAATGTTTTGCGGATATTAGTACAAAATTTTATTAATTCTTTGAAACCTCGAACGATTCGGGGAAATGCAATAGGTGAGCTTATATCCTTTTACTAAGTATATAAAAAAGCTATTAAAAAATAATTAATATCTATACATATAATAAAAATGTAATGGATCGTTGTGTGTACATGGAAAGTATTTAAGAAAAAATATTACTGGGACCTTCAACGCAAATAGCACCCAAAACAATGATTGTTAGAAATTTTGTCTGTTTATCTGTGCATTAGTGCAAATTAATCTCAGAAACGGCTTATCCGATTTAGATGTGGTTTTCACCAATATATTGTAGTAAGCTTCACTTAACATTTAGTGTTTGTTTCATGTGAATCGGTTCATAAATAAAAAAGTATGCCAATTTAAAGATATAAATGTGAAAGTTTGTAAGTATGGATGTTTGTTACTCTTTCTGATCTGGATCATCATGTGATCTGGATGAAATTTGGCACAGAGGTAGATTAAAGTCTGGAATAACACAGGTTACTTTTTATCCCAGGAAAATGTATGATTACCTTGGGATAGGTTTATTTATGTATTCTTAACTAGTTGCAAATATATTGAAACATTTTATGTTTATATTTTACAGGCAAAGATTATATTGGAAACAAGTATTACGAAATTCCTGCAAATCCCAGCAGTGGAAAAAGAAAACCATCTCGATGGTATGATCCACCAAAAGGTCAAGATTTTCAGGATCCCATACCTGCAGAATGGGAAGCTTGGCTTAGAATGCGAAGGTTAATATATGTAACATTATTTGTTATTGTGTAAAAACTAAAGAAGTTTTATTTTATTGTTTTTATTTGTAGACTAGAACCACCATCAGAGGAAGAGGTAGCAAAAAATCTAGCTATTGCTGAAATGAAAAAGATTAATGCTGCAAAACTTGAGAAACAGAGGTTAGCCGAAGGTGGGTCTTTGCCAGCACCAGCTGAAAAGGGTCATGAGTCATTTCCTACATATGAAGAATACCATGGGGGAGACCCGGAGAATAAATATAGAAAATGAAATTAATAATTGTCTTTGTGTAAATAGAACTTTGTGTAGTAGTGTTATTATATAGATAATAAAGTAATTTTATTTTACAATTATAGTTTTATGTTATTACCTGCATTATATCTTCACTTATAATTAATTAATGAAAACATTGATTTGTGATTAGGAAATATTTTTGCAAAAGCTACGATAATTTTTGGTTTCGGTTATACTGTTTTGTTACACTAGTGTGACTACTGAGCATATCTATGACTGATGGTTACACTAATGTAACTACCGAGCATACCTATGATCTGTGGGCACATTATTACATTAAAGACTATTTATTAAGCTCCTGGTACTTCTCTGATAGCAGAGTGGACCTTGGAGCAACCCCATGGTTGTGGTGGTCTGCTTCGGCAGACCTGCCGTCGGGGCGTCGTAGTTGAATGCGTAAGCGATCCTGCGACGCCCCATTAAGACGGGGGAAGGTTTTGTTGGGTTTTAGTGGGTAGTACTGGCTGTATTACGCCGGTGAGTCCCACACGTCGTGCGTAAATGCATTTCCCAACGTAAAAAAAAGGTGGGGAAGGCTAAGCCAGGAACTACGTCTTACGCTTTAGAACCCTTTCATTCTTTCTAGGTTGGTTAGGTTAGAACAGTGACCATAAACGACCAGAACTTCTACAACCAAAAAATATGCTTCAGAAAAATCCAAATATTAAATGAAACATTTATAAATGAACTTAATTTCCATGACTATAACCTAGAAATAATCCCATCAAAAACATAAATGTGAAAATGGGAGCCAAGTTTAATATATAGAATAAGCATTAAGCGTGGTTGTCAACTTCACCAAGAAAAGAATTGAGATCTGAATGGGTGCCATGGACTTATTAAACAAACTAATAAATCCATGATGGGTGCCAAGTTCTGTAGATAATCCTGATTTTTTTTCATAAGCACATACAACATTCTAAAATACGAGTAAATTTTCACAAACACAATTTTTTATTTTTTTCTGCTACAAAAGTGTTTGCTATTAAAAAATAGAACTTCTTAAATTTGGACAGTCGATTTATTTACATAAGAGTAGATAACTTAGGATTAATTTAAGTTCAAGATTTGACTCGGCTAGTTTATACCAATAAAGCAAGTTTTTAGAAGAGTCAGACATGTTGACCTTACAATATAAAAATAGTAGTTTAACTGCCTCGGTAGTGTAGTGGCTAGCATGTGCGGCTGCACACCCGGAGGTCCTGGGTTCGAGTCCCGGATCGCGCCCAGTTTAGTTATTGAGCCTTTCTGTGTAGTAAGCCTCAGTAACAACCCGGAGTTGGGAAGTTGGCGGTGTTTCAAGCCTGTGCCTCGGAGAGTACGTAAAGCCGTCGGTCCTGCGCCTTAACTCTCACGTGTCGAGCAGTCGTCCCAATGGAGTATGAGAGTGACAGGAATAGAGAGAGCACGGTGCACATGTAGGTGCACAGGTATCTATTCTAAATGAAAAGCCCCGTTTAGATATTTTTTACATTTTAGTCCCTGGAATTTGGTTTTAATTTTATTTTTTAAAGTTTTATTTTTTCATTTTTGATGTAGAGTAATAAGCAGGTAATTTGTAAGAGGATAGTTTTTTAATAACATATTCGGTTAAGCGATTTATTTAAAAGAATAATTTATTATTGATTTTTTGGAAAACTGCTCGACCGATTTCGATAAAATTTATATGCGACTACCTGGAAAGTACCTATACCCTTATAAACAAAAAAAAAACAAATCGGTTCATGCGTCTTCGAGTAATCGGTGAACATACATAAAAAAAAAGATTCCGACGAATTGAGAACCTCCTCCTCTTTGGAAGTCGGTTAAAAATTTAACAAATACCCCCAACACAATAACCAATGAGGCCATTTCAAAGAGCCTAAACATGATTCCTATCTCTGCAGTATTTTAGTAAAGAGTTAAGTATCTTACAGATACCAGGTGACGTTACAGCATCAGGTCAAGGTTACCATATCGTTGCAATCTCATTAAAGTAACGGGATACCAAGTTTCAAATCGATTGGATCTGTGGAAGTTGCACATATCCTTTCACCGTTTACCAAGAGCTCATAGCCTGCTAACAGTTTAATGGATTTTCTTGATTTATAGCTAAGAATACTTCACACAACAACACACAAGGTTCTACGAAGCTACAGACAGACACATATATACAATACACGTTAAAGTTTCACACCCCTTTTGTGTCGGGGGGTTAATAAAAATATAAAAACCCGACTTTTAAAAACCGAACTAAAGAGAAAGGAATAAATATTAAAAATAAATAAAGGAGTTAAAATTAAAAAAAAAAACCCAACGCAAAAACGCGAAATCTATTCCTTGAAGCCATTTCAATTAGCCTAAAAGCGATATCTCTGCAATATTTTAGTAAAGTTGAGTATCCTGTAGATTCCAGCTGTGACGCTGCAGCCAAGGTTATCATATCGCTGTAATGTAATAGAAGTAACGGAATACCAAGTTTCGAATGGATTAGATCTGTGGAAGTGGCTCATATTATCCTTTTACCGCTTAGAAAAGAGTTGATAAACATCAAACGACTGAATTGGGTTGTCTTGGTTTATTAAAAATATTCTCGAATAATTCACATTTCAAACAAAAAAAAAACTAAATTAAAATCGGTTAATCTGTTTGGGCGTTACGATGTCACAGACAGACACACAGATACACAAGTTGGCAAGAATATCTGCCATTTTTAATTAATGTTGATTTAGGTATTTAGTGGTTATCCGGGTCAACATATAGGATACTTTTTATCGCGGGAAAATATCTCATTTCTCAGAAAAAATGCAAAACTGCATTGTAAGAGTATACTAATATGTAAAACGTAAAGATTTGGTTTTTGGTCATCTGAACTCGGGCGGAGCTGCGGGTAATGCTAGTATATTATATTTTATTCTTTCGGTATGTGATATTTTATAAATATATTGTGATTGCAATATGCCAACTATGCCTTTTTAATTATTCAAGATAGAATATATTACACAGGAAGTGAAAAATAATAAAATTAATTATTGAATATATTTATGTAAAATAAAATGTAAAATAACTTTTACTTGGTAAAAATATTATAAAAAAAACCTTATAATTATCCTACTTTTGATACTCTATAGGTATATCTATTCTAAATGAAAACCCCCGTTTACTTATTTTTTACATTTTAGTGTCTGGAAGTCGTTTTTTTTTAAATTTAAAGAAAAGTACTATGTACTTATTATGGTTCCGCTTCATGCATGTGCTGTTTTTACTTTTAGTGCGACGGAAAATAAAATGCCTATCATCTAGGGCATGAATTGCTTTAATCATGTGGAAAATAAAAAATATTCTATGTGAAAGAAAACGGAATAACGTGTTCGTAAATTAAATTTGCGTAAAATTACTGATTATTGAAAAATCAGCAACCCGGTAGGTAGTGGGTTTGTCCCCCCCAACGTGCGTTCACCTTGTCGTGGTGGGGGGGCTCAGTAGTAGTAGCGAAGCTAAGAAACGCACAGGGAGGTTGCCCACTTCGGTGGGCGGTGGGAGGTGGCCCTCTTCGGGGGGCGGTGTACCTTGCGGGTTGCTCCTGGTACTTCTCTGATAGCAGAGTGGACCTTGGAGCAACCCCATGGTTGTGGTGGTTTGCTTTGGCAGACCTGCCGTCAGGGCGTCGTATTAAGACGGGGGAAGGTTTTGTTGGGTTTTAGTGGGTAGTACTGACTGTATTACGCCGGTGAGTCCCACACATCGTGCGTAAATGCATTTCCCAACGTTAAAAAAAAAGGTAGTGGGTTTGTAGATATATTGGGTGCATGATTTCAGATAACGCTGTTACTTTTTATATTATAGTACGAGTTTTATATTACGGTTAAAAAGAGTTAAAGTCGTGAAATGTCTGTACTTTAAGTAAAATAAGTATTTGATTTTCAGGCTATAGACATGATTCATTTTCATGTATACTACAGATATCTATAGGTATATTATGTAGATGAAAATCTGGATAAGTAAAATCGTTGTATTTATTACAGCTTGAATAATTAAATTTTTAATTAATTTTTAATTAATTAGCGTCTCTAGATAAGTTTCAATTAATTTAAAATTTACAATACTATCGCTTTTATTTATTTCGCGCACGTAGCTTATCTCCGTGATTTACAGAAATCTAATAGTAGCTCGTGGCTCGACTAGGCTGTCGTTACATCGAGGTAGAGCTTTTGGGCAAAGTTTTTAAAAGCAATTAATCAGATTTGAGAGCTTAAGATTGAAATAAGTTGCGAGCCATGAAAGGCCTCTGTCCAGTTGTAGACGCAAGTAGGCTGATTCTGATGATGTTTATCAGGTAGTAGACTAGATAGTTTTAATTGTTTTTGTTCTAAAACATCCACAAAAAATCGTGTAAAAGTGTTTCGTGTATAAAATATTATTTATTTTTATTATTATTATTTATGTATTGCTAATTAGTAGAGATGGGCCGACTATGAGATTTGCCGACTAGCCGACTAATCAGTTGGAAAAAGGCCGATTAATCGGCCGACTAGTCGGCCTAGCCGATCATTGCTTTCCGCGATGTTTGTCGCGCTTCGCATCCCTTACATGCGTCGCGCGTACGGACATTTACGAACAATTTTTGTTTACTTTACATTTTGTTATTTGTGTTTTTTTATAAAAATATAAAACAGTAAGTGAATTGTATAGCTAAGACAGTTTGTTTTGATATAGAGACTCAAAAAATTGAAATATATAGTTTTGTTCTTCATAATATACACACGTCGTTTCCACGCCACCTGTAGTGTCCTTGGATCGTTTTTTTAAAGTGGTGGTTTTATTTTAACCTCACCCCTAGTTATTGAGCTAACTTGACTGGACTATAGAATATTTTCGAACCCAAAGAATGGAATCTAATAGTCCGTGACCCCGAATTTGTGCGAGACGAGCCGCCTTATGACGTACTTACCTACTTATCAAAACGAAAAAGTGTCAGAGCTTACGTCCTAAATAATAATTAAAATAAATATCGTTTTTCTTACATTTCTACCAATTTAAAATAGCTTTTCTGAAATGTATGTAGAAACTTTAGGTTGTAATTTAAAATAAAATGAATACATGGTTGAAATGAAAGGTAGAATGGCATTCCAAAAGACGGTTATTATAATAGTCTGTCTGTCTTTACCTATGAAGTTGCCGTTTTACGATACTGACCATTTGAAACGTAATTTACGAATGGCCGGCAATAAATTCTAAATTCAAATGAATTTTATTTTAAAGGTTCTATTTCCAAATTTAGTCATTTGTTTATTGATAAGTGTTTTGTTTTCACTACATTTGAAGCTTTTTCATAAATATGGACACAATAAAAAACTTAAAAAATAAACGATTTCCAGGCACTAAAATGTAAAACATAACAAAACGGGGATTTTCATTTAGAATACATACCTAATCAGAGATTTTCGAAGTCGTTGCCAGCCGACAATATTTTAAGATATGAATATCTAATAGATAAATATGATTAGGTATGAACTCTAATTATAGTTAAAATATTATATGTATTTTAAATAAAACTATCTTTTCGGATTTTTTCACGAATTTATTTTGATTTTTGGTTCCAGACGTTTCGAATGCTTTACAGCATCATGGTCACGGGAGAGACTGAAGTGTTAGATGTCTCTAAGGTGAATTATATAGTTGTTACAGACAGCCTACCCACAATTAACAAAATGAATTCAAAAATTGAAATCATTTTGAATTTTGAAAAATCCGAAAAGATAGTTTTATTTAAAATGTCAAGTATTCGCGTAAATCTAAGAAAGTATTATATTATATGTACATCAATTTGTGATGTATTTTACGTATCGAAATATATTAGATGTGCTTTCCATCGGCATTAATTATTTCATTAAAATTTAAATGAGTAAAAAAAATACGGTTGACTGTTGTATGCGTAATATGCTTGATTGATAACGAAAAAGTTCGTAGGTGCAGTCCGGAATATTAAATACATGTAGTTTTAAAAATATATCCACAGCATAAACTGTTTTTTAGTAGCTTATAAAAGAGTAGTAGAGAAACGTGTGCTCGGAGTAAAGTTAACAATAATAACCCATGGTGTATTTTGCGTATAATAATAGAATTTTCATAATATGGCGCACAACAGACATTAATTTTTATCAATACTAGAATAGACGTTAGAGTAGTGCAAATTAATTTTCAAATAGGTACAATTCTGTTCAGGGTTGATCGAGTTTTAAATGTAGATAAGTGTAATGTTGCCTCTTACACTAGGCACAGCCGTACGTTGAGTAGTTTTCCACTGAGCTTACATAATAAAGTTTAATAACGTTGGACATGATAATTAATCGTGATATAAATCAAATCTGCAAATGGAGCTCGGTCACGTGGTCTGAATTTGCTCAATCGAATGTTAGCGCGAAGTATATGACGAAAAAACTAGTCAAAGTCAAGGCCGGTTGAATTCAAAGATATAGCGGTCGTGTCCCGTTTTTAATTCATTTGCGAGAAATATATAGAGCATACTATTTGGTTTATTGGTTTTCAGTTGCACTGCTTCAAAATTGTTTATATTTGTATTTCAAGCTCTGAGTAGGTAAGTTTATGTTACGTTTCTATATATATTTAGAGTTGGGCGTTTGGCATGTGATAAGTTTTTGAGAAAGTGTAAATATAGATGTTGTATACTCACTTACAGATCTCTGTTGCACATTGAAGTATTATTAGGATGGCCGCACACGCTCAGTTGTCTGATTCGATTTCCAAATTTGTTTTATTAAATGTGGCTCTGCGTGGCGTATCCTCTTTTTTAAATATTCACCAGATCGTTATCAAGTGTCTTCCCGACACTTTTGAAGAAATGTTTAATTGTTCCCTTATTGAAGCATGATAATTCTGAGCTTAATATACACGGATTTCAGTATACCTTTCGATAAAGTACTGCACAGTGTGTTGATCAAAAAACTCTTTCAATGTGGTATCACGGGCGGCCTCTTGAACTGGTTACGTCTTACATTAACAACAAGGAATCAGTAGTAGCGGTTAATGGATTTGAACCTTATCCATTTATGGTGATCTGTCAGAAACCCCGCAAGGGTCCAATTCGAGACCTATTTTATTCAATGTCTTTATAAATGACATAGTAAGTGCATGTTTCCAACATTCTGAACACTAGATGTTTATTTGGCTTCAAGCTGACTTGGATAGACTAAATACGTGGCGCAATTTCAATGCAATGTGCTTAAATGTTACAAAGTGCCATGAAGTAAGCTTCAATATATTAAAAACAACATCGTACAGCAATTATAAAATAACTAATAAGCAATGTTTCACTAGAATTTATCGACGTAGTTCGAGACCTTGGTATTTTCCTTGATACAAATTTGCGCTTTCATGCTATGATACAAAGTTTTGATTTTATTTTTGTATTTAATGAAGTTTTTAGTTTTTTTTTAATCTAAAAAATATGATATTGCAAAAAAGAACTCCGAGCGAAGCTCGGTTGCCCAGGTACTGTTCCTTAGTCAACTTGTTTTCATCTTTTTACGCAGTCGGGTTTTTTATTTTTTTACTAGCGTTTTCCTTTGGCTCCGCCCGCATAGTACATTAATCATCAACATATCACATACTAAAACGTTCAGCGTTCAGCACGTACAGCGTGTTTACGCTGCATCTTATGGTATAAGTATTATTCCGATCGGTTCGGTAGTTATCGCAGTATAACCGAACAAAAAGTCGGCTCTACAGTTATTAGTATAGATTTTAATATTCTAAATGTTGGTTTGCCTTTTCTTGTACTATCTTTGTTGTTATCAACTATAAATGTAATTAAGGTACTACTCTATCTGTTTTGTGGTGTATGTGACAGTCAGTCAGTCACAGATGTGTATGTATAATGTTGTTAGTATGCACTTTGTTAGTGGTATAATATATTTAAAAAAATCAAGCACCTAAAAGCGGTTATTACATACAGGATCTTCTACATGGTGCATACGACGTCATATCTGAAGCTACCGTGTGTATTCTGTATTTGGAAATTGAATTAAGAAATCGTACATGTGAAACCAGCCTTAGGATTAAGAATATTTATGTTATATATTTAAACTTTCTTATCAATGTAATAAAAATTCGTGTACTTTGATTAAAAAACTTGTATAAAAAATCTTAATATAACATGTATAGCATTAACTGGAATTGTGTCTAAGCCCATTTAGTCATTTTAATTACTGTTTATTACTAAGTATTTCTTAACTGGGTTAAACTCGACTGAGTTGCTCCTTGGCAGTCATACACACTTTCCCTTATCGCACTAATTTAAACTGCTTATTATTTTACATGAATCTCATAACTACTTCTCTTATCACGAAGTACTATATAAGATGCCTACTATACTATATAAGATGCCTTACAAGCTTAGTCAATGCACTGATAAATATAACTCTGAGAATAATACAAGCGTTCCTTATTCTCAGTTTTTTTCTATTCTGATAGTTGTGTCAATAAATAAATTATAAGGTAGCTTATAATTAAAAATAAATTTTACGTTAAAGTTTTTATGCTTAATATTTAAGTATATATATACGTAGATATTATTATATATTCAATTTAAGGTCATTTCGTATATCTTGTAGTTATAGTGAATTTGAAATACGATGAAAATGTTTATTTTATTGAAGTATTGTTAAAGTGCGCTATTTTCACGCAGGATGGCCCATCAAAGCGAACTGTCTTCTAAGGAAATTTTTGCTCTGGAAGATCGATATGGATGTCGCAACTACGCTCCGTTAACCGTTGCTCTAAGTCGAGGTGAAGGTAGGATATAAATTGTTATAGTTCTACCATGTTTTTATTTTTTCTTTATTTGATTTTAAAATAATATGGGCACTTATGTTTCGATGTAGTGTACTCTAGTCTAGATAAAGCGTACCTACTTAGTACTTGACGAATTCTTTCATTCAAGTTAGAATTTTTAAAGAAGTTTTAAAAAATCATTAAAACTCACTGTTTACCCTATAGGTACTCGCAGTATGTAAGGCACACAAAGATCCTATAATACTATACTAGTACGTATCAAACATATGTAGGTGTGTATTTATATAGTGGAGGGAATACATCAAGTATACATACTGTCATAATGATTCGCAGAAGGTAGTGCCAGACAGAAAGTTTATGCTTATGAATTAGGGATATATGCAGATATTTATTTAATTTATAATCTTTAGATATTTGCAATTGCGTATCGAGCAGAACGGAGATTTCAATTTTCAAAACTTTTTGGATCGTTTTGTCTTATTGAAAATATAAGTTAGTTTTTTTAAACAAACTCTTACTAGTATAGAAAATCCCAATAATTTGCACGACTTGTGACACCCTCGCTGCCCTCGGGTGCGTGTGTCCTAAGTACTTTTTAAATAGATATGAATAGTCAGCGCTGGATTTACATTAGGGGCACTCGGGGCTAGTGCCCAGGGTAGCAATTTTGTAGTGGCGGCCAAATTCGGGGTGCGGGAAAAAACTTTTCCTTGCGCTATCGAAAATGCTTTTTATATTTTCTAAAAAATGAAAAATTAAAAATGGTTAACTAGTAGGTACCTACATTATTCGAAAACATTATATCATTTATAAATTATATTTTTGCATTTTTCAAAAAAATAAGTATTATTTTTTTAACTTTATCAAAACCCATTTTATTCAAAATTTCGATAATATTAGTTAGACATATATATTTCTAAGAACAACTATCGAGTCGTTCTTAGAAATATACATGTTTTTTTTTTAATTAGAAACGGGCTTACTCTTGACCTTCATCTTAGCTCGAAGGCACAGATAAGGTCTACGATCTGGCGAGTTTGCCCAGGAGAAGCCTGTTAACACGAACCTTAAAATAGTTATTGTCTTTTCCTGTAGGAATGAAAGATTTTCCTGTAGTAAACGGTATCCCAAATGTTGACCCGAGTAATAAGTTATCACTACACAAAATATAGTTAAAATCGGTTCAGTACTTTTTGCGTGAAACGAACACATCAATTTCTCTAAGTTACTGTTATCTATAAATATAATAAAATTGTAACTAAGCCGAATCTATACATTAGATATTTTTTGGAAAATCTTATTGAAATAAAAATTATTATCTATGTATACCTATCTTTTAGAATTTTTGTCTTTCTTTCTGTCTGTCTCTGTCTCTGACCACTGAAGAGATTTTGATGACATTTTGTATGGTGATAGCTGGTTATCCGGGTTAACAATAGGATACTTTTTAACGCGGGAAAAAATCTCATTTCTGAGGAAAAAATACAAAAACTGGTTAGAATAAAATCAATCACGTTGATACTTTTAGCAAGGTAATTTAGTAAATATAATGTGGCAACAAACTATTAAAAATAGTTTATCTTGAAAAAAATATCAATAGAGGTATTTTATTTAGGCATTATATTTTATTTACTCAAAAAATATTTATTTATGTGTTATTTAGCTATTCGTTAATAGATGTCACCATGTGTTTTTAAAATGCATAATTTTAATTCTAAAATTAATGCTAATAAAGACCCTCAATAATAGTTTTTTTCAAATATCTTTCATGTACAGACAGCGATTACACTTTTGTTATATGTAGGTATAGATGTATAGATTAAACGGTAAGGCTAAGTTATTATATAGAACAATTTTGAACACAACATGTTCATAAAATATGTACATTACATAGGTTCAATTTTCATTATAGTTACAACTACGTGTAGGTACCGACTTCAGATATAATTAAGATATCTAATTAAGTAAATATAAGTCAGAAATGTGTTTTATTGTGTAAAAATAACATTAACGGAGGTTATCACTGCTTATAAAATGATTATTACATATCTATATTTATACTTATCAGTGAACATCGACAATAATACGTAAACTCTTAGATTATTTATATGTCAATAATCCAAGCGTAAACTAACATGATAGGCTATTTTTAGTCCGAAACCAAAGCAAGAGATTGTATATATTACATCAGTACTTGCTTGTTTTTGTTACAAGCATATAGAAAACTTTTTATTTTTTTTTATTAGAAAAAATAATAAATCGTCGTACCGTTAATGCGCTGGTGTGCTTATTAGCCAGAATTTTTCTTTTTATGTATGTTCACCGATTACTCGAAGACGCCTGGACCGATTTTGAAATTTTTTTCGAAGTGTATACTTACCAGCCATGATGAAGTTAGCTGCATTCCTTTTACAAATAGAGAGTTGTGATATACAGGATGAAATCTTTAGCTATTTTTGTTCTGTTACGCCAAAGAAGTATAGCTTCTTACGTGCGTACAATTACATAAGTACACACACACGTTTTTTATAATTTTAGGTGTATTCGTTTGGGATGTAGAAGGCAAGAAGTATTTTGACTTTTTAAGTGCATATTCAGCAGTAAACCAGGGACATTGTCACCCAAGGATAATCAAAGCTCTTAAGGAACAAGCTGATAAATTAACATTGGTTTCAAGGTAAATCAAATATTAATAACAATTAATTGTAATGCCAAGTTAACATTTTTTTCTATTAATGGAGTAAAATATATTTTTATAACATTCAGTTTTCTGTTCATTTATGACATTATTAATAAAATGAGCGCGATTACTCACTTTTCTCACTTTTATTACTCATTCTTAGTTGGATGGGGAGTTCATCCTCTTGCAAGAATAATTTAGTTGAATCTATTGGTGCCTTTACTAATTAATTTGCATTTTTTAATTGGTATTGCAATGGACAACGCCAAATATTATCGATCTTTACCTGCTGGGTTTAGGTTTAGTTTAATTCTTATCTATGATCATTTCTACTGAAGTTTAGATGTATTAATTATTAGGAAAAAAGTAAAATAAGGCTTTTATATGGTTAGGTATTGAGAATTTCTATCTATACTTGCTATTACTGAAATAAACATAGAATCAGCTTTCCCTTTCGAAAATTGTGATTGCATCGGCAATATCTCGGTGACATGCCTTTTTTTTTTAACGTTGGGAAATGCATTTACGCACGAGGTGTGGGACTCACCGGCGTAATAAAGCCAGTACTACCCACTAAAACCCAACAAAACCTTCCCCCGTCTTAATGGGGCGTCGCAGGATCGCTTACGTATTCAACTATGACGCCCCGACGGCAGGTCTGCCGAAGCAGACCACCACAACCATGGGGTTGCTCCAAGGTCCACTCTGCTATCAGAGAAGTACCAGGAGCAACCCACATGGTACACCGCCCACCGAAGAGGGCCACCTCCTACCGCCCACCGAAGTGGGCTACCTCCCTGTGCGTTTCTTGGCTTCGCGCCCGGTTGGGTTGCCGGGCACTACTGAGCCCCCCCACCACGACAAGGTGAACGCACGTTGGGGGGGTCGGTGACCTGCCTGGATTTTTGTTCGTTTTAACTGACCCCTAAAAAATTTATTTTAGGGCGTTTTATTCGGACCAGCTGGGTAAATATGAGAAATTCATGACGGAACTTCTAGGATATGACAGACTTTTACCTATGAACACTGGCGTAGAAGGTGGAGAGAGCGCGTGCAAGATTGCGAGGAAATGGGGTTATGACGTCAAGAAGATACCAAAAAACCAGGCAAAGGTATAAATTTAAGTATAATTTATATAAACAAGAAGAAATATTAAAATAGATAGGTAGGTAGGTACTAGTTACATAAAGCGTAATACACTACTACTTTTACATTTATGCATTGTTTTTTTTTTGGGATCCCAAATCTCAAAAGGAGAAAATGTATTATATTATATTGTATACACTAAATATAGTCTCCAATTCTACTGGACCGAAAAAAATTACGTATGCACCTAACTATTGGTATACAGCGCAGCATAGTTTAGTGACCAATGACGGGTGTAAATTTATTAAATTAAAAATTTTTATAAAAAACATACATACTGTAGTACTTCACTCATACTTTACAGGAAAAATATTTTTTTTATCAGGTTATTTTAGCTTTATTTAATTACAATTAATAAAATATTTAATTCATGTTCTAGGTTCTATTAGTTTCTTAAAGCAACTTTATTTAAAGCTTTAAATAATTATGTTCATTCATATGTATATGTTCATCAGTCTTGACGCTTGTAATTGATATTCATACACAGTACATACGAGTACACTTTTAAACAAGAATCTCATCAAAGATGTATACGAAGAGTAACTTTCCATTGTAAATTTTACACCAAGATCACAAAGGGCACGGAAAGTTTCATTGAACTATATACAATGATAACTTTATATGATTCTAGGTCAAGAATTGCGATGACGAAATCGACGTAACTATAATAATATCTGTCAAAGACTTGTCAGTATAATTCTTATTATATTTATGAACATAGGTACTTTTGACCCATCGTCGCTTTTTTTAGCTACGCCACTGACTAAAATAAAAACACATTTTATTTTAATATTTTATGACTGCGGATCTATATCAAATTATCATTATTAACTTTTGTATATATTAGAAATTATTTATCATTGTTTTGCAGATAATCTTCGCAGAAGGTAACTTTTGGGGTCGCACCTTGTCTGCAGTGTCGTCGTCGTCGGACCCCACCTGCTTCGATGGCTTCGGTCCCTATATGCCTTGCTTCGAACTAGTTCCGTATAATAACATCACAGCGTTAGAGGTGATTAATAAAATTCATACATTTTACACGAAAGTTTGTATGTGTGTATATTAGGTTTATTACTTCTTCGCGCTGAAACTACTGGACGAATTTGGATGAAATTTTGTACATATTTTTATTTTATACCTATGAGGTCTCTAGACTCTAGTAAAATATAAGTTATATTTTCTAATAACATTTTACACTTTAAGAATAACCCGAAAAGGATTTTTAGTTTTATACCTGTAATCGTATAACATCTGAAGAAATGTCAGTCTAGTCAGCTCCTTATTGTAGGCCATTACCTATCGTTGATTATAAATACCTAAGCATATATTTTTTATTCAAACGCACTAAACTTGCCGTAATAAACGTCTTTATAATTTAACTTCTTTCACTTTGCGCATATTTTACTCTCATAAATTAGAGTTCATGAGTCACGTCAAACAAGCCATAATTACGTAATTATGTACATAAGTATGCTGCTATATATGGTCTGGTAGTTAGCGTGTAATGGAATGGCGAGAAAACGCACAGCTTGTGGTATGTAAGTCGTTTTGACCCTTTTTTTCGTATCTTAATAAGATGTACTCTAAATAGAGATGTCTTATTAAGTTTTTACAAGATTGTTTTCCCTTAGTAGGTACAAGCAAGTATAACGGAACGCGTATGTTATAACATTCTGACTTATATTTTAATATAAGATAAGGCAAGCGCGTCCTCAAAAAGAGTTGTGGTCACGGCCACACGAAAATTGGCTTAATTGTGTGTATCGGAATACAGACTTATTCATGATCAATATATTACATTCCTAAAAGGTACCTGCTGTACTCTGCGTAGAATAGTAAATAATCTCTACGCGGTGTCTGAGCTGACCGGGAGAGTCGCTAGCGTATTTGTTTTAAAAAGCTTTTTTTTTTAATATTAATTATATATTTTTTAATAATAAAATAAATTAAATATTAAGGCATTGAATGTAACATCAGTCTATCGAACTCAATTAGGGCATGCCCACCGTGCCCATAGCGGTGGATCCGCGCTTGAGATAAAAATAGAAAATATAAATAAATAATCTAAGTATATAATAGTTAATTATATTCAATGAAAATAGATATTATGATGATATAACATACGAACCGCGCCGGTCCTAGCCCTTGATCAGGGTAGAGCGAGATTGTCTTTTAGGGCCCTTTGGTGGAGGTTTTCACATCACATTAATTGTATTTTAATTTATGTTAAATAAAGAATAATTACGAACATTTTAAAAATTCAACTTTTATTGAAAATCAACACTTATTAAGATGTTTTTGGCATTTGGAATTTTGGCCTCTTGCTACTTGGCGTCTAGTGCGACCGCTCCTCAGGGCCGGCGTTGCATACAAAAATAAAATATTTACATGTCAATGTTGTGCTCGTGTTTTTATTCATTAATATATAGACAAATATTTTACGTTACAGAAAGCTCTTCAAGATCCAAACGTAGCCGCTTTCATGGTAGAGCCTATACAAGGTGAGGCGGGAGTCTTAATCCCTGACGACGGCTACTTGAAGAAAGTCCGAGAACTTTGTACCAAATATAATGTGCTGTGGATAGCGGATGAAGTGCAGACTGGTTTAGGTACGGTTCGATAATGGATGATACTTACAATATATTTGTTAAATTATATATTAGAATACGGCATTATTTATAGAAGTTGTTGGGTTCGACTCCCAGTCGGGCCAAAAGAATAAATACGGAAATACCTAAGAGGGAGGTAAGAGGATTTCTCTAATAAAGCAAATTAGACAAATTCATAAGGACTAGGCATGAATTTATGCGCTATAATATCTACTATTACTCATCTCATCTCGTCTCATTGAGTTTAATCGTTATGAATGAAACTATCACAATTACACTAACTGACGAATGACAGTAAATAGATCCTCTATCGATACGACTAATTAATGTTTAAATTTAAAATTTACCTAAAAGCTACCATAGATAATAAATAAGGACCGTTAAGTAAGTAACACTCTAAGCTGCAAATTACAATTCCAAAAACAGGCATTAGGGAAATCTATGTATATACCGCAAATTGGTTGACTCTATTAGAGTAAAAGAAGACGTGTTAAGTAAGGTAACTTATTTTTTAATTAACTAGCGATTAACCCTCGCTTCGTTCGGGTGCGTCCCTAAACTTGAATCGTTTAGGAACGTATAAAAGAAAAAATATTTTATTTTGCACCAGGAAGTAAGAACGTTCGCAGGCGTGTATAGTGTTACATACTAAAGTTTCATCACAATCAGATCAATGGTTAAGGAATGCATAGAGGATAAAAATACGAACATTCATTTTTATTTATATAGATAGATAATGAAAACTTAATTATCAAACTTCAGGCAGAACGGGCAAGTTGTTGGCAGTAGAGCACGAAGGTGTAAAGCCAGACATACTTATTCTTGGTAAAGCGTTGAGCGGCGGCGTCCTGCCCGTGTCGGCGGTGTTGGCTAATAACAACGTCATGGATGTAAGTACGAGATGTTACAAAATACAGTTTGTTATTAAAAATAAATATAAATTAAACTAATAGTATCGTAGGATACACTTACACACAATCTGAATCCCATAGGCTTCACTTTGAATTAAATTGTAATCCGTGGTACTTAATGCTTTTTTATAATTATTAAGAAAATTTTGTGTTTTCCATGTTTGTTTGGACAGTTTGGACTAGCACTTTTCAGACGAAGATAATACTTATAATTTAATGAATTGTGCTATAGCTCAAACGATATTCTGACTGACTTACATACATATATGTATCGACGAGTATGTCGAATGTATTTAATTAAGTAGAAGTCATAAAAAATAATATACTAACATGATTTAGTATTTTCATGTAACTTTATAGGTCATTACACCGGGCACTCACGGTTCAACATACGGCGGCAACCCGCTCGCGTGCGCCGTCGCCACAGAGGCCATTAAGGTAAACATAAACAATAAAAATAATTAGTCAAAATTGTTAGAATCATTTACGTCCGTCCGTCTTTTGTCTATACCTACAATGTATTCAAAAGATATTTTTTTCAATAAAAGTAGTCGAAATGTTAGTTAGGAAAAAATAAAAAAAATATTTTCTGTATTAGGTTTTATTGGAAGAGAAATTATCCGAAAATGCAGCAAGGTTGGGCAAAATTTTCCGTGAAGAGTTAGAAAAGATTCCCAAGTCCAAAGTGAAAACAATCCGTGGAAGGGGACTTATGTTCGCTATTGATGTACACAACAGTATGTATATACCGATTTAATTATACAAATTTAGCTAAAATCGCTTTATTTTGAACCTTTTAGAAGAATATTCCTAGGGATAATAATAAATAGATTTTAGCAGATTTAATAATATCTATATATTCTCTAAAAGGATAGAGGAATAGGATTAATTTTTCCTGTTTATTCTTTATTGTTTTTATTTTTAGATTTAAGCCACGATAGTTTCAGTAATAGAGTTATCCCTAGGTACTACTTATAGTATTTTAACTATCTAGTATCTACGAATTTAGTTGCCTATCTATGTCTATGCTTATGAGCTACTCCAGATCATAGCTTAAGTGTTTTAGTTTCATCCAAATCGGTTCAGCCGATTCAGAATGTGAGTAAATAAAAAATATATAACGTATAAATACACCATTATAAGTGCGAAAATGAAATATTTTCAATTGATTCAAGCATCTCAACTTTTACTACAATCCTATTAGGTATATAATATCAATGATAACGAAATATTATCACTAAGAAATTAAATGTAGTATTTTTGCTGTGACCAGGTATTCCCGCGTACGAAGTATGTCTGAAACTCAAAGAAGAAGGTTTACTTGCGAAACCAACCCACGGGCAAACCATCCGTCTGGCGCCACCTCTCGTCATTACGGAAGAACAGTTGAGAATGGGCGCGAAAATCATCCAAAAAGTATTCCAATCTTACTAGTGACATTGCACAGATTATGATGCATTTTTAAGTTTAATGTATTTAAAAAAAAAAAGGAATATGAGCCTTTTCTGGCCATTCTCTTTGGCTGTGTTCGCTATAAGGCTAAAATTACACTAATTGTTATTATTACGCATATTGTATAACAACAATGATTTAAACGTGTTCATTTTTAAATAATAGTATAAAAGTCATTTTTAGTCATTCTTAATAATTTAGATTATTGTTTATGAAAATTTAAATTTGAAACAAATGTAGGTACACAGTAACTAAGCGAGTTTTATGTGGCATCACATATCTTATCTCAGCTGCCGATAATATAATGCTATATGCATTCATATTTGTATTGATATAGAATCAGATTGGTGAGATTTTTCGCCAAATTTTATTACCTATAATTAATTTAAAACAAAAATGTGCAGTTTTAATAAATATTTACTCAATGCTGGTGTTTATTTCATTCTAAAATCCTTAACTAAGGATCTCTTGTATCCACTTAGCGTTAGTTGTATAATACCCTATAAGTATATAACGATTAACTAATTATATTTATTTTGAATTCTAATTTAGGAGGCATCGAAACTATAGTAAAGTAATTGGTTTTTTATTGAAGTAATGTTCAATAGAACTCTCAACATAATATTTTAACTGAAAGTTAGGGGATTCTTAAAATAGTTTAGGAATACCCTCAAATTTAGAAATGATGGTGAAAATAAACTTAGTGAAAACGGTTTAATGTACATATGAATAAAATGGAAGTGTGTGATTTCAAAATAGCTAGGTTTTCTCAAGTATATAGTTATTTATATGATACCTATGTATAAATAACACTTAAAGAAATTTGTATTTCTGTTTTGTGTGGGGTATATTGTTTTATTTCCGAAATATTTTGGGTTCCACCGCGAAAATCGTAAAATTAAAAAATTACGCAAAATTCGAATTTGCGCATTCATGAATGTGTGTATCTCCTATGGTACACTTACAAACACTATTTTTATCTATTGAAAACGTAGTTACCTAGCGACGCACCTGAGAAAGACACTAGTTATGAATATATTTTTAGATATGTACATTAAATAGTAGTCTGTAAGATGGCAGCGATCGGATAATACATCTACTATTCCTGTTACTATTAAAACAGTATAAGTTTGTGTTCGTATTCTCTTTCATACAAATATTACTAAACGGATTTTGATGAAAATCATAATTAATTTAAATTTGGTAATACAAAAACAAACGCCACTCATAAAAAGTATAACAAAAATTAAGTTAATTTTTGTAAAATATTGAAAAATCTTCAGGTATAAAAATAGTTGGTTAACCATTGTGTACAGATAAAATATACTTAATTTACAAAACACAATTATGTACGGCACGACATCGCGTGTTCAAACACAATGTTCAGTAAATAGTAATCATTCAGAATAACATAATAGACCAGGGCTGAATGAAGCCTTTGAAAATGGTAAAAAGTGAAAAAAAAAATAGTAGGATGAAGCCCATTGGAAAAGGAAGAGAATATAACAAAAATTAAAGGAAAAATAATTTACGGGCGATCTGAGATCGGGAAGTGGGAGGGGGTGAGTTTTTAAGGGTAAACAACGGTTTGTCTCGATTTCCGGCAAAACTACAAGTCCTATGGAAAAAAGTTAAATGACAAAGTTGTAGGTAATAAAAAGATCTACAACTTTTGTTGTTACAATTTTTTCATATACCCTCAAAATTTATGTGAAAAATTCAAGTAACCAAGTTTTGGTTTTTTATTTTCATCTTTTACCAAAAAAAATGTTTTCACGAATTTTGGTGAAAACTTACCTTTTTATGTCCCCAACATACTGTAATTTTTTTATTTCAAATATTTATTTTTTCTCCTTGACTTAATATCGAAAAAACACCCTAATTTTCAATCGAAAATTCGCGCGTCAAAATATCTATATCTTTAAATAAATGGGAGGCACTTCCCGATCTCAGATCGCCCGTAAATTATTTTTCCTTTCATTTTTGTTATATCCTCCTTTTCCAATAGGTTTCATCCTACTAATTTTTTTTTGGTTTTAAAAATTATCGACCCTGGTCTATGAGTCACTTTAGTTTAAAAAATAAAACACGTCTTTTAAATTAGCATATTGTATATTTTTATATATGTATAAAGTAATACGTGTCACAACACTCTTGGATCACAGTTAGTTGAGGTAAATACTGTACTTGTATGGTAAACATATTATGTTATAATTTGTAGCCATTTTGGTATTACGTATCTACCAAGTCTATCCTATATTATACTAATATACTATACTGGCATTTCATTTTGAACTATATTAAGTTTAGTTAAAGTGCATTATCCATTACTCCTAGTTGTGCTCTCATCGTATCTGTTAGTTTTGAAAGAAGGACGCTCTCGTCTAAGCTCATTTTAGGGCTTTCGAGTAAACCTGAAAGAAAACAGCAATGTATCTATTACGTAAAATGCCAAAGTAACAATTATTAATAACATGTTCACATATTTTTATTTTGAACTGTAACATTCATTGTTCATGTTAAAGAAAAAGTACTTAAAAATTAATCAGCTTCAAATTTAGGTGCATTATTGCCATTTTAGCTTTATTACTAAAATTAATAAAATAAAAATATGAATAATTTAAAATGAAGAGATTATTTATACATATAAAATTAAAAGTACTCGTATATCTTAAAAAAATGTTTCTAATCTAGATATAGAGTATTATTCGGTAGGGAGCAACTTTGATTCCTGCGTAAATATATTTTGTGTTTGGTATCTAATATCTTGTGAGTAGATCTAATTATTATTTCTCAAGAAGTTTATATATGAATGAAGCAAGGGCGGGATCGTTTAATTATTGACGTTTAAATAAAGCACCCATTAGCTTTAAATTTTAACTTTATATAGCTCAATCTATTAAATTCAAATTTTGTATTTGAATTCTAAATTCTTAACCTATAGTTAAACAAGAAAAACAATATATTTGTCATGAGCATATAAAATATCGTCATAATAGTAATCTATGCATAACAACATTTTTTTATTCATCTACATAATAACATTACATATTTACATGGCATAAAACGCATTTTATACTAGTATTATAAAGAGGCAGAGTTTGTTTGTTTGAACGTGCTAATCTCAGGACTACTTATCCGATTTAAAAAAATCTTTTTGCATTAGATAGCCCGTTTATTGAGGAAGGCTACACATATATCATCATGCTACCACCCAAGGGAGCGGAGCAGTAATCATAATTGTCAACAAATCGGGCAGACTTCCATACATTATTGTAAAACTAATGTTTATAATATATTTAAGTGCTTTAAGCTCAGAATATATAATATTAAATGAATAGTCTGTTCATTCCATACTAGCCTTTAAAAAGTATCTAGGGACGAACCCAAGAGAGCGAGGATGAGCTGCTAGTATCTTATATTCGTTATATCTTATAGGAAATTATAGCTATTTTTTGCATCGAGATAGAGTTAGCTTAGCAGTTTTTGAAAATATAACAAATTGACACACTTTCATAATGATTTTCAAATTACTTCACTACTTACCATTATTAATGCAATCCCAACACTCTTGTATTTCGTAGCTCAGTCCCGCGCTGTTGTGGAAGTGGAACTTATATTTGCCTTTAGGTAACGTCCATTCTGTACTGTTTGCTGCTGATATGTGTAGTACTGTTGGACACCAGAAGTAGTCGAGCTGTAATATGGCAACACTATTTTTTTCAATTTTACTCACATATTTAAAGAATAATAATTTTATTACCTCTACGTGAGTTTTTTTAAAAATGTTTTCTTAAAAAAAACTTTTTATTAAGTTCTCAATTCAGTTGTTTATTTAATTATCGTAAATACTTTCTTAGATATACGCGAATATATAAATTTTTGAATAAAAAAAATATCGGACATTTTCGCGGACTTTCTTTTGCTTTTTGGTTCTCGACGCTTCGAATGCTTTACAGCAAACATAGTCATTCCAGTGACCTGTAAACTAAGCTTGAACCAAAGTTACATCAAAATAAACTGAGTTATTTTTCTAAACCATGTATGGCCAAGTAGGTAGCAATATATGCTTTAGTTTTCGTTAAATTCTCAATTTAATTATAACTCCCGCTTAAAGGTCACCTAGAGTTTAAGGTTTGAGTTATCCTATAAAAAGGGAAATGGTTCTAATTTAGCTTGCAAGATATAAAAATGGGATGGGCTGATGGACTCTGAAAATGGATTCTCAATTCAAATATGCTTGTGGTGCAAAACCAAGTAAATATATATTTATTATTTAGTCAGAAGCTGCATATGACTTCAAAAATTAGTGATTTCGAGTAGTACCTACCTAAATTGTTTTTAGTACGCGCGACCGCTTTAAGTCAATGTGGTAATATTTTAACAATGTTTCTAATATGATCCCACTATTATTTAAAACTAAATAATATTTATACATAAATGGTAAAAAATAATAAACGGCAATCGCAAATGCCAAGTACCAAAGAAGCCATAATGTACCAAATTCTGAAACGAGTATTACGGGACATTACATATATTTTAAGAAGTCGGTTGAAAAGTTAGCGTTAACGTACGTTTTAACGTTTGGATTTCTCAGAGATGAGATATTTTCCTGCAGTAAAAAGTATCCTATATGTTGACCCGGATAGCCAGGTATTATCATACAAAATTTTATCAAAATCTGTCAAGTGGTTTTCTCGTGATGCGGTCACATACTGACAGACAGACAAAAATTCTAAAAACTGTAGATTCGGCCTCTGTATCGATAATAATTACTATTTCAATAAGATTTTCCAAAAAAATATTTAATGTACATATACGACTCAGAATTTTATTATACATAGATTAGGTACATATACGAGTAGTTTGTTCCGAAAAATAATTGTTTTATTAATTAAATTTTTTGGATAAACATAATAAAAAAAATACTGTACTTTGAAGACTGTCTTTTTTTGCTGTTTTTTCGATATACACTTCAAAAGAAATTAATTAAAATAAAAGAGTGATCGCGCGAGCGTTTTTTGTTAAATTAAAATCATGGCCGTAATATCTCTTCCTATATTCCTTTGGAATTTTCCATTAACACAATATAATAAGAGTGGTATACATATATTAAATTTTTAATTATCTGTCGTGTGGAAATTCACTTTTCATTATGAAATGTGCAATGTGACCTAGTTGGCAAAATGTTTATAAAGTGTGCACCAATAACATGCGGCATGTTACATGCCAATCTAAATATTTACAGCTGGAGTACGATCTTAATTTTTAAATGAAATAAATAAATATGTTCGGATATTAACACACAACACCATCTAGTTCCATAATAAGCTACGAGGTTTGTGTTTTGGATACCAGATAGTTGATACACTACACATATATAACTTTAAATACGTACATATTATAAATAGAAACACCAATGACTGGAGTACAAACATTCGTGCTCGTCACACAATGAATGCCCACAGCGGGACTCGAACCCGCGACCGTTGCAAAGCAAGCAGGGTCACTACAAACTGAGCCAAACGTGTAGTCAAATTATATGAGCAATATTTTTTGGGAAACGAATGTACTTGTTAAATTTTTCCTTATTTTATTACGCTTTGTATTTTTGCCAGTGTGCGTAAATTATAAAAATCATTAATGTATGATCATTGCTTATCTTATAATTATCCATATAAATCGAAGCGATCTCATGGGACACTGGTCGGAAAGTAAAAATTGGTTTTAATCACGCAATAGGTCCTAGTCTGCAGACTAAGGAAACTACATCAAAATCCTACACATAATGATTTCATATGGCATGATTAACGTTTTAGCCTCTTTTTTCCTTAATCGCAGGCCTTTTCGGTAATATAAAATAGAATAATTAATATTGAAATTACATCATTTTTAAAGAAAGTATTTTTAGTCCATTAAATATCTATTTTAATATGTATAATAATTGAACTATAATAGAAACTAGAGAGTACGTAAATTGGATAGTCCAACCAAACCCTTTTGTGCCCTTTGATTTGCCCTTGACGGGTTGCACACATGAATACGATCGTTAAAATAAGGTCAAATAAGGTAAAATAATAACACGCTTGTTCTGATGAGTAAAGGGATATTTTGATTTCTCGCAAAATTCAAATGCCTGATAAGCAAATAAGTAGTTGTTGTTTTTCTTAAATCTTTTATTATTTTAAATAGAACGGAAATAATTTATCAAATTTCAATATCTTGACATGACGTCAATGGAAATTTTTTAAACATATGATTAAAAACAACTTACCAAAATTGTACCTTTGGTCCCCGTGATCTCTGCTCGGTTACCCATAGTGGCTCTAGTCTGGGCCGCTATAGTGGCTGTCCTGCCTTCCTTGTACTTGAAAGCGCAAGAAACCGACTCGTCCACACCCATTTTACTCAAGTGTCCCGTGCACATTATATCAGTAGGAGGCTCCTTGTATATGAATTGTAGAAGTTGTAACATGTAAATACCCAAATCCAATACTGCACCTCCCCCTAAATCTTTCATTCTGGAATTTACCATTGTTATTTAACGTTACCAAATAATTATATATTATTTTGCGTATATTTTATTAGTAGGTCTTAAAGTTTTGTAAGATAATGATATCATCAAGATTATTTACATGAAGCATAGTGTAATTTCCCCCAGATATGTACGAGTATATAGTCCCAATAAAGAAAGCAGCAGTGAATGAAAATATAAAGATCTTACAAGTTTCTCTCTATGTCGTTAATTTCCACCCCGAACTGTATATTTATGTGATATATGTCTCCGAGCCCACCACTAGCAATGTGCTTGTCTAAAGCATCGTAAGCAGGAAAGAACCTTGACCACATCCCCTCAAGGAGAAATAGCTTTTTTTCTCGAGCCAAATCCACTAGACATTTTGTCTGTTTATATGTCATTCCCATAGGTTTTTCGCATAGCACGTGCTTACCGCTTTCTAACATTAATTTTGTTATTTCGAAATGCTGTAAATTAAGAACGCTGACGAAAACAATGTCTGAAAATAAAATAATAAGTACATGCCTGATGTCAAACCAAAAACGACGCATTATGTTATTTATTTAAAACAATGGAATGAACTTATTATTATATAGCTATTCTTAATTACTTTATTATATTGTATTATGATAATACGGTCTATGTATTTTTTAATTAAAATATAATGAGGTGATAATAATATAAAAGAAAAAACAAATAATGGTTTATTAAAGCAGGTAAAAATGTTCAAGACGAAAAAATTGAATCTTGGTGCCCATGACCTCAGAGATACTTGGAATGACCAGGAAAAAGGCAAACGTGTACAAATTGATGATAAAAAGTAAAAACATAGTAAAGTATAGTACACACATACCTATGTCGTTGTCGGTGGCAATGGATTCATAGCCTTCGTAAGCGGTACCGATGTTGTGGAGCGTGGCCAATCTTTGAGCACGATCTAGGTCTTTGCCGGCGATGGCAATCACCTTGTGCTGTTCAGATGACAGTGATGCCATCGCTGTCAAGAAGTCGTGCGCGATCATCCCAACGCCGGCTATCCCCCATCTCAATTGTTTTCCCATCTAAATAATAACAATATATCTTATATATAAATATAAGTTATGTCGAGCAGTGGCTGATTGTATACTGATCATGGGCTTAACGGCTTTGTTAATTCATTAAATTTCGAAAATGATAACGTAAATAGATTATCGATAACAAATGTTAAATTAATTACCATGTTATTATAATGAAATCAATTTTAAACAAAACAAGTTCCTACTTCACTGAAAGCTGAACATGTAATAATAATAATACGCGATAAATAACGATGCTACTGCACGAAACTTGATATGCAATTTAGAACTTATGTAACATATGTACATACTCGTATATACAACATGTTCTGTTTAGTATGAAAAGAATATAGAACAGAAATTTTGATAAGAGTAGATAAATCGTACAATAAAACCGTTATCAAAGTAACTCATATGGAAATCTTAGTGGTTATCTAGTTCACATTTTAGATTGTACTGTGATTTGCGTTGTACTATAGAAATGTACACTATTAGAGCCTTGCACAATGTACGTATATATATATATATATATATATATGTCCTTTGTATAATTGTAGCTAATAAAAGAGAGCATTTCAATTGGTCAGGTTCGTTGATTAGTAATTGTTTGTGTAATTCATATATCACAATGTTATACTAGAAGAGTATACAATGTTTATTTATTATACTTTTACGAGCATCGACACTGTTTTAATGACTAATATACGTGTACTAGTGTACACATTTCAAATGAAATACTATAATATAATACATACTAATTATACCTATGTACGTAAGTATATTTAAAATTATATCATTTGACCCTCATATCTAGCTTCGTAGATTTAAAAATGGATTGTTTTCCTTATTTTTGTTTTTAACTCTTAAGATATCTTTGTTATTCATATTTTATGGTGGCCCCTCTCGGGTATCGTATTCTGTGGTGATTTTACTGAGTGTTCGATGGCAGCTTTTAAAAATATCAGCTTTCAAAAGGTGCGATAACCTAAACTTAAAATGTCAATATATTAGAAAACTATGTTGTGGAAATAATTTTGTACGTCATTTACGTATAAAAATATCTTCGTTTTGATTACTTACAGTAATATCAAAATATGTAAAGTTTTCGTGCACTTCTCAGAAGTCTTGTCTTTCTATAAGTATTCATCATACGACCAAGCAATAAAATTTTATTTTTTTGGACTTTTAGAAGATTCTGACATAAACTATTATAATGATAAGAAGCCTCCACTATTGAACTACATATTTTAAAAAAAACACCATCACATAGTTGATACTTCGTTTGTACTCGCGAATATTATTCTAGAATCTATTTTTTTTAAATCCAAATAACTTTGGAAAAACTAAAAATCGCTGAAGATAAATGAGGGTTAATTCTCGACCCTGCTTTGATCCATCAGTCATAATACACTCTGTATAAACACTCGACGGAGCCTTAAATGATATGCAAGATGATGAGCAAGTGCCTTTAAAGTTCATCTGGCTCTATTTGCCTTGAATAACAATTTTATTTTAAATAGAAACTTAAGGGGTTAAATTTTAAATAATTCTAAAATAAATATGTTGTTTAATGTTCGGTATAGAGATTGATGAATGAGGACAAGCGATTTTTAACGCAATTAGGTAAAGATTGCGGCAGATATCTTAACAAATCCTAGTCAAAGGAATACATAAAAGTTTTTTGTATTTACTCTATTGTTAAAATAGTAATGTACAAACATCGTACTTGAGACATTTGTAGTACAAAGTTTAAAGTAAAACGATAAATGATAAAAATGATCGTGTGGGTCGGACACTGAGTAATTAATATTTTAATAAGAAGCACCCTAATTAATATTTTTTACTTGTAACGACGTCATAGTGTTTGACTCGTATTTCTTACAAGGTCGATATCGTCGGTTCGATTACCATCATTTTGAAATGACAACATTAACATTATAATGAAATAAAAAAAAATGTTTTCCCGTATATCGGTTACGGTGTAAAAATTGTTTTTTTTGATGTTACTAGATAATAAAATAAATATATGTTTTATTTTATAACACGATCTGTATTTCAATATCTCAGATCGTATAGCTATCTTTTAGCTTATTTTTTTCACAACTTCAAGGACTTGAGGCTAATTTTAATATACATAGTAGGTACCTCCCGGATAGAGAAATACCTTGAGGAAAAAGTTTACGATCGCGGATCGACGAACAGATGACAAAGTATATAGGTTATTTTTATTTTTTGTTTTTAACGTACTTACATACAAATACGTCACCCACCAATTATTACGAATTATTAATACAAATTGGCATGCTCATGACACATAGAATTAACTAGGGCATATCGCTAATTATAATCGTTATCCTTTTTTTTTTTTTTAACGTTGGGAAATGCATTTACGCACGACGTGTGGGACTCACCGGCGTAATACAGCCAGTACTACCCACTAAAACCCAACAAAACCTTCCCCCGTCTTAATGGGGCGTCGCAGGATCGCTTACGCATTCAACTACGACGCCCCGACGGCAGGTCTGCCAAAGCAGACCACCACAACCATGGGGTTGCTCCAAGGTCCACTCTGCTATCAGAGAAGTACCAGGAGCAACCCGCAAGGTACACCGCCCCCCGAAGAGGGCCACCTCCCACCGCCCACCGAAGTGGGCAACCTCCCTGTGCGTTTCTTAGCTTCGCTACTACTACTGAGCCCCCCCACCACGACAAGGTGAACGCACGTTGGGGGGGAATAATCGTTATCCTGCGTTATCATATCCTAAGGATATTTATTTAGGGCCTTGGGTACTTTTAAGTCAGGTCCACCAACTAGTTGTGTTTGTGGAGTTTTTGGCAACATATTCTTACCGATTTTGATAGTAACTTTACGTATTTGGAGTTGGATGTTAAGTATGCTTTAAAAATAACTCCTAAATGTATGTCGATCCAATTTATACTTTTGGCTTACGCATAATCGGAACCTGACCATATACTAGGTCGATATTAAACTTAATATTCGCTATTGCCATCAGCTTCACTTGCGAGTCTATTTCTTAACAGTCGACTATCTTTAGACATGATCCTCGTTTCATAGGATAACATACTGAAAGTGGAGCTTGAACTGTATGTATTTACCTGATTATTAATTAAGATTATTATCTACACAATATTAAAAATCTCATCGAAACTTATCTAGCCATTTTCCAACATTTTCTAAATGTTATTGTTATTACGTTGTTTCGAAATTTATGTTATATTATACATACGTGTATTAAAAACGAGAAAAGTTTTTAACATTTTTTAAACGTTTTGAAGTGAGAGAAATATAGGTAATTAGAAAAATATTTGTATCCAATTATGAAGATTCTGTTAATAGCTGCTTGATTATAAAAATATACAATACATATATATCTCATATTTATAGATAACCATCTGCTCAGTTAAACGTGTTAGCGAAATAATTAAAATAGAAAAATAGCTCGTAATTTGGGTAATTAATGAAAATAACTTACAATTACTGTTGTTTGTTCAGGCATTGTTCATATGGAGAAAAATCGGTATAAGATTTTCTGAAACAAAATAACTAAGCAATAATCGTAATTTTAAAACTACATAATTTTTTAAGCGATATTATAGCACCATTTCTCACACTTTAACAGAATGAAATAAGTGAAATCCTAATAATTTAATAGAATTATTTCTTATTATTTTACTATTAATTAAAATTTAATATATTTTATAAAGCCCTTCTATGAACAAAGTCTTAGGGCTTTAACGTACATACAATACTTAAATAAATATATTTGTTATGATCAAAGAAACGAATTTTTTAATATTAAAGAACAAAAATTAAATTAAAAGAATACCTTTAGAATAAAAAATAGTAATAGAAAATCTATTTTGCAGCAATTTTAGTAAAGATCACGAGCTAGCATTTATTTTGTTTCTCTGATCACGAGACAACTGACAATTATTCATCATTGACAACTGACAAGTGCCAACTGACATAATGACAATATTCATGACGAAAATAAATAAAGTGGAGTGAGAACTTGGAGAAAAAAAATAGATAGAACTCATAAAGTAAATTAATGAAAACAAATGGATTACTTTGGTAAATTTAATGATGGATACAAAATAAAAATGTTATCAACTATAAAAGAAAGCATAACAATTATATGATAATCAGATTTTCTATTTGTTCCTTTGATGCATCAATTAGTCGTTTTCCTCCTCTCCGCTCCAGCGTATTTTTGGTAACCTCCCTGGATCGTGTTTGTTAACATGTTTTATTGTTTATAAAAACTTAAGAAAAAAACCGACTTTCAGTGTGCTTTAATTTTTATCGGCTGGCACCGACTTCGAAAATATGCCTATGTGCCTGGAAGTCAGTTTTTTTTCAAAAGTGTTTAATTTTCCATTTTTAGTATCTAAGACGTAATAAGCAGATAATTTGTAAGAAGGAAGTTTTGTAATAACACTGGATTAAGCCATTTATTTTAAAATAGATTATTGCTGATCTTTTAAAAACCACTCGACCGATTTCGATAAAATTTAAATGGGACTACCTGGAGAATATACAATTTGAAAAAAAAAACAGAATTTTCCAAAATTTTTTCCGGTTCAGGCGTTTTCGAGTAATCGGTGAACATCGAACATATAATATATATACAAATAAAAGATATATATATACAAATAAAAGATATATATATAAATATGTATATATATATATTGAGATTTTTTTTATTCCATTTATAAATTCAAATTGGAATAAAAGACAGATTGTCTGCACGTACGCTTTCTCTCTTTCTAGACAGTCAAAACAAATATTTACACACATAATCACTTTTTTTCTATCTTTTATTGAATTATTATGTTTTCAACATTTGTTTCGCTGTAAAATTTTATATAGCAAGGAATTAGGGTTATGTTTCTCACAATCTTTGAGTTCAGAGCTCTATGTAGGTATTTACAATAAAATATGAAGATTTGGTGAATATTGCATTTATTTCTTAATACACATTTTAAAATATAATTACTCCGCAATTTTTATTATTTATTTTTATTTCTTGTATATAATAATGTATAGTAAAAATTAAAGCTACTATTGTCCATTCATTTCATACTTCACTTCATATAGATTGTTATGTAGTTGATGCATCCTATTTAAATGAGAATCTTACCAACAAAAGAAAATGGTTTTGGCATAGAGTGGCACAATGTTTTTCAGGAACTGTTCCATCCTTATTTTAAATTCTTTATAGCTTGTCAAATTATATAATCTGCAATGAAAATAAAGTTATAAGTAATTTTGAATTTAATCTGTACTTATGTCATGTCAAATGTCAAAACTTAAAACAATGGAAATGTCGTAGTTATTTTAAATTATTATTTAAAAGTTATTGCCAAATTTACTTTATAATACAATGGCCTTAAATTTGTGGCGATCGTATTCAAAAGCCAGAAATAATGTTTTCTCAAACGGTAACAATTGTAGTTCACTTTCGGCACTGTATAAATATTTTTCTAGATCATTTTGTGATGATAAATTTTCATCACCCGAATTCTCGAATAGTACAATTTTCATTGAAAATGGATACAACGTTCATGAACTTCCAGTTGTGGTAAGAAGATTAAAAGATTTAGAAGACTTAAATGTAAACCCTTCGTCAACGGAAACCCAACAAGGTACAAGTGATCCTTTGAGCTATCATTTAATACAGGAAGAATTTAAACAGTGTACAGATTTACGTGAAGTTTTTTCATTGATTACAAAATGTACTAAAATAACTCCGAATATTGCTCTTGGGGCAATAGAAAGAATATATGATTTAGAAAAAGATGGAAACCTAAATTTGACAACAGATCAAAATATACACATTAATTTTGCTAAAGGTGCTATATTAGAAAAACTATTAAAAGTTGTTATGAAGACTGAAGATACTCAGACAATATTAAATGTTCTAAAAACTACTTCGACTATTATGGAACCACACAAGTATAACTTTTGTGATGAGTTGTTTTTAAGAGTGCTTGACAATAAGTTAAGTTTGGAGCAATTGTGTGACTTTACTATGTTCCTTATAAAAAATAAAGATCATCAAAAATACTCACAGACTATTGACAAACTGTGGGTTGGATTTGTTGATAAAGAAAAAGAAATAAACGGGACAAATATTGTTCACATATTTAAGATCCTGCCTGGTTTGAAAGTTAGCAAGAAAACAATTATTTCCTTACTGGAGCAAAAACTAGCAGAATTGTGGTGCCAAATAAAAGTCCCAGCAATGCAAGACATACTTGATGTCTTTTTGATAGAAAAGTTTTTTTCTATGCAATTATATGCTGTTTTAGGCCATTGGTTCTACACTAATATACATTGTTTAGATGATGATGAATTATTAGCTATTGTATCAAAATTTACTCAGCTAAAGTATACTGATCATCAGATCGAAGCAGCAGTTGAGAAATTTTTAAAATTGAAAGTTTCAAAAATTAAATCACAAGTATTGATCATAGGTATTTTAAATTATTGTACTCAATTTAAGCTTCGCAACAAACATATATTAGATACATGTGGCCAATATTTTTTAACTAATAGGAAAGATATATCTCACAGTTTTTTGAAATCTTTTATATACCCTTATGGATATTTGTATGCAGAGCCTACTAATTCTGAATTTTGGACATTAGCTGAGGAAGTCTTATTAGAAAACTGTTATAAAATAAATGTTTTCGATCTGAGTTCAGTTATTTTATCATATATATATTGTGGCCATTATCCACTAAAACTTGTATCTAAAGTTTTTAGTGCAGAATATATAGCTAAAATAAATAATAATGATGTTTTAAAGAAACTGCATCTAATTGATACAGCATTATCATTAGAATGTAGAGCATATGCTGGTCCACTTTTGGCGAAAGATCAATGGTTTAAACCGGTATTACAAGATACTAGGATCAAAAATATTGTCGATAAAATTATTGATAACATTGTCTCTGTAATAGGAGTGTCGGAAAAGTTGTCTACGGCAGTAGTGTTGCCAAATTTTTGTTCTGATGAAACATATTTGATTGATATAATGTTGTACCCAGGGGGACCAGGAAATAGTACATTCAACTGGAAAAGTCAATCAATCAGGAACGGGAGTACAGCAATCCTTATACATTTGCCAGATCATTATTGCTCTGATAATGAACAACTGCTTGGTCCTCAAGTTATGAAAAAGAGACACTTGAAAATACTTGGTATGCGAGTTGTCAGCTTAAAGTACTCCTTACTCAGTCAATTTTATACATCGCATGACACTCCAGGGCTTGAAAATTATTTAAAAGAAAGTATTGAGAATTCTAAAACTTGAATATATTTTAACCGGAATATACTTATAAAGAGGGATATTATTTTTGATGAAGATGTTCTGGAATTTAAATATTTTCTAATTGTTTAATTATGTAGGTGTAAGAACAGTAGTATAGGAGTATTGTGTTCCATGATGTGGACATATTTCCAAAATGGTCTATTATTTAGTTATTAAAATATTTGTAAGTAAAATTAATTATACACCAAAAATGAGTTATATTTTTTTAATCTATAGCATGTAAATAGGAACTGAAAAAAAATATAGTCAAACACATTAGACTTATGGCAAATGTAATTTGTGATATAGATATATCATATATTGTATGTATACAGAACTCGCAACTAACTCGCAGTAAAATGTTTTTTTAAATAATAAAAATATTGTTTATTATCCATCCTAGTCTCGTTTTAGTGGTATCGATCCTAGACATGAAATTTAAGTTTTTTATCAACCTTAATTTTTCATTCATTTACTAATTTTTAGCATGAATACATTAAGAGCAAACGATAAATCTTCTAGTTCTCATCCGTCATTTAATAAAGGAATATAATCCTGTACCGCTCTTTGACAGAACAAACATTTGTGTGGTGACTGGTCAAATAACATCCCCTGCAGAAAGGATCAAATGCGTGGCATCCACAGTAGCCTATATCTGTTAGAACTCTGCCGGCACCAATTTACCAAAATAAACACCTAATATACTTTAAAGTAATATCCTACATGCAAATAAGTTCTAATTAAAACAATAAAATAATGCTACAGCCACTGCAAAAAACTATTAGAGGTAATTATTTGGATGAATGATGGTCGCTCTTGTAACTGAAAGTGATATTTTTAAATTATGTACCTGAAAGCTGCCCAGGACCGGAATGGTGGGCACTGTGTTTATTGTGCTCAGTGCACGTCGATAGACTGATTGATTGAGTTGATATATGTACTTATCTACTGTTTTAACTAACACAAAAATTAGATAAGAAATGGGGCGAACTTGACTTGAGAAAGATTTGCACATGAACCCCCCCAATGTGCATTGTGTCACCTGTAGTAGTGGCGGGCTCATTAGCCTCAAGCAATCCAGGTGGGCGCGAAGCTAGAAACATACTGGGAGGCGGCCCTCCTCGATTAGCGGTGTACCATGCGGGTTGCTCCCGGTCCTTCTTTGATAGATTTGTTGGAGCAACCCCATATTTGTTATAGTCTGCTTCGGCAAGCCTGCCGTCGGGGCATCGTGTGTAAGCGATCCTGCGACACCCCATTAAGACGGGGGAGGTTCAGTTGGGTTTTAGTGGGTAGTACTGGTTTTCCTGGTGAGTCCCACATAATCATTTGTATGCATGCAGGTGGTATGTAAATGAATTTACCAACATAAAAAATAGGGTCGCACATGAAAGGTTAAATATATAAGATGTATATGTTTTTGTCATCTCTTAACCCTATAAAGCTAAATTTTTTTCTGTGGCTTATAAAATTATACGTGATGTAGTTAGTGATTAGTATTTAGGAAAAAATAATAAAAAAATCAAAACCAAATATTTTATTAGAAAATCAGTTTTTTTATTTTAGTTCCATATGTGGGACACTGAGCCTTTACTATTCTTTTTTGGTAGTGAACTATAACATTTTACTATTTTAATTATTTCGAAGTAAGACTTTACACAACGAAAAACACATCACAAAATAATTATATTTTTTTATAAAAATACCTATTGGTGAAAATTTCGGAATCAATTATTACAGCGTTGCTTTTTTGACCCCAAACAGGAAAAGTGCTTAAACCTGTCACGTCTGACTTCATGAGGAGGAAGAACTGCCGTATTCGGCTTCTTTTACTTTATTTCAATTTGATCAGGCAAACTTGATGGTTTGTCTCTTTTCTTGTTCATCGATGGCCCACATAAACACAGACTTTTCTTACGTCAAATTTGAAGTCCCGCAGCTTCAGTTGGTTTGGTTTCAATATAGGTTCGAGTTTATGAAAGCGATCAATGATCATGCCCCGACGTTGAAATGCAGGAATTGGCAGATTTTTTTTTAAATGATTTCATCAAAATCGGTTAAGCCCTTTAGTATTTACGAGGGAACATAGGATCGGACATACATATGTATATATATATACGGGTCAAACACAGCCTGTTGGGTTTCGCCGCAGTCGGGTAAAAAGATAAAGCTCTTTATGTGTAGAACAAACGGACGGATAAAGAAGGTTTAATAATAGGCTCCTCTGTTGCTCTTTTGAAACGAAACCTTCCCTAAAACTTAAAATAAGGCAAAATGGAAAACATGGGAGAGGTATTCATGGGGGATAAAGAGGATTTATTTTTCCATACAAGCTTTTCTATAATATTATTTTTATTTTGTTTCGGCCGATATGTAGAGGCGTAAAATAAAAACATTTATATTATTATAATTTATTTTATTATACTCATAACATCTGTTCCTTATTTACTGACGGTCTAATTAACTAGAATTTTTATTTGAATAATTATTTTATTAATTTATTAGACAGCTTTTATAGATTAAAACTCTTATGTATTCTGAATGAAAATTTTCCAGATCAAAAGGTCATTTTTTATTAAAAATTAAAATTAGTATCGTGACAAACCATAACTTTTGATATTTTTACTGAATACATGACGTATCACTAAATTGAAATATTTTATTTGAAATATTTTGTATTAAAAGAATAATATGATCTCCCGGCTACAATTTAAAAGTGCATCTAAGTTGTTAAATCACGAATAAACAATATCACGCCACTTCATTGTTCTAGCCTTTATTAATAAAAGCTATAGCCAGGAAAGTTATCGCTATATTATATAGCCAAATGGTGTATCACAGCAACTCTAGCTTGAAATATCAATTTTTAATGAAAGTGTTACGCTGGCTCACAGCCTAAACTCTAAATAGACAAATTTTATTTAAATTACAAGACACTCGATAGAGTTAGGTACAATTATTTAATTTATCAATTTTAATCCTAGAAATAGGTTTTTTATTTAGAATGCAAATGCGAACACGATATTTGAAGATGTGAATATGTATGTATGTGCAATTTCAGGTTTAACTGCTATTATAGTCAACTTAACGTCGCTACCACACAATGTTCGGAAAGCTATTATGAATACACACAAGTTCATTGAACTTTAAATTGAAGTTTTCCTATAATAATTCTACTTAGTAGATTATAATTAGATATTCCCATCGAAATTAATTTTTTTAGACAATTTTAAACTTTGGCACGTTAAAAAGATGATATTATTATATCAAACTTTTTGCGATCGATGGGAATTTTCGATATACATATATTTATGTTGAAGTAATTAATTTAAATAAAGTTTCAAATATAATATTCCCATATTCATATTAATTTTAAATGTTGCTATTATATATTTTTGTTATCTGTTATTTATATGTATTTCCTCCCTTAGAATAGGCAGATCAAAAAAGGCAAATATATCAATATCGGGTAGTCTAACATGGAGTCAAAATTTTCAGTGCCTATTAATAGGCATAAAATATTTTTTAATACAGTATTCATAAATATAATCTATTGTTAATGGCTATGTAAAATGAAGATATGTTAACTATTTAATGTTTCTGTTTATTTTATATCACTAGGTGATGAAGAACACATCCACAAATATACGTAATATTTAATCTTTTAAAGAATCGTTTTAATATATTGCAATATAGATAGATCTACTTAATTTCATTAAGAGAAATATGTTTCAATCGTTAAGTACCCTTCCATTTTGATCACACAACGTATCACTGCATATTCTTTACGGCAAAAAATATATATATGTATGTATTTCTACATTCAAAGAAAAAGTTTGTCATTCATTCACATATTAAAGGCTGGTTTCGTTACTGCGACAAGCCAAATTGGAAAAATTCTGTTAGCCGTCGAAGAATTTTTTCATGTTAATAAATTCCATATTTAGTTTTATTTGTTTTTAAGGAAAAAATTGTTTGGTTTTTGACTTCTATGCATTGAATAATAATATAAAAATTTTAACATAGATGTGGCAATAACGAAATTCTCCTTTGATAGGGCAGTATTATGTATAGTAAATATATTTATTATACCTTAAATATAAACACAATTTATATAAAATAACAAATTTCTGTTATTAATAACAATTTCGATTAAAATAGTAAATAATAAAATCTTCCGTTGGTGTAAATAATCAACAACACCCAAGGCCTGTTGTATTTTGGTAGGGATACTTTACAAGTTTATTTAGATGATGAAAATATTTAGGATCAAAACACACATTATAATCAATGGAATAGCAGTTACTGCCATAAGACACCTTATACAGGCTTTAATAACTATTCTATATATCTTCACCTACGAACCGCAAAATTGATCATGCACTATACTTAAGACCTATAACCATTCTAATGCCTATTATTATGTAGTTCCGATTTATGAATTTAGAATTAACTACCTAATCGCTTAAGGACTAGGAAATTACAACATCGATTTCTATTTGGCAGTAACCTAATAATCATTACATAGGACTTACATAGTGACATCAAAATAAAAATTGACAATTTTTTGTATATACGTTGGTAAACTAGGTATAGATCGAGTTTCGTTTTCAAAGGGCAAACTTTTATGATAGTTTATTTGTAAATGTTCTTAAGACAATCTTTAAAATTAGTACCCAGATGAGTACGTATAGATCAGTATCGACAGATGATGGTGTCTCTTATTACATAAGTACTATCGTGTTAATATTATTATATATTAGAAAATTTCATATTGGGCTATTTCTAAAGCAATATGGTTCCCAATGTCCAACGATGAAGACTCTATGTATATTTAGTAGATAATTACAAATACGTAATCTGAATATTTCTTAAAAGTAGGCCTTATAACTAAAAATCTTGATAAGGAATGTGGTGTTAATCCTCATCTTAGTACATACTTACCAGAAGAACTATAATTTTCTTACGCATAAAACACCCATTTGGTAAGTATGGGCATTAATACTAATATAGATGACATAAACGTTATATAAATGATCACAGTAAGAAATCAGCTAACTACGCGAATGTGCGTAATAATTTTCAGGTTTTGACACTATTAATAAGAACTAACAGAAGAATGTCAAAGTGGATTTTAATTTTACTTACTGAATATTATAGGTAAATCATTTGAAATATTCAGGATCTATTTTAAATGTAAAAACAAATAAAAAGTAGTATCTGATCCGTCCAGTAATATTTTAGTATGAAGTTTTTTTTGTTGAATCTTTAATGTCTGTACCTAAATGACTAGACCTTCTACAATGATCTGGGAAGTAAACATTTAAATTTCACCAATCTTCAGTCCCATGGTATCGTTAACTTGAGCAGACAATATTCTTAGAACAAAATAACTATTTACAAAGTTTATTTAATTTAGGTAAAACATCCCATGATTGTAAACGGTTGTAAATTGTCTACAATTTCTTCAACATTTATATAAAAAAATAAAATCGAAGAGTCAGAGTAAACCCGCAGTGTTGGTAACCCATAGTCAAATTCGCACTTACAGCTAATCTAATAACAGAACAAACTTCGAGCTAACCTAAGTTAAGGCTCATTTAGATTCGCACATACGTTATATATATGTATACAACAGTGAATAAATTTTATTAAATTATCATCTAAGCATCAAATGTAACAAAATTTAGCTCTAACATACACGTCAATCATTTCAGTAACCGTAAGAAAAATATAATATAGTATAAATTAATTGCAAAACAATATTAGTCCAGGCATTGCCCGCAACGGATTATGCGATGTTATATAAAACGATCAACAATACGTATCGTCGAAGAATGTTATAAGTAGAATACGAAATACAAACAAATCACATAGAACTTTGTAGAGTGCGCAATAGAGCGCAAACGCTTGCATTGATAGTTCAATATAGATCGGAATATTGATAGTGGATATTCACGAGTAAATGGTGATAACTTCGCGGCCTCCGCCGCGCACCATTAGCACTTTCTCCAGCCCTTCTGTCAACACCTCCAGGAACTCCATGTCTGCAAAATGTTATTAATATGAGTTATATTATTATGAGTTTCTCAACATCTCATCTATAAATGTTATAAAAACGGAAAGTTGTAGATACTTTTGGATTATTGTAACTTATTGTTGAAATGATTTGGCCGAAATATGATTAAAAATAAAGAGAGATTTACCCTCAATTAACAACATACGAAACTTTTTATTGTAGTATTGCGTTCTTATGAACTAACAGCAGAACATTGATGATAATATTTTTTGCATTAAAAAGCTGAGGGCAAAAGTAAGTAACCTGTTATTTTAGAAAATCTTTATAACAAAAAAATTATAGTTTACAAAATAGTAGGTATATACAATTATTGGTATAAATTCAGTTCTTCATCTCATGCGAACTGGCATTCTTAAGTAGCGCTAATAAATGCTAACATAAGTGACATGTTCTATTTGTGAAGCAAACATTTATAATAGAATATTATTCTATACTATCAGTAGCAATATATTATAGAAATATACTTACAATTAGATTCCCTCTCGAGTTTTGTGTCGCGCGGGGGACCGGGCAAGTTCAGTATCACCAGTTGAGAGTCGTGCGAGCGCGACACTATCACCTCATTCAGTTTGACGGCCGTATGCATTCGACGCACTGTGCCCTCGTCACTAGGATATAGTAAATTGGTTTTCTATATTTTCTATTTAATAATATTTTATATTTATAATATATTATTATAATATATTTTATATTTATAATATGTATGTATTTAAAGTTATATATGTGTAGTGTATCAATCATCTGGTATCTGGTATCCATAACACAAGCCTCGTAGCTTACCATGGAACTAGATGGTGGTGTGTGTTAACGTCCTAACATGTCATAAAATTAACAAATATTTAATTTATGTCATGGAATATTTTTGATCAAACCGTACCTTACCTAACTTGCTTGGTTAAAATAACTTCTAAAAAAGTATAATTTTCTTTCGTTTTTCATTTATTTGTTGCTAATTATAATTATTTTACTATTAACATGTTTTATAAACAATTCTTATTTCTGTGAGGGATTTCGAATAAAGAAAAAAAAATGCTTACGGGGTAATATTTGGCATGTTGGGTTTCGGGTTGAGCGCGTCTCCGTTGGGATTGCCTTCCTTGTGGTTCTCGGCATCGGGCGGCGGCGTCTCACACTGCGAGCGTTCATCGGGCGAGTCCCACATTGAATCGATTATGTGCAACAAACTACTTCGAAATTCGTCCTAATATTTACCCCAATTATTTTCCATTTTGGAAATTTTGTTTCGTTTCCAAACCGTACCGAGCGTTGCACATGACGGATTCAAGGCGAATGAAACACGGGATGTCATATATTATTTAAATTGTAAAACGATCACTGACTACGGACATTCAAACATCCACTCATAGCTAATGTGGTATGAGAAACTAAAGTGAATAAATCAATGCGGATGAACTCATTGCCAAACATATGACCACCGTGTGTAAATTCGCTAGGACTCGTTATGATTAGCTATAACGATGCAGAACTTAACAGAAAAAACTTAAAGTAAAATAAATAGGTATAAGTAGCAGTGCATTTATCGGCTGTCGAAAGCAAGATATTGCTTGCAACAGCTGACGTTAACGTATCGTCTTTTTTTACGATTTCTTTGTTACATAGTGCTTTTGCTTGATGGGAAAAGAAAAATAATTAAAAAAAAACACATCCATGAAATAATAAGGCACCCAAATAAAAGATACGTGAGTCAAGCAGATGATTAGCTTTTGCAACATCATTTTACTTATATATCACACATTAAGCTATTGCATATCCTCTTAATTGAAATCATTAATAAGCGCTTGTATAAATCACTTGATCATTCGAGGTACCTTATAGTGAAAGGTAACGTGATATCTTTTAAAACTTGGTATTTATCAGATACGCTCATATTATAATATATAATATTCAGTATAATAAGTTTCAGTAGTTTAAAAAATATTTTAAAGCCTTGTGCTAAACATATCAATATGATAACAGTTACAATCTAGCAAAATAACTGTTTCAATAATCACCTTATCATCTTTATCTTTTTCGTCATTTTCGGCGAGAGGAGGCGATGGAGCGTCATCTGGTAATGGTTCAGAACCGGGTTCTGCAAAGCGTACTTTGCTTGCCGTTTTAACGTCAGCATGGTGATGATCAACTATTGCCTGTACCTAAGAATTTTATTTTAATTTTAATTTGGCATGCTAATAAATATAAAGCTTATTTTATTATTTCTTTGCTTTAGGATAAACTTTTATATAATTAATGACAGTGCTATGTACCACTTTGTAAAGGTGTGTGTATAAAAAGAAAGATTTTATTTGGTAACAAAATAAACGAGGCATTATAAGCTAATTGTGATTATTTTTAGTGTATGTTAAAAGTGTACAAAAATATTATTTAATTTATATTTAATTATTATTATGTAATTAAAAATTATTTGATACTTATAATTTTTTTAAGAATAACATCTATTACAATATAAAAATACATAAATATTCTAATAGAAAAGTGCACAACAACAACAAGGAAAGTACAGTGAAATGATTGTAGAAAAATGCAAGAACATAAACTAATCGACATCAAAAGCCAATAATTTGTGTTCCGGTGATCAGTTAGCGATTTAGCATATAATGATGACTTATAAACAGGTAACAAATATGAAGAATAAAAATAAATTGAGTAATTATACACACAGAAACACAGAAACACAGAAGACAACATCTAAGTAACGTAAAAATTCTTAGACTTCCCCTTTACTTCGTTTATGTAGTAGAGACTTAGATTATTTCTTATTATAGTTTTACTTAATAATTTTATAATAATCCCGTTGGCTTATTAAGTAATCGAAATTCACATTTTCTTGTATTCATTCAGTGCCCTTCCCGTTGTTCTCAATAAATAAGGTTTTATTTAAATTTTTTAAACATAATATAATTATAACATTTATTTTCAATTTAATTTTGTTATTCATGGCTTAAAAGTATGCCCCTTGAAAGCTTTTATTTTGAAAACTTTTTTGTCGGAATCTGACATAAGGGAAGTTTAAGAAGTCTTAATATAGATTAAATGATTCAAAGTCGATCGATTCGCTAAACCTTCATGTATATGGTATACTGTTCAAAGCGGAGGCATGAGGATGAAATGAGGCTCGAGCTAATAGTAAAAGGGAACATATAACTAAAATGCATTAAAAGTGGACTCGATCGAGGGCAATGACGTTTACCAAAGGCAATTTCTCCTCAGCACTTTGTTCGTGATAGTCCACCAAATTTTGCATCTGTATCGGCAGCGATAGACAAACGGCATTAGTTATTATTGTTACACGATATCAAGCCACGCTTTTGAACAAATACATAGCACAGAATACAACGCTAGAATGGATTTAGCTTATCCACAGATGAATTCAGTGTCTCACTTCAGGACTTAGTTGTGCAAAAACGTACGAACTTGGACAGTGTAATAATGTACAAATAGTGAAGTGATTCCACAGGCAATATACTATTGGATATTTGTGCGAAATATTAGTACCTTTTTTCTTTTGTTCCAATAAGTATTATTTGAATTATATTAGTTTTTTTTATTAATGGTACGTTTTTGAAGAACAGAGTCCAGTTTGGTGTATTAAGTATTTTTTTTTTATTTTTACTTACCATTCCAAGAGCCTCTTTCTTGTTAAGTCTGAGTTCACGAAGCATTTGGTTACGTTGCTCCATCATCAAAGTACGTTCGTATGTATAAGCGGAGATATCGCTATCAGTCTGTAAGTCAAATATTTCGTAAATTTTACAAAGTGAGTTATAAAAATGGCTTTGTAAATTATGAAAATTTAATTTAAAGTTACTTCTTGCTAAAATTAAACAAATACACTTCAAGAGAAGAGGGAAATGTAGATCAAATGAACTTGAGAGATTTATTTATAAGCATCAATATAGCATCTCAAGTATTGACTATGGACAAAGGTCTGACAGAACAATGGACATTGTAACTTTATCGCTGCGCTCATCAAATCACGTCGTAGAGTACTCCTTTGTACTAAAATAGATATATTATAATAATATACATACCATTTCCACAACTTCAACTTCGGCTTCCAAACGTAGCTGGTACAGGAACATCTTGAGGTCTTTCTTCATTTGTATGGAGTTATCTTCAATTTGCGCGACGGTAAATATGCGCATTTTGCAGTTCTTCCATGAACGATGTTTCTTTAGAAGGAATGGAAGAAGCATAAGCATGCCGCCATCATGAACTATCCACCAGACATCTATGTTGCCAGAAATCTGAAAATTCATTATTTCATTACATTATTACATATTCCAAGCTCTCTATTTTTTTAAGAGAAACTTTTTGAAATTATTATTATATCAATCATTACATTTTTTTTATTAAAACACAGTGGAATAGTTATAATAGTTTAGAAAACTCTCATACTTTTTAATATCTTTTGCATAACTATCTAGTATATATATCTTATAGATAACTTTTTTGATAGATCAGTTTATTATTTACCCTGTTTTTAAGAATTATTTAAAATTACAATTTCTAGACCATATTAGAAAAAGTTTTAAAATAATACAAACACCCATAAATTAATTAACGCTATAAACTCTTACTCTTATAAGTACTCTTACTTTTATAAGTTGTCCAGGGGTCCATAAATATACTTGTGACAAATACTTCCATGGTAAATAAAATTTCTATTATGACTTTCAACTCATTTAATAGGTAACTCTAACTCATTTTTAGCGAGGTTAAATGTACCTTCTCAGAAGAATCCGGGAAGAAGTTAATACCCTTAGGCACCAACATCGCCATCCTTGCTGCAGTGACGGCGCGTACCGTGTGCAGGAACACTTGCCACGTGCGGTCGTCTTCAGATTGTCGCCAGCCATAAGGCCACCCCACAAGCACTGTGTTTGGTTTCAAGCCGCCCAGACCAGATGTTTGTACGCTGTTGATTGTTTACAGTTATATTTGAAATGGTAAAGTTATACTTTGTAAGACATGCCAGCTATTAAAGACTTTGTGACGACGAAGATTTAATATATCTCATTTTTCGCATGTTTAGGAATAGCGAAATATGTGTCATATGTCTCATTTTTCACGTAAATAGATTAAATATATGTAAGTGCTCATCATGAACGAATCAGCCACGTTTCGTTCATGATGCTCATGTATACTGTAAAGGTAAATAATTTACAAATAACTTACAAGTGGCTTAAGCCATCCGAGATACTATGAGATACAAGAACATCGACGAATCCTTTGACTTTTTCTTCGTCCATACATCTACGTAGGTTCTGTCTAGCGGTGGCCGCGTCCGCTGCGCGGCGGGTAAAGTCTCCTCCCAATACCGAAACACATACTGTTAGCCCTTTTCCTAAAGAAAAAATATGATAAAATGAAATAGGGTTTCTTTAAAATTCTAAATATCTTTTAGCTTTCTTGTATTAGTTCAATTTCTTCGCTATGACTATAGCAAAGTCAGGATTTCTTATTTGAGAGACAGAGTTTATATTATAATAGTATATTAATAATTAAAACTCCATAAAAACATAGAAAATATATATTTAAAATGCAAACTTACCAGCTTTAAGTTGACTAGCAAAGGAGAGCATTTTGCGGTATTTGGGTTTAAGGTCGTCATTGAGTTTGGCGAGAACGAGTACTTGTGGTCGCCAATTCTTCGTGTGCGGAGGACCTTCTTCAAGACGTAATAGAGAGTAACGAGCCGCAGACAGAGCGAGACCGCGTAAACCATCACCCCATTCTTTTTCGGCACTAGATATTGAAAAAATATCATATTATATTTTCCAATAAACTTCGTTTGTAAGGTAAATGTAGATTGTAAAATAATTACTAGCTGTTAATCAGCCATTATCAAAATGAAAGCTTTAATGTTAACACCTCCAGGTAAATTTCTAAGAAATTAATTAAAATTCTAAGAAATCTATTATTAACTAACACGTCGGCGAGTCCGCGGTCGTGGAGGGATTATTATCGTTTTTTTACTTATAACCGATAAAAAATAAACGATAAAAATGTGTTACAGAAATAAACTCACCCTCGATACTCGATATATTTATAGATCATGCCCGCCATACCCATCGCGATCAGAGCGTAGAACCATGACGTCATGAACATGATGGAGATACACAATGTTAAACCGGCAAGAGAGAGGGACCTGTGAATACGTTTGAAAATTTCACCTTTTTCCAAACGAAATAATCTATACAAGTAAAAGTATGTCAAGAGTTATATTATACTATAGAAAAGAAAAAAGATGACTGAATAAAAATCTGTAGACATATCGACAAACACACGTATTCACTTACAACTTAGAAGCTTACGCATTTGATTTGTATGTAATTTTAGTGTGATAAAAAGTGTATTTCAATTAAACACAAAAGATTGTCGATAACATGTTATATTTTGATGAAATAATAAAACCGGTCAAGTGCGAGTCGGACTGGCACAAGAGGGTTTACCATCGTACAAGATACTTTTTTTTTCATGTTCGTATATTGTTATTATTACTGTTAACAGGACTGAACACGCTGACCCATACCAGCATAATCGTTTCTTTTTTAATTTGCATGGCGGCCACTTTGCAATTCGCTGTCATGGTTTTTTATTATTTGTTGTTATAGCGGAAATAGAAATACTAACTCTCTGAAAATTTCAACTCTCTACCTATTACGGTTCATGAGATACAGCCCGCTAACAGACGGACGGACAGCGAAGACTTAGTAATAGGGTCCCGTTAGCACCCTTCGAGTGTGGAACCCTAAAAAGTAGTTTAAAATTTGATACATTACATTACAGTCAATATTATAATTTATTTTTGAATTAACTTATTAAAAATAAATATTTTATTATTTTATGGACAATACTTAAAACAATGTTATCGAGTAGTATAAGTAGTAAGTGCATAGTGAAGTTAAAGCAAAGTTTTAGATCTCACCAATGATAGTATCGGAATCTGGGTCGCCAGTTGGGGGTCTTCAACAAAGTTTGTAGAGCGCATGCCAAGTTAACAAATCCATAGCACATAAGGAAGAACATGGATAGTAGTGGCGCGAGAATGTCGACGTTGCCGAGCAGGATACCGCATTGACAGATGACCATTGTTAGGAGCAGGGCTCTAGAGAAAAAAAACGTCAATATAACGATTATATTATAGTAATAAATAAACGCTGATGATATATTGTTTGGTCTGTATGTCAACAACATCATTTGAAACAATAAACATAATAGTCCTGATAGTTCTTCTTGTGTGAATCTAGAATTGTTCAAACTATATACTCTTACTACCATAAAATATTTTTGTTTATATTTTACGATTAAAAAAGTTAGAGTTACAAACCTCGTAGGCTCTCCTCTGCTGGAAGAAACAGCAAAGGGAGCAAGAAACGGTATAATTTCATCTTTAGCTATCGCTTGGAGTAACCGAGGTGCTCCGGTCAGAGACTGTAGTCCCGCACCAAGCGTAGAAAGGAACGATCCAATCAAAATCACCCATTGATTTGGCCAAGCCATATTTGCCACTACAAGTTTCCCACCTATTGATTGACCAAATCTGAAAAACGAGTTGTATCTAGTAGGCTTGAAAAGTTTTTACATATTAAATTTATAGTAAAATATGTAATAAAAAATAATGTAAAAAATAGGTTATTTCTAGTAGGCTTACATGTGTTAAAATTTTAAATATTATATTCATAGAAAGATGAATGAAGAAAATGTTTATAAAATAATAAATCTACATTGTACCATCCATCAGTAAAAACTAGTGAAATAGTAAAATTCTAGTAAAAATGGTTGATAATTTTGACAAAGAACTAATTCTTAACAATATATTTAAAGATTATGCAAAATTTGGTAATTCAAAAAATGATGGTAAGCAGATTAACTTAACCAATATTGACAAATGGTTAAAAGAAGCAAATGTTATTGATGGTAAACATGTATCTACTACAGACACGGCAATTCTATTTCAACGTTTTAAGTCAAAAACGATTGATTTTAAACAGTTTTTACAGTTTTTGGATATACTTGCAAAAGAAAATAAATTAAATATTGAAAATTTGAAAGAAAAGTTATCTAAAAGTGATGCGCCTAGTACATCTAAAAGCACTAAGGTTCAATAGTCAAACATTGTTAGTAGAATGACTGACATCTCTAAATATACAGGCACTCATAAAGAGCGCTTTGATAAAACTGGAAAAGGTAAAGGAAAAAGTGGTAGAGAAGATTTAAGCGATAACACTGGCTATGTACAAGGATATAAACATAAAGACACTTATGGAAAAAAGTAGGCTTACTTGTCTCGAAGTAACAAATTGTCGACCGTTCCAGCGAAAAGTAGTACACATGATAAGTAAACCGTTGAAGTAGTGATGATAGCGCAGATAGTACCTATAGGGATGCTCTTTTGGGCATCAGCCAAATCTCCAGAACGATTAGAGCCAGCCATTATACCTAATAGAAAAAAATAAATAAAACAAAAATAAAATTGTTTACTTTAATCTAATATATAAATTAAGATATATATGAAAAAATAATATAATATTATTTATAATAATAATATAATACCTGTTACCGATGGGAAGAATATTCCAATTAGTATAGTGAAAGTAGTTGTGAGATCTGCATAAACTTGGTTATAGGTAGGGCGTTCCATTTGTTCGATGTCATCAGGTTCTTTCCCATATGCGATATATTGACCAAGATTAAGAAATGAATCTTGTAAATTATCGAAAAACACTCCGCTCGATAACCCCTATAAAAATAATACTAACATTAAGGAGGTACGTGGGTGTAGCTCTTAATGAAAATATCTGATTTCTTTTTTCTATATAATATTGTATTATATTAAGCCCCTTACAACTTCTTACTACTGGGAACGGGCCTCCCTACAAAACGAGGGGATCAGGCCAAAGTCTACCATGCTGGCCAAGTGCAGCTTGGCGGACTTCATGTGTCTTTCGAAAACTTGGTAGGCTCTCTCAGACATGCAGGTTTCCTCACAATGTTTTTCTTCACCGTTATACAAGTGGTAATCATATTGCAATTGATTTGTACGTGAAAAATATTAGATGTGCGAGACCCGGGATTTGAACCGGTTTCTCAAGCACAAGCGCGTTACCACTGGACTACTTCCTTCCATATAATATAAAAATATTTAATATATTAACATAAAATATTCGCAGTAATGTTAGTGATTAAAATGCATAATATATTCTTGAATATTTTTTTATAAATAGACGATAAATAAAGTCGTATTATTGGGAAATATTATAAAAGAGACTTTGACGACACGGTTGGCTAGTTTGAAGTGACCCTACTTGCTATGCCAGCGGTCGCGGGTTCGAGTCCCGCTGGAGACATTCATTTGTGTGATGAGCACGAATGTTTGTACTCCAGACATGGGTGTTTATATTTATAATATGTATGTATTTAAAGTTATATGTGTTTCATTTCTTAGTGTATCAACTATCTGGTATCCATATCACAGGCTGCGTAGCTTACTATGAAACTAGATGATGCTGTGTGTTAATATACCAACATATTTGTTTATTTATATTTTTTAAGAGTTAAAAATAAGTATCGAGAATTGAGTTTTTATACCTTAATGCCTTGTACAATGCTAACTTCATGCGTCTGATAGTAAGGATCGCAAGTGCCATTAACGCAGAATAATTGGTGCAATTCACCGCCAAGGTCTTTAGTACAGTTGTTAATGTTAATATCCTTTAGCAGTCGTTTCCCGAGGACACACATTCTGAAAATGATTTAATAAATATACATAATTCATACAGTTACAGAACATTCAATACTTCCTAAGTAATGGATTAAGTTGTTAAACTTACTGGAGTTTATCGTTTCCATTAAAATTGACGAAAATACCGACGTAGACGGCAGTAATTGAGAGAATTACACAAGCCAGGGCAATCGTAGCGAATTTATTAACAAATTTGACTCCGACAAACACAACCATGCCCATAATTAAAAGTAGCCCTGTGCCATATACTCGGAAGTTGTTGTACATCGCCTCTGGATCTTTAGTAAAGTCACCGAAGATAGACATCCAAGGTGCCATGTATGTCTGTGAGCGGAAATATTAAGGAAATCTTAGTAAAAATTAAATAATATGAAAAATAATAAAACTGCGAGCATCTCAGAATAAAGTATAATTAATGATTACAGACGAAATAAAGATCAATTTTTAAAAAAAACGTCAAAGTATTGCCGAGACATAAAATTACGTACATACGTATACACACATAAAGATTTATGACATCATAAAATTTTACTATTTTTCCGAATATTTATTCCGTTGCCTATATCATGTTTTATGAATACTAACAAACTTCAAGATGGGATTAGTTTCAGTAATACTGGAGGAAATATAAATTCTTCTTCATCCAATGGCTATCTTTATACCTACATAAAATTAATTTCATAAGAGTGTTTGTTTAATGTGTTATATTTCTATTATAAAAAAATTTACTAGATAAAATGTTAGTATGCTGCAGTATAATGAGGTGATTTGTTACAAAATGCAAATCGCTTACCAAAACAATTTCAACGGCTCCAACAATGTACATAGCTGCGGCAAGGGTTGTTCCAGTATAGAAAAGCATTCCTACTGCGCCTCCACACTCGGGACCCAGCGAGCGACCGATCATAAAGTAGGACCCGCCCGCGGGCACCACGCCATTAGTTGCAATCGCAGACATCGATATCGCAGTCAGCATAGTCTGTAGATAGCCCGGTTTATTTTTTATTCGAACTTTACCTTGTATTTGCCATTAGTTATTGTGATAAAATAAAACAAAAGTATCATTTATGGTTTTGATGCTATTAATAAAATATTAAATGTTTCAAAAGTCTAAGAGCTAAAAGTTATTTTAAGTGTGTAGTAACTCGAAACTAGAAACGTCGGGGACCAAAAATCAAAATAAATCCGCGAAATAATCCGTCTATTAAAAACACGACTATAAAAAACGCAAAAAATAAGAAAGATTTTACTTAGAAATAAATACAAAAAGTGGAAAAATCTGAATTATTTAAGATGATGCATACCGTACAGCAGCAGGTAAGCACGATCAAAAAGCCTTGAATTGCACCAGCAGTTCCAACTACCCATGTTAGACGGATGAAGAGGATGACTCCAAAGATGTTCTGGATACATGGAAGGTATACTCCGATGAGTGTGCCCATACGAGCTGGTGGTGCGGGTTTGGGGGCATCGGGGTCAGCCGCAGACGCAGTAGGGATGGTGTTCGAGTAGTCCGCCAGGGAGCTGAGAAACGTCGCCGCTCTTGGCCTATCTTCGATTTCCTCCTGTAAATAGTGTGACACAGTCAGTACTGATACAAGACGATACCTAATACATAAAATTGACTAATATTCATATTACTAAATGAAACTTTAATTAAAAATGCCTAAAAGTAGTGTGTATAAATTTACATCTTGACGTACATATTTTTTTTTCATTAGATAAAGTTTACATTTCATAATTAATACTAAATACCTTTCGTTTTTAAAGCGGGCACAAATGGCCTTACTTTCGAATCTTCTGCTAATGCAGATTTTTTATTATTTAAAGTAATTGTTTTATTCATCTAAAAATAATAATATAACTTAACTTCAATATCGTTTCAAACTTTGAAAATAATACAAAAACCATCGAGTTTTAATTTGATCAGTAATATATATATGAATATCGATTTTAAGTTTATTAATATAAGTAATAATATTATTAACTGCAATGTAAGAGTATACTAATATGTAAAACCTAAGAATTTGGTTTTTGGTCATCTGAACTTAATTATAATTAAAATTATATAGAAATATTAAATATAAATTTAAAATTTCTTTCATTTTGTAAACTCCCTTAAGTAAAATTTCTGAACATGATATATAGAGACACATCAGTTTTAATTTAGTAATAGGATATAAGGGAGCTCGTTGAGACGAGATTCACCCGAGCACGACTTCGGAGCGCTCGTATTTTATTCACGGGCCATTTGCAATGCTCACTGTTCCTTCAGACGTTCAGTTCGTCGTCAGCTTTGGAAATGTCGCTCACAACTGTCTTTGGTGTTGAATGTACAAAAGATATAAAACGTAAAAGCGGAATAGAAGGTAAGTAGATAAGAACAAATGTAAAATAAAACGATCTTACGTAAGAAAAATATATTTCTTATAATATTCATGAAATGTAAAAACGGGTTGTATTTCTCATAGTATGTTTCGCCTATATACGTACATATGTATGTACGTGTATAAGTGATGAGATAAGGTTATTTTAGGTCGGAATCTTATATCACAATACATATGTATGGTTTGTGATATAAGATTCCGACCTAAAATAATCTTACCTAATCAAGCTCTTAATATTTTATACAGTTACTGTATACATAAGCAAAATATACCATGGTTGTTGTCTCATATTCTGACATGGCTATTTAAATTTTTGTTGCATTTTTCTTTGATGGTTACGGTAATGTAAAAATAGTTTAAAGTGGGCTGGCTACTTTTACTACTAAATAGGTAAGTTGGTATAGGTAAATTACCATCATCGAGTCTTCTTAAGACTTTGTATGCCTACCCACAAATTCTTTGAATTCATTTTGTTATTTGTGGGACTGTGTAGGCTGTCTGTAACAACTATATAATACCTTTTACCATCTAACACCTTAGTCTCTCCTGTAACCATGATTGCTGTAAAGCATTCGAAACGTTGGGAACCAAAAATCAAAATTTAAATCCGCCAAAAAATCCAAAATACATAGTTTTATTTAAAAAGACTTTGTATGTCACGAGAATTCTTGAAATCGGTGCACCTCTTTACATCCTTGGCCGATCACGCCAATGTTGCGCTCGAGGCACTAAACTACAATGTTCCATAGTTTTAACTCGTTATCCGGTGATCAGATTTCGGCATCTCTCGATTGATCACGGCTGATGCGTCTCATCAAATAATTTTGAATCTCTTAAATCTACGTATTGGTCTTTAGTATTTCATTTTGTTCATTATACATTAATAATTATTTTAAACTATTAATTTCATTAAATAACTTAATAAGGAAAGATCTTTTAAGGACGGAATCGTAGTCCACAACAACAACAGTTACGTACAACAACAAGTAAGCATTGCTCTTGAAAAATATCTCACTTCAAAGATAAAAAAAAAGTTTAGTAGACTATGACATAAGATGTGCTACGGTTTATTTACTTTCATATTTATTTAAAGTGTAAAGTGCTTTCGGTTGAGAGGAGAGTATTAAGGATAGAATTATAGGTGTTCTAACAGAATAAGCCCGTAAAATTGAAATTTTAGATAGAATTACAAAAACTTGGCTACGAAGTCGATAAAATTATAGCAACCTAGGAAAATCTTGGCATCGCCCAGATTCTTTTTCTGTTCATTATGTTGGTTTAATAGCTTAAGCAATCAGGGAGCGGCGTGAATTTTAATTTACAAGTACAATTTTTTAACTTTATTAAATGTGCAGTATAAGTTTTCCATAGCATTGAAGTATCTATTTGCAATTTTTACTAATACATACTAGTTATACCGTTTTAAAATACACTGATATTATACGCTTATACTTATACTATATTTAAAATACGATACGATAAAAATATTCATATATTATATTCCATGCGTTTTTTATTATTTCAAAATTTATCATGATAATTATATAAAAACTTAAAACATATAAAAAAATATGTGTTTGTTTGTCTTAGCTTATGCGTTTCCTGCGCGCGTGTGTATATCAATCATATGTGATATTTATCATTACAGCACATATAACCAGTAAGTAGCTTATATGTACGTATGTTACTTTACATGAGATAAAATTATTAAAGAAATAAATATTTAACATTATTTCCCTTTTAGTAACAGAAATTTACACTGTTAGGTGAAAATGTTGTGATTGTACTTGTACTGCAAATCAAGAAATGGTTTCAACAGTTGTTTTGTCGTAAATTTTCACTTGCAATAAAGCGACCATTGGACCATTTGTTACTTTGCTTCTTCTATTTGTATTCATTTATCCTGTCGCCATTACCCGGCACACTTTATTTAAAATGTGGATCTTTGGGATTACGAGAGTAATCAAGTATTTTGTTCTGTTGCTATTGAAAGTACTTGTAGATTAGAAGAGGCTTTTATTACCTAGGATACTATAAGTATTTGTCACTAGCTTTTGGAGTTTATTTCTAATACACATAATTACATGTTCTGTGTAAATATTATGGTGGTTTCCACATCACAAAGCCATATGTAACATATATCTAAGTTACTGCTTATTATATGGAAACATTTATGTACATATACTTGCATATCAGGAGCTTTATTTTAGTATATACATACATCTTACATGCATTATATATCATAGTATATATATTATCATAACGATTGGTAGCTCACGATGTATTTAAATATTTGATTAATTAAAGGTTTTCAGATCATTTGAATTTTTTAAATTACATTTACACTAAATATATATAACTATTGAAATTTTTAGCAGTTCTCAATCTCTAATTTCACAACATACGTATATACGGCGAAATTTCAATGTTAAATTTATTAATTTTACTTTCTTTACGTCACAAACGTTTCAAATATAAATACTATAAGCATTCAGTGTAATAACATCATTATTATAGTAGTATGATATATATATACATATATATACAAATATCACCACCACATTTTAAATATCTATCGTCCTTATGATGTGCAATGTTGAATGTAGACAGACTACTCTTACTCGTTCTCATAATATTATATTGGGAGGTTTTAGCCTGAGTATCAGAAACACAAATAGAAATTTCATGTTGATATTACAAAATACCTTTGAAATGAAAATTAGTATAAGGCGTATTTATTATCTATTGCTTCGAGAAACGCGTTTGGATTACCAAATTGTTTTATGATACCGAGGGAATTCATTTATTTTGTTAAATGATGTTCTTTTCTTTTGTGTAAATAAATAAAATAAATGTTGTAATATTTCGCCTAAGTTATATTTAGTAGCTTGCGAGAATAATTTTGGACTATTTGCACGCAAGTCTTAATTTGATTTAATTATTACAAATAGGTTTTAGCAAACGCCAGTACGATTTCAGTCAAAATTCGTATAATTTAGTGTATTCTGTATTAAAAACTCAAAAACCACTTAAAAAGTATTCTTTGAAAACCTTCTTTTTAGAGGGTGAAAAATATGTTTATATATAGAAAATTTTCCGTGGGCAAATTTAAAACCAAGTATTATTTAATTGCTTTTGATAGGTATATTTCAAATTAAAAAAAAAAAACAAAGCTGACAAAGCCGGAGCATGTCGATAGTAGATAATTGAAGCTTTATTATAAAGTATAATTTATCAGTAATTAAACCAACCAACCAACCGACCAACTAATAGAGCGTATTAAAGCTTTTTAAAAAGAAATTTACACCGACTTTAATGTACTAAAAATAATTTTACTGTTTCATGGCTGCTAAATATATTAAAACTAAATGTAGAATGTTGGTGCCTTTAAGGCGATATTAAATTTTCTTATACTATTTATTTTTATTTCACTTAGAAATATAACTATAAAATTGACATATACTTATGTTATGTACAAATATAGAGTATACTAGCGACTCATCCTCGGTTCGCTCGGGTTCGTGTCTACTTACTTGAGATTGGGATATATATTTTATAATTGAGATATATGATAATGAGATACCAAATAATGCTATTAAAGTAAAAACAAATAAGTACGAGTAAAACATTTTTAAAATGAAACTTTAAAAATACTTCATATAATATAAAACACAATAAAGTTTAAGTACCGGATAAAATAAAAAAAGCTGTAACCAGCAAAACCACGCATTATCCCAAAGAGCAAAGACTCCTAAAGAACTTCCAGCAAATTATTCGCAAAGCGTAACTCAAGCGGGCTTGACCTCTGAGACGGAGCACCATTTCATTTCTTTTGCTATTGATGGCCCTTGGCGCGGCCTCCGCTCGAGAACTTCAGATAATCTGAGAAGGCCGCCCAATATTCGCCTTTGACATAGAAATATCTTCATATAATGTATATTTTAAAGATAAAAAAACCCTATATTAAATATACGAGCTTTTTTAGTAATCATAAAATGTAGATATAAAACATTATAAGTGTATTTATGATATTTTTTGCCATATTTTTAAAATAAGTAAATATTTTTAGAAAGTATTTAATTATATTAAATTTATTTTATAAAGCATACATATGTCTAAATATTTAACAAAAATATTAACTTCACGTAGAAAAATTAAATGAAATAAATTCGTTCGTAGCTAAGTAACGAGCATACAAGTGAAGAGACTCCAATATCCGGCGCGGGGCTCGTTTACATCTGTATAAACAGCTACCTGCCTTAATTAAACTTCCGACCAGAGCCCTTAATTAAAACGATACAATATAACACAGCTTTATCAATGTTCGAATAAACGACAAGCATTCTTGTAATCCTTCTTTTTATATTAAAATTGTACACAAGCTTGCGCCTGTGTCTTTGTCCGTGTAAACTTTAAATAAAATTATAATATACATAAGTTGATTTACAACTATATACATTCTAAAAATGCACAGGAAGTATAAAGTATTAAGCGTGTAATAGATATACACAAAAATCGTTTTTATATTTTTAAATTCAATGTTTAAAAATAGATTTTTGGGACTTTAAATATAAAAAATGTTGCTCTTCATACCTAATATTTGAGCGGTTTCCCTACAAAATTTAGAGATAGAGTTCTTTGTAATGTTTTGTACATTCACTCATCTCGTAACCCTATTTTAGTATAAAATAACACTCTATAGATATTAAATGAAAAGAAAAAGAAGTACATTTAAAATATTCATATAATATTTGAATGTTAAAACGAAGTAAAAACAGCACAATTTAAATAGAATGTGGGAGAGATGCATCGATATGATTTTATTTAAAAAAATATTCTAGCTACACAAAAACTAGCCGAGGCATAAGTTTTGCGTTGCTTGAATAAACATGAATTGTATAGGCGCTTATTTATTTTACTTGATGCCATTCAAAGAATATTTCAAATATTATATTCTTTTTCTAACTATACAATATAAAATTTAACGACATCTGTATAATGATAAACTTTTGTGCTTATATAACTTATCTATTTTACGAACTTGAGTTTTTAATAAAAAAATAATAGAAAATGAGAGACAGATTTTCTATAAATAAACATGTTGATAGATGGTTGACTTTCTTTATCTTAGGGATGTTTTAGAGATTTACTATAATGTCAAGGGGCGCGAATGTACCGTATTCTGCAGAGATTCCAATTTCTACAACATTGTACTGCGACATTATGATGGCTTTAATGCGGATTTACGCGGATCTGTCTTCAATCTCACTTTTATTACTTTTTGTTTTAGTTAAAAAGTCGTGCCTGTAAAAATTTTATGGCATGAAATATTACACATAATATAAAGCTTTTTGGTAATATAATTCGGAAATAACGATTTACGTAACGTAATGGATGAGAAGCTTTATTTTTTTATATTGGGGAATAGAGAAAATAGTAAAACATTTAATAAGTTACATTGATAATAATATTCTTTTTTAATCAAAATGCCGCTGATTGTCTCCATATCTAACAGAGTTCGGGTTTTAAGCCATAATAACTAGAATTTCCATGTTTTTCTAGTAGGTTTGTTTTAGCTTGTTGTTTTTAGTTTGTTTTTAGCTTTTATTACGTGTTTTTTTTATTTGAGGTTGTAGTTGTTTGTTGTATGTAAAATATATTAACTCAGTCATCATCTAATGCTTAGTAGTACTTGATAATTTTATTTATTAAATAATATATAAAACTAAAAAATTCGAATGACCTTTGGCCTTTCCGATTGGCCCACAAATTAGTTTGGCCATTCAACGAGGGAATGCTGCCAGGCACGTTATCACTGTACGGTTGTGCCGCTTTCATAATTTATAGTTTGTGAAAATTGTAATGGTAAATGTAGTTTATATTATTTTCATAGTAATTCCATTTAACACAAAACTAAACTTTCATGTAATTTACAAATGAAAAGTTCTCACTTATAAATAGATTTAGTATGTAAGGTAAAAATTATAATAAAAAAAAAAACGATATCACTTAACATTTCCAATCGTCAACACAATTTATCTTAAGAGCGTTTTGAAAATGAAATCAATCTTTAACTTCAGTCAAATTGGAATTTCGCAGATGAAGATGGCGTGAGATCGAAGAAGTTTATTCATGTAAGAAATTGGGTGGAGATGCTACGGCGTAGCGCCACTACACCTCGCGCTACGCTACACGCTACGAGCTACAGCCGGGCAGCAGCAGGCTTCTGGCGCCTGGCTCGTTATACTGAATGTAGAGTAAACAAAGATGATTTGTTTGAAAAATATGTTAAAAAAAACATTATTTTCAAAGCTTTTTAGTATTACTAAGCTATATTACAGACGGTAGTATATATTTTAACTATTTTATTACGGTTGTTTTAAATAACCACTAGTAAATATGCATTTTGTTATCATTATAGCTGTTCTAACAGAACCGATCGCTTTTTAGCAGAAATACATAAAATATGTAACACAGAGTGAATTCCCGGGAAAGCCATATTTGAGATACGGAGGAAAATATATAATTTATCGCTCAGAAGAAACATCAGGCATACGATATTAAAGTACAAGATGTATGAAAGCAATGTTCGAGCATATTTCTTTATGTTTTATAAGACTGGCCAATGTTTACGAAGCAAACAATATTAAGTGTAACGCGATCTCCACTTGCCCTCACGGTATTTTCGATTATGCTGAGATTTACTTTTATAATGATATTAATCTACATTGCAAATTTAAATGGTGCTTAGGAATTTTAAATAATCACGTAGCCTCGTATATTCATGAAGTATCTTCGTGTCTTCATTATATATATGTATATATATATATATATATGTATATATATATATATATATCATAGTTATCACTCAGAGTAAAAATTCAAACAAAATATAAAAAAATGCATTAAAATCGGTTAGTGTGTTTTCTATAAAATATTCATTTTTGTAACTTTTTAATTTGAATTATTGACATATAAGATATTATTATAAAAATAGACTTACATGGTAAAGGTAGAGAGTGGTGTCGTAGCCTTTATCCTTGTCTTTGGGTAGACCGTGCTCATCGGTGTCACCTGTAAAGATTGATATAATTTTAATTTCCCAGTTAATTATTTCTTAGAAAATAATACTAGGCTTGGCGTAAGTGTATTAAAAAAATAGTCAAATACTTCTTATGCCTATTTAATAAAAAATATGGTCTTTTAATTTTTATTTGACAGGCAGTTTAGCTTTAATTAACAACTATTATCAGTTTACAAAAGGTTTTTAATCTTCAGTCCATAGACTAGCCTCCCTGCTATTCAGATGAAAGATACGCATATTCATGTAATTTATAATTGGTTAAAGTAAGATACCAAAATGTTCAAATACTACTTGTATTTGAAAATCTTACAAGGTTTATTTTAAATTTTGAGTTACTTCTATAATATGTAAATATATTAGAATATTATTGATATTAATTATTGTATTTAAATATATTTTTTAATTCTTTAATAAATGAAATACTTTAAATGTACTTGAGCTTTCTAAAGCTTTAAAAGCCGAATAAGTACTAATAGGCAGTACATGAATGCTGTATAGTGTATAGAGTAGGTAGTATTCAGAGGGGCGGAATAAAATGGTACTCGTGGAAAACGAGCAAGTTGGCAAAGACTAAGCAAATTGCTAGCTTGTGAACGAGTTGTGGAGACTAAATAACGTATGTAACTTATTTACGACCCAGTTCATCTCGGAAATGAGAGTGTAAGAACATGTACAATATAATTTGGTAACAGTATTTTGAGTTATTTAGCATTCACTACAGACAAAAAAGCAGTCATTAAATATTCTAAAATAAACACCTTCAGAGTTTCTTTACATAATATAGGCATCAGTATAATATGATTCTAAAATCTATTAATATTGAAATTGCCATTCGATCTCAAGCTTATAGTTGGAACTGTAATAAAAATGTCGTTAGCAAACACAGTGCTGTCTCTCAATGTAAGTATAGGAGCGTCGTATATGGTCATGCATTAGTAGCGCGTCTGTTTAAACTATTCCTGCTGCCAACGTGGCTACGGCATTTACGTGAGTCTATTGTTTTAATATTTTATGTAACACAAGTTTGCTTAGGATGCACACTGTAATAATACTATGCACTAGCAAATGATGAATTATACGCTATAATTTAAATAGTATAATATTATTAAATCTATTTTAGATTCTAGTAAGATTTTTTTTGGAAAATATTTTCATTCAAAGTTCTTATAGCATTAAAGTAAATTTTCCAACTAACTCGGTGGAAGGAAGAGGGTACTCTTATTACTAATAATAATTTATTACTGTATGTATTACCATTATATATCACTAGCGACTCACCCTCGCTTCGCTCGGGTTCATCCCTAGGTTGGCTCGCCATGCAAAATTTCATTACCATTAAGGGATGATTTCTGGAATACAAAGTATCCTATATCCTTCGCAGGGTCTCAAACTATCTTCTTACCAAATTTCATCTAAATCTGTTCAGTAGATCCAGAGAGTACAACGTCACAAACTCACAAAACCTTTAAACTTTACGTCTTTATAATATTAGTACAATAGATTATCAAGGTATATCCTAATAATGGCCATCACAATTATATCGGTCATACATTAACTGCATCATTGGCGATTAATCTTGTAACTAGTTTATTGCAGAACATTTTAAACTCCTAAGTTTAAGTTTCAGGACGGTTAAAATAATTTTTCAGTGAAGAAATCCTCTCGAGAGAGAAGTGGCGTTACATCCCTGTGCCTGGGAGAGCGCGTCAATCTGTCGATCCAACGCTTTATCACTTTTAAGTCACGTCGTGTTGTGTTGTTATCCCATAGACCATGAGAGTAGAGGAATAAATTATGCTCATACACTTGTGTACTATAAACAAATTTATTCATTAATAATAATTATTATAAATGAACTATTATGATTGACCTTCATATACATTATACACTTTGATTTTTCAACAGCTAAGCAGTAAAATGGCCTGACACTCTCGTTTGCTAACGCTGCAAGTGATATAGCAAGAAGATATAATTAATGTTAGAACACTTTATAATTTGATAGGAAACTTCAAAGCAGAATGTCAAGGACTGACCTTTCCATACTTAATATGATAACGTTAGGACGAGTATTTTTGGTATATGTAATCACATCACCGATGGCTCCGTAACTTGATTATTTACACTGTTGCCGAGACTCGAAGGTTATATTCATTAAATCTATTACTTTTGATGTGTTTTATATGTGTAACGGTAAAGTTAAATCAGTTTGTCAAAAGAAAGTTTTCAAAAGAAAATGCTTTTGTAGAACAATTAAGTAAGATTTTTCTCTTCCTCCTATATTGTGATTGCATATGCTTAAATATACTATGTCCAAAGTTCTTTTCACAAATGTAATATATTTAAGAGAGCAATCAAAGGTCTAAATCTAGCAATAGAGCTTTCTTTACTTTTGCTAAGACTTTTTAATTTACAAAATTTGATTTATCGATATGTAATTACATAAATTATTTAAAAAATATTTGTAATTTCTTCATGACGTGTAAAAGGTGTGAGAAATAAAAACTTAAAGTAAGTAATATTATGTTAATTTTGTGGCGAAAATTTAGTGCTCGTGGATCAAAATAAAATACTGCAAATAGTGCAATAAAAATAACAGAAAATTAAATCGTAACAGTATTTCTCAGCTGATATTCGTGAAGCAGGGACAAAGGTAGTACAAATACAAAAATTAGGGCGAAAAATCTATTAACATATTTTATCTCGTCGTACAACTGAAAATCCATAATAATAATTATTCATCCATTTATTGGATGTCGGAATATTGTCATCAGTTTTAATTTGTTTGAGCGGAATAAATTGAGTCCATGAATCTTAATTACATTCGGCTTCAATATACTGAGATCATTATATTTCGAATTGAAATTTTTATTTCAACTTAAATATTATTTTTTTAATAAAAAGAAGAATTAGCAAAAGCCAAGAATTATATTTTTTATTTCTTTTGATGTAAGGTTCTGTCTGTCACATGGATGAAACTAGTATCATCTCTCGGGTTCGTCCCTAGGGACGTTTTAAATGCCAGTATAGATTTCTCAAAGTAAAAAGTATCCTATATGTTTACCCTGATCACCAGCTATCATCATATCAAATTTCATCAAAATATATCTAATGGGTTTCTCGTGATGCGTTCCCAGACAGAGAGGCAGACAAATAGACAGACAAAAATTCCAAAAACTATAGATTCGGCCCGGCCTATGTGTTAATAATAATGACTATTTCAATTTTCCAAAAAATATTTAATATACAGATACGACTTATTTAGAATTTTATTGTATGTACAGATTACTAAATAGATCACAATGTAATTTTGTGCGGCGACATTTTGTTTTCTAGAAAAAAAACCTAGAATAAAGTAAAAGTAACAAAATGATACTAAAACAAATTACTCTGACTTTACCCTTCTACCCCCGCCCCCCATTTGTAAGCAACTAGGGGAGAACCCGAGCGGAGCGAGGGTGAGTCGCTAGTATATAAGCTTCAATATTCTATATCTCAGTCTATTTTTCTGAATAAGATAGTAGAATTCGTACTTCGAAGTTATCTTTTAAACTGAAACTAATTCAGAATTTAATAATAAATGTAACGTAAATGTTAAAATATTTTATTTAAAATATTTCAAAAACTATTCAAAATAAAAGGTCTAAAAATCATTAGTATATTGCGACAAAAAAAAGTTACGAGAGTTTAAATCCATTTAAACGTCAATGAAAAAATTATAATGGAAAAACTAACTAATACAATAACACACTAACAATTGTTCCAAACTAGCTAGATTAAAAATACAGTCTCCAATGAGTATCTCAAAGTAAAAAATACAGTATCTATGTCAAAATTTGGTTATTTGATTGAGCTGTGAATGAACAAGTGACCACCTCGATTAACGAGAAACTGTCATTGCGGTCGGGACGAGGGTTTATTGTAGCTGCATGTGGTCTGGCACTTGGCAGACATCATTTTGGACGTTTTTATAAATCATATAACAATGCATGGAAATAAGTGAGCGCTACGTAATAAATAAAATTATTATTTATATATTACATTGGTGTTATATTTGTATATGTATATATGTACATTGTACATTGTAGGTATAAGGCAGTAGTAGCCCAGTGGTAACGCGATCGCTTGGAAACCGAGTGAAGCAGGTTCAAATCTCGGGTCTCGCATATCTGATATTTTCACGTGCGAATCATTTCTAACATGTTGACCACTAACATTACGGTGTTGGAAAACATCGTGAGGAAACCTGCATGTCTGAGAGAACCTAGCAAGTTTTCGAAAGACATGTGAAGTCCGCCAACCCGCACTTGGCCAGCGTGGACTATGGCGATACAAATATACAAATATTTTATTCGCCTTTGTATTTTTTGGAGAGACGTGACAAAAAATTATCGAACAAATTTTTATTCGGATAGGTCAAAAATAAATAAACTATACCAACACCGAAATTGCGAAAGTGGAAAACAAAAAGTTTTATTAGCGTTCATATTACAAAAGCGCTTCCGAAAATATTATATAGTGTATATAATGTTTTCGTAAGCGTAGGAGTTTAAATAAGAATCCTTAAACAAGAACAACTGAGCTTTAAAAAGAAACAAAATAGCTAAAAGTAAAGCTTTTTCTGTTCTATTTTAAAATTTTATTTTACTTTGCTAGTTTTTAGCACTTTTCAGGTACCTAAGCATTTAGATTTTATTTACACTTTTCAATTTGGATTTCATACAAAGCATTTTACAGTAGAGTTATCTGTACATACTTTAAACCGTGCGTCGGAGCGAAAACGGGGGATGAATCGAATTTCCTTTTATATTGTAAGCACAATTCGAAATAACCGACAAGCAGCGCAGGATATTAGAAAAGTCAGACGTAACGCTATTTTATATTACATATTCGTAATTACGTAGTTTAAAAATCAATCTGCATGTAATTAAAAACCTTTTTGTTAACTCCTATACTGTTAATTTAAGATAATGGCAACCCACTCGTTTAGAAA